CACAGGACATGGCGTGGCTGCTTCTTGCGGCGCAGGCACTAAACGAGTCAGCGGACGAAGCCCGGATATCAGTCGGCGGCGCAGAAACCCCAGGCCGACTGGCATGGGCGCTCAGTGGCAGCGAACTGGAAGGAGTGCCGGTTCAGGTGTCAAATAACGGCGCGGCAGCGACAGATCTTCTCGTTTCTGTTGTCGGGCAGCCGGTTACACCGGAGCCGGCCGGCGGCAAGGATTACTCAGTCGAGCGCCGGATCTACGATCTGGACGGCAATCTGGTGGATCCGTCGGCAGTCCCGGTCAATACACGTCTCGCCGTTGTTCTCACCGTGCGTGCACTGACAGATCAGCCAGGACGGCTGATGGTTGTCGACCGGCTGCCGGCAGGTCTCGTCATCGACAATCCGAGGCTGGTGCGCTCCGGTGACCTTGGGGGGCTTTCCTTCCTGTCAACCATAGACTCCCCGCAGCATGCTGCCTTTTACGATGACAGGTTCGAGGTTGCCGTTGATCAGACCCGGCAGGGTGGCCAGGAACTGACGTTTGCGTATCTGGCACGTGCAGCGATACCCGGCGCATTCGCTCATCCACCGGCCTCGGTTGAGGACATGTACCGGCCTGACCGTCGTGCGATCACGCAAACTGGCCGCTTCAACGTTCTGGGCCCGACCCGGTAACACTGGAAATGGCAATCCGGTTGAGGCAGTTCTGGCAAGGAAACCGGCGATCGATGGCGATCGCCGGAGTTTGCCTTTGCACATTCCTGGGAGCTGGAGGCTGGAAAGTACTCTCAGACTTCAAGGCCCTTGCGCCGCCACCTCAAATCTCCGATTTGCCGCTTTCGGTCGTCGTTCTTGACCGTGAAGATCGTTTGCTCAGGGCGTTTACCAGTCGCGATGAGAAATGGCGGCTACCGGTTGAGCTTGACGAGATCGATCCACTCTATGTTCAGATGCTGCTTTCCTTCGAAGACAAACGGTTCTTTGAGCATGACGGCGTTGATGCGCGTGCCCTGATCCGGTCCATTTTGCAGGGGGTTCGGCACGGCCGCATCGTTTCCGGTGGTTCGACGCTGACAATGCAGGTCGCACGGCTTCTGGATGAAGCACCGACAAGAAGTGCTCGGCGCAAGTATGAGCAGGTCCTGAAGGCCGTGAAGCTCGAACAGACTTATTCCAAGGAGGACATTCTCCGGCTTTACGTGTTGAGAGCACCCTTCGGCGGCAACCTGGAAGGGGTCCGTGCGGCAAGCCTGACCTGGTTCGGCAAGGAGCCCGGGCGCTTGACGGTGGCCGAGGCCGCACTTCTGGTTGCGCTGCCTCAAAGCCCGGAAGCTCGTCGGCCGGACCGCTTTCCTGACCGGGCCCGAAAAGCACGCAACAGGGTTCTTGCCAGAGCAGTTGTCGCTGGCGTTATTTCACTGGCCGAAGCTGCTTCGGCCTCTGCGGAACCCGTGCGGACACGGCGCAACAATATGCCGCTGATTGCTGCCCATGAAAGCCGCCACGCGCGAATCATGGCTCCAAAGCGGGCTGTACATCACCTGACGATCGACAAGGACCTGCAGTCGGCTCTGGAAGCACTCGCACGAACGCGTGCCAACAGCTTTCCGGTGCCGGTTTCCCTTGCAATCATCGTGGCGGACCACCGCAGCGGTGAAATTGTAGCTCGGCTCGGCGCACCGGACCTGTTGGACGAAGCGCGATTGGGTCATATCGACATGACCCGGGCAGTGCGTTCACCCGGTTCGACACTGAAGCCATTCATCTACGGGCTTGCATTTGAAGAAGGCGTTGGGGTCCCGCAAAGCCTGATCAGGGATCGACCGACCAATATAGGGGGGTATCAGCCAACCAATTTCGACCGCGCTTACCAGGGGACGGTGACACTGCGGGAGGCTTTGCAGCTTTCCCTGAACACGCCGGCTGTCCAGTTACTGGAAGCAGTTGGACCAGCGCGGCTGCTGGCGCGTTTGAAACGGGCGGGCGCCCGGCCGGTTCTGGAAAAAGGCAAGCCAGCGGGATTGGCGATCAGTCTCGGTGGACTGGGTTTGTCGCTGAAGGACCTTGCGCAGGCTTACGGAGCCCTGGCGCGGGGCGGCCAACCGGTCGAATTCAGGCATTGCCGGGTGTCATGTCTTCCGCAGGGGCCGCAACAGCAATCTCAGAAGGTGCTTTCGGCAAAGGCGGCAGTCATGGTGAGCGACATTCTGGTCGGGATGCCACAGCTTCAAGGCTCCGAGACTCAGCATATTGCCTACAAGACCGGGACTTCATATGGATATCGTGATGCGTGGGCGCTCGGGTTCGACGGAAAATACGTTGCCGCCGTATGGGTCGGACGGCCAGACGGATCACCGGTGCCGGGGCAGACAGGACAAAAGACTTCTGTACCGATTCTTTTTGAAGTCTTTCAAAAACTGGGTACAGCACGCGTGCCATTTCCTCCACACCCGCCTGATGTCGCTGCCGCACTTGCCGGAGATGTACCGCTACCGCTCCAGTATGCCAGAACATCTGGAAATCGGAGTGTATCCCACCAGGAAGACAGGCTGCTGATTTCGTATCCACCGGATGGTGCGGAACTGCACCTGGGGCTGAAGCCGTCGGAAGAAGGACGGCAATTTTCCCAACCGCTCGTTGTCAAATTCAAAGGTGGCGTTGCACCCTATGCGGTTCTTGTCAACGGAGCCCCGTTCCAAACCGATTCTACTCAACGACAACTGATCTGGCAGCCGGAGTCACCCGGATTTGCAAATGTGACGGTCAAGGATGCCAGCGGGAAAAGCGCAAGCGTTTCCGTGAAAATCAAGTAAGTCATTGTATTAAAACGATTTTATCAAAAATTCGAGACTCGATTCGACGCGTCCTCTGCATTTTCGTGCCTGCTGCTTGGTTGGAAGCGGATTTGGCGCCAGGTGTCGGATCGAGAAAAGGAGTGTATTTTTTGCTACTTGCAACTCGCGTTATACGTGAATACTTAATCTGACTCAGAGTCATTTTTTTCATTTGAAGTATTATCAGATAAAAATAGAGTTTATACATGTAAAAACTGAATAGATTGTACTTTTTAGATTCGAAAAACTATTATACAATTATTTATATTAATTGATTATTTTGTTGATTCTTGAAATTCAACCGCAGGTTTTACATTCAATGGTTGATTGGATACGTGTAGCCAGAGTTCAATATGAGAAAATCTATTTCGATTTTCATATACAATCAGGAAAAAACCAGTAAAAACAATGTTGCAGAAAAGGCACAGCGCGTACCGGTTGTGAGCTCTGGAGTTGTTTTGCGCTTGCCGGTTGAGCGCAAATTTGGTTTTAACATTGGTGCGACGGCGAGTAATCGTCAGTAGAAATGGATCACGTAACGTTGTTTTGGTCCGTTTTTCCGAGAAATCGCGGGGACAGAGCCCGGCAGACCGAAAATCCGGTAGTTCAAGGCTCTGAATTGAAATTGACTTTTGGAGGTCAGAAATGAAACTCAAGGGCTTGATGCTCGGCGTAGCAGCTGCTGCTACCGCTACCACCGCCCAGGCAGCCGATCTTCCGGTTGCTCCGGAGCCGGTCGACTACGTTCGCGTCTGTGACGCTTACGGTTCGCGCTTCTACTACATCCCGGGCACAGAAACCTGCCTGCGTGTTGGTGGTCGTCTTCGTACACAGTTCGTTGTCAACAACGTTCTTGACAATGATGGGCGTGGCAACTGGTCGGACCGTGATTCTGAAGGCTATTCCTGGCTGACACGCGGTTACGCATACCTCGATGCTCGTAACGCTACTGAATTCGGCACCCTGCGTGCTTATGTCGGTCTGCGCATGGACATCACCAACGGCGCCAGCGGCTTCAAGCTGGACTCCGGTTACATCCAGTGGGGCGGCCTGACAGCTGGTTACCTCGGATCTAACTTCAACACCTACACCGGTCAGGTGTTCATGGGTGTTGTCACACGTGACTGGGCTGATACCACGGTCAACCAGATCGCTTACACCGCTGCATTCGGCAACGGTTTCTCCGCAACGCTTGCTGTCGAAGACCGTTCCGGTCACGAAGTTGGCGCTTACGGCGGAACACGTATGCCTGATTTCGTTGCTGCTCTCGGCGTATCCCAGGGTTGGGGTTCCGCACAGCTCTCCGGTGCTCTTCACCAGGTTTATCCTGATGCGGCATTCAACAGCACGAATGCTTCTGGCGATGAAGACAGCCTCGGCTGGGCAATCGGCGCTGGTGTGAACGTCAATCTGCCGTTCGCAAACTCCGGTTCCAACATCTTCTTCCAGGGTTTCTATGCTGACGGCGCTCTGAAGTACATCGGTAACGGCATCACTGGCGTTTCCGTTGTCAGCAGCACCGGTACAACACTTGGTTCCGTGGCCGACTACGGCGGAAACGGCGACAAGAGCACTGGTTACTCCCTGTCTGCTGGTGTGTACATTCAGGCAACCCCGACCATAGGTCTGGCAGTTGACGGTTCTTATGCACACGTTGACCAGAATGACTTCGTTGGCACCACCGACGCAGACATCGATCGTTGGGCAATCGACGGTTCGGTACAGTGGGAGCCGGTCTCCGGTTTCGTCATGGGTGCCGACATTGGTTACTCCAACACAAGCGCTGACATTTCCGGTCAGAGCGTCAACGATCTCGACGAACTCCTCTTCGGTGTTCGTATGCAGCGCACTTTCTAATCATCCGTGATTAGTTAGCTGACTGAGTGACTTTGAACTCCAGTCAGTCATGCGGCCCGGCAGGCTCCAATCTGCCGGGCCGTCCCCATTTATCAAGGTGGCGATTCTCGCTGACCATTCAGCCTTGATTATTGTTGTTTCAGGCCTTCAAAGCGTCGCTAGGGCGCTCATTTCCTAACAGTTTCTAAAGATCAACCCTGATTTTGTGACATTCGCGCAACACCGGTTTTTGAAAACAGCTCCCGGAGCGGGGGCAGAGCACATTCGATGTTGAACCGGGAAAGCGGATGCGTATGGTCATGTTGCGAGCGGCTTCGAGCCGCACTGGTTTGCATGCCTCGGACATCCAACCTCCGGTCGGAAGCAAACGCAGAATAAATTCGCGGGGACAAGTGGCGCTTCTGATTGAGTGCCGATTGATATGACTGATTGGAGGTCAGATATGAAACTCAAGAGCTTGATGCTCGGCGTAGCAGCTGCTGCTACCGCTACCACCGCCCAGGCAGCCGATCTTCCGGTTGCTCCGGAGCCGGTCGACTACGTTCGCGTCTGTGACGCTTACGGTTCGCGCTTCTACTACATCCCGGGCACAGAAACCTGCCTGCGTGTTGGTGGTCGTCTTCGTACACAGTTCGTTGTCAACAACGTTCTGGACGATGACAACACACCTGGTGCTTGGGCCAGCCGTGATTCCGATGGTTATTCCTGGCTGACACGCGGTTACGCATACCTCGATGCTCGTAACGCTACTGAATTCGGCACCCTGCGTGCTTATGTCGGTCTGCGCATGGACATCACCAACGGCGCCAGCGGCTTCAAGCTGGACTCCGGTTACATCCAGTGGGGCGGCCTGACAGCTGGTTACCTCGGATCTAACTTCAACACCTACACCGGTCAGGTGTTCATGGGTGTTGTCACACGTGACTGGGCTGATACCACGGTCAACCAGATCGCTTACACCGCTGCATTCGGCAACGGCTTCTCCGCAACGCTCGCAATCGAAGACCGTTCCGGTCACGAAGTTGGCGCTTACGGCGGAACGCGTATGCCTGATTTCGTTGCTGCTCTCGGCGTATCCCAGGGTTGGGGTTCCGCACAGCTTTCGGGTGCCATCCATCAGGTTTATCCTGACGCGGCATTCAACAGCACGAATGCTTCTGGTTCCGAAGACAGCCTCGGCTGGGCAATCGGCGCTGGTGCGAACTTCAACCTGCCGTTCGCAAACTCCGGTTCCAACATCTTCTTCCAGGGTTTCTATGCTGACGGCGCTCTGAAGTACATCGGTAACGGCATCACTGGCCTGACCGGCGTTGCTGATTATGCACCTGATGGGGACACCAACTCCGGTTACTCACTGTCTGCTGGTGTGTACATCCAGGCTACCCCGACCATCGGTCTGGCAGCTGACGGATCTTGGGCACATGTTGACATGGACAGCTCTGCTGCCATCGGCAACGTTGACCGCTGGGCAATCGACGGTTCGGTACAGTGGGAGCCGGTCTCCGGTTTCGTCATGGGTGCTGACGTTGGTTACGCCAACAACTCGATCGACGGCACTGGTGGAAACGCTAGCAACGACTTCGACGAACTGCTGTTCGGTGTTCGTATGCAGCGCACTTTCTAATCAATCCTCCTCAAGAGGTTTGATGGAAAACCCGGCGGAAACGCCGGGTTTTTCTTTTGATTTTTTTGAGTTTTCGGATCGGGTCAACACAATATTCGGCGATTTCGAGGCCCGCGCGGTCAAATGAAGGCAGGTTCTGACCCGTGGTCGCTGAAAAGTGCCATTTGATACTGCCAATCAGAGTCTTTTCAGAAAACTTCCAATGGCTTCATGAGTATCGGATTCCCAAAGGACCGGTGCATGGCCTTGTCCCTGAATTGTCTGGAGTTGCGCATTGGGATGCATCTGAAGCATTCGCACGCAGGTTTCGTGGCTTAAAAGGTCCGAATGTTCACCGTGAAGAATGAGAATCGGGCGATCTGTAAGTCTTTCGTAAAGCGGCCAAAGATCAGGCGCCGGCGTCGCGTCATCGAGACTTGCGAGTTGATGCGCCAGGGCAGGATCATAGTCCATGACAAATTCGCCATCGTGTTCCGATGCCAGTTGTCCTGCTAGTTTAAGCCATTCTTTTCGGCCAAATGACGGAAACTGTTGGCCGATCGTCCGCTCCAGGTTCCGGGCAACTTCTTCCATGGAATTGGTTTTCATATTGTGACCGAGTGTTGCGGCGATCCGGTGAATTGCCTTCATCTCGATGTGAGGCCCAATATCATTGAAGATTACGCCAGCCATGCGGTCCGCCGGAAATCGAAACGTCATGGCAAGCGCATGCAGTCCGCCGCGCGATGTTCCAAGCACGGCAAAACGACCCAGGCCGAGTTCCTCGATCGCAAGAGCAATATCGTTTTCTTCTACCGGAAGGGCATAGTTCCTCCAGTCTTTGTCCCAGTCGCTTTTTCCTCTTCCACGATAATCAAGAGCAACTACGCGATAATGTTTTGATTTAAGAAATTGTGCGATGTCATTGAAATCACGGGAATTTCGAGAGAGACCAGGCAAGCAGAGAATCGGCGGTTTGGTGTTGCCCGGAGCGGTGTCGGTGGGACGCCAATCCTGCCCGTACAGCTGAAGGCCGTCGGAACTCCGCCACGTGAAGTCAATAGGTTCGGGGGCGGCAGGCACGGCGTTCGATTGCGCTTCTTGTGGCGCAGTGACCATGAAAATCTCCAAACGTTCTCATCTCGATTTTCAAAAGATAGTACCGATTTTTGGAAGACCGCCAACAGGAGAGACAGGTGTGAGCGCCTCAGGATCGTTGAATGTGTCGCTTAAAGGGCGCATTCGGCCAAGGAAAACACCATGGAACAGCAGGAAACGCCAAGCAAGCATTGCCCCTTTTGCAGCAGGTGAGTATGTTGCGCGTCCATTGAGACCGGTCGAATTCCGTTCATCGTAAACACCAGAGTCATCCAAGAGGAAACCGAGATGTTCAAAGGCTCCATTCCAGCGCTTATTACCCCGTTCAAGGACGGAGCGCTCGATGAGAAACGGTTTCAGGAATTTGTGGATTGGCAGATAGCCGAAGGATCGAACGGCTTGGTTCCTGTTGGAACCACTGGCGAAAGCCCGACCCTTGGCCACGATGAGCATAAGCGGGTAATCGAACTATGCGTTGAAGCTGCGGCTGGCCGCGTGCCCGTCATTGCCGGCGCAGGATCGAATAACACGGTCGAGGCGATTGATTTTGCCCAACATGCCGAAAAGGCAGGGGCGGACGGCTTGCTCGTTGTAACACCCTACTACAACAAGCCAAATCAGGCGGGCCTCAAGGCACACTTCAAGGCCATCAACGATTCAGTTGGCTTGCCCATCATCATCTACAACATTCCCGGCCGATCCGTAATCGACATGACACCGGAGACAATGGCGGAACTATTTGAGAGTTGCGCAAATATCAAGGGTGTCAAGGATGCGACTGCTGACCTGGCGAAGGCCAGCCGTCAGCGTCATTTGTGCGGTTCTGAATTCATTCAGCTTTCCGGCGAAGACATTTCGGCCCTTGCGTTCAACGCACATGGTGGTGTCGGCTGCATATCGGTGACAGCAAATGTTGCCCCGCGCCTGTGTGCCGAATTCCAGGCCGCGACGCTTGCTGGCGATTTTGCAAAAGCACTTGAGTACCAGGACCGTTTGGCGCCGTTGCACCGCGCCCTTTTCCTGGAGCCAAGCCCAACCGGTGCGAAATACGCTCTTTCGCTCCTGAACAAGATCGAGGAAGAGCTTCGCCTGCCGCTCGTGCCGGTAACCGAACCGACAAAAGTCGAAATTCGAGATGCGATGGCACATGCCGGTCTGATCAACTGAATTTGCGGGGGAGTTGCCCCTGAAGGACGAGAATGGCTTCGAAAAAAGGCGGCGATCCGGGAAGAAAAATCATTTCGGACAACCGGAAAGCCCGATTCAACTATGAAATCGAGGATACGCTGGAAGCGGGGATCGAGCTGAAGGGCACGGAAGTGAAATCCCTGCGCACCGGCAAGGCGAATATTGCCGAATCCTACGCGGCTGAATACGCCGGTGAGATCTGGATCTACAACGTCTACATACCCGAGTATCTCCAGGCCAACAGGTTCAATCACGAGCCCCGGCGCCCCAGAAAACTTCTTCTGCACAAACGTGAAATCGGCAAGCTTGCCGGTGCCGTGCAGAAGGACGGCAAGACAATTGTGCCACTCAAGCTTTATTTTAACGAGCAAGGCCGGGCAAAGCTCGAAATCGCCCTTGCGCGGGGGAAAAAGCTGCATGACAAACGCGAAACCGAAAAGAGACGGGACTGGCAGCGCGAGAAATCCCGCCTTATGAAGAACTTGGGTTGAGAGTTGTTTTCCACATGTTGACAACCGGCCGTGTGCTCGATTTCCCAGCCTGTTGAAAAGTTGCGGATAACGTGTGGATCGTCTGTGGGTTAGTTGTGCAGACGCGAATGGACTGCCCTTGGCTTTTCCCGTGGATTACCTGAGAACAGGCTCTGGATAATCAATGGCCCTGCAAGATTGGATTTCCTACGTCATCAAACTTGATAAGATGCCCCGGGCGTTTTCGGAAATGGGCATTGGGCGCCTGGTTTTTCGATCCACAAGAACATGAACGAACCGGCCGTGGGCCGCAGTTTCCGGCTCTTCGCCGGCAAACAAACCGACACGGAAGACGATAGAGCTGGAGCCGAGTTTTTCAATTTTCAGGCCTGCGGAAACAACAGAAGGGAATGTCAACTCGGCGAAGTAGTGACATCCTGTTTCGACAACAAGAAAGACTTCAGGGCTCGTCCGTGGGTCTAGGAGACCGTTTGCGACATACCAACCGTTTACGGCCGTATCGAAAAAGCTCAGGTATTGCACGTTGTTGACATGCCCGTAGATGTCCACATCCATCCACCGCGTGGGGATATCCCGAAACGCCTTGAAGTCTGATCTTGAAAGTGGGCGTTGGTGCTCGGCCTGTGGATAACTTGTGGAGTTCATAAAGCGGCTTTGTAAATTTCGAGAGCATCCGTTTCCGTCAGTTCGCGTGGATTATTGACCAGAAGACGGGTCTGCATCATCGCGCTTTGCGCCAGTTTGGGCAGATTGCTTTCCGTGATGCCGACGTCGCTTAGCCGGGTTTGCAATCCGATTTTCGACGAAAGTTCCGCCAGTCTTTGCGCAAATGCCTCGGCACGGTCTGCTGCGTCTGAAGTCTCTGACAGGTCTGGAAACAGCGCAGTTGCGATTTCGGAATAAGTGTCTGCAGCGACGCTGTTGTTGAACCTCAGGACATGCGGCAGAACAAGCGCGTTCGACAATCCATGCGGAATATGGAAAATGCCGCCGAGCGGATAGGCCAGCGCGTGGACCGCAGCAACCGGAGAGTTTGCAAAAGCCATTCCCGCCATCATTGAGCCGGCAAGCATTGCGCTTCTTGCGTTGACATTTCCGGGTGAAAAGACTGCCGTCTCGATATTGGCCCCAAGTAGGCGCAGTGCTTCAATCGCCAGCGATCTTGAGACGGGATTGTTGTTTGCCGACTTGGATGCATAGGCCTCGATCGCATGGACCATGGCATCAATACCGGTTGCGGCTGTTACGGCAGCAGGAAGCCCGAGTGTCAGGGACGGGTCAAGAATGGCAATGTCAGGCAGCAGGAGCGGCGAGACAACGCCGCGTTTTTCTTCCTCGCCAACGGTGACGATTGAGATAGGAGTGACTTCCGAACCCGTTCCTGCCGTTGTCGGAACAAGCACGAGAGGCAGGCGCGGACCTTTTGCATTTCCAATGCCCCACGCGTCGTCGAGGTTTTCGTTGCTTTTCGCAAGCAGCGCGACGAGCTTCGCAACGTCAAGGGAAGACCCGCCTCCGAAACCGATGACGGAAGTCGCTCCGTGCGACATTGCAGCTTCAGCTGCGGCTTCGACGAGTGATCGAGGCGGATCGGCTGCGACGTCTGTGAAATGGCCAAAATCATAACCGCATGCCTTCAGCATGGCCTCCGCCGGCGAGAGCAGTCCCAGCGACAGGATGATGGGATCCGTCACGATAAACGGGCGCGGACCAAGGCAATGTGCAGCCAGTTGATCAATCTTCGACGCCGCACCATTTTCAAGAATGATGCGTGGGCTGGTGTTGAATGTGAACGAACCGGTCATGTCTTCCCCGATTTTTTCCAGACAGACAGATTGCCTGCTGGAAAACGATCCGTCGAGGGGGAAGTCGTCATGAATTGGGCGGTTGGCCTTTTGATCAGGGATGCATGCGTGCACCCTTGGTGATCCTGTCGGCAGTTTTCCGGTCGGCATGAAGCGCCAGGCCGACGACACTTGCCTCTTCGGGAGTGTATTTCCCGAATACCTCCCGGTTGGCGGCATCATGTCCGGTCGAAAACATCTCTTCGACATAAAGGCTCGTCCGGACGCCGCGCTGGAGAGATCGGGCATGGATCTTTTTCAGAAGAGCTTCATCGGCACCAAGAACAATGATCGGCTGAACGCTCATCGGGTGATAGCTGTTGCCTGCAGCGTCGCGGTAGTTCTCTCCGATAATCCCGGGGGCCGCGGACGCAATGCCTGTTGAAAGAAATGCTGTTACGTTTAGTTTCTGCCACACGGCCAGATCATCCCGTACAACAACGACGAATTTGGTAGCAAACATGGGTGAAAACTCCACCAGGGGGATTCGAGAAACGAAGGTCTGCAAGAACCTAGAGGCAATCGAAGCAGATGGTCTTGAACGTTTGTGCGGCGAACGAACTGATGCAATCCGCATGGCGCCTGCGGAGGAGGGTGTTGAGCGGATCGAGGCAAGGTTCCGCGGTAACGGGTTCAACCCTCACAGACATGACACCTATGCGATCGGTCTGACGCTCAACGGTGTGCAGACTTTCAGATATCGTGGCGAGGCACGCGCCTCGTTGCCCGGGCAGATAATCGTGATTCATCCCGACGAGCTTCATGATGGTGGGGCAGGGACTGAACGTGGGCTGCGATACCGCATGATCTATATCCAGCCGGAGGACGTGCAAACCGCACTTGGGCATTCAGGAACAATGGGTTTGCCGTTCGTCGATACACCGGTCTTGGCGGACCCGGTCTTCAGGCGGAGCCTTTCGGAGGGCCTTGAAGACATCGACCATGAGATGGGAGAATTGAAACGCAGTCATCTGCTTGCCGAACTCTCACAGTGTCTGAGCAAATTTGGCGGATCCGATTTGGGAAACAGACAGGCGATCGACTTGCCTTCGCTCAGAAACTGCGCCGAGTTTCTCAGGGAAAGTCATAAGGAACTGGTCCGGGTAGGTGATTTGGAAGGGATGACGAACCTCGACCGCTTCACCTTGTCGAGGCAGTTCAAAAGAGTTTTCGGAACAAGCCCGCACCGGTATCTGGTGATGCGTCGGCTCGAAACCGTTAAACGCCTGCTTGTTCTGGGAAAAACACTTGTGGAAGCGGCGGTGGAAAGTGGCTTTTCCGATCAAAGTCACATGACGAGACACTTCAAACGGGCATTTGGGATGACGCCCGGTATGTGGCGGCAGTTAACCGCCACCAACGGTCTTTCTTAACTGCAGGCTTCAGATACCTGGAGCGCATCCAATGAATGTCGAAGCGTTTGGTGCCTGAATGCGGTTCACTCGGCAAGCTGTGTCACGAAAGACGATGCCGTGTTTTCCGGCATCCGAAGGCCCTAGCCAGTCTTTTCTCCCGCTGATTGTGGCGGCTTCCGTTTGTCGTGGGCACAAACCGACTGATCAGCAGAAAAATGCGCGTGAGCGATCCGACATTCCGTCGATGCGCGCTAGAGTTTGCCGGGACCGAACTTGTTTGAACGCGGGAAGCCGGTCGGCGGCAGGCGCCCGGCCTGGCCCCTGTCTCCGCGCCAATCGGTAAGTTCTTCCAGCGAACGGGTAAAGCTGCGTCCTGAACTGTTGATCCAGGTAAGTCCCTCTTCGCCGGAGAAAACCCTGATGTCGGACACATTTCCGTCCCTGTAACGCTGCAGCCGCACGCCGCGGCCCCTGCCCATTTGCGCGATCTGAGCAAGTGGGAAAACCAGCAATTTCCGGTTTTCGCCGATGATCGCCACCTGATCTCCAGTGGCATCGACACAAAGGGCTGCTTCCGCCGGGGCCGTCAGGTTGAGCACCTGCTTGCCCTTGCGGGTGTTTGCAATGACATCATCCTCGCTAACGACAAAACCGCGCGCCTCGTTGTTGGACAAAAGAAGCTTTCGCCCAGGTTTGTGAACGAAGGCATTCACCACATCCTGCGCTTCGTCCATCTCGACCATGAGACGGATCGGTTCGCCGTGTCCGCGCCCACCCGGCAATCGATCAGCTCCGAGGGTGAAGAACTTGCCTCCGGTCGAGAACACGAGGATCTTGTCTGTCGTCTCGGCATGGAAAGACAGTTTCAGCTTGTCGCCCTGTTTGAAGGTCAGGGATGACAAATCGCTCTGATGCCCTTTGAGGGCACGGATCCAGCCTTTTTCCGAGATGATGACGGTTATCGGTTCCTTTTCGATCATCGCCTGCTGAATGTCGACCAGGTCCGCTTCCGGAGCCTCCGACTTGTCGGTGCGCCGTCTGCCGATTTCCGTTTCAGGTCCATAGACCTTGGAAATGTCAACAATTTCCTTGGAAATTCGGGTCCATTGACGGGCGTCTGAGCCGAGAAGTTTCGTGAGCTCGTCCTTTTCGTCGGTGAGTTTTCCGTGCTCCTTGCGGATCTCCAGTTCCTCAAGTTTGCGCAGAGATCTCAGGCGCATGTTGAGAATGGCTTCCGCCTGGACGTCAGTCAGTTCAAAGGTCCTGATCAGTTCGGCCTTGGCATCGTCTTCCTCACGGATGATCCGGATCACCTCGTCCAGATTGAGGTAGGCGATCAAATAGCCTTCCAGAACCTCGAGTCGATGGTTGATCTGGCCAAGTCTGTGCTCGGAGCGGCGGACCAGAACAACTTTGCGGTGATCGAGCCATTCGCGCAGCACCTGTTTCACGCCCATCACCATGGGCACCTTGCCCATGGAAAGAACGTTCATGTTCAAGGAGAACCGGTTTTCCAGGTCGGTCAGCTTGAACAGGGACTCCATCAGGATATTTGCGTCGACATTGCGCGAGCGCGGAACCAGAACGACGCGGATATCCTCGGCAGATTCATCGCGAACGTCGTCGAGCAATGGCAGTTTCCGGACTGTCAGCAATTCGGCAATCTTTTCGATCAGGCGCGACTTTTGAACCTGGTACGGAATTTCAGTGACAACGATCGCCCATTGCCCGCGGCCAAGATCCTCGACCTCCCAGCGTGCACGCACGCGGAAACTGCCACGTCCGGTCGCATAAGCTTCGCGGATGGAGCCCTGGTCGGAGACAAGCAGGCCACCGGTCGGAAAATCCGGTCCCTTGATATGCTCCAGCAGTTCGTCAACTTCCGCCTTCGGATTCTTGATCAGGTGCAGGCATGCCTGGCAGAGCTCAAAGGCGTTGTGCGGCGGGATCGATGTTGCCATGCCGACGGCGATGCCTGAGGAGCCGTTGCCCAGGAGGTTCGGGAATCCGCCCGGCAGGACAATCGGTTCCTTGTCTTCGCCGTCATAGGTTTCCCGGAAATCGACGGCATTTTCGTCAAGTCCGTCGAGCAGTCGCTTGGCCGTGTCGGTCATGCGCGCTTCGGTGTACCGCATGGCAGCAGCATTGTCGCCGTCGACATTGCCGAAATTGCCCTGACCGTCGATCAGCGGATAGCGTTGGGCAAAGTCCTGGGCGAGGCGTACAAGTGCATCATAGACGGCCTGATCGCCATGCGGATGGTATTTACCGATGACATCGCCGACCACGCGAGCGCATTTCTTGAAGCCTGCGCCGGGATCCAGTTTCAAAAGACGCATCGCATAGAGAAGACGCCTGTGAACCGGCTTCAGCCCGTCTCGGACATCCGGCAAGGCCCTGTGCATGATGGTCGACAGTGCATAGGCGAGGTAACGTTCTTCCAGCGCATCGCGAAGGTTGATCCCTTCAATGCCGCTCGGTGGTGGTGTCGTCTCTTTTCCCATGTCTGTTTGCTAGCGGTTTCGCATGGTCCGCGCAATTCACCCAAGCGGAATTGCATGCCGAAAGGCCGGATTTTCAACGGATTTTCAACGGATTTAGGCACTCTCTTGTCGCGTGGATATAGACACACATATTTTTCAGGTTTTTTGAATTCAGTGTCGTGGTGCAAATTGAAGTTGAAGATTTTGACGATGAAGCATAAATAGTGAATTTGAATTTGCCATTGTTTAAAGGAACAAAGAAGTAATGTCGAAGAAAGCCAAAATGTCAATTATTTTATTGTTTTTTGCAGTTGTTGTTGTTTTGTTTTTGGCTGAGATTTCGGGTTCTTATTTACACAGAGCGAAACATTACAATATTCCAGCTTCCAGTATGCTGCCGACATTGGAGGTCGGTGATCAATTCCTGATAAAAAAGGTGTTTTCGGTGTTTGGGGAAAAATACAGCCCAAATCGCGGAGATGTCCTTGTGTTCTGGAATGACAAGGCTGGTGCGGATTACGTAAAACGGTTGATCGGTTTGCCTGGAGAGCGGATTCAGGTCCGAATGGGTGAGGTTTTCATTAACGACGTACCCATAGAGCGCGTTTGGAAAGACGATTTCGTTGTTGGTAACGGGTCGCTTACTGGTGAAACGATGAAGAGGTTCATCGAGACCTTGCCAAACGGAAGGCAATACCAAGTTCTGGAATATGTCGAGGATGGTCAGCTTGACAACACACAAGAATATGTCGTGCCGGAAGGACATCTATTCTTCATGGGAGACAATCGTGACAACTCCATCGATAGCCGGGTTTTGTCAGCAACGGGTTTTGTACCGATTGAGAGCGTCAAGGGTGTCGCGAAACACATTTATTATTCTGGCTCGGAAAAAAGTTTCGTTTGGCGCCTCGTCGGTCCGATAGACGACTGACAGCTATAGGAAATTCCAGGGAAAATTCTCTCGGTAGCGTCGTTCCAGGGCGCTCATGACCTGCTCGCGTGTGCCACCGTCGGTACCGTCACGCTCCCGTAAATGGCGTGATACGAAGAAGCTTGTCAGCTCAAAGCCTTGCGTGACATCGGTCCATGTCAGCTCACTTCCAGCCTGGCGCTGGCCATCGACAAGAAACGAGGGCAGGGGAAGCAACTTGTCGTGATAGGGCTTGCCGGCCTCCCGGCTGACCGCACGCGCGGATTTGGGCGAGACATAGACCAGATCATCCTTTTGGCCCGTCGCGGCGCAAGCCTCCAGATCAAGGCCGGTTCCAAGGTCCCGCAACAGTTCCAGTTCGAAACGGATCAGCAGAGCGGCTGCGGCATCGGGTTCGTCAAGATGCTCCAGAACCACGTTCAGGGCGTCGTAAAGGTGCGGGTAGGGGTGCCGTTCCGGCAGTAATCGCAAAAGGAATGCGAGGTGCTGCAGACTGGCGAGGCCGATCGCTGTCGTCATGAGTTCGCCGGCACGCAGTGTCTGCGCTTCGAGCTGGAAATGCCCGAGGTGATCCGCCAGGCGCGCTTTCCAGGTCAGATCCAGTTCGTTGCCGGGTTGCAGAAAGGGCCGGTTGCGTTGGGAGCGGCCACCCCGGACAAGGCCCAGGTGCCGGCCATGATCGAGGGTCAGGGCCTCCAGAATGATGTCGTTTTCGCCGTGCTTGCGTGTGGTCAGTACCACGCCGCGGCTGGTCCACTCCAAGTCCAATACCCTGCGCTAGATTTGGCCGATTCAAGACTGGATTCGACCTTACCCTCAATCACTTCGGAAATTCGAGACCCATCTCCCGGTAGCGTTCGGGATCGTCGGCCCAGTTTTCGCGCACTTTCACGAAAAGAAACAGATGCACGGGGGTCTCGATGATGTCGGAGAGTTCTTCCCGGGCAGCCTTTGAGATTGCCTTGATCGTCTGCCCGCCCTTGCCCAGAACAATGCTTTTCTGACTGCTCCGTTCAACATAGATGGTCTGTTCGATGCGTGCGGATCCATCCTTGCGTGTCTGCCACTGTTCGGTTTCCACCGTTGAGATATAGGGCAGTTCCTGATGCAGGCGTTCGAACAGTTTTTCCCGGGTGATTTCAGCGGCCAGAATACGCAGCGGCAGGTCGGACGGCTGGTCGTCCGGGTAGAGCCAAGGTCCTTCAGGTACCTTCGAGGCGAAGTGATCGAGTATGGTCGCGATACCGTCTCCGGTAAGGGCCGAGACCATGAATGTTTCCTCGAATTCCAGATATTCGTTGGCCCTTTGCGCAAGCTGCAGAAGCTTTTCCCGTTTTGCGACATCGGTCTTGTTGAGGATCAGAACCTTGGGCGCGGACTGGCTCTTGAGGCGTTTGAGAATGTTTTCAACCTCCTCATCGATCCCCTTGCGCGCATCGATGAGCAGAGCGATCAGGTCGGCGTCGCGGGCGCCGCCCCAGGCAGTGTCGACCATTGCCCGGTCGAGACGGCGCTTCGGCTTGAAAATTCCCGGTGTGTCGATGAAGACCAGTTGCGCAGAGCCGTGCATCGCGACACCGCGTACGATCGAGCGTGTTGTCTGCACCTTGTGCGTGACAATCGAAACCTTGGTGCCGACGAGTTGATTGATCAGGGTCGACTTGCCCGCGTTGGGAGCGCCGATCAAAGCTATGAACCCGGCCTTCGTGTCGCTCGGCATCTGGGCAAGCGGTTCAGGCAAGGGAATGTCGAACCGGCCTTTCGGCGGCACAAACCCTTCATCCTCGTCAATCGGTTCGCCTGTGTCGTTCTCGTCGCTCAAAATACTGTTATTCCTTCCAGACGCCTTCCCGGCGCAAGACTGCTTCAGCGGCGTTCTGTTCCGCGATACGCTTCGAGCCTCCCTTGCCCTCGCCGGACGCCAGCCCCCGCACGATCACCGAGACGGTAAAGCTGGGTTCGTGGTCCGGGCCGTCGCGCCCAGTGACTTCGTAATGTGGCGTCGGCAGGCTCTTCGATTGAGCCCATTCCTGCAGCGTGGTCTTGGCATCGCGCAACGGGCCCGTCCACGATAACATACGCGGTTCCCAAAGGCGCTTTACAAAGTCTGCAGCCGCCTCAAAGCCGCCGTCCAGGTAAATGGCGGCAATTACGGCCTCACAGATATCGGCCAGCAGTGCCGTCTTTTTTCGGCCGCCGGTCTGCGCTTCCGCTAGTCCGATCCGCATGGCATCGCCGACGCCGAGCTCTTGCGCGATTTCGGCGCAGGTTTCGCGTTTGACCATGTGGTTGAATCGCCGAGCGAGCTCTCCTTCATCCGCCTTTGGAAAATGCAAGTGCAGCATGGAAGCAATTGCAAGGCCGAGCACACGGTCGCCAAGGAATTCGAGCCGTTGATAGCTACCTGATACGGTTTCTGACGGGGCAAGGGCACTTGCGTGTGTCAGGGCAACCCTGAGAAGCTCAAGATCACTGAACTCGTACTGCAAGGCTGCCTTGAGCGCCGATACCGCGTTTTGTTTTCGCTTTTGTGTCATGCAGCCTGCTTTTGGCCATGGGGCAGTCGGGCCTCCACTCGGCTATTCCTCAGAGTGTTCTGCCGATGCGATCCCAGCGCACTGTCCATGGCCAGCTCCAGATGTGCCACGCCGGCTTACCGTCACCAACCGAGAAGAACAGAATTTCGGCGCGTCCCATGAAATTTTCAAGTGGCACATATCCGACTTTGGCCAGAACCCGGCTGTCAATCGAGTTGTCCCGGTTATCGCCCATCATGAAGAAGTGACCTTCCGGCACCTCGTATTCACGCGTATTGTCCAATTGCCCGCGTGTCGTCAGTTCGAGTGTGTCGTAAGAAACGCCGTTTGGCAGGGTTTCACGGAAGCGGGGAACGCGGCGGACTGCACCGGATGGTGAAGTCTCGATATAGTCATCGATTTGCTCCCGCTTGACGGGCTCTCCATTGATATGGACCACGCCTTCCAGAACCTGGATCGTATCGCCTGGCAAACCTATCACGCGCTTGATGTAATCGATTGAGGTGTCTGTCGGCAATTTGAACACCGCTACGTCACCACGCTCGGGTTCCTCGGACCAGATCCTTCCTGAAAACGGAACAATCCCGAATGGAAACGAATAGCGCGAATAGCCATAGCTGTATTTGGAGACGAACAGATAGTCGCCGATCAGCAACGTATCCTTCATGGATCCGGAGGGAATGTTGAATGGCTGGAAAAGGAACGTCCGCACAATAAGGGCAAGAAGCAGTGCCTGAACTACGACCTTCACAGTCTCGTAAAGACCGCCGTCCGTTTCTTTCTTGTTTTCAGACACGCTCATAATATCCCTTGAAGCAATTGTTGGCGGTTCAGATTCTCGTGGCCGTACCCGAGCGGAACTCTTAACGGTTCACGTCGGCGGAAGCAATGCGACGAACACCGTCAAAGTCGCTGTTCATGCAGAACCTGTTGATGGGAGTTCTGGCCAGCGGGACGGCCAGGCGGAAATGACGGAAAATGCCTGCGCGAGCGGGAATTTGTCCGGGAAGGTCAGATCGATTGTGGTCCGGAAACCACTCGGTATCATGGCAGCAAGACGCTTGGCGTTGGACGCAGCCCGCTCAGTGCGTCTGTCGGACCTGGTCCGTTCAATTTCGGTAAAGACCCTGTTTGTGAAACGGTCGCCGATCCGTTTCAGGGTTTTTTCGATCCGCCGAATATCGATCAGGTCGCCGCCGATTCCCAAGATCATCAGTCTTTGATCCGTCTTTGAATTGTCTGCGACGCTTTATTTGGGCAGGTTTTGGGAAAACTCAACCATTGCCGTCTTCTTCAACGGTTGAAGCAGGTGCGGAATAGGGAGTTTTGTCGGTGTTTGCCAGTGTCTGGCGCCTGCGGCGTTGATAGACTTCCACACTCTTGTACACGATGACATATGAAAGCGTGCCGACAACAAGACCGAGAGGAACTGCTCCGATAAACATTGGCTTGAGCATGGGCCAGAGGGCATCGAAAGACTTTTCGAACAGACCTTCCTGAAACCTCTGGTGAACCTGATGCGGATCCGCTTTCGGAGCTCTTCCATGCAGGATCCACTGGCCGATCTTGAAAGTGAAAGCCCAGATGAACGGAAACGTGAGGGGATTGCCGATTGACGTTCCGAGCGCGGCGGCAATCATGTTTCCGCGCACAATGTAAGCAGCGCCGAACGCCGTCAGAAAGTGGAACCCGACCAGGGGCGTACAAGACGCAAAGGCACCGGCAGCAAATCCGACTGCAATAGCATGCGGGGTTGCGGTAAGTCTGAGGACCCGTTTGCCGAAATATCTCGTTGAGCGGGCCCAGCTGTTCCGGGGCCAGACCGCAACGCGCAGGCGCTCGATGCGCGATGGTCTATTTCTGCGTTGGAACAGCATGAATTGGTTTCTTGTCCTGTCAGGTCGTTCTTGTTCAGCTCAGGCCGCGGCTTCCCGGTTTTATGGCCGGAAGAGCTGCCAGTTCGGGTGGCAGGTTATCCGGCTCGTAAGCCGGTACCTTGTATTCGGCCAGTGCAATGATCGGAACCGACGCGTCAGCTTCGCCACCGGACCGGTCGATCAGGCAGGCCACGCCAAGGACTTCAGCACCAAGAGCTTTCAACGAGGTTACCGTTTCCCGGCTCGATAGACCTGTCGTTACTATATCCTCAACGACAATCACTCTTGCCCCTTTGGGAAGATCGAAGCGGCGGAGCCTGAATTCGCCGTCTTCGCGTTCGACCCACATGGCCGGGACATCCAGATGACGTGCCGTTTCATACCCGGGAATCAGACCGCCGAGTGCAGGGGAGATGATGTAGTCGACATCATCAAGACCGGCATCCCGGATCTTGTCTGCCATTGCCTTGCAAAGTTTTTCAGTCTTGTCCGGATACATGAATACCCGTGCCTTTTGAAGAAAGACGGGGCTGCGCAGTCCTGATGTCAGGATAAAATGCCCTTCCAGGATTGCGCCGGCTTCGCGGAATAAGGACAACACTTCGTCGCGGTTCATGAATCAGGATCCCTGTTAATCTGCATCTTATCCGTTGACCCGGTTGACGCTTGAAACATTCGGCTTTGAACGCAATTGATTGATAATGCGGTTCAGGTGTTTCAGGTCCCAGACCTCCAGGTCAATGATCATTTGGTGGAAGTCAGAGGCCCTTTGGACCATCTTCACATTATCGATATTTCCGCTGTTCTCGCCAATGACCTGTGCAATTGCAGCCAGAGAGCCGGGCTCGTTTGCAGCCGAAATATCCAGGCGCGCCGGAAAACGCTCCGGGTTGTTGATATCAATGTCCCAACGCACGTCCACCCAACGTTCAGTCTGGTCATCGAATTCCTTGAGCGACGGCGATTGTATCGGATAGATGGTCAGTCCGTCCGAAGGGATCAAGATGCCGACAATCCGATCTCCGGGAACGGCACCGCCATCGGGAGCGAAACTGACCGGAATGTCACCTGACAATCCACGGATGGGCAGGGCAGGACCTTCGCCGAGATCGGTTTCCTGGTCTGACCGGGATTTGCCGTCTTCCAGGTCACCGGGAGGGATCCGGAACTTCAGACCGTGACCCTGCTTCAGGCCGAACCAGCCTTCTTCCATTGGCGGACCGGATATCGCAACCCTCTCGTCCTGATAGTCCGGATGGGTCGACTTCAAGACAGCTTGCGCGCTGAGATCGCCCCTGCCGACCGCGGCCATCAGGTCGGCGACGCTCGACTGATGGTGTCTTCCCAGAACCGCTTCAAGAAGATCTTCTGAAAACACCTTGTCCGCGCGTGCGAACGCCCGCATCAGAATGTGTTCACCCAGAGCGCCATATTGTTTGCGGACGGATTCGCGGGTCGCGCGCCTGATCGCGGCGCGGGCCTTGCCGGTCACTGCGATCGCTTCCCAGGCCGGAGGAGGTGTCTGGGCGGGCGAGCGGATAATTTCCACCTCGTCGCCGTTGTGAAGCTCTGTCACGAGCGGCATGATCTTGCCGTTGATCTTGCAGCCGACACAGGTGTTGCCGATGCCGGTGTGAACCGCGTAAGCGAAATCGATCGGGGTTGCGCCGCGCGGAAGGGCGATCAAACGGCCTTTCGGTGTGAAACAGAACACCTGGTCGTGGAACAGTTCCAGCTTGGTGTTCTCAAGAAATTCTTCAGGCGTATCGCCCTGCGCCAGCAGTTCCGTGGTGCGGCGCAGCCATTCAAAGGCACGGCAGTCTTCCGTATGGCGCGCAATATTCCTGCCGCCGAACTCGCCATCCTTGTAAAGCGCGTGGGCTGCAATGCCGTATTCTGCGACCCGGTCCATGGAAATTGTCCGGATTTGCAGCTCGACCCGCTGTCGTGAAGGGCCGACGATTGTTGTGTGGATTGACTTGTAGTCATTCTGCTTCGGCGTGGAGATGTAATCCTTGAAGCGCCCGGGAACCGTTGGCCAGGTCGTATGGATCACGCCGAGGACGCGATAGCAGGCTTCGACGGTTCCGACCGTTACACGGAAACCGTAAATGTCGGAGAGTTGCTCAAATCCAATGGCCTTGCGCTGCATTTTACGAAAGATCGAATAGGGGCGTTTTTCGCGTCCCGTGACCTCGGCCGCCATGCCGCGTTCGCTGAGGCGTTCGGTCAGCGTCGTTTCAATGTCGGCAATCAGGTCCCGGTTTTTCTCCCGCAGATCCGCAAGCCGGTCCGTGATGGTTTCGTAGGCTTCCGGGTTGAGGATATGAAAGGAGATGTCTTCCAGCTCCTCACGCATGTCGTGCATGCCCATGCGTCCGGCGAGCGGGGCATAGATTTCCATTGTTTCTTCGGCAATCCGGCCGCGCTTGTGCTGCGGCATGTGCTGCAGGGTGCGCATGTTGTGCAACCGGTCCGCAAGTTTGACCAGCAGGACACGCACATCGTCCGCGATGGCGAGCAACAGCTTGCGGAAGTTTTCTGCCTGCTTGGCCTTTTGAGAGACCAGATCAAGTCGCTTGATTTTCGTCAGGCCCTCGACCAGCTTGCCGATCTCCTCACCGAACAGGGAGTCGATTTCAGCCCGGGTCGCGTCCGTATCTTCGATGGTGTCATGAAGAAGGGCGACTGCGATGGTTGCGTCATCCAGCCGAAGATCGGTCAGGATCGCAGCGACTTCGAGGGGATGTGAAAAATAGGGGTCGCCGGATGCCCGCATCTGGGAGCCGTGCTTTTGCATGGCATAGACATAAGCCTTGTTGAGCAAGGCTTCGTCAGCTTCCGGATTGTAACGCGTAACTCGTTCAACGAGTTCATATTGACGCATCATGGCCGCAACCGACCCAGAAAACCGGCTGAGATATCAGTCGGATAAAGAAAATCCGCCTGAAACAACGCGGGAAAACATCCGCAATTCAGGCGGGAACTGGACGAAAAATCAGACGTCGTCGGTCCGCTCCGGCGGAACCAGACCTTCCAGACCGCGCAACAGATCTTCCTCGGACATGCGGTCGAATTCCACCGCACCGTCGTCCACGTTGTTGACCTGGGTTACCTGATGCTGATTGGCGGACGGAACAACCGGCACAGCCTCTGTCTCGGGTTCGTCCACTTCCACGAACTTCTGAAGCGAGTGGATCAGGTCTTCTTTCATGTCTTCCGGGCTGACGGTCTGCTCGGCGATCTCGCGCAGCGCAACGACGGGATTCTTGTCATTGTCGCGATCAATTGTCAGCGGCGAACCGCTAGAGATCATGCGAGCGCGATGCGCAGCAAGCAGCACCAGCTCAAACCGGTTTTCGACCTTGTCGATGCAGTCCTCGACGGCTTTCGACGCGCCATAAACCAAAAGGTAAAATAAAAAACAGGGTAGAGTAATGTATTCGATTGGGATAGGAAAACCAAAAGGTAAAATGGGAAAACAGGGTCCCCGTAATGTTTTTGTTTGGGATATGATAAACCAAAAGGTCAAATGGGAAAACAGGGTCCGCGTAGTGCTTTTTTGGATATGATAAACCAAAAGGTAAAATTGGAAATCAGGGTCCCCGTAATGTTTTTTTGGATATGATAAACCAAAATGTAAAATGGGAAACAGGGTTCCCGTAATGTTGTTGTTTGGGATATGATAAACCAAAAGGTAAAATGGGAAAACCGGGTCCCCTTAATGCTTTTTTGGATATGATAAACCAAAAGGCAAAATGGGAAAACAGGGTCCCCGTAATGTGTTTGTTTGGGATATGATAAACCAAAAAGTAAAATGGGAAAACCGGTGCTTTTTTGGATATGATAAACCAAAAGGTAAAATGGGAAAACAGGGTCCCCGTAATGTTTTTGTTTGGGACATGATAAACCAAAAGGTAAAATGGGAAAACAGGGTCCCCGTAGTGCTTTTTTGGTTGTGATAAACCAAAAGGTAAAATTGGAAAACAGGGTCCCCGTAATGCTTTTTTTGATATGATAAACCAAAAGGTAAAATTGGAAAACAGCGTCCTCGTAATGTGTTTTTTGGATATGATAAACCAAAAGGTAAAATGGGAAAACAGGGTCCCCGTAATGTGTTTGTTTGGGATATGATAAACCAAAAAGTAAAATGGGAGAACCGGTGCTTTTTTTGGATATGATAAACCAAAAGGTAAAATGGGAAAACAGGGTCCCCGTAATGTTTTTGTTTGGGACATGATAAACCAAAAGGTAACATGGGAAAACAGGGTCCCCATAATGCTTTTTTGGATATGATAAACCAAAAGGTAAAATGGGAAAACAGGGTCCCCGTAATGCTTTTTTGGATATGATACACCAAGAGGTAAAATGGGAAAACAGGGTCCTCGTAATGTGTCTTTTTGGATATGATAAACCGAAGGGTAAAATTGGAAAACCGGGTCCCCTTAATGTTTTTGTTTCGGATAAACCAAAAGGTAAAATTGGAAAACAGGGTCCCCGTAATGCTTTTTTGGATATGATAAACCAAAAGGAACAATGGGAAAACAGGGTCCCCGTAATGTTTTTGTTTGGGATATGATAAACCAAAAGGTAAAATGGGAAAACAGTGTTCCCGTAATGTTGTTTTTTTGGGATATGATAAACCAAAAGGTAAAATGGGAAAACAGGGTCCCCGTAATGCTTTTTTGGGATATGATAAACCAAAAGATAAAATGGGAAAACAGGGTCCCCGTAATGCTTTTTTGGATATGATAAACCAACAGGTACAATGGGAAAACAGGGTCCCCGTAATGCTTTTTTGGAAATGATAAACCAAAAGGGAAAATTGTAAAACAGGGTCAGGGTCCCCGTACTGCTTTTTTGGATATGATAAACCAAAAGGTAAAATTGGAAAACAGCGTCCTCGTAATGTGTTTTTTGGATATGATAAACCAAAAGGTAAAATGGGAAAACAGGGTCCACCGTAATGTTTTTGTTTGGGATATGATAAACCAAAATGTAATATGGGAAAACAGGGTCCCCGTACTGCTTTTTTGGATATGATAAACCAAAAGGAACAATGGGAAAACAGGGTCCCCGTAATGTTTTTGTTTGGGACATGATAAACCAAAAATGGGAAAACCGGGTCCCCGTAGTGCTTTTTTGGATATCATAAACCAACAGGAAAATTGGAAAACAGGGTCCCCGTAATGTTTTTTTGGATATGATAAACCAAAAGATAAAATGGGAAAACAGGGTCCCCGTAATGCTTTTTTGGATATGATAAACCAAAAGGTACAATGGGAAAACAGGGTCCCCGTAATGCTTTTTTGGAAATGATAAACCAAAAGGGAAAATTGTAAAACAGGGTCAGGGTCCCCGTACTGCTTTTTTGTATATGATAAACCAAAAGGTACAATGGGAAAACAGGGTCCCCGTAATGCTTGTTTGGATATGATAAACCAGAAGATAAAATTGGAAAACAGGGTCCCCGTAATGTTTTTGTTTGGGATATGATAAACCAAACAGGTACAATGGGAAAACAGGGTCCCCGCAATGTTTTGTTTTTGGGATATGATAAACCAAAAGGTACAATGGGAAAACAGGGTCCCCGTATTTTTTTGGGGGGGGATATGATAAAGCAAAAGGTGAAGTGGAGCTCGAAAAAGAGGTGCGGTTAAAGAAACGGGGTCGTAGCTCAATCGAGTGGGTGGATTCCTGGTAACTCAATTCGGATTGGCCCCAACAAGTAGCCAAACTGCAAATCTACCACTGAAATGGTCTTCCCCAAAAATTTGAAGTCAAGGCAATGGGAACCATGAATGCAAATGGAAATATCAGGGTACCGAAAAGTGGCGACGGTGAGCGTTGTGTGGGATTGGGCGGTGTGAAGCCAGGGATTCTGCATGACCCCTGGCTTGAGAATGGGGGGTTTCAAGGTAAGTCAAAACAAACCGCCGCCTTTTTGGATGTTACCACTGCCTCCTTTTATCCATAGTGGAGGGTCATTCCTAAAATAGAGAACAAACTATTATCATACATGTTAAAGGGCAAAACCATATGCCCCATCACCACGCCAGTTTCACGGAAACCAGAATAGTCATGAAATCATCGGGGAAACAAGTACGACTTTGGCCTTAAAAAGAGCAACGACCAAAACCCATTGAATCTAAACCAAAGGGCAGGACCTAAAGCCAATGGCTTCATCTGGGCGTTTTGGAGAAGGTTCAGTTGGAAACAAGGGGCAAAGGTGCCGGGTGTGTTTGAAACAAAGAGCGCCGATAAGAAAAAATATTGTGAAAAGGGCACACAGAAGACTCCAGGTGGTTAGGAGTCTAAAGGGGCCCCTCTCAACGCCGATATTAAACTGGTAGCTTTGTGCTGGCTGGACTACTTACGCACAGTTCTACTCCCTAGAAGCCGCTGTGCAATGAGCTACCTGGCCAGCGTGGGCAAGGAAGATCCATGGATTCTGCATGGACCTCTGCTCTCGCTGGAGCTTGGCTTTCTAAAGCACTCAAGGGGTGATGAGTGATGACCCATCCCTACAAGCCCCAAGTCAAAAGGGAGACTTGGCCATGGTGCGTGTTTCCGCGACAAGCCCATCCAAATGGTATTGATTTCATGACTTCCACCAATCCGAAATGACATCCATATCAAGGCCTGATATGGATCCGGATGCAAAGAAAGTTTCCTCCGAAGCCCCGCAACCTGTGCTTCAGACCCGAGTCTGGAACAAAAACAAATCAACTAACTCATCCCCTAGGTGCTTTTTGGGAAAATAGAAAGACAAGCATTGCTTCCATTTGCTTCTTCGCCCCCTGCACAAAATAGGACTATTTCCACTCATGGATTACCCCCCCAAAAAAAAAACAAGGCGGAACATATATACAAAACAAAATCCTTGCAGCAAATGGACAAGAAAAATAATATGAATTTCCAGTGATGGATTCCCTTTAAAACCAACAGGGGAACAACCAACCACCATATGGCTCATGACCCCTCCAATACAGGGTCCCGGGCCCTCCAATGCAAAACCCAGACCCCTCAAGGGTCCCAAAAAAACAACCCATCTTCAAAGCCCAAAGGCTATTTGGGAGCCTTGGGGACGCTTGTCTATCTCGCACACCCCCCACCTCCCTTTGCATCCCTCCGAAAGCGTCCGGGTGCCGTCCGGCCGTTTGCGGTGGCCTGCGCCAGCTTCTCCACCGCGCCCAGCAAACCCTCCAGCGGCCTCGCCGAAACGAGGCAAGTCGCAAGCGGCAAGCACGGCGCTTGCGGGGCGAGCAGCTGGGCTTCGGCTGGTGGCCCAGGGACGCGAAGCAAAAGCAACATCAACGGCAAAACAACAAACCAAAAACACCAAACACAAACTGTTTTAGTGGCCAAAACAACATCAATACCACCATTCGGTTGCAAAGCAGTTAAACCTGAAACGTTCTAGGGGCTGATTCCTCGACCGTTCTTTTGAACCATGGTTCTTTTTAACATCCGTTTCCCCGTTTTCCTGGGTTGCTGGGGGGGTTTCTAGAAAGAAGGAGTCTTGGAAAGAATGGAAATGGAAGGTACCCCAAAAAGCGGCAGAAGTACCCTCCCACCTGCAACTTGGCCAAAATCCGACTTCCATCAGCACGCAAGCTGAAGCAAGAAAGGGAGCTATACCAATTGACATACCCTCCCAGACAACAGCCGGAACCATTCGACGTTCGGGATCCGGTGCCTTGACAAGGACAATGGTCTTCCAGGAGCCCCCCCTTCAGGTTCCGTGTTAATTGGTGGAAGGGAACCTGGACCCGCAAATTACCCCAACAAATGAAGAAATCACACCATTTTGGGGGGGCAACAAGCCGTTTGCAAGGATAGGTTGACAGGTCTAGGTAGAACAACCAACACTGCGCCAAGAAGAATGGTGCTTCATTCTCGTTTTCCTTGCGCACCGCCTTTTGTCCTTCTTCTTTAGGACACCCCTGATTCCCGATGGCCACATTCAACAGAACTTTATAGGGGGTTCTTTAGAATTACGACGCGTCCTGTCCAGGAAAGCATGCGGAAACAAAAGGCTGAAAAAGGAACCTGTGAGTCTGCCCAAAGAGGCTGTATCGCCATAGAGGCAGAGCTCGGAGCCGGCTCGGACCCATTGGGCCCTTTTCCAAGGATTTTTTAGGGGAACCATCACATTAAAAAAAAAAAAACTACGGGGGAGACCCCAGCTACAGGTTGGAACCTTAGTCGGGAGACAAAATGAACCCTTTTACTTGTATACCCCTGGTTTGGTCATCGCTCAAAGGCTCGAAGCAACGCTGCCCCAAATTATCACTTTTTATCTAGACCCCAAATCTCCCGATACTAAAGTAGATTTTGACAGTGCGGGACTAATTCTAAGCCAGCAAATGTCTAGTCGACCGAGAACCTCCAGTCGTGCTAGGGGAACGCTTAAAAACCACTACTAGGACAACAAGAAACCAATGAACGCTGTCCAATACTAAACCAATACTGAGCCCATGAATACTTCACCAACCGCACAAATCCAAGAATGACTCAAGCTTATTTTGTTTAAACACTCACAATTTTCGATTGTCGGGCCCTGAAAGGGGCAGACCCCATTTGGACAACGACTGTAGCGGAACCCCCCTACAAAAACTGTGCCCTGTTTACACATGTCCAGCGAACATGCTTACCCGGGTGCGGGGGGTGTATGTATTTTAGTGGGATTGGCTTACAAACATAAGGTGGGACCTCATGGCAGCTGGATCACTGGTTCGCTTGATCACAGCTTCACATTTCTGGCCACAGCCAAACAGGGCTGGCCGCACAAGGGAAAGGAGAGCTCACATGTCCAAAGCCAATATGAGATTAATTAATTAATTAAATAAAGCTTTGAGGGTCGGAACATCACCGTTTGATGGGTAGTTTGAGGGTCCAGGTACCTCCAAAAATCACACCCAATTAGCAGCTGACCGAGCGAGACGCTTTCCGCTTTCAGCGTATGGCCTCACCACCGCACTGGCAGCGCCCAAGGCGGTGCCCGAAGCCAGGCCGATGAGCCCGTCCTACGTCTGCCACCCTCATTACCTACCCATAGAAATGGGTGATTGTCCCAAATTGATGGGGTGATTCCCCTTGGTTCGGTCAAAATTATGGTTGGCGAATTCCCTTTAGAAGGGAGTTTGAGAGGTGCACGCATGTGCAACCCCAAATGAACCGGAAATGCCAGTGGTTCTTTAGAGACCTTGACTAAAAACGAAACAGGAGAACCCCAAAAGGGACAAAGGTCGTGGTTGGACAAATAAGTCAACTGGAGAGAAGTGGGTGCGCTCATCGACCCCTAATGCAAGCACCTTTCAACTTGAGCAGAGCGCGTGCTCTTTCCATTGAACAGACCGCTGCGCTCCAATGCCAACTACCCCTTCAAAACCGGCCAAGGCTGGGCGTGCACGACCTCCTACATGCTTTGACATCCTGAGCTGAAAATTCGAGACTCCCCCATCAAGAGAGAAAGCCTGTGTTTGCCACTCCGGCAAGAACAGTAGTGCAACTCAGGGAGCGAGCCGACGTCTTGATCCCCCCCGAACAAAAAAACGTGAGAGAGAGCCAACTGGGTCACTCCAATCCATACCGGTAACCGCTGGGCATGAGGCTCCCAGAATTCCATGAATCCATTCCCCAAGTCCCTTGCAACATTTCCCCCTACTCACAAACCCCCAGTCGCCATGGCAAGGCAAGGGCACTAGTTCCGCCACAAAAAGCTCAAGACCCCACCCCCAACCCCCCTTATTGGAGTGAGTAGAGCCCACATCCCGGCTGAAGCTTGATGTGAAGGGGAAAGTATCTGCCAAAACAGGTGCGTCACAATCAAAACCCGGTATTGAAATGGTCTACCCAGAACCATGTAAAGACTTAGCAAGGAGGCCGCACCCATTTGTGGCTGGGATTGTCCCTTACTACCCTCCAAATAAAGGGTTTTGATTGTGACTCAGGTGCAATAAAGGGAAGCAACTCTGTGTAAACGTGGGCCTTCGGTCGGATTCCTCTTGTCAGGACATTGGGCGTGGGGTCCTTTGCACTGCACAGACTCCGGAAACAAGTCAAACACTGAAATCAAGCAAAACACACAGATACAAACTGTAAGGGACCAAGGAAACAAGAAAACCAACCAACCAACCAACCAACCAACCAACCAACCAACCAACCAACCAACCAACCAACCAACCAACAAACAAACAAACAAACAAACAAACAAACAAACAAACAAACAAACAAACTACAAAAACAATCAAACACACAAGCAAGAGACAAACAAACAAACAAACAAACAAACCAGCAAGCAAGCAAGCAAGCAAGCACGCAAGCAAGCAAACAAGCAAGCAAGCAAGCAAGCAAGCAAGCACGCAAGCAGGCAAACAAACAAGCAAACAAGCAAACAAGCAAACAAGCAAACAAGCAAACAAGCAAACAAGCAAACAAGCAAACAAGCAAACACACAAACAAACAAACAAACAAACAAACAAACAAACAAACAAACACACAAAGCAAACAAACAATCAAACAATCAAAAACAATCAACAACAAACAAACAGATTGACAAACAAAACAGAACACAACAAAACAGAACAAGACAATCAATCAAAGGAGATAAATCAAAACAACGCAACACACCACACAAAGCAGTCAAGCACACAAAACAAACAAAACACACACAAACACAAACACAAAAACATAAACACAAGAACAAACACAAACCACGACTTTACCATCTTTCCACAAATTGATATCCCACTCATTTCAATCGACACTGTTTGCACACAGCAACTAAATTCCTGTATGCCAGTTTTCCGAGGATCCTCTTAATCTGTGCAGCTCGCTCTCAGCACAGCGGGTACTTTCGCATGTCACCATCACTTGTCTGACTGCCTAAGTCTAAACTTGTTGTTTTCATCTGTCGAAAGTCCAGGAACTCCAGGAGTGAGTTCTTCTACCTAGAGTGGAAAGAGGCTTGTTGGAGCAGCTCCTTGGTCGAGTTCAACTTCTGATTTTGCGCGTGGTCGCTCTGACACTTGCTAAAAGCAAAGGACTAGTGGGATAGAATCTCTTGGAGGACACCCAGTTGTATAATGGCTAAACTTCGGGATCTCCAAAATGGGGGTTTCTCAGAATAGGGGACCCCCCTTGTGGCTGGTTTCGAGAAAGAGGAAATTGTATTTTCTCAGGTTTTGGGGTATCGTGTTTTTGGACGTCCCGTATCGTTTTTTGAGAACACAAACCAAACAACATTTGCATGAAACACTCCAAAAGACACAAAGTAAATGCCGGACGTTGCCGGACATTTTGAAGCTGGCTCGTACGTCCCCTGGAGCCAGCTTGGCAAGAAGCCACAGACCCCCGGCCTCATTGGCTTGCTTGAACGGCTCCTGGAAGACTCTGACACACTCCGCGCGCACTTTGAATTTTATCGTAAGCCGACCGTCATGCACCTTTAGGGGGCTTTGGGGGGGGGGGGGCTATCTCAGGATAATTTCAGGATGAGCCAAGGACAGGCCCTTGATAAGGCTTATTCATAAGGGATAGGCCGCTATGATAGGCCCCCCTCCCGATAGCTCCCCTTCAAAATCCAAGACAACTGATGCTCTACGTAGTTACCCAAAAGGCCTGTTGAGGCATCAGGGCATACGCCAGCTCGCCGTGATCAAGACTCACAATTTACCGAGCTGGAGTAAGGATCCCCCAAGAGAGCAACCTTCGTCCTGCGTAATTGTCATTGAGTCAGCATGACGCAAGCAATCGCATCGAGCATGATGGTCAGCATACTTGGCCCAGCTTCCTCTCATGCGCAACAAGAAAGCAACACACTTACGTGAATCACAATTCATGTAGGCCGGTCACACCTGTGCCAGGCCGTCTCAAGAAACAACAGCGCCTCGGCGATTGATACGTCCTCAGTAGGGACCCTCTGGGCCTTTGTCGTTCATTTCGACACCTTGGACATACCCCGTCCCCTCCCAAACACAAATGGACCGTCCCCTCCAAAAAATCAGATTTCAAAGGGCGTACGCTCTGGCCAGAAGGTGCATCCTCAGATACGAAAGACACCCACCCTCCAAGTTGATATCCCCGGAAAAGGGCAAAATCGGCAAACCCCCGACCCCACATACCGGAAAAACCCCTCTGAGCTGCGGGATTCACATGGAAAACACCTGCAACTCCCCGCCCAAACCGCCCCAAAACGCCAAAACGCCGGCCCCGCGAAAGGGCCCGCCTTGATCACCGAGGAGATGCCCTCGGCGAGGCCCACAGCGATGGAGGCATAGCCCAGGTCCAAGCCTGCGGTTTCGCGGGCCCGGGTTTGATCCATGAGGCATCGCGACAGGGCGAGTGAGCCTGGGAAAGGGGCAAGGGATGGTTACCAGGGGGGCCTAATGAGACGAATTTTATGGTCAGGGGTTAATGGTCATTTGATCAATGAGTAGAAAGGGCTTACCATAGGGATGGTTACCAGGTCCTTGATCAAGACGAATCCCATGGCGGGGGGTCCGGGAAAAAGCGCTAAGGGATGGTTACCAGGACAAAGCTAGATGCAACCAGCGGTACAAGTGCCACTGAAAGCGCGGTTTCTCCCAGAGCATCTATAAGTAGTTGTTCTGCCCATGTGGGGCAATTTGGGTTTGCGTCCACATGGGTTTGCCTGCCATGTGGCTGCTGGTCGACATGTTGTTTCCGAAGACCCCTTGAAAGTCACAAGAACAGCATTTCTGACCGCTTGCCACTTATAGCGATTCTTCGCAGACCATCTATAAGTAGTTTTTCTGCCCGTGCGCTGCAGTTTGGGTTTGTGTCCACATGGGCTTGTCTGCCATGTGGCTGGTTGTCGACATGTTGTTTCCGAAGAAAGCACAGCACTTCTGACCGCTTGCCACGTGGGTTTGGTGTCTTCACGCTAAGTCCCCCGTCGAATCTCCCGAAGTCCCGGCGCTGAGCCCCAGCCTTCTCTCACGCTCGCGGCCTTGCGATCACCTCGGGTGGGATGCGCGCCGCGTCCATGCGGCTGGGAGAGAGAGAGAGAGGTGGGACGGTTTCCGTTTCAGCACGCTTCACTCCCTAGAAAACTCGTTCTCGGCAGGGAATGAGAAATGGAATGAACCTGAGGAGTCTCGAATCAAGGAACTCCTCAGTTGGATGGTTTCGCATTCTCTGCCTACACCGATCGCAAGAAAAGACGGGAACAAAAGGTGCAGAGTCACGAAAAACCACTGCGTATCCTAACTCCCGAGGCCGACACTGCCGATAGGCTGTCCCAGGGAACTGCCCACCGTGTCCTGGCGGAGATGCGATTCGGGGGGGTACCGAAGAAAGAAGCCATGCTTGAGGCACTTAAGTGCCAAGTCCTGGCTACCCAGGTACAGGTGTAAAGAGGCTTAAGCCAGGGTTGCTTCTATTCGCGGTTCACCTGGATCACTTGTAACGAGCTTTAATTACTGGCTACCACTTTCTGCTCCCGGCCCATTGAGTGTGGGGGAGAGGTTGGAAGACAATATAACCCTGTTTGGGAACCCCTGAAGAGGTGGCACAACGCAACGCGAGGGCCCCGCATGGGGCCCCTATTCTTGGAAAACCCCGTGACACTGGGCCCATTGCTCCGATGAGTTGGTGGAATTCCCATCCCCATCAATACTTGAACTCGCTTTACAGGCGGTGGCCCGCTTTCTGAAGGACCCGCAATAAAAAGCGTGCCTCTTCTGCGCGACATGGCTTCAAGAAAAGCCGGCTTTAAACGTTTAAGCTGCAAGTGACTGCAGGTGACATTGAAATCCGAATGATCGGTTTGCCTTTTGCACCCCTGTCACGTACTTGGACCCTCTTCTGGCCCTCAAGTAGATCAGAATTGGTACCAAGGGACCTTCTAAGAGGGTCTTTGAGGGTCCAGCAGACCTTGATGGACAACTGCTCTGGATCCTAGGGTCTGAAGAAGCAACCCCTTGACAGCTTGTCCTCAACCAAAAACTGTATGTTTGATCAAGCTGGTCTTTCCTCTCTCCATCTTTGGCTTTCCACTCCTTTGCTTCATTTCACTTCCGCTACAAAAGGAATTGCAGGGTCCATCAAAGCCATGGTCAAAATGACGAAGGCTTCCCCAAGAAAAACTAAGCAAATTAGCGAGTGTCCCAGTTTTTGTTGGGAATCTAGTGGGTTCCCATGCCAAAGAAATCAAAACAGGAAAAAACAAAAACCTTTTTGCGGAGGTCCCGATTTTGACAGATCCCCACACCGCTGTATGTGACAATGTGGGCCTCACCTTGATGCTGGTGCGCAGCAGGGAATGAGACTTGGAATGATCCCAACGACCCCGACAAAAAACCATCCATCCAACTGGTGGCTTCCTTTTGCTGAATTTCACCGGGTTCATTCCATTTGGAATTCCCTACCTATCGCACCTGCAAGATAGGTGACCTTTATAAAAATGAACCCAGTCCTTCCCCTAGGAAACCAGTGGGACGTTACTCGTTTTTCTCGGGGTCCATTTCTCATTCCCAATCGCAACTCGCCTTCAGTGAGCCGGACATCTTGGCGAAGGACTGCAGGGCACCCCCGACGATGCTCTCGGTGAGATCGGTGACGCCACCTGGGCGTCGGATCGAACCTCCGCCCAAATGGCCGGCAGAAGGTCGCCCAAATGGACCCGAGAAAAACCGGCTGAACACCGGAAATTTGGTGGGGATTCATGTGCCCTTCGACTGAGACCCAAGGAAACCGGTGGACATCGGAAATTTGGTGGGGATTCATGTGCACCAACTTTTGGGGCTCCTCATTCAAAGTGGCCACATGGGTGTGTGACGTTTGTTGAGGGCCATTCAAAGGCTTGCTACGGAACCCAACAGAAACACCGGGCATTTGGGGTCTGCCTGTTTTGAGATTATACCTAAATTGGCAGAGGCGCCAAAAAAGCAAGTCACCAAACGGAGGCTTAATTTACCAAGAAAGGCTATTCTACAAGGGAGTCTTGTCCCCGAAGGGGTGACCGACCCCTCCATGCTTAAGTTTAGGATCGGACCCTCCTTTCCGAGCACCCCTTTTTCCACGCGAAGGGATCCATCCATGCAACCTTCGCTAAAGTTGGGCGCTAGCCTCCAATAGAGGAACCTCCAACCCAACAAAGCATCATTTTGAGGAACAGAATCTCCTTGACACAAGGTACCGAAAAAGAAGACCAAAGCAGGATACCAAGGGCACTGAAACAGGGCACCAATCCCAGAGGTTCCTCGCGCCTTAAGCTTCCCTGTCAGGAGCTTGCTCTTCTGCAAATAAAACGCGGAACCACGCAAACCGTGCTTGTTTGAAACGGAATCTCCAACTCTTGCTGGTGCGATAGATAGGGAATCTGGGAATGAACCCAGGAATTCCGTCTAAGAAAACCACCAGTTGGATGGTTTATCGGAGTCATTCCTTAATCCCTACTGGGCACCAGCAAGAACTCGTGCGTGTTGAGTTCCATGTCAGTTTGCGGAGAGGCTAAGTGGGTCCCATTCTCGGCGGTGTATGTGTGGCTTCCCCGCAACCCAACGAAAAGCGCTTTCGAAGAAAGACATTGTCAAATTGTTCGTAACCCGAGTTTACGCAGTGCCGCAGGGGTCCCTATATTTGCCTGCTTGGTGGTTTTGAGCATCACCTATAGGCAACCTCCATTTGCTTAAGTCCCTTGGAAAAAAATAAACATATGTCCAGTAGTAAAATCGATTCCCTTTAAAACCAACAGGCCCAAAAAAAAACAAAAAACTATCCTTAAGCAAATGGAAGGCAATCACCCATACCCAGAGGCTCCTGGCTTCGGCTTTCAATGGAAGACAAACACCCCTCCATTAGACACGCGTCGCACAGTCATCCCTGTCAACCCGTGAAAGAGCTCAGATGGGGGGCGTCTTTTTTGAGGGTATCCCTTTGCCTTGAAATGGAAATCCAAATTGGAACACCTGAGTGTTGGGGGTCCCCTAAACAAGACACGCCCATATACGTTTTCAGGAGGTAGTTAAAAGATAAAAGGAAACCAAGGGGGCAGCAGCCAGGTTGTTGTTTCTGTTCATATTTCTGCTTCGAGCGTCACTCCACTAGAGAGAAAGATAGATAGATAGAAAGACAGATAAGAAGATAGATAGATATAACATTTGGAAAGAGACAGAGAGAGAAGAAAAAAATAGAAACATAGAAAGAAAGAAAGAAAGAAATAAAGAAAGAAAGAAAGAAAGAAAGAAAGAAAGAAAGAAAGAAAGAAAGAAAACAAACAAAGAATGAAAGAAAGAAAGAAAGAAAGAAAGAAAGAAGCATAATTACTCTCCACATTGATGTGGAACCCCAAACAAGTCATTTTGGAAGACTCCTTTGGGACGCCTGTTTAAACTTTATGAAGTTCTTGAGGTGGGTTGTGACCAGGATACTCACCTCTTCAGTGCCCTGCGTCCTTGACTTCAAGGATTTACAAAGGCTCGAAGCAGGCGCTTGGGATTATCCCCTACGATTCATTTACCGTACCAAAAAAGATGGGACGGGGATGCTCCCAAAATGGGACGTGTGTTACAAAATGTACCGGGAATCCCCATGACGCTTCAAATATCATGGTACATTGCCCTGTTTGCTAAAGGGTCATAGAGACTCCAGCTGAAATTGGCAAACGCTCTTCCTCTCAAGCGAGCTCTGCCACTTCTTGCCGAAATGGTTGGTCGACATGATTCCCCACATAATTCATTTGCACCAAAGCGTCTTGAGTTAGAACTCACAACGATACTGAGTTGCTACAAGGACTCACAACACTGGGCCAGGCATAGATCCCCTGCAGGACGTTAACCCTTTGCTGGTTGAAAGGGAAATGAAGGCATGAACATAGTAAACTAAGTCTAGCAACGCAATAGTTAGTGGGTTTGTTGGGTACTTTTGTCACAAGGAATAAATTCAAGTACTCCTCTAAGGGGTTGCTTCCCCATTCTTTTCCAGGGATCCTTCTTTCTAGAAAACCACCAAAAACCCTGAAAAAAACAGCTGGTTTTTGAAAAGAAAAAAAGATGGTCGCAAAGAATGGAACAGGAACCAACCCCTAGAACTCTGCTCGAACCCGAGCCCCTCCCTTCAATAAATCCTACCGAGATTTCTCGCCGAAGTGCTGCCCAGACCAGCGCGCTGGCCCAGCACCTGTCTGGGAGGGAAGCCAGTGGATACCAGTTGGGAGCGTGGCCAAAATCGGGGGACATGTACTCATAGTTCTTCAAAGAACCAATACGGAACCCTGTTTTCTTCCAAACACCAGGCAAGGCCCAAGCATTCACTTGCCGGAACGGATCCATACTGGGATCTCCTGCAGTATTGTGTATTGTTTTTGGTAGAGATGAATCAGAATCACAAACCATATGTGTTTTCTCATTTCACATCCTTTTTGTGCAGGTACCCAAGTGGTTTTCCACCCTGGTTTCCTGTTTTGTTCAAAGTACCCTTTTTGGGGGGTGGTTTTAGAGGGCGAAACCAGCCAAAAAACACTTCCAACCCCCGTCGATGTCCAACAAACAAGAAGGGTTCGGATTCCGGTGATGCATTTCTGTTGCCAAACTCGCCACCAGAGTGTGGATAGGCCAAAGTGTTTGAATTCTTTGCTCCGCGCCAACAAACATGCTCCCAACAAAACCTGCAGCTGGCTTGACGGCACAAACAAATCAACTGGGGCCCACTAGGACTCAACCTTGCGCATTAATAAGGAGCGTTTCCCGTCAAAGCGATGGATCCCCTCTAAAATGGCTCCTAACCAACTGGGGCAAACAAACCTGGCGTCCCATTGCCATCAAGCGTGTTTGCTTTGTCTTAAACGTGGATTTCTCTGGTGGCCTGGCTATCAGGACCCCGAATCCAATCCATGTTACCTTTGATCCTGCAGTTGCTGTTGAGTTGCCTGTGCTCTGGAGGGTTCCCAAAACCGCCGGAATTTCAACACCCCGAAACTCCCCAGAGGGGTGTCCAAGGGAGGGCTGAGGGTCTTCCTTTTGGTAGCCGCAGACCCTTCTTGGTAGCCAACTTGTTTTTTTTTTTTTTTTTCTGTACTGTTTTGTTGCCACATATTAACAAGATTCAGGTACAGTAGATGCGGGTGTTTTGAGTGTATGCGGTTTCTGGCCGTATTTGTTCAAGGGAGAAATCAACAAGCTCATCCGTTTGTTGGCGGGAAAATCATTTGGAGGCAATCTGAACATCCCTGGCTTGCTCAGCTTCCGAGGACTGTCATGACTGCCCACTGAACAAATGGCCTGAGCATGTTCTGGCATCCTTTCTTGGCAATGCTGTGGATGGACAAAATCCGCTTCGAACCACTTGGTGCGTAGCGTATCCCATCATCTAACGGGTTTCACTTATCCCGACTGGTGCAAAGCTGACTGTGTCCATCAGCACCTTGCCAACAAATTCAGCGAAGCTGGGGCGAACACACTTCTGAACCACAAAATGGCAGTGAACGTGAGAACCAAAGAAGCAAAGCAACTCACGAAGAGGACGGCCGGCGAACGCAGTGAAGCCCACGAAAATTTCAGCCCGATGCCAGGTTCATGTGGCCCTCTTCATTTGGGAGCCCCGATTCAGAGATCAGTGGTTTACTTGCGTGCCAACATGGCAGTAACACTTTGAACCTATAAACACATGAGTTCAAGCAAGATGCCAGTATCTGTCAACTCCCGGGGGCGCATGAGAATTTGTTCCCCTTTGGCTGCCCTTTAAAAGAACCCCAAACTGACAATTGTGCTAAATAGGGAGTCTGGAAAATCATGAACGTACTTTGGCTTCCTTTCAGAACAAATTGAAGGTCACTGGCTATTTGAACCTCGGAACCTGTGTCTGTTGCCCGCCCGAAGCACGTTGCCTCTTGCTTGGTCTTGCTGAAGAAGGACATCACCCCGCTGCCGATCTCGTCCATCCTGAAAGATCACAGAAACGCATTGGTGTGCTGCGGTGGAGGGTGCCCTTTTCCTAACTGCAGACATACGCTTCCTTTTGGCTTGAATCACAAGCACCTCGACAGGTTTGCCCTGCAAGTTCAAAGCGCGCAAAGGGGGGTGGGTTCCGTACTGATCTGGGGAGTACACTCCTGCAAACTGACAAGGCACCTCAAACCGCTCGAGCAACCCGTGAGAAATGGGTGCGCCAAGAGGAGATGACCGGGAGTTTCTCCCAGGTAGCGAAAGGAATCTGTTGACCAGTCAACTTCAGTCTCTTAGGTTGTCGTTTCAAGGCCGAAGAAGCACTAAGGGCTGGAAAAAGATAGGAGTCATGGTCAATATTTATTGTTTTCTCCCAATGACGGTGGATTTGGTGAGCAATCGCCTTCTGCTGGTGCAATTCAAGCATTGGCCGGTGAAAAGCAAGTCGTGTCACCATCATGAGAAACCACTTGGATGTTCAATCTACTAAGTAGATTGGAAACCCGTGTTGTATTGTCGTGCTGCTGCAACAACCCCCTGTTGACCCACTTGTAACCTTGGCCATGACCTGCGTATCAAGCAGTCTGAACATCCAAGCTTGTTTCTTGGTTCCAACTCTACACTCCATGTTCTCGTTTTCGGACGGTCTAAACATCACCGGTTGGAGTTATTCTATTTTTTTTCGGGGAAAAGCTGGTACCCCCTCACCAAATGAAAGCTGACCGAAAGCTCCCGGGTTTGGATCATTTTCCCTTAACAAGCGGGTTCTCCGCAGATCAGCAAGGGTTTTGAGAATAAACTGTTTGGGGGTCCCCGTTGAACGAACGAAATGATTTATAGTGATTCCAACTCATAAACAGCAAGACTAGGCAGCAATTGCTTGAAGGGAGCCCCCTTGCAACCAACTACTTTCAAAGGTAAACCCCCAAAACGTGTGGGTTTGTCTGAATCCAGCTTGCTGGTGCTCAGAAGCCAATGAGAAATGCAGTGACCCCGAGAAACCCATCCCACTGCTGGTTTCCTCTTTTCGGGGACCCCTTTTTCATTTCCTACCGGTGCGGCAAAATTCCAAATGCTTCTTCCCAAACTTGAACGGACATATGGCTCCCCAAAATGGAAACCGGTCTTCCTTTGGTTTCCCCTTTAAACCGCTCCAAAAATGGGATCCCTCCCCAAAAAGGGCCGGCCGGCCGCGGAAAAAAACGCCGCCCCGTCCCCAGGTCTTCCCTCGCAGCCCGTCTCAGGCGGCGGCAGGTTGGCCGGATCGCCCAGCAGCTGCAGCGAGCCGAGGAGCCGGGCCTCGAGATGAAAAAAACGCCGTGCCGCTGTCCTTCGACAGGAGCCGCAACAGGGTGGGGAATGACACCTGGAGTCTCCCTAAGGACCCTCAAAAAATGGTTGGTCATTACCCAAAGTAATGGTTGGTCATGCACCCATGTTTAAAGGGTCATGGCAGGGTTGTGGGGAATGACTTCTCTGATACAGAAAGGGCAAGCCCCAAAGACTCTTTTGTTCTAAGGGGGATTTGTTTGTATCACAGAAGTGGGGAGAAACCCCGAGCGATCCCACAAGCCTGGGTTGCAACGACTCAAAACCGGGAGTTCCTGGAAATGGGTTTTCCTTTTAACATCACCAAGAACGGGGGGGTTCCTTTAGCATCACCAAAAACCGGGGGGGGGGGGTCCCTTTAGGTTACAACGACCCAAAACCAGGGGGGCGTTCCTGTAAAACTGCAACAACCAGGCAGGGGGGGTTCCTTAAAAATCACCAAACACTGGAGGGGGGGGGGTGTCCTTTGACATCAACAATGGGTTTTCCTTCAACACTATTAATTAGTGGGTGTTCCATTACAACACCCCAACACCAGGGTGTGTTCCTTTAAAACTACAAAAAACATAACACCAAGAAAACAGGAGGGGGTTCCCGTACAACAACACAAAACCAGAAAGTGTTCCTTTCAAACTACGAAACAAAGGGGGTGCTCCTTTAAAGCCCAGCAGGGTTCCCGAGGGCCCTTTTTGGCATTTCACGGGAAACCAGGAAACCGCTACGCCAGTTTAGGGAACCGATTCCTATGTGTGAGAAGTACAAGGGCACCAAGAGTGTTTGAACAAAACCTTGACATGCCGAGCCTCGGCGGAAAATGAGTGTCGCACCCACCGCCCCCTGTCCCGCAAGTCCATGTTTCTGGTCTTCCGGGGCAATGACACCTAAGGAATTTGAGGGGACAGACACACATCCCTTTGCCCGGGAGGCAACCTGCTAGATTTGCGGACCCCCCCCCCTTTTATACCAACACCATCCCTTTCTTTTTGGCTCACTTCCATGGATTTTTGGGCCCAAGCTGCTGTTTTACCAAAAGTTTCATGTCCAGAAGCTTCGACACCTCGCTTCCCGCTTCGGTTTGGTTTGGTTGGAGGTGGTCCGTCCCTTGACCCTCCCACCTGTTCGACAAGAACGCGAAACGGTTTTGTGGGATGTATTTCGCAAAAAATCAGAGCGTCCGGACCAACTTGTTCCGACCTACCCTTTGGTAACATGCCGCGAGGATTCAAACAAAAACACAACAGGACATACCTTGACCTTGAAGTGGGGAGCCATTGGAGGAACCAAGCATACAGAATCCATCACAAGCCGTCTCATTGCTGCTCGTGTGGTTCATAAGATCATATCGGTTGTCTATTTGCAAACCACTTCGAGCAGAATTAAGCCGGGGCCATAGATTGAAGCAAAAGCACCATTTGGACACAGATTTAGGACACAGCCAGAACAGTTGAGTAGTTGGGTATGCGGGTCGCTTGCAAGGCTACAAAACCAAAGAAAGGATGGGAACCCTTTGCCTTCCATGAGGTTTCGCCGAGAGATCAAGTGAGAAAATCAAAGCTGAAAAGGTTCGCATAAGCCCGTCTTCCTGTGAGGTTGGAGGCCTCTGCTTCACTCTGTTGCCTCAACATCCCCAGACAAGCGGCCTAAGCGCGTCTGCAGCTTGGGCTTCGGGCGGATTGCTGAAGAAGCTGTTGGATGTAGTGCCTAGGCATCTGAAGCGCCACATCGCGGATTCCCACGAAAAGCACACGTACCCGGCCGTTTGGTTGCTGGTTCCAAAGGGACACATACCAACAAATGCAAAAAACGGGTTTGCCAATGGACAAGCGGCGGTTCCTGGAACATATCCTTGACCTTAGATGGCCCTTGGTTCCTCATGATGGCTGCACCCTCATGATGGTTGCCTCGGGCTCCTGTTAAGGCAACCCCAAGCGCGTCCGTACCAACCCCAAGCCAAATCGTCCAGCCCCTTAAAGCGAACCCCACAAACCGAAGCGCGTGCGCGCAGAATCAAACGTACACAACACGCACACCTGTGCATGTTCGCCAAGACCAGGAGATGTACCGAAGATTCCAAAATCTGGGCAACCAACACATAACGCTTGGCTGCTTATCAATGCCCTTCATGCAAACAAATCTAGGGCAAACATGTGGCAACTTCCACCCTGTCCTTTAGTCAGTTAACAACATGTCAGGTTTCCAAGTTTTGAACGCCCGACTGGGCGCGGACTCACGGGCTGCTTCATGGCCACGCGCCTAGGCCCGAGCCCTACCATCTTAAAGGTACTGCACCCATATAGTATTTTTTGCACGAAGCATAGACCGCGCTGGTGCGCAGTTCTCCTTGTCCTCATGGAGTTTCTCCACGGATCGTTGAACATGTCCAATGTCTCTTCAAGCAGCCGGAATGACATGAGGCACGTCAATCTCCTCCGGCTTACCGGGGGCGCCGAGGATCGGGTACGTACCCGCACTGACCGGGCTGGTTGAGTGCCCACTCTTGAGCCTGATCGCGTCGTGCAGGATGTCATTGAGCTCAAATGACGTGCCCCAGTTGTGCAGCACCTTCAGGCTCTCACCGATCTCGTTATTCTTCCATGAGGTGCCGAAGAAGCGGGCTGGATTCACAGCGCGAGGACAAAAATATCGGAAAAACTGTTTGTGAAAGAATTAAATTTTGAATCTTCAGTCTAGTGGCAAAATACATTTGAGGTTTTAGAGCAACTTGAAAGCTTGTTTGGACTGAGCAGGGTTCAGGATTTTCAGAAAAAATGTATGTGTAATGTTTAATCTTGAATCTTCAAACCAGTGGTAAAGCACTTTCACGCGTTTATAAGAACTTGAATGTTGTGTGGGTTTGGCCAGCATTGACGATCCTCAGGAAGTGCTCTTTGTAATCTTCAACCGTGAATCTTCAATCCAGTGTAAAATGCTTTCAAGTGCTCAGCGATCCAGTGAAACAGCTTGCAAGCACAAACTTTCAAGTGCTTTTGTTGAGCTTTTTGCTTCAGGTAAGCTATGCTCATGTTGACCCTTTTCCCAGAAGGTAAACAAAGGTAGGTGTAATGCTCACAACACTGTATTTTGCAGTCTTTCTTTCTGTTGTTTGAAGAGGCGCAGGATCATGAGGGGTACTTCTTGTGTGTATGTATGCATACATATATATATATATATGTATGCATACATATATATATATATATATGTACATATGCATGTTCACACACCATCACCCCCCCCCCCCCGAACTACCTGTCCACATCTGCTCATCTACTACCTCCGACTTTGGAGATGGAATGAATTATGATTTCCAGTCCAAATATGACTTTAAATACAACTGATTTACCCAGAATCCTCGTTTCGAGATAGTTTTGGAATTTGAACCTCTAATACTCTGAAATTTCGATTTTGGAAGACCGTCTAACAAGTTTAATTTCGGACCTTTCTTATGCTACAAAAGGGCCACAATGCAAATAACACAAATCCTATTTTGAATTTCCGTGAAGAACTCCCTTACATGTTTAGCCATACTTAATGTGATGTATCGTAATATATTTAATCTAAGATGAAACTACATGTGAGAATCAACTCCAACCTAAAATGCATTCTTAAAGATTAGCTGAATTTTGCCCGACATTGTATTTGCATTATCGTTTCACTCCTAGTTGGAAAGGAGTTGCTTATGTAAATTCTAAATGAACCTAAAACAATTGTGGACACCTACATGTCCTTGCTAAATTCTATGCACAATTCCAAATTGATTGGAAGTAACATCCTATTGGGAAAGGATATCAATTGGGACCTTTCAGAGGAAGGACTCCGGGCTCCAAATTGTGAGGCTTTATGGGCCCAAAATTGGAAATTTCGAGGATCAATATCTCAGACTCCAGATTTATAATTCCCACAAGGCACTAAAACCAGGGTGCATAAAGGGGAGGGCGGGGCGGATGTCTGCATATATATATATATAAATGCACATAATATACATATATATATATATATATACCCTCAACGTGGAACCTGGCAGGGGGGTCTTGCAAGACCATGTTCCTTTTAAAGTGACCCCCTGTCAGGTTCCATGTTACATGGTGGGAGGGTATACCTTTAAAAATGAATGTATATATATATATAGAAATATATATATATATATATTTCTGAAACAATCTTGGAGGAAAGACCCCAGACACGAGCACATCCCGCCAGAAGTAGCTTCAGGTGCGGCCTCAACTCCCCCCTCGCGCGGCCCCCACGCGCGAAAAAGGCGGCGCCTGGTCACCGCTGACTGCAGCACCGGAAGGGCGGCAGAGGCGTCCGAGATGAGCAAGGGGCTGAACCTTTCACAGGGCGTCCGTGTTACACAACCTACACAACCCAAACGGCATGGGCTTGCAAAAAACTGACCGTTTGTTGCAGCCCCCCGCTAAAAATGCAGAAAAAGAACAACAACTTGCCAAGAACACCATACTGTGGATGGAAAAGGCGAAATCCAGAAATCGCACCCTTCAGAAATCCTGATTTCTGCTTCGATTCCCGGACGTAAATACCAACAGTGGTTTTGCATGTTTAGGATCTTGTCCATCCGGAGATTTCCCTTCTCCACATCGCCCCACAAGGAAACTCAAATTAGATAAGTTGCACAAAAGGTGATGTCAAAAGCGAAAATCTAGCGAACCCTTTTGGCACACCAATTCTTAGGCAGTACCAATTATTAAGCACTTCACCCTCAAGCCGTATAGGGGCTTATCACGGATACCGTTGTTCAACCAGGTCTATTGGGGTGGAGACTGGTCTGCCCTGCGTGATGAATCAACATGGTTAATCCTGCCGGTAGTCATAAACCCTCGGCATTGCGGGGTCGGCAGCATTCAGGCGTCTGCCTCTGCAATACAATACGTACATGAATTGCCTTTCCCTGGGGAACAAACTACTGGTAGACCTGCGAGTAACAGGGTGTCCTGGGTCAGCATTATCATTAGCAGACCCGCTTGCTGCAAACAATTAATGGGGGTTTTGTATGTCCAAACTAAAAGGCATCACCAAAGCGGAACCCATTTCTCGTTGGTCCCACCAGGTGCTTTCAGCAGCCAAGAGAGAATCGGATCGGCCCAAGAAAATCAGCGCAACCCCCCAACCACAGATCCAATAGGGAACGGCCAACCCAAAACCGATACCCAAAGCCGAAACCTATGTAAACTGATGGGAGATTGTCCACCCAAAACCGATGCCCTGAAAAGATAGCACATAGAAATCGGATGCACATTCCTTGGAGTCTTGGAGTGGGTTGTTCTTTTTTTTGCTCAGGGATCCCTAAGGGACCTTCATGGGTCCAGCCTCGATCAGTGAGCTCGTTGTTTCGCCATTTCAGTAGGAAGATGCCTACCGCTTGGTAAGCAAAGCAAACCTCTTGGGGTGCGTGCCATCGGCTTGCATATGCTTAAATCTGGCTGAGGTTGAGGATTCGCTGCATAGCTGCCAAGGTTTTTATTTGAGGTGGTTGAACCTCTCATTTTGGTTTTTGACCGGTGTGGAAATGGCGTTGGAGTGTCGGTGGAATTCCGTTTGAAAGGACGGCAGGAATTCGGCAAAGGCGAATTCCACTGAGATTTTTCGCACTTCTTGAGTCGATCACCCCGGAACTAACCTCTCCAAACCAGCTTTTTGGTGCGGATGAGTTGGGCCAGGGGGGTTTTAGTACTCCTGTGAGTGTGTTCTCGAATGAAGGACCCCCCCCAATTCAGACATGGCCAGTTTGTTTTTGGTGTGCATCAGGTAAACGGCCGAGCCGAAGGCAAAAAGGGTCGCAAACTTACGTCCTGAGTGGATTGGCCAAACTTGTTGTTTACCACTAAGATGGTCTTACCCAACAGTTTAAAGCCAGGAACTCAGGGAGCGAGAGTATTTGCAGTTGACTCGGTCCTCCAGTAGAGAGGATAGAATAAGGGTACCAGCTTTTTTCTGTAGTCTATTTTAGTGGGGGAAACCTGGGGGACCTAGTTGAGCTTTTTGGCACTTTCGCAAACCCCCAACCTCCAACTCCCGGCTAAGTTGCTAAACCCCTTCTCCGCGCCTGAAGCGCGGCGCAACGTCTGCGAAGCTGGCACCCAGACCTAAAGGTCTTTCCGGGTCGCACCGGTTCGGTCCGTAAGCTGCTTGTGAGACCTCTATTTAGGGCATTTGCAGCATGTTGCGCTGAAGAAGGTTGCTGAAATGAAATCCTCTATGCAAATTAACGGAAGGAACCCAAAACGGGGTCACCCAAAAGAAGCTTCCTCTAGGAATGATGGTTTTGCGAGTTCCGCGGCAATCTGCAGGAGGGTGAACTTCGGGGTTGATCCTTGATTCTCCGCACTGATCCTGCTGTTCAAACAACTATATTGTCCCGCTTTGGTCTGTGAAGGTGAGTCAAAAGCGGGGTGCCTCCAAATGGTCGCGAACAGTTCTTCCAAAACATGGCCCTTGCATTGATATGTTCATGTATACATAACATTATATATATATATACATATATGCGTATATGTATATATATATATATAGAGACACCTGTCTATATATACACACCTGTCTACACACCTGTGTGTGCGTGTGTGTGTGTGTTACCTCTGAGCCCGCCACATTTCAGCTACACATCAGACAGATGTGGGTACCCTTAAAAATGGGGTTTTGCTCGAAACGGTGAGGATTTCCCATTCATAAGTGTTTACAGTGGATAGCGCGGCAGCCACCCAAAAAGGTGAGTCCATCCCTTTAGCTGGATAATCTGGAGCAACTTGGCCAGCATCGACAACGTCAGTTCCTACAAGCCCCGGACAACATGGCCACCGTGACTCAAGTGCGCTAATTGTATGCCTAGTCTACAGTAGGACCAGTGTTCAATCTGGAATCCAACCTGCTTCGTCGAGGCGACGTCACCTCCCCCCATTCATGTATATATATATATATATGTATATATTGGAAGCGTGTGTTTTCACCTGCCCAAGAGGTCTGTTCCATAAAGAAACCAGGTGTTGCATCCGGAATGCAACTCGATGGAAACCGATGGAGGCTTCATCTCGACATGCAAGATGTGTTCCCAACCCCAGCTTTAAACATGCACCGGGGCAAGTCTTGCTGGTGCTCAATGAGGGAATGAGTCCTATAAACCAGCCCTTGTGGTTTCCTTTTCCTCTTCCGGTTCAGCAGTCAACTGGTTGAACCATTGCCTTCGTTTCAACAACGTCCTTGAGGTTTGCCTCTCTCTCTCTCTCTCTCTCTCTCTTTATACAAGGAAGATCATCGGTTGGTTGTTTAAACTCATGTTGCCCAACCCGGATGACCACACTGCTGCTTCAAGCAGTACGGAGGGGAAAGGTGACTTTCAACAGGGCTATGTGAAATGTCCACTTCTGTGACCAGAGGGTCCACGTACCTCCTAAGGATGGCTTTTGAAAGGTAACAAGGGGTCTATAACAATACCTCCTTAGAAGGTACTTGGACCTTTTGGGTGGTATGAAGAAAGTGGGAAGAGCCCTATAGAAGCCCCCACCCCCCCCCCCCCTAATGGCGTCACGCCGCCCGCTTCAAAGCCTTCCGGGCTTTCGGGCGGGCGAAGAACTCGATGATGGGCTGCAGCGCCCCGAAGCGAGAGAACTGCTTCCTGGCGGAGACTCCGCCCGAGCCGAGAGGAGATTCCATGGGAGTTGCGTCCGGACGTTAAGGTTGACCTGATCGGAACACACTCTATTTGGTAAAAAAATCCAATGAAGGGCTTTCCCTCCCTTGACTTGACCCCCTGCCCCTCCACCCGGCTTGGGCCAACTCCTTCGTTTAAGCCGTGGATTCAACCCCTGTCATTTCAGCAACATTCATGTTCGTTTCTAAGTTGATTGCCCCCCCACAAAACGTTCGAACTTGTTGTTTGCCACCAAAACTTGTCTCCTGTTCTTCCCGAAAAAGTCTCCAGTCCAGGACTCTGGGAGTGAGGCTTCCCACTTCCGAGTCGAACGTCGCACGAGGGATGAGTCGTGCGGGATCTGACGATCTGACGGGTTCAACCTCCCGAACTGTGCCATCCACTTTCGCACGAGTTGAGCAACATGGACCCCCAAACGCCATCCCTTGCGTTTTAGGCCCTGGACTGGCCATGGCGAAATGACTCCATCCTCCCACCAACTCACAGGAATTGCCTTTTTAAGTAACCCGTCTGACAGGCGTCCCTTGCCCGAATCCTTTGGAACAACATTGGCATTCCCATTTGTTTTGAGCCCCTTGGGTGTGGTTTCGAAGGGCGCCCCAAAGAAAGCCATTGCCAATTTTTGCTGGGTGCGCCAGTGGAACCAGGGTGTCAAAGGATACCTTCTTCCAGGTTTTTACGGTTCCACCAAACAATTACCCTATATTTGTGTATACATACATACAAATGTGTGTCAAAATCGACACCCCCCCCCAAAAAAAAAAAATGGGAAAACATGGTTGACCATAATCATTCTACCTGTACAAATCCCGAAAAATGGAATTACCCACAAAAAACACACGAGCACACGCGCACATGCACACTCAAACGCACAGCCGAATTCACACCCACCCACCAACCTACCCACCCACCTACCCACCCACCGCGCCCCGCCCCGTCCCGCCCCGCACTCAACCCCACCCACCCACCCACCCACACACCCACGCACACACCCACACGCATGCACACACGCATGCACACAATCCTCATCACATCAGCCTTCCAGACCTCCAAGCTTCCAGACGGCTGTCTTGGGTAGTTGGTGGTAGAAAAAGCCTGTGAAACATGAGACACTCAAGTGGGTGTGTCTTCAAAACAGCAACCCCCCGGCCCCCCTGTGGATTTTCCGTTCTCCCCGTGGTTTCCGAAAAAAAAGAAGAAGAAAAAAACCACCCCATAAGCCCCTAAGGAAATCCTTTCAAGAGAAACCCAGGGCGCAGGTCTGGCGCCGGCCGCCTGAGCTGCAAGGCCATTTCGGAGCCGCCGTCTTCCTGGTCCTAGCGCCAATGAGTGGCTCGAATTGTTTGATGTATATAAGGGGTTGTGGGGTGGTGGGCTTTAGGATTTGAGTGGGGTTGTGGGTTTCTTGTGGGGTTGTGGGTTTTATGAGTGGGGTTGTGGGTTTCTTGTGGGGTTGTGCATAATTGGAGTGGGGTTGTGGGTTTCTTCAGAACCAAGCTGAGTCGTGATTATAGGGGCAAAATATTAGCGGCCATTCTGCACCTTTTGTTAGACTGCTTAGAGATTGGGGGGGAGGGGCGGAAAAGGTCGGAAACTGGTGATGTCCAAGTCCCTGCTTGGTTACCTACTGACCCTGTGGGTCAAAACCCTGGTAATCCGCTACCCCCCACATTCCCTCAAGCGGGGGGAGGCTAGTTACCCAACAAAGGGTAGAGATCCCCCTAGTCCACAGTCCGTAGATAACACCTAGGAAGCCAGCCTCAAAACACAAAGAAGTTCGCCAAACACCTAGCAAGCACCACGGTCTCGGCTAAACCTCCCCTAGAATTGATTCCTGCAGCAGGTTTCTTGGAAAGAAGGCAAACCACTATCATTTCCCCCAACCCATGCGTTCCACACGGATTGCTGCGGCATTTCGCCCTGCACGGGGTTTAGGGACCAAAGACTGGCCCGCAGCAATCTGCACTTCGGCGAATTGAACAACTAAAAAACTCAATTCCCGCAGAGAGTTCACTGTCCGCTGCTGAGTGTCTAAGCTGGGGTACAAGGGACCGGCTGCGCAGAAATTTGCACTTGCGGCTGACCCGTCCCGAGGGGCGTTGGGGCAGATACTAGGATTAAGGATTTAAATTTGAAAAACCAAACTCTTTGATTCCTAAGGTACCAAACTCCTTCCCTAGTCAGTAATCCAAGATTTGTGTTCCAGCTGCCGGCTGGCAAATCGACTTCGAGCCGATTTCGCTAACAACTTTTGCTAAATCTAAGTTTACAGTGTAAAGATGAAGCCCTCAACCCCATAACGCCCATGAAGGATCCCTACCATTCAGAAACAAAAAGTCAACCCCCATCAAAAGACTTTCCATTGACCACATTTCGACGATGAAGCACCTTAGGTCAACAATGGTGAAATATGAACCCACCCATGTGGTAACTGAACGCAGGTGGAACCGCACGCCGGCGCCGCGAGGACCGCGAGGACTCGGCTCCCGATGTCCTCCTTCACGTCGCCTCTGCGCTTCGTGAGCTTCACCTCCTAGGCCGAAGCATGAATAAATCCATCGCACTCGCCGGCCAAAGTTTGCCGAGGAAGCCACTGGGTAAAACCTGGGGGTTGATCCAAAGGCGCGATATACATATATATATATATATACATATATATATATATTTGTATGGGTGTATATAACATGTATAACAAAGTGTATATTCTATATTGTATATACATATATAAGGTGTATATCAAAAAATACACACGACGATGGGTAAAACCTGGGGGTTGATGCTGGGGGGCCGGGAAACCAAAATTAAAGGAAACCACAAGGGATGGTTTGCAAAGGTCATTCCCTCATTTAGAGGTACTTAGATGGTCTGGGACGAATCGCTGAACGGCTAGAAAGCCTAGTAGGGGTTACCACCATAAATGGGTTACATGGTTACTAGAAGTAGCCCCATTAAAGCGCTCGGTTTCCTTGAAAATTCCTAGCCGATACTTGAAACCCAAGAATCTGCCCTGGCACCCACACAACTACACAGTTTTTCCACCCCGGAACCAACCCTATTAAAGCCCGCCTCCCCCAAAGCCCCTGCTACATCATATGTTTTAGTTTTCATTTTAACTTGCCCAACTTTTGCACATGCAGCAGCACCCCCCCCCATTGCTGCAAGAGAGGGGAGTGGTGAAGGCTTCAGCCCACAAGGTTCCCTGACCTGACCTTTCTTACAAGGTTCCCTCACCTGACCTTCCCACAAGCTTCCCTGACCTGACCTTCTCACAAGGTTCCCTCACCTGACCTTCCCACAAGGTTCCCACAAATTTCCCTGACCTGACTTTTCCACAAGCTACCTTCCCACATTCTGCTTCCATGGTCTTTCAACAAGCCCCCCCTCCTATTGCTTTAAAACCATTCAAGAGGAAGGTGCCCTCTTCTCACATAATTCCCTGAGCTGACCGTCCTGCAAGGTTGACCTTCCCACAAGGTTCCCTGACCTGACCTTCCCACAAGGTCCCGCTTCTCATTATTGTGGGGGGGCCCTCAAAAAATGACAGACCATGACAGACCTGAAGACCTGACCTTGTGACCTCGAGGCATGGGGAGGCAAAGGGGCTTATTAATCCGCAATATGCATCATCTAACTCCCAGACCATCCAAGTAACATTCCCCTCAGGGCTCTACCTTCGCCGTCGAATATGCAGGCGACACACCTTCTTCAGGGGCACGGGAACACGTTTTCAGGGGTACGGAATGGGGGGGGAGGGGAGGGGGGGGGGGGTGTTGCGTTCTTTGTTGTCTTGCACACGCTCAGGACTCGGGCGCGGCATCCCGGGGGTGGGGTCGGGGTCGGGAGGGGGGGGAGGGTGGTTGCGTTCTCGGCTGTCTTGCACATACACAGTTCTGGGGCACGGCGTCGGTGGGGGTGGGTTGGGGTTGGGGGTGCGGGGGGGGGGGGGGGTGGTTTTGTGTTGGGTCGTTACGCACACACGGATGAGTTGAAACCGTACGAAACCTTAGATAGTCTTTGCTGCAGACATGAGCCTCAAGTAACCACCTGATCTACAAATACTTTGGGATAGGTCTTCGCACGACGTCATATTCAAGCACCATGCGACACGTTCTTGAATTTTGTGCGTGACGTTACATGTGACCCAAGCCGTGGCCCTATTCCATTTGACATTTTGGCAACTTGTCTTCCCGTGCGTCAGTCTTCGTGGCAACAAGCGTTTGCAAGACAGAGAGGACCTGCACATATATCTTAGCTGCCGCTTTCTTTGCATTTGCTAGACTGCTTGACTCGGACGCTTCAAATGAGGTGGAATGTGCAAGAAGACAAGTGATGGAAGATAACAATGATGTGCCTGAGCTTCGAGTTGCTGTCAGGAGCCGGGGAGCGGGCAGGGCTCGGTCTACTTTCGTCGCCGGCCAAAGAATGGACTTTGGTCGGCGAACGTAGAGCCCTGATCGTAACATTCCTGGTCACCTATAGCGGCTTGCTTGGAAACGCTGACATCTTTGATTCTCCACAAGTCAATCGAATGTCAAAGCAGTTCACCAGACAAGAGATGGGGAATCCAGTGGAGAACGGCGCGAAAAAAGCAGAAAACAAAACTCCACGCTTGAAACACCTCTTCCAATGCTTGGCCGACCTAGAAGCCGGAACCACTTTTCAGAGAAGATTGCCAGTCGACGTGCTTGTGGAGGGTGCCCTTCTGAGTGGTTTAAAGGGAAGCCAAGAGGAAGACTTCGTCGCCAGTTGTAGGGGTCTTGATAGCCATATGGTAGCAGGACAATCCTGAAAGCCCATAGGCCTTCGCAACTCCCATCGAATGCCCGGGGCCTCGGGCCAAGTTCAGCCACACCGCCTGCGCCTGGAGCAAGCCCAGGGAGCAGGTCCTAAGGCGAGTGCCGAGCGCCGGGCGCCGAGCGCCAAGCAAGCGCGCCGAGCACGGAGACCGTAGGACCCCAGGGGGTGGGAGTTTTTTTTTTTTAATCTTTTTTTTTTTTTTTGGGGGGGGGGGGGGCGGTTCCCTTGGCTTCCCACGTACGGAGTGGTCTCCCTGGTGTTTTTTTCCTGTAAAACGGTGATCCCTTGGTTTCCGATTTGGCACCCTCCAATGGGCTGGTTTTCATGGCGCTTTCTTCTCTAAAGCGGTGGGGTAGCTTGGGCTTCCCTGCACAACCCTCCAACCGTTGTGATGGTTTTCCCCCGAACACGCTCTGGCTCTGGGGGCTCAACAAGACCCTTTGCGGGGTTCGACAAGGGTTGATTCTGAGGAGATGTCTAGGCTGCGTGGCATGCTATGGCACCTTGGAAGTCCATAAAGTAAGCAAAGCGCACAACCTCGTCTCGTCTGAGAACTCTGCCCGAAGCGAGGCTAATACTCGAAGATCACCTGACGTGAAATACAGGTTTTCCTAAGTCATCCTGAATCATGGGAGCTGGCGTTCCACATCTTGTGGCACGGCAATGATTCATCATGAGGTGTACGCGGAGAGAACGCAAATCCAATCTGCTCACAAGTCTGACAAAGCTTGCAACAACTTCCTTCAGAGACTGCCAACCCCCCCAAGAAAACCCAACGCTTGGTGGTTTGATGAACTGTTCGGCTCACTTCCTACATGGGTCCGCAGGTATTTGCCACAAAGGCCTTCCCATAAGGCATTGTCCCGGAACTCAGACAAGTAAGTGCAGGGTCATTTTGGCGAATGGGGCCAAAACTTGACCAAAACATGGGTTTGGCCCCATCCATTGGGTACTTTCCATTTAGTTTAAATGGACTGAAATAGGTTTGTCTCAAGGTGGACTGATTTGGGTGGGTTCCAACTAGTTTCCCTTGTAAACAACCACCAAAAAGGATGCCAACTCCAGAAAGACATAGCATACCCAACCCTACAACTTAGGATCCAGGTCGACTTGCGAGCGCTGGGCGTCCCAACAGCTCTCCACCTGTTGGGGTGCGAAACCCGGTCATCAGCACCTGGGCGTCTGACGTCTCGCGGGTTTTCCTGGGTCAAACCACTTGAAGAGGGGTGGCAAGCCAGCAATCCTAAGTTTGTCAGAAGGGTCCATGATTGGCCCGATTGGGCTTTTTGAGACCCCAGTAGGCGCTAATAGGCCCTATTGAGATTGGATCACATGGTTTCCCATCATTTAAAACCGCGTTCTTATCATGTATAGGTGGATCAATGCCTTGGTTGCAAGACCACAGCGAGACTGTAAGCGGTGTTCATCTTGAGTCACATGAAGATAAATCTGCCAAAGCGCCCATAACTGCCCGTGCCTCGAAAAGGACATACGTAATGGGTCAGCAGATGTGCTCCCATGCAGTATGGACTGTGTTAAAAGCCAATGGAGCCAGTTGGGGGTTCAGCCACGCAGCAAGCCGCCTTAACACAACTTGGAGTACCCCTTTGAGGTGAAAAGGGAACCAAAGGGAAACCACCATTTTTTGGGGGGGATTCCCTATGTGATGCCAGCCCAACTAGCCCCAGCCTCTGCAAAGACAACCCCAGGTGTCGAGAAGCCTCAGGGCACACCACACATATGTTCGGATTGTGTTTGATTGCAACCTTGATATATCCCTCCATTTGCTGAAGTCACCTGGAAAACACACATATGTCCAGTAGCGATAGATTACCTTTACGCTTTAAACCCAACAGGGGTACAAAAATTATATGCTTCATCAAATGGAAGAATTAAGGAGGTCCCAGAATGGGGTCGATCAAATGAGCCAACATGAGCCAAACAGGGGCAATGGGCATCTCGCTTTCTAGCCCATGAGACCCTTTAGGGTCTTGGAGACTGCTGCTGGTGACAAATTCGGGGCAACCAACCAACGAGAGGCGCGCTGCTCGAAACGGTGTTGCACTCGGGGGCCAGCGCGATCCAGAAGACCAATGGCATCAGCATTGCCTCCGCGCTTTTGTCTCCTCTTGTCGTCTAGGGAAGCCAACAAGGTCACAGAGGGTTCAAGTAGATTTCCTCTTGGACGGTTCTAAAAGCATCGCCTGTTGAAGTGCCGAGCTTCCTTTTTGGTGGGGTGAAGGTCCCTTACTTGTTCCAGGCAAGCCGCTAGAGTAAGTAGGTACTGCTTACCTAGGTTTCTGACGAGGCCATTTTGGGTCCAAAGCCGGCGACCACTCCCATTTGGGTCCGACGTAAGGGAAGAGACCAAGAGATTAGCTAACCGATAAGGTTTCTCAATGCAAGTTGGAACCCCGACATGTTTCCTAGGTCCTCCAGTAGAGAGGTTAGAATACGGGTTACCCTGTTTTCTGTAGTCTACTGTCTACTATTTTAGTAGGGGAACCCTCCCCAAAAAAAAAGTTGGTAAAAGGGCACCTAGCGGGGGGACCTAGTTTCATACCCTTTGCCGGTGTGCACTGTCCAGCCCTTGCCCCAGTGACGACCCGGAATCTCTTCCAAGCCCGGCGGCAAATTGGCAGTGGGGGAGTTCACTGTACATCTGATGATCGGAGGATTTCGGAAGGCTTATCGGGAAGCCCCTGTGCACTTCCATGATTGGGTTGCCGCTTTCAGTGACTGGTTCTGGGGAATATCCTTGAACGTCAGTTGAAGTAGTTCAGGTTGGATGGGAATCTGATAAACGGCCATCAAAAAGGAATAGGCAACATCCTCAAAATCAGTGGCCAAAGCAGTCTATTTCACAGGAACTGCAATCCCGATACCCCCAACCCCCCCACCCAACAGCCCGTCGTTTTCCTCGCAAAGTATTTTATTCTTATTGTCCTTATCATCATTTTTGCTGGGGCGCCAAAGGGGGGTTGGATTGTGAGCTCTTCGTTTTGAGCAGTGTTTCTTCCTTGGGGGGGGGGAGTTGGCCTGTCAAGCATGGGGTCACGTCTTCGACGGGCATGCCACTAGACCCCAAAAGAGCTCCCGGAGCGAAAGCCGCGGAAAGTGCGCCCGGAAAAGAAAACGATTCCCTGAGTCCCGGTGAAGATTTTGCTTCGTAGCGTATGCCCAAGTTGGGATGCGCCGGCCGAGTGACCAAGGGTATGGAACTCCCGGTGGTTTCAAGATTTCGCTTCGTAGCGTATGCCCCAAGTCGGGCTGCGGTTTGGTCGGCCGAGTGGCCAATGGAACGGAAAGAGGTGTCCACATTGGTGGAGGTATGGTATGGAACAGTGGATATTTGGGTATGGGTCAAAATTTAACCACCAGGGGACCGCAGGTTTTGGTCCTTGGTTCCATTTGCCAGGGTTCCATTTTGGATACCCATTTTTGACCCACAGCCATGTATTGCTTGATGCCATCATGTGGTAAGGAACACTGGGCAACCCACACATGGGGAGGCGAATGGTTGACATCTGCGTGGGACAAGCCTCGCTGATGGTTCAACAAGGCTTTCGGCCAAAGAGCGAGAACTGGAAGCGGAGGGGCAAGACGTGCCAAACATAGGTAGCTGTCGAAGTATAATAAATTTATACTTAGTATAAATTTGGACTCCGACCACCAAACATGTGTTTGAACCAACCAATTTGAGGGCACGCTCCAACAATACACACCTACATGCGTCCAAGAAGGCTGCCAAAAAATGGTTTTGTGCTCAGCCAACCCTCGCTGCAACAAGGAACAAGTTGCTTGGTTGAAGCAAAGGGCATGGTCCACAGTCAGCATTACTTAACAAGAATGTAGTTGATGTGATTTTTACTCATTCCCTTATCGTTTGCCAAGTCTTGGCATTAATGTCGGTCTTTGAGAGTGTTGTATGCTGACCATTTAGAGCCCGTCTCATGCGTGCCATGGCGGCCCAACCCCTTTTAAAGGTCATGGTCATAGACAAAAAAAACATAGGACACTTTACATTGGTCTGGTTGTCTAAAACACCTAAGAGTTTCATGACCATCCCTACAAGCCTTAAGCAAGAAATCTGCCGTTTGACCATGGCACATGAAAGCATGGCTGAAGTCTTCAAGACCCGGGCAACATATGCTCTCGTTTGACCATCGTGGAATTCTAGCGAAAAACAAGATCCATCAGCTGCATAAGAATCACAACCTTGCCCTGATGGGACACTGAGAGCCCGGAATTGACAATGCCCTGGCTAAGTCATAATCAGGCGGTGGTCTAGGACAGTACAGGGGATTTGGTACTCTTTGAGGGGAGAAACGTCCACTATCATTCAGCAAGGTCCAGTCCGGGGTCAACCATCCTTGGCAAGCACGATGCCTGCGGATGGGGAGACTCCGAGCGACTGGCAAAAAGGAAAGAGGCCCTAGGTCCAAGATCATCAAGATGGGTTTGTATGCCAAATTATTCACGTGATCATTTGAGCAGAGTCTTTGCAATTGCATCCATGTTTTAAGCGCGCCCTTCCGGGGGTTCGGATCGAGACGCAGCCCTTGCTTGAGGATTGATTCGGTACCGAAGCGTACCCTCGACCACCGCCATTTTGGGGGTTCCCATTTAAAAAAAAGAAAGAAAAACACAACCATTCACACATGCTAGAGGTGTCAGTGAGTTGCATTCTGGCAAAGAAAACATCGGCCAGCTAGAAATGAGTCACCTTGCGAAGCTCACAAAAGCTGGGTAACTCGAAAGGCGTGGCAATGGCAATGTTAACCCCCAAACCCCCGCTTCCATTTTGCTCATTTAGTACTTTGGCGGCCGGTCTTTGGAGCATTGTTATTCTCTGCAAAAGCAACCAACCTGTTAAAGCCTGCCAACTATCTGCCCAAAAGACAACTACATGTTGGAATCTATGAATAGCCACACAACAGGTCAAGGAAACGACTGCCAGACCATGCGGCTTCCGTCCCTGGCCTGGTTGCTCAAGAGAGGCCGTCCATTCTGGCAAGGACTTTTTTGCAAGCGCTCGCGCTCGTGCTCAAATGCTGGAGAAGGGGGGACGCGTCGTAAGCGTATGTACCCAAAAACAAATGTAATGCATATACATACACACAATACACACACAGGTGTATATACCATACGCTAATAAGCATACGCCTATGTAATTACTAATTACTGTCCGGCCTGCTCCAAATCGTGTGAACCCTTGGAACAGGCTAACCCAAGCGAGAAACAAAAAAAACGCAAAGCCGCTGCTGGGGGCGGGGGCGGGGTGGTGCTTAAACACTGCAATCACATTCTGTTGCTGTTCTAGGTCCTCCAGTAGAGAGGTTGGAATAAGGGTGCCCTTTTTTCTGTAGCTATTCTAGTGGGGGAACCCTCCCAACCAACAAAGGGGTTAGAAAGGGCACGATCCTGGACCTAGTGTTGGCTCAAGCAAGATGCCCCCCCATCGTTTGACGGCAGACTTCGTTGGTTTCGGCTAAGAGCTGGTGCGAGAATGCTTGGTTGACGTTGAAAGGGGAGCAAACAAATCAATGTTTAGCAGCCAAGTGGGGATTTCCCACTAAACCACAACAAGCAAAAATGTAAAATGTTTCCCAACAACAACCGAGAATGGGCTACTTTACCGCTGAACAGGAAAGACGAGGCCGAGCAGACTGATGGCAGATGCCTTGTCACATGCCTTGTCATATCGAAAATTTCTGGAGAAGTAGAATGGTGTGCTACCCTTTCTTCGCCTGCGTTTTGTCAGGAGCAGCAACGTCTTCCTATAGCGGCACGTCAGTTTCTTCAATCACCGGCAGCAGAACGATGAGTTTGTATCTTTCACTTTCATATCCAAATTTGAGGTGCTTCTCCGAAGATTGAAAGCAACCGATCATTCAGCATGGTGAGTATGAAGGAGTCGAAGGCTATTGGGCTGAAGAGGATGATTGTGAAGAAAGCTTGACGAAGGCTTTTGTCCACTTCAGAATGATGAATCATTCCGGGTTTTCCAGTTCACCGTGAGGGAAAAGTCAAAGGCAAACCATGGAGCAAGTCAAAGGACAAAGGAAAGGATGCAAGGACGACATCGGGTAATCCTTTGCTGTCAACGGCAAGACCGAACCGCAGGACGCCATGCAGCCTCCCGCCGAGAAACTGGCCCGACTTCACCCCGAATGACTGGGGCCAAGATACCTCGTAAACTTGAGAATATTTCTGACGCCCTCTACAAATTCAGAGGACAGAGCATATTTAGCATCTCATGAAGAAGTAGAAGCAAGCAAAAGTATCGTCACCCAAGATGGATTGAGCAACGACACAAATCCTCACGCGACACATGAATCAGCTCACGTGCTTGCGAACAAACTCATGACGCCAATATGCGCCAAAAAACAAACCAGCTGATAACCCGCCAACTTCCTTTTTGATAATGGTCCTTTCGTATTCACCTGCGCTACACCTTTGAAACCAGCGGGAGCAAAGGATCGATGTTGGCTGCGCAACTATGGCAAGGCATATACCCCGGAGTCCGATTCATTCTATGGTGTCTTGGACTGTCTCTTCACACACGTATTCAGCTGCGGCAAGACCCTGAACATGCCCGAGCACAGGGAGGCTTAGCCAAAATCTCAAGGAGGCTACTCAAGACCACAAGCAAGGACGCAGATTACCATCACCCAATGCAACAGTCGCAGTCAGCAGATACGACCGAGCCCTAAGCTACGACGAAAGAACCTCTTACCGTGGTTTTTCAGATCTGCAAATAAGTACACCTTTCTAGTGCGCTTACATGTGCAAAAGATTGACATGGACGATATCCAATCTTGATGGGATGAGGTTTTGCCCCAGGCATTCTGGAAGATTTAACCCCTTTCATGCACATGCGGAGAAGCCCAACAAGCTCCAATGGCTGCAGAGCCCAATATACTTTCCATTGTTGCGCTTTGGATCGCATCCGGCCTTTCGAGCCGGATGGTGAAATCATCCAGCCTTCTCCACTCACCATGATGCTGTGATTCCAAAAGAAATGTCTGAGTTGTTTCTGTTTTGATGTGTGCTTGCACACTGGAATCACAAGCAATCACATACTGTTGCTGATTGTTTGGCTCAAGGCTGGTTATTTTCCACGTTGTGATTCGCCATTGCACTTGATATGTATATACAGACCAAGCTCTGTTCTTGAGAACAAGGACATCTACATCGAGAACAGACCGGGGACACATTGTGGTTCTTGTGGGCCCCTTTTCGGACCCCCATGTCCAGTGCTTCATTCGCCCAGATAGAGTCCTTTAGAGGATTCCTAAAGCAGAATATGGTTAGTACATACTGTCGATCAAGGATTAATCAATAGACGAATGGGGGGGGGGGTTCCCCCAAAGAGTGAAGGATCTCCGATGGGACACCCCCTCTTAATATGTTTGTTGTGCGGGGCGAACAACGAGCAACAGTTGCACCCCGGAAGCGTGGATTGAAATTTGGAAAATACAGTGCATTTAAGCAGCCGGTGCAGAACAAAAAGTCGAACCCCTGCAGCATTCACAGTTTATCGATGGGGTTTTGGCATGCATTGTCGAGCACTTAACATGATCCCGCTTCAGATCAGCCGCGGTTAGCCAGCTTTCTGAGCATATTGCCCTTCTGGAAAACAGAAAAACGGTTCTTTGATTCTGATGCCATCATGGCTGCTGTCGAACACAAACCATGAGTGCCGGATTAGCAATGAGGGATGTCAACCATCCGTCCAGCATTCGCACAGAGCTCTCATACATCTAGTCTCAAAATAGCAGGCTCATGAGTGAACACAAGCTCAGGCACCACGATTGCCCCACCGAGCATTTGTATTTACATCCTTCAAGCGCGCTTTGCCCCACCGTTTAAGAGTAACACTGAACAAAACTGTTTTTGGTAGGTCGCTTATATTGTTCTACAAGTTGTTCTTCACGTCCTTTAAACTTGGTGCGTGTCCTCGGTGATAAGATGTATTTTGCCGGTGGGGATGTTCTCCAGCAAAACCACCTCGTCTGGGCTTCCTTTCAAGGAAAGCAGGGCCTGATTTGAAAGCACGCATCGCATGTTCCACAACTCTGATGGCAAGCCAATGCCAGAATTGCACGACAGCGCGCGACTCGAACAACAACTAACATTGGCCAAACGTATAGACGCCCTGCAAAAAGTTAGCTTGTACCTGGCAAAAAGGGAGACTGAAGGAGACTAAAGGAAGCCCAATAGAAAAAGGGCACACATACTGGTTCAGCCTTGCAATGTTGTCCGGTCCTTTCCCCAACTGGACATAGCCCAAACCCTTCCTGTGGCTTGTAGGTGGGGTTTGTGGACATAACCCGAACAGGCAGGCAATGGTTCGTTCGTGCTCCCTACGTCCTTGAGCATGACACCAACAAAAACGCTGAGCTTCAAAAAGCACAGGCCCATATCCTCCACCAATGCTTAAGTTTCCTGGAACAAAAGCGATCGGGCGGTTATAGATTCCCGTTAGAAGCCTACCAGGGGAACATAGTCAACATATTCTGTGCCGCTCATGGCAAACATGGATTCCCAAAATTGCTTGATCTTACAGGAACAAACTCACTTCCTGAATGGAGCCAAACAAAGTAAGCCCACACTTGAGTCATAATCAAAACCTGGTATTAAAATGGTCTACCCAGAACCATGTGAAGAATCAAGAAGGCGGATATCCGCAACTACTTATGGCTGGGAGTCTCCCTTACTAACCTCCATCTACCCAGGTTTTGATTGTGGCTCACTTTGCGTTTCCCATAGCCACTGGAGAAGCCTCCCTTCTCTCTTCTCGCCTTTGAGGCGTGAGGCGATGTAGAGCACCCGGGGCCTAGGCTTGCTCCCGGCTGGCTTGAGGTTTTGAGGGGAGCCCCGGACAACAAAAATGCGGTGTACAAGGAAATGAGGAGGAACACCACCCTTAGATTGGGGTGATTATTTTGACACATACCCAGAAAGACCCCCCAAAAAAGGGGAGTCCGGGGTACTTGGAAGCCGAATCAAGTCACGATAGGATAATAACTATGAGGGTTCCAGCTACGCAGCAACCCGAAGCGGAAACAAGAACTATCAAACCTTGGGTGTAAGCCCTTCGGGGAACAACTCTGACTCAAATGTCTCTGAACGCCCCATTGAAGCCAGTCATAGTACTCGGGGCCAAAGAATCAACCATTCATGTTCACAATTGTTTGTGACTTGATTTGGGTACGGGTCAAAACTACACCACGTACCTATTTCTGACCCACAGCCATTTGGCGTTAAAGTACCCCATCACCCTATTCTAATCATCAAGGCATATTTAGGTCCGAGTACCCATAGGAAAGCATTGCCACTATGGCAGCCGTAGCCCTTGTCCAACCGGTCTACAAAGGACCCTCCGAACGTGGAACCCCCTAAAGCCTCGAAAGTTGATTCCTCAATAAGTGACTTCTTTGGGGGTGTCAAGCGGATAAGCTTTCGGGGAGTTGCACTCATTCAAATTAACAGGAACCCAACAAACCATCGTTTGCATGGAACGGAATCTTCTTTTGGGGATCGGACCCCCTTTAAAGGCTGTCAACTTGCAGGGCGGGGCAACCGCCCAGCTTTCCTTTTGGATGCCAAGACCAATGTTGACTCAAACTGCAACTCTGAGAACCTTCTGAAGAGATCATGTTCATGAACCTAAGAGAGAGAGAGAGAGAGAGATAGAAAGAGAGAGAAAGAGAGAGAGAGAGAGGGGAAGATCCAATTTGGCCCAAACAAACATTCAAACATCAGAAGCACGATCCAAAGACACGAGCAAACGACATCCTGCTGGAGGGCCACAGCGACATCAAATTGTGCTGTGAGGAGATTCAGCATTTGCTCACTTGGGCTTAGAAGATGTCAAGTGAAAGGCTGGTCAAAATCCGTTCATGTGTTTGTGTGCGTGTGCCAGTACCTGATGTTCAGATGACTCCTTCTCGCACAAGTTCCTCAACACAGATTAGCTCCTTTGCCAAGCTCAGCGAGACGTGGTGGTTCTTCTGAATTGCCGTCGGATGCGCACAGCAAGGTCTGCATCCCAACGTTGCAACATAGCAACTGTGACCAAGCCAAAGCCAGGAACAGAAAACAAAACCATAGTCATCACTCGTGAACACCAGCTTAATCATTCCCGCCGTGCGCCTAGCGCAAAGACTGGCCAAAATCAAGAAGGTCTACTATGCAAGGTGTGTCTAAGATATCACTCGCTACATGCAGCTCAGACTGCCACGACGGTCTGCACACCGCCTAAAAAAGGGAGTAACGCCCACTCTATGTGCTGCCAAACTGTTTAAGCTCATCCGCTTTGCTCGACCCTCCCCAAGCCAGGTCCGCTCATGCTCAGGTCAAAGTGATGAATCTCGAATCAGCCGAAGCTACAACTTTGCAGTTGTCTGCTCAGTCCTGAAAGTAATTGCTCATCCAAGCACGGCATCCCAGATTCACGTTCATTGACTTGCTCTTTGCTGTGCGCTAAGCTCAGAACATGTGGTGATTTCCGTTGACTTGCGCATTGCGGTCAGCCTCACACAACAAGTTCCTCATCACAGCATAGCGCCGCATCCAAACAACTAGCCGAAAACAACAAAACTCTTGTTGCACGAAGCTCACCGACATGTGGTGATTTATCTTTGATTGCGCATTGCCGTCGGCTGCGCACAACAAGCTCTCCATCCCAGCTTGGCAACAAAGCAACTGTGACCTAAACCGTTAAGCCACAGAATTAAATATGCATAGAGCAAACCTCGCTCATGCCCCGCTGTCTCGCCCATACTTTGTACCCGTGCTTGCATAGACCAACACGACCAACTACGCAAGGTGTGTGTAAGATATCACTCGCTACATGCAGCTCAGACTGCCACGACAGTCTGCACGCCGCCTAAACATGGAGTAACGTCAACTCTGTCCGTTGCCAAACTGTTTAAGCTCATCCGCCTTGCTCGACCCTCCCCAAGCCAGGTCCGCTCATGCTCAGGTCAAAGTGATGAATCTCGAATCAGCCGAAGCTACAACTTTGCAGTTGTCTGCTCAGTCCTGAAAGTAATTGCTCATCCAAGCACGGCATCCCAGATTCACGTTCATTGACTTGCTCTTTGCTGTGCGCTAAGCTCAGAACATGTGGTGATTTCCGTTGACTTGCGCATTGCGGTCAGCCTCACACAACAAGTTCCTCATCACAGCATAGCGCCGCATCCAAACTACTAGCCGAAAACAACAGAACTCTTGTTGCACGAAGCTCACCGACATGTGGTGATTTATCTTTGATTGCGCATTGCCGTCGGCTGCGCACAACAAGCTCTCCATCCCAGCTTGGCAACAAAGCAACTGTGATCTAAACCGTTAAACCACAGAATTAAGTATGCATAGAGCAAACCTCGCTCATGCCCCGCTGTCTCGCCCATACTTTGTACCCGTGCTTGCATAGACCAACACGACCAACTACGCAAGGTGTGTGTAAGATATCACTTGCTACGTGCAGCTCAGACTGCCACGACAGTCTGCACGCCGCCTAAACATGGAGTAACGTCAACTCTGTCCGTTGCCAAACTGTTTAAGCTCATCCGCCTTGCTCGACCCTCCCCAAGCCAGGTCCGCTCATGCTCAGGTCAAAGTGATGAATCTCGAATCAGCCGAAGCTACAACTTTGCAGTTGTCTGCTCAGTCCTGAAAGTAATTGCTCATCCAAGCATGGCATCCCAGATTCACTTTCATTGACTTGCTCTTTGCTGTGCGCTAAGCTCAGAACATGTGGTGATTTCCGTTGACTTGCGCATTGCGGTCAGCCTCACGCAACAAGTTCCTCATCACGGCATAGCGCCGCGTCCAAACAACTAGCCGAACACAACAGAACGCTTGTTGCACCAAGCTCAGCGACATGTGGTGATTTATCGTTGATTGCGCATTGCCGTCGGCTGCGCACAACAAGCTCTCCATCCCAGCTTGGCAACAAAGCAACTGTGACCTAAACCGTTAAACTACAGCCTCAAATATGAACAGAACAAACCACACCTGGCTCATGCCTCGCTGTCTCGCCCATACTTTGCACAAATGCTTGCATAGACCAACACGACCAACAACGCAAGGTGGGTCTAAGATATCGCTTGCTACGTGCAGCTCAGACTGCCAAGACGGTCTGCACGCCGCCTAAACATGGAGTAACGTCAACTCCATCTGTTGCCAAACTGGTTAAGCTCATCCGCCTAGCTCAACCCTCCGCAAGCCAGGTCCGCTCATGCTCAGGTCAAAGTGATGAATCTCGAATCAGCCGAAGCTACAACTTTGCAGTTGTCTGCTCAGTCCTGAAAGTAATTGCTCATCCAAGCACGGCATCCCAGATTCACGTTCATTGACTTGCTCTTTGCTGTGCGCTAAGCTCAGAACATGTGGTGATTTCCGTTGACTTGCGCATTGCGGTCAGCCTCACACAACAAGTTCCTCATCACAGCATAGCGCCGCATCCAAACAACTAGCCGAGCACAACAGAACGCTTGCACCAAGCTCAGCGACATGTGGTGATTTATCTTTGATTGCGCATTGCCGTCGGCTGCGCACAACAAGCTCTCCATCCCAGCTTGGCAACAAAGCAACTGTGACCTAAACCGTTAAACCACAGCCTTAAATATGAACAAAACAATCCACACCTGGCTCATGCCTCGCTGTGTCTCCTATAGTCTGTAGAAATGCTTGCATTGAACTAACATGACCAACTGCGCAAGGTGGGTCTAAGATATAACTTGCTACATGCAGCTCAGACTTCCACGACAGTCCGTACAACGTGACTCTATGTGTTGCCAAACTGTTTAAGCTCATCCGCCTTGCTCGACCCTCCCCAAGCCATGTCCGCTCATGCTCAGGTCAAAGTGATGAATCTCGAATCAGCCGAAGCTACAACTTTGCAGTTGTCTGCTCAGTCCTGAAAGCAACTGCTCATCCAAGCATAGCATCCCAGATTCACTTTCATTGACTTGCTCTTTGCTGTGCGCTAAGCTCAGAACATGTGGTGATTTCCGTTGACTTGCGCATTGCGGTCAGCCTCACGCAACAAGTTCCTCATCACGGCATAGCGCCGCGTCCAAACAACTAGCCGAACACAACAGAACGCTTGCACCAAGCTCAGCGACATGTGGTGATTTATCTTTGATTGCGCATTGCCGTCGGCTGCGCACAACAAGCTCTCCATCCCAGCTTGGCAACAAAGCAACTGTGACCTAAACCGTTAAACCACAGAATTAAATATGAACAAAACAATCCACACCTGGCTCATGCCTCGCTGTCTCGCCCACACTTTGTACAAAAGCTTGCCTAGACCAACACGGTCTACCATGCAAGGAGTGCCTAATATATTTCTACAAGCAGAACAGCTCAGCCTCTCTCGCAGTGTGGCAAGCTCGTCGCGTAAAGTTGACGACTCCTCACACGCACACACACACAGACACACACACACACACACACACACACCCACAGACACACGCAGACAAACGCAGACACACGCAGACACACGCAGACACACGCAGACACACGCAGACACACGCAGACACACGCAGACACACGCAGACACACGCAGACACACGCAAACACACGCAGACACACGCAGACACACACACACACACAAACCAGTCACACACACATGCGCTGTTTGAAGCTTATCTTGCTACCCGAGTCCACTACCCGGCTAAAAAGCTGCTACCAAACTGATATGAAAGATCAATGAACAAGTGCCACGCATCCATGTTTTCCTTCGCAAAGCTATTCAATGGCTTCAAAGCTCTCAACCAGGTTGCTGAAACATACACTTTTGCATCACGCAATAAATGACAACGGTCTAAAGTCTACGCAATTGTGAATAGTGTCTTCCTGCCAAGCTGACTTAACTTGTCTGTGAGTAGCCCCACGACCCCATTCTAATTATCTAGGTCCTGAGATGTCCTTCGCATAACCTGGCAAACTGAGCCATCCCAACAGCTCAGTGCCATGTGGCACGGCCCAAACACCCAATCGCCTCCTTTTTTTCCGAGTTGTTCCGTGACCCTGGTAGAAAAACATGGAACCGTCTTTGGGGTTGCATAACCAGTTTTAGTGGGGAATAAGAATTGGGTGTGGCTTTTCTTAGCCCCCGCCCCCTTAACCGGCTTTGGTCTTTTTCTTCCCTTTGGTTTCGCTTTAAAGCAACCAAACACGGGTGCCTCAAACGACACGCCCCGTGGGTGCCACACATCGCCGAGGCCGCGGCACGTCCACGCGAGCTTCCAGTGGACGAAGGGCCAAAATGAAGTTCTTCAAAGTGATCCTCGGGTGTCCAATTTTGCAGAGACCAGGGAAACGATATGGGACTCCTGGGACCAGTTGCGCAAGTTCTGCTAGTCCCCTAGTTTTTGTGCCTAAAACATTGGTGAGTGCCCCAATGTCCCTCTGAAATAAATGGAAGATAGACTAGTGCTTGACCGAAGCTCGTAGGGCGCAGGTCCTTGATTCAACACCTGTTGGCCTACCTTTGTCTACTTGTTCCACTGGCAAAAACGAACTAGAACCACCTAGGCCGGAACAAGCTGTCCATCACAAGTGAGTCGTTGGCCCCCATGCAACCAACTGCGCCTCGATTGCTTCTGCAAGCCTTTGGGTAACCAATGATGTGAGTCGGGCTGCTTCGCTGTTTAGCTCGCTATTTGGCTATGAGCTTTGATAGGGAACCTGAAAAGTGGCTGGTGGACACAAATCCCCGCCGAAACGCTGTCCACCCAAGGGTTGCCAAAGACAACTCCCACACCTCTTGATGCCAATGTCCATGGCTGTATCCCCTCAGGCGCCTGACTCCCATGGGCTCAAAAACTGGCATTCCAATCTATGGGTGTGGGTCAAAATAGAATCACCAGGGGACCGCAGGTTTTGGTCCTTCTTTCCAATTACCAGGGTTCCATTTGCCTTATTGTTGACCCACAGCCCTATGAGTAATCCGGACTTGACCAAAGCAGTCACAAATTCAGGAAAAAAGCTGCTCCAAACATCAAACAGGATCGCCGGTGATGATGTTTGCTCGAAGTTTCCCTGCGAAAGGAAGTGAACCCACAAATGCATGGTTGGCGTTCCCTTGATATCTTCATTGATAACTGCTACAGGGACTCCCACCTAGAAGAATAGTTGGGGGGACCCTACATTATTTCCATTGTACCTGCAAAGGGCAATTTTAATGGGGAAGGGCCTTGACCTCTCCTTTGTTCTTGCGACTCAGCTTGGCAAACCCTGACGTACACAAACCATTTTACAGATTCGATTCCATTCTCAGTCAACCTCACAATGCAACACTAATGCAACCACATTTTGGAGAACCAGGAATTCGGGATATGGGGGCAAACCTGCTGGCGCAACCGATTTGTCTCCCTTGGGGAGCCCTGCGCGCGGTGAGCCGCGTCGAAGATATGGGTCGACCTGTGCCAGTGGGTCTCTGGGCCCCATCTGAGCCGACTCCTTCCCCTTGTTTCCCCCCTTTATATATGTATATATATATATACACATATGGGCTTGCCTCAGAATACGAAACTACTACCCTCCCCCCCGGAAAAATAAAATAACATAAAAATGTATTCTCTTTTAGACCTCAAAAGGGCACCTGCAAAAAGCAAACGCACGCCAATTCAGCTTCGGGTGTTCAAAAAAAGACCCGTAGCACATTGGCCCTTAGACCGCCAAAGGATCTAACAGCTGCCATGGGTTTGCTCGGGAATGGCTCGGACTCGGAGCAACCCTGGCAAGCGTCTGCCAGAAAAAAACAAGAATGCAATGCCTCGAGGACGTGGAAGGTTCGCAAAGGAGCAAGCATGTCTTGCGGCTGCCAAAGTGCAAGCAGCAGCGGCCACAGCGTGTGTGGTTTCTGTGGGGCTGTGTTTTTGTTGAGGCCGAGGGTACCCTTTTTGTCATTTTGGGTTGGTTTAGGGGGACGCCAAAGGGAGTTAAACACACTTGTGTACATTGTGTACATTGTACATATTATATGTATTGACATTGTAGTCATCAGCCCGAGCATCACCTTTAAATAACCAAGCTCGGCCCACCATTTTGAGAACTCCATGGAGGCCGAGACAGCATGCGAACTTGAAACGTCGAGGCAGAGACCTCAACGTAGGTCCTGGAAATGGAAGTGATGTTGATCCCGTATTAATTAACCCCAGCTTATTGAAGGGGTGCGTTTTTTTTTCCTGGATGATGGGTGAAATGTGGGGAATCTATACTACTTTTGAAGGGGCCAACCACCCTATTAAGAAACCTGGGGTTGATTAACATGGGGTCAGCATTACCCCAAAATGGGCCGCTCCCCCTTGATTCTCTTCAAAACTAACCCAAACCTCAAACGACACGCCCACTGAAAGGGCCAGCCTTTTAGGCGAAGAATTCTTCGTCCAAAGTGACATCCTCACCTTGTAAGTTATTTTAAAGCGAACGGTTCCCGCCACTTCCAAGAGAAGCGTTTTGCCGAGAGCCAGAACTTATCTAAAGCGACCCACTAGAAACCCGTCACCCTTCGTTTCCTCCACTTGAGAGCAAGCTGGCGTGTCCCAGGCTTCCGCTCCGCCTGTCACCAGGACCTTCGAGCATCAGAGAGAGTAGCGGCACGGACGAGAAGTCCTCAGCAAACGGACTTGCTGACGGGAACTGAGCAGACCCATAGTTGGGGGTCTCCCGCCATAGGCTTTGTGTGCGGCGCCCTAGGAATCTTGACACCTAGACGAAAACGGGCATGCCTTTTTGAGGCAACCACACCCTTCCAATTGAGATCCAGGAAACCACCAGAGGGGTCTCTGTCAAGGGGAAATGCTCGTGAAGGAACACCGAGTCACGTTGCATGTTTGTGGATAAGGAGGGCAATCCATCACATTGGTGTCCATCAGCACAACACATCTCCTTTTGGCTTTCCTTTAGGACAGGATGATGTTGTGGTCACCTTAGCACCCCTCCGTCTGAGGGCTTCATTCCTTCATTCCTTAGTCATTCCTTTTGCCCATTGGTCTTTCCAACTTCCCACATAACCCAGGTTTTGAGTGAGTAAATCCTACACCGAGAAATCCATGAAAAGAATGGGCGCAGCCATAACCTAACTTCGGTCAAACTCACTATGTACCTCGAATGGATTGAAGCTGAGGATCAAAAGGGCGACATGGCACGCATCTTTGTGAATAGTGGATTTCCCCAATATGAATGGATCCTTCCACGTGGTGAAATCCTTCGCCAACCCAAGCCTGTGTGAAGTCGCGATTGCGTTTGCGTCAGCTTGCACGGCGCCCACCCCACACATGTTTACACAAGGTTCTCAGAATCGGCTTTCTGCCGATTCAACTGGAACACTGGAATGTGTTCCCAAACTCCCTCATTCCCGAGGGAGGCTCAGTGGAACAAATCCGTGTTGCTTTTCTTCCGGGCCACGGAACTGGGTTTGGTGTTTGGTCACCGCAGTTTTGCCCACTTTCATGACAGAGGATCCAAGTACAACCAACTTCATTGTTTCAGGGGCAAGGGCCGAGCCCGAGTGAAACCTATCTGGATCCTCTGAGAATAGGGGATCCTGAGTTGAATATTGACCAAAGGTGCAAAGGGCACTTCAAAAGGGACCCGAACAGAGGCTTGGCCCATTGGGAATTTCATGTAAGTGAAAGAGTCAGTTGTGTCTTTGGGCGGCATGAGTAAAACGACACGTTTGGCGTATTCCTCTTCGTCAAACCAATCTGGATCAACCCCTTTCCGGTAACATCCCCGTACTCCCCAAACATCCTCGCTCCTCTGCGTCAGCCACGGCGGAAGTACGAGAGTTCAAGCCGCTGTCCATGGGGCCGAAAAGGAAGGACGCCTCACGACTTCGTGTTTCTCAAAACATGGGTGTGGCGATGTTTGCTTGATAGGGGACCTTTTAAAACTGGTGGACATGAACCTTGAGACATATTTGGATAATCAAGCGCAAGTGGGTCATAACCAAGGCTATAGGTGGAAACAAATGTTGGTTCACTTCTAACCACGGTGTTCACCTCGGCTGGACATCTTTCCGTGACGCCAGACCGCTTTGGTGTTCTCAACCTTCTCAGCGATTGGGGTCCGACTGATTTGGTGTCCTCAAGCGAATGGTCTTGAACATGGCGGTTATTTTGCCGAATCATTCTTTAAAGACAAGATGACACATTCTGGACTCCATACTGCCGGTACAACATTGGAAAGTGAGGAGTAATTCTGACTTGGTGGCGCCTAAGTTGCGGTCTTTCTGCGTATATTTCGCGACACAAAGATCGGAGGTATCCAACCAATTTACCAGACAGAAAACGTAGAGGCGGGGGGACAGGCGCCTAAGTTGCGGTCTTTCTGCGTATATTATCGACACAAAGATCGAAGGTATCCAACCAATTTACCATAAAGAAGACGTGGAGGTGGGGGGGGTAGACAGGCCCGCATCACATCGAAGAAACGCATTTTGCGCTGAGTAGCTCTTGAGGTCTTTTTACTCATCCCGGACCACATGTTTGTCGCATTTCTTCACCATGTTTTCCGATTTTCCTCATACATTACACAGATTTCTATTCTTCTACCTGGACCTGACCAATATTAGGTACCCGAAGCAAGCTTGCACAGAAGTACCTCCGGAAGAGGGGACCAGGTGACCAAGGGAAGCCACCGCCTCAAAGCAAAAGGAAGAAATCCTTGATTTTGGAAACTGGAAACTCTGGGGTGGGAAAACTGCCCCTAGGAAAGCCGCAGGTATTTGCACCGCTACGGAACATCGCCAGCAAACATAAAACGACTCAGCACTGAACTGCCAAACGTGATGTCTGCCCTCACGGGTGCATGCGTGTGCGGGTGTGTGTGTGTGTGTGTGTCTGTTTTTCTTTTTCAACGTGTATTTCTTTGTGGGTAAGTACCTGTTTGGGATCCACCCCATTTTGAAATATATTTCGCGACGCAAACGTAGAATATATGAAATTACCCTTTGACTTCTTTGTGTATGATCTGCGCAGTTTTGCATGTTCCCGCAAGGACCAATGGAAGAGCCGAAGGTCGCATTGGAAAACGGACTTGGGAGGTACTCTGTGCGACTTCGATACATCTTCTATATGTTTGCGGGGGTGGCTGGTCCTGATCGTCTATATGATGCGACGGCTCATCAAATGGCCCTTTTGGTTTGACGCTGGGGCATCTGTCTGTGAGCGCTGGCTCGCGCCATGCCCTGGAGGCTCAGAGCTTCGCGTGGGCGCGCCATGCAGTTCAGCGGGGGAAGGGCCGGGCAACACACACACACACGCACACACACACACACACGCACACACGCACAATAACAAATACAAAAACACACACGCAAACACAAACACAATCGCAAACACACAAGCAAAACAAGCACAACAGACACAGACAGACACACAGACAGACACACACAGACAGACAGACAGACAGACAGACAGACAGACGGACAGACAGACAGACAGACAGACAGACAGACAGACAGACAGACAGACAGACAGACAGACAGACAGACAGACAGACAGACAGACAGACAGACAGACAGACAGACAGACAGACAGACAGACAGACAGACAGACAGACAGACAGACAGACAGACAGACAGACAGACAGACAGACAGACAGACAGACAGACAGACAGACAGACAGACAGACAGACAGACAGACAGACAGACACAGACAGACAGACACACAGTCACAGACACACAAACACACAGACACACACAAGGCTCACACTCACAAACACACACACACACATACACAAGGCTCACACTCACAAACACACACACACACACACACACACACACACACACACACACACACACACACACACACACACACACACACACACACACACACACACACACACACACACACACACACACACACACACACACACACACACACACACACACACACACACACACACACACACACACACACACACACACACACACACACACACACACACACACACACACACACGCACACGCACGCACGCACGCACGCACGCACGCACGCACGCACGCACGCACGCACGCACGCACGCACGCACGCACGCACGCACGCACGCACGCACGCACGCACACACACACACACACACACACACACACACACACACACACACACACACACACACACACACACACACACACACACACACACACACACACACACACACATACACAAGGCTCACACTCACAAACACCCACACACACACACACACCCACACCAGAACAAATACAAAGACACAAACACGCACGAACACAACCACAAACACACTCACACACACACAGGCACACACCATAATCGCACACACAGGCACACACAGAAACACACAGAAACACACACGTTTATATGTTGCATTGACCCGGCTTCAGTTGAATCAACTGGCTGTGCGAGGCCATATCAATGCCCATGGGCCCTCCTTTGCACCTGCAGGCAAACTATGGACGTAAGACTCGATCCGTTTGCAGCCACTCGGTATGTTTCAACCAGTCATGAGAAACTAGAAACACAAGGGCGCAGGGACGGATTCTCCAATGGAAAGGGTACCTCCAACAGAAATGGGAGAGTCTGTTTTGGGGAACAGCCTTGCAAGTGGACCAACAGGAAGACCACCTTTCGTTGTGTATTCCTTTTTGGGGGCAGGGGGTCCCTAAAAAAAACAAATAAACCACGCGCGAAATGCCCATTGAAGTTCCAAGATCCTTCGCACAAAGCCCCTTACGAGCGCTTCTCGCTGGCCTCATCTCCAAAGTCGTCCAGCTGCATATGATGCACCTGGCGATTCACGAGTTGACCTGTCACCTGCGATGCGCTCACCCGTTTCGTGGGGAAGCATTCACTCACTTCCAGGCCGAAGGGTTTTCCAAGACATCAATTGGACCTACCCCGCGCACATAGCCGGCTATAGGATAGGAAATCAACAAGGGGTGCTTGAGCCAGCCACTTGTTGGTTTGCCTTGGTTTCTTTTGCTCTGCCATTCGAAAGGGCTCATTTGACTCCCTAAGTCATCGTTTCACTTTGGTTGCTGTGCACCGCCGGGATCTGCTGCTGCTGCTGCACGACAGAAACATATCGGTCTTGCGCCCATCACAGCAGTTTCGGGGATCTTCATTGCAAGATTTGCAACCTTCCAAGATTCCGGTTGGTTTTGAGTTATGCCTCAAACAGATTTGCCACCTTCCCAAGATTCAGGTTAGCTTTAACAGGACACCCCAAAACCACGAGGAACAAAGGGCTCGCAAACCCACTGTGCCCAAGAGGCCCAAAGAACCGGCGCGCCGTGAGCTTGAGGATGCGCTCGTTGGCCGGCTTCTCCACTTGGATGTAGTCCACCTCGGTTTCATCCAATGCCAAGGACCCAAGTTCGATGAAACCGCTGAGCGAGGTAAACAACGGTGGGTACACTAGAAGTGCTGTGAAAACAGAACATGTGCATGAAACACTCCTATATGCATAAAGGTAATGATGGTAATATTGAAGCCGAATCACCCTGGATTGGGAAGGTATGCAGTTCTATGGCACCAGAATCATTGTGTATAAGGGTGTGTGTGTGTGTGTGTAGCTTTCAAAAATTGACGGCAGTAAATTCAGCCCGCAAAAAGAAAGGAGCATCATGGGAGGTCTGGGGCATGCAAAGTTTTTCGTAACATGCACGTTGTGTTGAAGGTACCCTGCTACAACCGGGAAACCACCCATTTTGAGGGGGGGATTTTGGACGAAACAGAAACCAACACGAAAACACCCACAGGTTCTTGGGAGTCCCTTCCACAACCTAGGAAAATTCCTCCCCTCCCATTCTACAGGAGCCATGGGAGACCATCCCCAAGGGTTGTTCTTGGTACATCATATTTGGGGATTCAAGGAATCTGTAGGCCAAGCCCCTTAAAAAAATCGAACAAACCCGTACTCATGGGGTACCAAGGGACGTATATTTCCGGGTGGGCCCAGCCCGGGGAGATTTCTCTGGGCTCGCCCGCCGTGAGGCCCAGCAACTCCTCCGCCACCTTGTGCAAGGTGTCCGCGAGGCACACGTGCAGACCTGCCCAGAGCTGTTCCAAAAAGCGCGCGCGCGCGTTTTCTGGCGGGCACCGGGCGCTGTCGCACGCACACGGAGCCGTGCGACCAACGTGTTCTTTCCGCATCCCGGAAAGGGTCCCGTCTTTCTACAAAACGCCCCCTTTCAAAGGGTCAATCAGAAAACCGAACGACAAGTATGCATGTAGATGATCTCAGATGCGCCCCCCTTCTTCTTCTTGGACCCAAATTTCACGGGACCCATGTGTTTTTAAACCCAAATTACAGGGATCCTATTTTTCCACGCCTTCAAGGCTACACGGGCGACCTCGACATGTCCAAGGCGAAAGCAGCGTTTCGCCATGGGCAAGGCTTGTGGTAGGCTGGCGCGCCCAAGCGTTGGCTAACTCACTAGGGGTTGGTTTTCCTTTTCCAGTCTTTTCAAACATCCTTCTTTTCGAAAACCGGATCTGTTTCCCATGTTTGTTGGTGGCTTTCTAGAAAGAAGAATCCCTGGAAAGAATGGGGAAGCTACACTTAGATCATTGTTAAATCTGAATGGCGAGCCTGGATCACTCAACTATAAGGCTCGCCAAGGACTGCATTACCGGGCCCCGGGGTGCTACATAGGGGGTGTGGAAGAAAAATCGGCATCTATCCCCTTTTGGCTTCCGTGCGGGTAACACAAACACTATGGGCCATTGATTGCACATGATTGCACCCAGATTGCCACAGTTTGAGCGTAAGTTCATGCCAACTCACCTAGCATGAGGCAGCACGCTTTTGCGAGCAACCAAGCAACCACTCTGCAGGAGCAGCAGTGCCACAGAATTGCTTTCTTCGAATACTCGATCATACCTGAGCCTTCCACAACAACGCAAAGCATTGCGTTCGGAGTACACTACGTGCCCCAAATGACAAACCGCTTTGCAACAACCCACATATTCATTTGGGTCCCCGCAGCAACACGAGATAAACACGCAACCAAACAAATATCAGGGCATCGACGTCGGCGCCCTTCTGGATTTCTGTAGAGTGAGATTGCTGGACATTCATCATACGGATAGGCAAGGCCACCCTCCCATGCAAACATATGCACCAGTGATGGCTCGCGGTTCAGCTTAGTATGACAATGCCTTGCGCTGGCAACCTCAATTTGCTTGAGCTGCGACCAACAACTTGCATGGTTACCCTTCCTCGCACTAACTGGCACCTTTGGCTGGGAGGGTACCTGGAAAATCAACATGGGAGGGTACCACTTGCCACTCTGTGTTCCAATCAATGAAGGAAACGCATCAACAGTGGACCCGCGACCCTGGCAGAAAATGGAAGCCCTGGGGTGGATTCCACCTGGGATGGGGCACCAACCGGAAAAAAAAGCACAAAGGTGCCGAGAAACTGGGGGCTTGATGTTTTTGGCTTCCGTAAAAAAACAAAAAACAACAACAGCAACAGGAGCAACGTGTGCAGATTTGCCAAAAGCGCGCGGCGCCAACAACGCGCGAGGAGTTACACCCGCCGACCGTTTTTCAGGGTGTTCCAGCCGCAACAGAGTAAACTCAAGCAAACATGAGTCATAATCAAAACCTGGTAGTAGAATGGTCTACCCAGAACCATCTCAAGAATTAAGAAAGCGGCCGCAGCTATTTATGTTTGGGATTGGCCCTTACTAACCTTCATCTACCTGGTCTCCTGGCCTGACAGGAAGAAGTCAAACGCCATGCGGTTCAACACCGCCGCTTGGTCCTGTGCGCCGGGTTGATTACATGCGCCCTGGAGCTTTGTGCTTTCCACTAATGTTATAGGGGGGTGTCCCTAGTTTAGTGGGGATTCATCACTTCTGGACCCCCCCCCCATTAATAAGATGGGTTTATTAATCCGGGGTCAACATTAAGACGATCTTTACACAAAGTAGACGTCCAGAAACGGGGGAAGTGCGGCGATATAGGAAGCAGCCAAAGGCCCACCCCCACGTTCTTAGAACCTGCTTAGCAAAGGTTCTTAGGGCATCGTTCGAACCTTCCGGTGGATAAGGAGGCAGCAAGGTTGCATGCCCGCTCTAAAGGCCATTCTTAAGAGAAGCTCAGTTCGAACTGTCCCCGTAGGACATCAGGACGCCTGTCACAGCCGCAAACAGGAGCCATTGCCTTCCCATCGCTTCCCTGGCCCTGAATCGCATGGATACCCCAAATTTTGCAAGGGGAACAAGGGAGCCTCTAGATGTTTCCACACACTACCAGGGTTTTGCGGTTGGCTTCGGTTGGTTTATGTGCAACATTATGGTACCTGCCGTAGCGTGCGCTGGCCGATGCTTGTGACGGCGGGTTGGTTTTGAGAACCACGTGGAGTAGCGTTGTGGGAAAACACACAAAGTAGTCCACCAACCTTGAAAAGACTCATTGTTTGTATTCAAAGCAGGCCATCTCACTATTCACGATAGCTGGGTACGGCCCTAACCCATAAAGCAGTCAGAATGGTGGGGCTAGTACTCCTTTTGTTTTTGGTCCTTTGAGGATCGATGTGCATTTTCAGGTTTATGGACCAGAACCAAGCGCATGTTTCAGGCCGGGGGGCAACTGCTGAGGTCGACTTAAATCACGCGATCGATGTGCTGCGTATCAAGTGGTTACTAAATGTGGCTAAATCTACTAAAATAACGTATGATAGGACTGTTTGTAAGTTCGAGGGTTCAAGTACACAAATGGTTGTGGTCAAAAATTGGTACCCAACTGGCACCTTGGTAAATGGAGCCAAAGACTAAAACCAGCCGTTTGCCCTAGCTCCTTACAGCCAAACTTGAGCAGATAATACGTCGGATCCGTCCTGGTGGCCGGTCACGTCATCATGGCCCTCAGCTGAGAATGGGATCGGCGTAGTTGTTTCGTGTGATACCAAAAGTGGGCCATGCTCATCTGGGGCGGTGTTTCCTTTGACATATTGGCAACGAGATCCTCTGCCCAAAGGCACCCTGAACCAACAGCCTTGAACTATTTGGGTGCGGCTCTTTTTGAAGCTCGGCGACTTTTGTTTTTGGGGGGGGGGTTCAAGGGAAACAAAAGGAAAGTCACAATCATGTGAGTCTCGCTAGCTTTGATATGTAGCAGTTGTAGATGACAATTGATGGTGACTCCCTAGTGGCTATCTCGTAGATGTATCCCATGTCATTCCGCAGCGCATGATGAAGATTGACTGATCTTTCAGCGCTTCAGCGAGGTCTTCCTCGAGGCTCGCGTTGCTGACGCTCCGAAGATGAGCGATGAGGGAAACACGAAAAGGGGCATAGGTGTCCTTTTTGGGAAAATCGATTGCCCTTGGTAGTTGATTGAACCACCACATAAACCAGGAATCGCCCTCTATGTTTCAACCAAAGCAACCAAAAAGGACACCTATGCGACTGGTCTGTCCCCCAAGTGCCCGCCCTAGCCCGGGCCAACTCTGGAGCTGCGCGTTTCTGGCGGGTACACCTTGCAAGCCCTGCCGGCTTGGTCCACGAGCCCGGACTTGGCAGTCCCTTCATGTTAGTGGATGGATAATCACCAGGTAAAACCAAAACGGGGGAGATTTCCTCTCAGTCTTCCAAGTAAAAGGGGGGGTGGTAAAACCGCATTCACTTGCAGACTGTCCCAAGGAAGTCACCGAGCAGCAGGTGCAATGGAAAAGCCGATGTCGAACAAATCCGCAGCTTTTCTGGATGCAAGGAAACTCACCGAACATATCTTGGCCCTTCCAAACGACCGTTTTCATTCCAAGGACTGCTGAACAATCTTCCCACAGTCCCCAAACAAGTGTGTGTGTGTGTGTGCGTGTGTTGTTTGAGGGCGCCTTTTTGTTTGTGGTTCTAAACGAACAGCAACAGCAACACCTGGGTGTCCCCTAAAACAGGCATACCCAACTGAGAGCATTTGGGCTCCACTTGATCATAGCCCTAGAAAGGTGCTCGGTGATCAGCTGTGTGTCACTGCTCATCGAGTGGTTCGGAATTGCTTGTCACTAAAACTCACTTCCTGAGTGGATTCGCTCAAAAAGTCCGAGCCGGTGATTTACCACTAAAATGGTCTTGCGACAAAGTTTCAAGTCAGGAAGTGAGACAACAATCTTTCGCGAAAACAATAATCTTTCGCGGGAAGTCCCAAGTCCAAGCTGAGTGAGCAACAGCTACTGGTTTGCTGCTTGGCTTTGCCAATTGCACCTCACTACCGGGGAAAAACTGGGTTTTCTTCTTGGGCTTGCGGCCGACCCTCCCAAGTTGACTCCCAAAGAAAGGGGCAAAAAAAAAAGCGCTGGAGGGTAGCTCGCTAGCTCCGAGGCGCCCGGGCCCAGTCTGCTTCAGAGTTCGTGGACTGGCCAAGTGGGTGCGCGAGGTGCGGGGAATGAGATGATGGAATGACCCCGAGAAAAACCATCCAACGGGTGGCTTCCTTTAAGGGGACCCCGAAACGGTTCATTCCCACATACTGAGCACCAACAAGTCTTCCAAGACTCCAACATACCTATTGAGCATACCAAGCGTGCCATGATGAAGATTCCTTTCATAAAGGTGTCAGGGATATGCTCAAAAGGTATGTTGGAGGGTTCTCGGGACATTCCCAGCCGCACACCACCCAAACAACAGAACCCTTTTGTAACCAGTGCCCAGCAAGTCTGGTGGAAAATGAGAACCACGTCTTGGTAAAATACAGTTAATGTTGGGGCTGAACCCACCAACAAAAAAGGGATTGAAGAGTGGAATCCGCTGAGCAGTCCAGGTCCTTGCCAAGCTGAAAGACCGGTTGTTAATTTCTTCAGATAAACCCAACGATTCAAAATGCCCTGTGGATGGACAAATTTCTGCAGTTGGTAGGTGGTAAACCTAGAAGAGCATGGGTATGTGTCAGAATAGGACCCACGGCTTCCCTTTCAATCCTGGTTAAAAGTTCACCTATGGTTCTCTTTAGCCACGCATTTTCTCAAGGGATTGGCCGATGTTTTGAAGAGAAGGATCCATGAAGACAATGTGGAGGCGGCTAATGTCCGGTTGCCTGCGGCTTGCTTCGGGTATGGCAAACCCGGGTATGCGTCAACAAATGGTACCCTCCAAAAGGTGGCTGTCCCTTTGGTTTCCCTTGAATCCACCCAAAACACGTGCCCTCAAAAGCACACAAAAACATGTAGAGCACACACATCCATCATTTTTTGCGGGATCTTCTTTTGGAAGACCTCCTGTTCGGGCCTCATGGTGCTGGGAGTCCAAAAGCCAAGCAAAAACGAGCTGCAAGAGACATATCTGGTGTGGGACCTGATTGCCAAAAGCAAGAAGACAGACAAAACTAGAAGCAGGGTTTCCTGCGCCTGCGAATGTGGGTTCTGGAGAAGCAAGCGAAACTCCAAACCCCAAGCTCAACAAATATGCGGCAACCTTTGGGATGGTTGTTGCAGTTGTTTACCCAGCCAAACAAGACCAACCATCTAGGGGGATGACATCTTTTAGGACACGCCTACTTGCGTTATCAAATTGACCAGGAAATGAAGGATGCACTGCACCAAGTCTCCTTTTTGGACAGAGCCTACCGTCACAAAGGATTCCCTGCAAAACACACCTTGGAGATTGACCTTGATAAAGGGGACATAAACGCAAAGCAAGACTTGAATTGATTTGGCTGTGCGGGTGAAAATTAGGTACCCAACATGGAACCCAAGTAAATCGAACCAAGGACTAAAACCTGCGCTCCCCTGGTGGTTTAATTTTGACCCATACCCATTTTAGTGAGAAGCCAGCAAACCAAAAGGGAGTTAGAGGGTATCCACTGAAGACGTGTCAATGGCCTTTTGCTTTCCGTTGAGAAGCTCAAAACCCCTTGTCTACTCGTTTGGTTTGGGGCGTCCCACACCCAAAGAAGGGTTCTCAGAAGCTGCTTGGTAGACATGCTTAGAGGGGTTCTGAGTTTGTTTGTTTTCTTGCTTTTTCTCAGTTGTTCAGTGACCCTGGGAAAAAAGGGAACCCTTTTTGGGGAAGACCATTTTCAGTGGGGCAGCCACCAAAGAAAAAGGGAAAAAGGGTGCCACTGAACAACTGAGTTTTCTTTGCAGGGGAAGGAGCACCGCAACGCTTGGCCCAAGAGTGAAACACACAAAATCACCACAGAGATCTGCTCTAAGAACCCCCTGCTTTTCCTAGAGAGCACACCTTGTGGTCCCGAGTGCCTCTGCTTTTGGCGCCGCTTGCCTCCGACACTTGAAGGATCTCTAGCTCCGCTCTTCGAACCTCTGCCTTTTGGCGACCTTCAGCTGGAGGTCCTGAAGCCCAGTTCAGTTGATGCCGAGCGGCAGGGCGTGCGAGTTGGCACCATGTCCTGCACCACCTTTTTCACAGGCGGCGCGTCTTGGTGCTGTCGACTCTTCGAACTTTCGTGGCGTGGCATGGTCCACATAGGGCTTGTTGCCACTGGAGTTCTCCTGATGGGTTGCCAATAACTTCTGCCACTTTCGGAGGAGTTGCCATTCACTGGTGGGCTCCAGTAAAACTGCCGCTTCCAGAAATCCCATTGTTTTCGATTGGGTTTCCCTTCAGACCCCGCACATATTCAGGGCCAAAGTGAGCCAAAACGGGAAAACGGAAAAAAAAAACCCTGTGTCATCCACATCCCCCTTGCTGTGTCCACCGAGACTTTCGAAGGTTCCAAAATGCGAATCTCGCCTCCCGGTCGCAAAGCACCAGGCGCCGGGAGACCCCGCGCAGCAAGAGCGTGGTGTCCAGGGCCTCGAAGGGAATGAGACATGACCCCCGAGCGAAACCCATCCCACGGGTGGCGCGGGAGTCCCCGAAATCGGTGCATTTCAACCAGATTTTTGTGAGCACCAGCAAGTTTCGAAGGGTACTGGGGACAAACAATGGTGAGTCACCATCAAAACCGATCGGTAAGGAATCAATTTGAAAGCCGGCGAAGGCACGCATTTATGCTTGGGATTGTCCTATACATTCCTTTACTAACCTTCATCTACGCGGGTTTTGGTTGTGGCTCAGGTGGCCTTTTGGACAAATAGATGGCCTTGGTGAATGGAATAACACCCATCTAAACCAGTGCAATCTATTCCTAACCAAATTCACCTAAATCAAAAAGACTCCTATGGGGCGGAACAACACACACACATCCAGCCCCTCTTTGGTGAACAGGGAGGGTTTTGACAAGACTCTCAAACCACATGGAAGGGTCAAGGCATGAGGAGCAAACTTGCTAAACCGTTCAGCAAATTCTTTGGCCCATCACCCCCGATTTTCCACAGCTGGAAGCTGGTGCGCAAAGCTTTCGGGGAGGGTTCCGGAGGACTGTTTGGGGATCCAATCTGCTGGGATATTGGGGTGCCTGCGCTTGGGGTGAGATGGTTTAGTGCTGGTTCTTGGCTTGGGGTTGATTTAGGCTGGGTTTCAGGTTGGTGGGTGGTTTGAGCGGGGTTCAAATCACGAGTTTGGAAGGTTTAGCGGGTTGAAATAGGGTCTGCAAGATTTCGTGCGGCGGTTTCGGGGACGGAAATAGGTACCCTGTGCATCTTGGCATGGAACCCCGAGAAATAGCTTCAGTCCTTTGAAGGGACAGGGTCCACACGAGGAGTCTCCATGCAATTGGGTGCCACCGCCGGGGTTTCGCTGCTTTACTCATCGAGCCCCTCTTTGGTTTATGGGGGTCTTGACAAAACTCTGAAAACGGATGGAAAGCGCATTGGGTGTGAATAGAAGCAATTGAAGACAACACAACATATCCATCTCCTGGAATAAAGTGGGATTGGAACATACAATTATACAAATTCCCTGGATTCTAGCAAACTTTACAAATGCAATGCATTTTGTGCGGATTTGTCTGCTCCCTGCTACAAGCAAAGCGGACCACACACGAAACACCTGAACATGGCTGATGGCACCCCAGAGTCCGATTGATAAGTTTGTGGCCTCCATATGCAGGACTCTTAGGGTAAGCGGAATTGGGAAGGTTCATGTATTAAAACTCGCTTTCACGAGCCGCCCAAGAAATGGACTGCCTCAAGCCGGGTCATCTTTTTTGGGGTTTGAGAAGGTTTTCTCGGCTTTAGGGGAATCGGATAGTTTCACAATGTAGCAAGCAGCTACAGTTGCTCTGACAGGTGCTTTTCAATTTTCCGTCGTTGCAAAGTCGAATGCTGTTTCAGGCTCTAGGCTCGGAGACAACAATTGGATATGCAGGATATGACTTGTTTCTTCATGCTTTCAGATTGTCTACACCGTCTGTACGCTGCCAGGGACCCCTTTTTAGTAGACACACCAAACAGCCAAACAGGGCAACATAAACACCGAGCTGCTGAACTTTGTTTCGTCGACACGGGCCTTCTCAAGGGCTCGGCGTTGAGAACACGAGAATCAAAAGGTGCTCGAAGTGGCTTACCAAACACTAACTGAGTAGATGGCCCAAAAAAGTAACCAGACTTTTAGTTTATACCACTAAAACGGTCTTCCCAAAATCCGCAAATGTCCACAAAAACTTAGAAAGTGAGATCAGCCAAACCAAAAAGCCATCTTAAACAATCGACAGCGTGGATCTCTTGGGTTTTGATGACTCACGAGAGGTTTCGCCTCAAGGATGTAACTCATTGATGGGTTCGGGGCGGCCAGGTGAAAACGGAAAAGGGGTAGGAGGTTTCCCAACGCGGGGCGCCTACGGTTCGCATCCGTTCAGTTCGGCCAATGGAGGGACATTTAGGTCGCATCTGCGCAAACCCTTATTCCGAGGCCGAAAATATGAACCACTCATGCGTGAACAACTTTTGACCCGTGACAGCGTTGCCTTGCACTTTGTGCAGCCACATCCTGTGCCAAAATAGGTGTCGACATAGGGGGACTCCCAGAACAAAAATAATGAAGGGTACCAAGCTCAAACACGGGCGTACCCTGCATATTGTCCCTTTTAACATCACCTCGTTTTCAGCAAACTCACTTCGAAGTTCCCCAACCGATGCTAGGTCCTCCAGTAGAGAGGTTAGAATAAGAGTACCCTTTTTCTGTAGTCTAGTTTAGTGGGGGAACCCTCCCCCAGAACAGAAACGGTACAAGGGGCGCCTAGCTGGGGGCCCCGGCGGGAGATGAGGTGCCAGGCACCCACAGCGAGTGCTGCGCGCCCCCGGCGGAGATGTTGTCCAACTGGTACCATGCCGCCTCAAGACTGGCGGCCAAGCAGCTTGGCGGCAGAGGGTTGCGTTTGGTTTAGCAAAGTGCGGTGAACCAACAAAAATCCAGGGGTTGATTCCCCATGCTGTTTCCAACCATCGTTCTTTTTGGAAAACAGCGTTCTTTTTTCCCTCTTCCGGGTAGTTGATGGTTTCCTGAAAAGATGGATTCTTGGAAAGAATGGGAAATCCCCTAGAAGAAACAGGCTTCCAACTTGTTCCCATTGAAATACTAATGTCGCACTATCTAGGTGGTTTATTCCTGTTGCTGGCTTTTTTGTTCAATGGCGCAGGAGTTTGGCCATCCTCAGCCAAAAGAGGGTGTGCCTTAAAGCATTTGTGCGGGGATACTTGCCCTTACTTGCATTTTTGCCGCATCAACCGCAAAGCATCATCATGAGTTTACTTGTGTGTTGTTAGGCGCTACTCATCTCTTGTTAAGCACTGACCGTTTTCGCAGGAAGTGGGCAGAACCAACCCACTTCGTGGTTGTCAACTAACCCCTCAGCTGGTTTTTCACGCCCAGACCGCCCAATCAGGGTTCTTGATCAACCGTCAACGAGTGAAGTGGTGTTTTTCTGGCAAGGGGCGATCCCAACACACGTGGCCACCAGCAGACCGAAGTTATATAAACCAACCAGCTTATTCATAGGGTGGCTTTTTGGCCCCTTCAAAAGTGGGCTGAGTCCCCACATTTCACCCAGGGACACACCCTTAATCATGAAAACTGGGGTTGATTTTCTCTCGGGTCAACGTTCGCCAATTTCCAACAACCATGGCAGCAAACCAGCGGACTTTTTTTTGCATGATGGGAGGGTTCAAAAGATATGCTCAGAAGTTCTTAGGTCATTGCTTTCTTCCAGGGCATCCTCCTTCATGGCCCTTGGACCTGGGTTCAACCCCCTTTGACAGAATGGTTGATCCAATTTGGATGATGAGACTTCTAGGCGCTTGTATCAGCCCCGAGCCCATTCGCTACACAGCAACGGAAAGGATTCACGGAACCACACAAGCTGGCAGTAGCTTTTTTGCTCCCACTCAATGGAGTGAAGTCGGCGGGCCAACACATAAAGCGGAAGTTGACATGTGTAGTCCATGAGACCCATTCAGAAAGCGGATGTCTGCATGCTATGGCGCCTCGCGCTAGAGTTCTGGATGTCTACGCTGTGCTTCGTACGTCCTGGCGAATGCCTAAGTACATTAACTAAATGATGCCTCCGAGCACACTGGGTCCATTCAACAAACACAGCCAACTTTAGATGTTTAAAAAAAAACTACGCCCACAGTGGTTGGAAGCCTTCCAACATGTTCACTTGAATGACCCTAGTCTCCCCATGGCAGCACTTGAAAATGAGTACCACTAGACCAAACACCTGCACCACCTGGACCTCCAACCCCTGGTTTTCGGGAGAGGAAAATCTGTGAATCCCCCCGAGAAGGAAAGCTATGTCTGCATCTTGTTTCCATGACTCCAAAACCTGAACGAAGGGGGTTAATTCTAGGAACCGGGCTTGGATGCGGTTTTTGTGGATCCAACCCTGGATAATAAAAGAGTACTAGAAGAGTGCTAAAAAAGAACCTACACAAAGAAACATCGGTGAAATCCACGCAAAAAGGGCAAGACTCCAAATCGCTTTCTAGACATGCCAGGCACAGCCGCCCTTTTGGGTTTTCCTTTTTTGGGCTCCCCGGTTGCCTGTGTCTCGCCAGCGCCCAGGATGCGGCCTGACGGGCGAAAGCTGGCACCAAGCACGAACATGGGCCTTGAACAGGGATCCATATTATATTATACACCGAACATTGCCTTGTAAATGGTGGTTTTGGTGGAAAAAGCCATGTTTCAAATGGTTGCAACATGTATCTTTTAAGGAGCCCTGTTGAAACATAGCCAGATCCATTTCCCAACAAAACCGACCTGGTGGGTTCCCATAGCCGGATCCATAGCCTTTAGGGCCTTTAGGGTTCCCATCGTTCAGGACCAGTCCATGCGGCTCACATGGCTATGGTCAACCTTACAGGAACTGGATCCTAGGAAAAGGAGAACTGCTGGGCGAAATTCGCGAAAATCCTCGGCACGAAATGATTTTCTTGGTCGAATCGAATCAGAAACCAGGGTGTCTGAACGGTGCGAAATGGGTTTCGTCCATCCAGGGTAAGATTCCCAGAAGGTCCCTTGGTACCCTCGTGATTCTTGGGTCAAAGGGTGTAAAGTGCCATAAACGGTTCCTTTGAGGGATTCGACCCCCCCGTCTCCTGAACCTCCCCTCCTGTTTCCCCATGTTTGTTTGTACTTTCGACAAGTAGACGCCTTGGAATATTGAAGACAAAGACGTCTTCGAAACTAGTGAAGACCAAGAAGCTTGGAATTCATGTAGCATGAGTTCCTACGCACATTGGACAGAAAGTTTGACAATCTCTCTCTCTCTCTCTCTCTCTCTCTCTCTCTCTCTGTCTCTCTCTCTGCCGTTGCGTCCAACCGCGTCGATTTGACAATCTGGCAGGTAGGTAGGTTAATTGGTTGGTCGGTTGGTTGGTTCGTGAATGGTTTTCTCTTAGCAAAACCGGCGGCAAGGCCCGACCCGTGGGGGTTGCTGAATTCCGGGCGCCCCTAGTCTAGCCGCGAATCCTCGCATGGATCCATTCCACTTGCCAAGCAAACCACGGAGCCAACGTTGTTTGGATCCCGGCCTACGCCTTGTCACTCTTCGGCGGTTTGGATTTGGATCTGAACCCCAAGCTCCTCTTGAGGCATGGAAAGACCCTCCGTTTAACCTCAAAAAAAAACCATCCCAATTGGGCCAACCCTCCCATCCACAAACATGGAACCTGACAGTTTGGAGTTGGGGGGGGGGGCCTGGTTTTGGAGCATTTACTGACCCTCTGGTGGTTTGTTGTTGTTGGTTTGTTGTTGTTTGTTAATTTGTTTCTTTGTTTGTTTCTTTGTTTCTTTGTTTCTTTCTTTGTTTGTTTGTTTGTTTGTTTGTTTGTTGGTCTCTCGTTGTTTGTTTGTTGTTTGTTGTCTAGTGCTTCATGTTACGAGAGGCATTCCCAAGGCCGCAACCAGGCGAGGCGACGCAGGCGAACACCGTCCAGAGCAAAATGTTGAATTCTCCAAGTGGATCCCCTTGAGACACCATCCACATTAAACGTATGTATTCTTCTTCTTTTTTTGTATGGGTGTGTCTTTTTAACTTAAGTTTTTGTTTTCAAACAACAATGTGCTTTTCCCTTTCGGGTGTGTCTCTTTTAAGGTTGGACCCCCAAACTGGTGGTTGTCCTTTTGGTTTCCTTTCAAACCAACCCCGAACGGGGTACCCAAAGCACGACACACCCATAGAGACATTTGGTGTTTGCATTTTTAGACCGGGCTTCCTGGTCTGGCCCGGCCTTTCGCGGTTTCCGGAGCGTTTGTTTGTTTCATTGAGGTTCAGAAAACCAACCTAACAATAAGGTCAATCATTGGGGACCTTGACCACACATAACGAACGCCGGAAGGTCCTTTCAGGTCGATTCGCTTGGGGCAAGTTTCACCACCCGCTAAACCATGGCCTGATTTTACAGGATTTAGAATTATCCACTACGTGCCTGCAGGATCTGGAGAGCTTGCGTAAGCTTTACCTCTTGGCACCTTGACCATGGGCAGGTCGGTCCCCCCCTTTCCTTTGGCTGCCATTTAAACCGACCCCCCAAATAGGTGCCCTCTTTCCCACGTGGACCAAGGAAAGCGGCTCTGAGCAAAACGGTCGATTCGCGGTTCTGAGCCCATGGGAACTCGATTCGCGACTGGTTGGAACGTGAAGGAAGGGAGCCCCAGGCTTCCAATTAGTATCAAAGGTTAAAACGGCTTCTGCTGAGTCTTGGGGCTCCTACTGCATTTCCCCTTTAGACATCGCCCCAAGCAGCGACTCACCTAGAGGCTCTAGAGGTGCAAAAGTGACTCTCAAACAGACTTGACAGGAACATACCGGCCTGGTTTGTCTTGGACCCCCTGCAAAAGCTAAAACATGCTGCTGGTCAGTGGGGAAATAGTCCTTTTCACTCGTATCAAAGAGAAACCAAGTACTCGTACTTAGATAGTCTGGGGGGAACCGCAAAGTGGTTTGCAGCCCCGGCAACGCACGAAAGCCATAGGAAGTCCGGAAGTCCCCTTCCACGGTTACTCACCATTTCGCGATTCCCCCCAGACCATCGAAGTAGGGATCCCCGAAATAACTCCAGGTCTCCCCAGCCCCGAACCCAACCCCCGGGAACCGAGTCCTAGCCGGGCGACCCATACCTTGCTGGGGAAACAGGAGGTCCGAGCCGAGGCTTGCGCCTACCAAGGTCTTCGGCTGCTCAGGGTCCGGGAACACAAACCGCCGGACCTCGAAACGTCCAAACCGGGCCTCCGTGCGAGCCCACCGACAAGTGGAAGCTTGCACCCGAATCAAAGGACCTCCCCAGTGGCGCCCTCTTGTCGAAGGGAACACAAATCAACTATATAAGGCAAGGTTGGCTTTGCTTCCCATGCCACTGAGAGGTGAGGGGGGGATTTTCAACTACAGGGCACCCGCTTGCGGCCTGCTTGCCTTTCAAGGATTGGAATTTGGAAACACGAGCTTGCCTCCCTTCGGTTTACTCTTGCTCTACAAGGTGAGTTTATCATTTTCAGTTCAACCATGTTTCTTTTCAAAATCCACCGATCTCTGGTGCACAAGCAATTTTTGTCCATCCATAAATTTCAAGTATATAGTTGGAATCCTGTTAACCACAATTTGCCAGTGGGTGCGGCGACTTCTCTTCTCCACGCGATGCTTCGTCGAATTTCTTCGTCCAACTCTAAACTGTCTCACTTGTAGTGAGCTCTGGCAAGACTGCTGATCCTTGGACCCTCCATTTGAGGCGGCTGGCTCTCCATTGGCTGCGGGTTTTTGAAAGCCCCCCTGCCTAAGACGCTTACCAAAGTCGCAAAAAAGGTGGTGCCGTTCCTAAGGGCAAACTGCCTCAGCTGCGGGAGCACGGCATGCACTCTCTGGACTGTGCCCAAAAAGGGTCGGTTGACTCGACCAGCTGATGTCATCACTCCCGGCACTCCATCGCCACTGTGAGGTTGCACGTTGATACCTAGAAACGCTGAACATCACGATCCCACTTTGACGACTTTTGCCACCAAAAGCGAGTGTTTGGGAAAAATTGGGGCCGAGGAGCAGCTGCTCATGGTTTTTGTTCGCGCGATGTCCCTTCCAGCGGAAGCCAACGTATATATATATATATTTATACATTATATATTATATATATACACATGTAAGTAGGTTGATGTATTGTACATGCATATATAAAAGCAGGGGACCTGTTTCAATATAGGGGGAGACTCAAACCACGGGCCGCTTCCTGTCGGCTTCCCATTAAACCAACCGGCCAACGTGCACGCTCGACATCTGGGTCTGCGGACCTCGCAGGGTCGCATCACCCACTCTTCGTGCACCTAGCGGAGACTCCGAAAGGATTCGCGACTCCAAAAGGCGAAGCAGACAAGGATGTGGCTCAAAATCAAAGAGCTAGGCTTACGCAGGCGTTGGTATTGAGTTCCATTTGCCACGGTGCCGTTTTGGTACAGGGTTTTGAGACACAGCCACAACGTGCACACCGCTCGCTTGAGACACAACCGCAAAGCCTTAGTACTCTTCCATTTGCTTCAGCACCCCTGCAAAATTTAGGAGAACATATGTCCAGTAGCGATAGATTCTCTTTAAAACCAAATAATGAAAATAGAAAATACTATTTGCGGCAAATGGAAGTGTTAAAGCAAACCCTGACAGGATCACAGCCACTTCCATTCTCTGCCCCCTTTGGTTGCCTCTTAAGCTCGGAACGTATTCCGCTTGGGTCCGGGCCGAGGGATCAGTGCCCTCCTGGTATAACACCACCTCGTCTCAAGCCGCAAAGGGCTTCCACGGAGCAACATCCCTGGATGTTGAAAGGTTCCAATGAGGTAGTCTGATGCTTTACAAAAATATTAATTCAGGCGCAAAGAACAAAAGCGACACATTTCATGGGTTTGTTGTGCTTAAACGCTGCAACAATATCTACCACGATCGGCTTGCATAAATTTACTCCCACTCGGCCCCCGTCGGCATGGTAGAACAATAATGGCCGAGGCAAGGACATTCAAAGGGAGCACAAGCAATTGCTGAGTTGTCTGCACTTGTGGTGTTGTCACCTCATTAAAACCCAAACATACAAAGAAGTCAGCAAGCACATTGCCAAGCACATAAGCAAAGCAAAACAAGCAATCACATAAACAAATAAATCGTCACACAAACAAACAGACACACAAGCAAACAAACAAACAAGCAAGCAAGCAAGCAAGCAAGCAAGCAAACAAACAAACAAACAAGCACACATACACACACACAGAAAGCCAAAGAGACAAATGAACAAAGAGACAAAGAACAAGACGACAACCAAGACGACAACCAAGCAAACAAACAAACAAACAAACAAACAAACAAACAAACAAACAAACAAACAAACAAACAAACAAACAGCCACACACACAACAAAAAGAGACAAGCGGACAAACAGACAAAGCAAAGGACTACCAAACAAGCACGCAAGCAAGCAAACAAACAACCGCACACACAGAAAGACAAAGAGACAAGCGGACAAACAGACAAAGAAAAGGACTACCAAACAAGCATGCAAGCAAGCAAGCAAGCAAGCAACCGCACTAACCGCACACAAAAAAGACAAAGAGACAAACGGACAAGCAAATAAAGAAACAAACAACCAAACAAGCACGCAAGCAAGCAAGCAAACAAACAACCGCACACACACACACACAAAAAGAGAAAGAGACAAGCAAACACACAGACACAACACAACAACACCAAACATGCACGCAAGCAAGCAGGCAAATAAACAACCGCAAACACACAAAAAAGACAAAGAGACAAACGGACAAGCAAATAAAGAAACAAACAACCAAACAAGCACGCAAGCAAGCAAGCAAACAACCGCACACACAAAAAGATAATGAGACAAGCAAACAAACAGACACAGAACAACAACACCAAACATGCACGCAAGCAAGCAAATAAACAACCGCGGATACACAAAAAGACAAAGAGACAAGCGGACACACAAACTAAGAAAAAGACAACCAAAAAAAAGACAACCAAACAAGCACGCCAGCAAGCTAGCCAGCCAGCCAGCAAGCAAGCGAGCGAGCGAGCGAGCAAGCAAACAACCGTACGCACAAAAAGAGAAAGAGACAAGCGGACAAAAAGACACGGAACAACAACACCAAACACGCATGCAAGCAAGCAAACAAACAAACAACCGCGCACACACACACAGAACAAAACAAAAAAAAACAGACAAAGAGACAAGCGGACAAACAAACGAAGAAGAAGACCACCAAACAAGCACGCAAGTAAGCAAGCAAACAAACAAACACTCAAACATGCACAACGCTCACACAAACAAATTGACAAAGAACCAGACAAAGAAACACACAAGCAAACAAGCACGCAAGCAAGCAAGCAAACAGCCACGGCAGCGTCTCTCTCCGCAGGACCGCAGAGTGCGCGGCTGTATGTCTGAAGGAACGGTTCTCGATCTCGAAGGGCCACTGACCCCTGCGTCTGCTTCGAGAGAGTCCCGACAAATCACTCGAGTCGTACAAATGGCGAGGAATTTTCACAGACCCACTGAAGAATGTTGATGTGTACATAAATCCCCACCTGAATGATGTACAGTAAAGGGTCCCCCGTTCAACTTCATGCCCCAAACACGATGACCCCGATTCATAAACCTGGCGGATTAAGAAGGGCGTGCTACCCCGAAAGTGGAGAAATTCCCTCTAAAATGGGACAGCCCCTCCAAACAAAAAGTTGAAAGGGCACCTCCGGTGTGTGCTTAGACCAACGTGAGCAGTACGGGCTCTGATTGGACCCTCTGGAGGCTTTGGCGGTCCCTGCAATTCGAAAAACAGCAAAAACCCAAATTTTCCCAATCTGAAGTATTTCGCCTTGGAGGCTTTGAGGTCTCTCTTTTTTTTTACAGACCAACTCTTGACCTATCCCACGTTTTTTTAGGTTTCATAGTTTCTTCTGCTGGAAAACCCTACCTTTGGGGCCTTTGCCGGGTTTCTTTGCTTCGCTTGGGGCATCGGCTCCGAGAGGACCAGGAAGAGCGTGGCGCCCTCCAGCTGCACGGAGGCGCGGACCTGTCGACTGGGCCGAAATCGAGCCGTGGGGCGGGGGAGGCCAAAGGGAAGCCCCGAAAAGGGTTCCATGTTCAAGAGGGAGTTTCAAGGGGGTGATGGGTCTACATGCTTCATATGATTTATAGCATAAGTCCACGTTTGTAGGGGGAGGGGCCTAAAGAACCAAAATCGAACTGGCTTCTTCTGGATCCAAACAGTTGAAAGTTAAAGGGTGAAAGGCTAAAGATCTAACCAAATGGTCGCCAGGTTACCTACAAGTGTAGTCGGTTTGCAAAACCAAAAGAAACAAAGATCTGGTAACTGGAGGTAGCCAAGGAAACCGGCCTAATACATAAGTTGGCTTTGTAGAGACCCTCTTTGACACCCAGCAATATCCTTGGTAACCAACGGACCTCTTGGGAAAACCTAACTCATCATGTCTGGCTCCCTAGTAGACATGGAGTGATGCGATCGATGGTTCGGCGGATTGGGGTTTGTCGTGAGGATTCCTTGGTGCAGGGTAACCTGCGACTAATCAATAAGGCCTATGTGGATGCGTCTTAAAATAGGGGACCCAAAACGAGTGGTTTCCTGTCGGCGTCCCTTTAAACCAACCCCCAAAAGGGTACCCTCAAAAAAAACATACCCATATGGATTCCTTTTAAGTGCTTTCTTTTGGGGGCCCGGCCCCCTCTCTGAGGGCCCCTGACAACCATGAAAGTTGAAGGAATCATAGATGTTGGCGGTTTCTACATCCCAGTTGCTCCGGGACGGTGAAAACATTACTTGTAGGGAATTGAAGAACCTGGACCTGTGCCAAAATGTTTCGGTGTATTGGGTCACTGTTTAGCTCCGGGAAGAAGGCTTCTGAGCACCTTGGGTGGTCTTACGGAGGCACAAGTCGAGTCGGATCCTGGCCAAACAACCCTCTTCAGGGACTGGGTGCTTGTAACAGGTGCAAGTGGGTTGTAAAAAGGGCTCCTAAGAACAAAACTAAGCACCCGATCGCCTCCTTAAGCATGTCGGGAGGCTGTATGGCATGGTCTATCTGTAAAGAACGAAACGTGGGAGTTGGTGTCTGTCTTGGACAGGTGCATTCAAGGAGTGAACGTCTCAACACCTTAAAATGTAAAACATCGGAGGAGACCCCTACAGACACTCAATCAAAACCTCCTGTGAAATCAAGCGCTCAGAAGGCTCTCCCAACTTCTGACATCAACCATGTCTGAATGTCTCAGCCCCCAAAAGCCGTTGTACAACTTGTGTCCTCACCAACATGCTACAGGCCTCTGCAGAAAACTGGGTAGACTTGCGGTGGTTGCTCTAAATATTGCAAGTAAACCAGACTCAACCCCGAAACCATGGTAAGTTATCTTGGCTGCCCTCAGATCCCCCCGCTAAAAGTTTAACTTTCAGTGGGTTAAATTGAAACTGCCACTAATTAAACACTCAAGGGCTAAAAAGCTAAGGAATCGCATGGCTGGGAGCCAAGTTATAGTAGGCCGGGGGGATTTCCCTTTGTTCCCCTCCCTTTTACCCCATCCACCGTACCCACCGTCCACCTGTCCAGGGCTTTTTGTACCGAGCCCCCGCGCCAAGAGAGGTGGGCCGCCGTCCAGGTGGCTCAGGGCACAAATGGTGTCCCCGACCTCTCGGAGGCGTGCCGATCGTGTCACTTTTTGGTGGAAAGTCGATGGCCCGGGGTCATTGCCGTTGACCCCTCTGCCAAACAAAGTCGTTCAACTTTTGGTGGGTCCAATGGAAAAAAGAAAACCTGTTTCCTGCAAGAAGTTGAGAGTCCAAGGATCCAAGTAAGTAGCCATAAAGCGCTGGCAGATAAAACAACGAGGCCGACCAGGATTCCATCTATGCTCGACCAAAATAACCAAAAAGGGCACCTATGCTACTGATTGGAGGCCATAGTCATGGTCAAACTGACGAAGCATGCGCCCGAATGGACCAGAAACTACTGGAAATCACATGTGATTGGATATCTCACGGCCACGTGCCTTTCACACCTCACAATGTGTCAATCATCATCGGCAAATGCCATAAACAGTCATCAAATTAAGCACAACATCTCTCAAGCACAAGTTACATGCACCGGAATGACATCAACCATCCAAGATGCACAGTCTCTCCAGAAAGAGTTTTGTCGTCCCTTTCAGACAATATTTTTTTGTGCGACTCTATCCCAACACGTGACTACTGATAATGAGAGTCAGATCGCACATTTGCATCACACCCACACCGACTATGAGAGACTGCATGGTTTGGTGGCCCTTGCACCGACAACCTATGCATTTGCACTACTGAGGGTGCGGCCCCGATGTCCCTCCCACATGGACCACGGCAAACTTTGAGCAAGCTTCATACGGTCAGCGACTCTGAACTTCCATCCCTCAACTCCAACTGGGAACATCATGGCGGCGTTTCCCTTGTACCCAAAGCAATTGCTCAATGCTCCATTCCATTTCTCCAGTCTTCCCCACAGCTACGAATGCCAGGCGTCACCCCCTCCCCGATGAGTCTTTAGATCTGGGACCCCCGGCGGCAGACAGCGGAACTTGGTTGGACCACCTCACCAGCGTCTCTCACGAGTTCCGTCACGCACTAAACGTGGCCCATGGCCATCAGAGGGGAGCCAGTGCACTGCAGTGTTTGTTTCGAGAAAAAAAACTGTTTGGGAGGTTGCAACTGTTAACACCCATGAGCAACGACTTGTTTCAGGTATGACCCTCCCGTGGGTTCCTCAGCACTCCCTCCAAAGGCATTTTGCATTTGATCATTTGCAGAATCCCTCTCGGGGAGGCAACCAGGTACTTGGGAACTGGATAGGAACCCTTGAGAGTTGCATACGTTTTGCAGTTGACATGGATTTCGTCTGAATCTCGCTCGCCACTGTCATTCAGCTGTTGGCCCTGGGACCCAGAGCCCCAGCAAAAGTCCCCCAAGGTAAAGCTCGCACAAAATAGGTGCATAGTCTGGGCTCGCAGGGTGGGGGTGGTTTGGAGCTGCTTTCAAGGAGATTGCAGAGGTTTTGGGAGGACTTACTTCCTCCCCTTAAAAAACAAAGACAACAATAAAGAACCTTCACACCGGACCCTTACAGTTTGCTCCAAAGACCCCAGGCTAGAAAGTCGGTCCCTGCAACCAATCTTCTGCCCGTGTGCTTTCTGACAACAGCAGGGAGAAGTCCAAACAAAAATGGTGGATTTCCATTACGGAAGCCGCACTTTTGGTAGTTGATTCAGGGAAGCCCCTCCAAAGGAAGGGAAGCAAGCGACCCAATAAAGCTCTGAGAACTTCCAACCGCCCTCCCGGCCCGCGACGTCGCGTCCGCCCTTGAGTGGGCGCGCCTGGTTTCGTCCTGGCAAGGGATGGGAGGAGCCCAAAACCGTTTTTCATGTTTGCGTGTCCGCATGCACTCGTCGCGAAAAGTACTTTGCGACATGAAACACCTTTTCTGGGCTCAAGTCTCTGAGGAGTAATGACTTAAACATCGAGCCGCAGATAGGCTTCGGACCTGGCAGCGATGCCCACTTTCAGTCCAGCGTCTCCAACTTTAGGACCCACCCGGAACATGCAGAGTACATTCCCTCTTCGAAAAAAAACAAGGAAAAAAAAAGCGCCACCCCCTGACTGAGATTTTTTTAGTAAGACATCTCCACTGATATCGCAATGGGAGACATTTCCAACAAACCTCAACCTCAGGCAGCTGTAGGGAAATCCACCAATACGCGCCCAATGTGAACTTTTGCAGGCCAATTGGAAACTGATTATAAAAATGCGCTTCAGAACATATTCAATCATAGGATCGGCCTAGCTCCCAGATTTCCGGATCGTGCCAACAAACAAACGGCCAGCGTAAAAGCCAGCAAGCCGAATTTGTTGATCAAAGCAAACAAAGAGTTCGCCGAATGGCAACAGGCTACTGTGCTGTGAAGGCAAATATCATCGAGCGCAAAGGACAGCTATGCACTCAAATGCAAATGTTAGGGGGTCACCAAAAAGAACAGCATATTTGACAAGGGCCAATGTTGGAAAAACGTCATTGGCGCCGAATAACCCTTGACAACAGTCCATACCTAGGAACCTTCATGGGTGATCTCGTTTTACCCCTGATCCAAGGACCCTCCGTACCCCAGATTCTCCCAGATTCATGATTGAACAAGAAGGTGTCCTTCATTCCCAAGTTCTGTATTCCCACAAACCCCTCTGCACAATCAGAAATTCCCCACCCTGTTAGAAGCGGAAATGGGTGGTTGCTTTGCTTTGGTCCGTAAAATGCAAGGAACATCACCAAACAAGGTCGGCCGTACCTCAAAAGTCATAGGGTGACTCCCCCCACATGGTGTCTTCGCAACAATGCACTTGTACCTGCAGCCCTCCCCCCCAAGAACCGGATGAACAGGATGAAACTAAGAGCAAACCGCGTGAACCTTATCTGGGCTGCCCTCAGATCCCCCCCTCAAAGTTTAACTTTTAGTGGGCTAAATGGAAACCACCAGTAAGCACTAAAAGGCTAAAAAGCAAAGGAACCGGATGGCTTGGAGCCACCAAGTTATATGAACATCTATTGTTCAGCTGTGCCCCTATGTCGTTGCCGGATCAAAGCCATGGCGTTTGGTGCCGAAAGTCCAAGGCGGCCATGGTGCCCCATGTCCATCTTGGGATTCTTGGGCACTCCCTCAGTCTGCAACCTAGTGACTACGCTCCGCAAGGTCGACTCTTTTTGGGGAATTATTTTTGGGGTAGAACAACGGTTACCAACGATACCTCGAGCTGTATTTTTGAGATACCCCTCTGAAGGTTGCCTTTGTGGGAAACCAAGGACCACCCTTCTGTGGGCTTCATGGCCTATCTGAAGACAAAAACCACTGGGTCCTTTGGACAGGTCGATGAGCGTCTCGTTTTGGGGGGTCCCCTTTTTCCGTGGTGTTAAATGAATATCAACAGAAGACCACTCATTTTGTGGGAGACAAACCCAGATGGCACTGTTGGGAAACATCTCTTGGTTTCCACGAAAGGGAAGTACATCCCACGCCTCTTGCGGCACACGGCCACTGAGTTTTATTCCATTTATGCGGGTGCTGCCTGAGGGTAGCCTTCTCATGTTGGTGCAAAGCGAAACAAACTGAAAGCCACCACCGGTCCCCCTAATTTGACACATACCTGTGTGGGGCAATTCAATACTCACGTTGAGTCCGGAAAAAACAAAAAGTCTGGCCGATGCAAATGGGTTGCACGCCCTCAATGAGGCGTTTCATCCAGGCTTCCCATATGTTCTACACCCCGGTCTGGTTCCTTCTAGGTTTCTTTTGTTTTTCTGCTTCTGTTTCGAACCTGGGTGAATTAAAAGACCATAACCTTGAAAAACACATTAACTCAGCTTATAATTCCTTATTTACGCACATTTGGTTGGGCCCTGAAACAAAAAAAAAACATTTCCAGCAGTGATACATTCCGTTTAACATCAAAGAAAAACAAGCACTCCTATAAGCAACTGGAGGCTGAACCGTAATAAGCACGAACCCCTCAAACCAAAGGTCCAACCCTTGCCCTTCGACGCGCGCCTCGCGCAGGCGGAAGGAGACGAGGGGAACCAGGGCGGAGTCCTTCAAGGAGCTGAGCGCCTCGAGGCGAGAGGAGTCTCTGATCCCCCGCGAGAGTGACAAACTTTTAGTGGGTGAAATGGAAACTACCGCTAAACACAAGGCTAAAAAGCTTTAAGGGGATGGCAGAAAACAAATCTCGTACTTCTAGGGGTACCTTCCATTTCCATTCTTCCAGGGATCCGATTATTTTCAGGAAGCCATCAAAAACCAAGGTCCTAAAGTACTTGTTGTTTTCCACTAAGATGGCAACCAAACCCAAAAAGAGACTCAGTCTCTCAACGGAACTCCGGAGGTGAGTTCATCCAATGGAATTTGGAGCTGTGAAGGTCATACAAAAACCATACCTGGCAATGCCCTTTGCTGCCCGTTACCAACCCACTTTTTGTGACTTGCATGATTAACTCCCAAAACTGTACCTGGAAATGCCCTACCCTTGCTGCCCCAACCCACTTTCTACCACTTGCATAATTTCCTCCAAACACCATTCCAGGAAATGCCCTACCCTTTGCTGCCCCAACCCTCTTTTCTCATAGTGAAAGGTATGAACAAGCCGTTTGGATCACTTACACAAAAGGTGTTGGTTAAACCATCGCTCGGGTGGGTTTTGGGGTGGTTTAGAGTGGTGGGTGGAACTTTTGCACCAAGCCAACACCGGAGGCCCTGGAAATCCCACCCAACCATAGGACACTTACTTGGCTCACATCTGCAGTACACAGACTTCACAGAACATAATGCTTTCAGATTCGATGTTTCCTACGGTGGATGGACGAAATCCGTTCGCACCAGCTGGAAACCATGGGAAACCATTGCTTGTTGGTATTTGCAGGGGAATCAAATCATTCCAGGGCTCCTTGGGTGGTGCGAAATGGATTTCGCAACCATCCACAGTATGTAGTCTACCCTGAACAATATAAGGACAGCCATAAGGACAGCCCTGCTTCATGGAGGCGGGCTTTGCAAAAGGGGCTTGGTCTTGACCCCATATTCGCCCACCTGACCTGACAGACCAAATAGGCCGGCATGTCCCAACGAAACGTATGAAACATCCAACCAAGATCAACCAGGGTGAACTGGGTTCCCATTCAACATCATTCGTTGAGTCATGGCCAGGGAAAATTTCTTAAAGGGAGAGTCATACGCTTTCAACGTGACCCATGGGGTGGACTCAACCACTTGCTTATGCCATGGCTATAATTACTAGTCTCATGTCTCGGGCCACTCGCATCGGACCTCTGCGCTTCCCAACTCTGTTCTTTGCCCTAACATCTGAACCAAAAATACTAATAGACATCCAGAATAGATTCCGACTCCCTTAAAAACCAAAAAAATAGGGCAAACAAGTCAACCAGAATTCTTTTGCAAATGGAAGCGACGTCTTCGAAGTAAAGAACCGCCAGCTGGCGGCCGAATTAGGCTCCCGGCCCATGAGTCCGGCTGCGGGATGGCGCCGATGGACATGGTGGCACCTGAGATCCGAAGAGGACCTGGTGGCCCCCCTTGGAACCTGAGAAATGGCGGGGCCTGGTGGGGCTAAAACAAAGACATTGGGGGTGGGGGGGAGGGGTTACGGGGGTTGACCTGATGTCCCTGAGGTTCATGAATTTTCCAAACTTGCGATATGTCCGATAGGCAAAGAATGAGTAACAGAATGACCCCGCAAAAATCAAGCCATCCGATTTGGCTTTCTTGCGCGGATCGGATCCGGTTCAGTCCCAAAAACCACCAATCGCACCAAGCCTAGCACCTGGACCCTTAAAAGCGGGTGGCTGCACTCACAAAATTGGCTGATTCACATCCACTTAGGGAAACTCTATATGTGTAAATAAGCTATGCCCCTGGTTTCGCGGATGTTCAACCTACTTCGTAAGTGGGCTATAGTCCTAATCTCCAGCCAAACAACCCTAGTTTCTTGGAAACTCAACCCAACTAGGTCCTCCAGTAGAGAGGTTAGAATAGGGGTACCCTTTTTTTCTGTAGTCTATTTTAGTAGGGGAAGCCTCCCCCAAAAAAAGGGGTGAGAAAGGGCACTACTGGGGGACCTAGCCAAAATCAACCCTAGATATTGGCTTCTGCCAGGCGTGTGCCACCAAGATGCCAGGGGCCAGCGCGGGGTTGCGGGCCACACTCGCGTCCTCGCAGCAAAAACGGCATGCACGCTTGTCGGGTGGGTCTGCGCCTGTCGCTCACGGACCCTTGGAAAGCACCAGATTTTGTCACTTTGAGAGGAGATTGGTCCGATTTTTGAATGCCCAGCTCAGGTTCCATTGCAAGGTCGGCAAGGGGGATGTGAGGGTAAATGGCCTTCTGTGATTTTTTTCGACACAAAGCAGGGACTCACTCAGTTTCCCATTTTGTGGGAGGAACTGAGCCCTCGCCAAAATCAGCCCAGGTGGTATCCGCTGTCAAAATGACAAGTCTTCCCCCAAGAGGACATGGGAAACTGAGTCAGTCCTTGTTTTGGGTTGGAAATTCACAGGATGACATGTATCCTCACATCCACCATCGACCTTGCAATGACACCTGACTGGGGATTCGAAAATTGGCCTTCTGGTGCCCTCATGTTAATTGGTGGTAGCAATCTTCCCCAGAAAAGGAAGAATGGAACCATAAATGGGTGTGCCTTTTTTAGGGCACGCCTCCAAAATTGTATGTTTCTTTTGGTTTCTCTTTCAAGCCCCGAAAAACGGGTACCAAAAAAGACAGATCCACATGCAATTCCAGGGGTCACCCCATAGTTCCACTTTAGGTGGGTGGGCATGGTTGGAGGGTATGGCTCACACAATCAGAAGCAAGGACTCATGCAGTTCAGATCAGCTTCATATCCAGTCTTCCCTAGAATGTAGCGAGGAGACCCCAAATAAAGGGGCGACCAATGGTGAAATCATGTGAAATCGGTATAACTAGCGCAAACCCAATCAGGTCGAAGAACATGTTCTCCAGTCCTTGCTGTGCGTGCTGACTTCGTTCTCCCAATCGCCTGGGACTCAAGCGACTGGCAGATGACAAATTGGCAGACTGTGCGGGTCTCATAGCTGTTCCTGTTGCGGGTTTCAGCCATGGTGTTTAACCACTTATACTTAGTAATGCACGCGGGGAAACTTCCGAGTCCCCGATATCCACAAATTGACCACAGACTGCACAGTTTCACCGAACCTGAGGCAATGTTGATCAACGTTGGCCAGAAACAAGTGCAACCACAATTGATCAATTCGACCAACCATGGTTTTGAATCGCTTCCTTAGTAATGCACACCACACATGCAACTGAAATGGGCTGGTTTTTGTGAGGGTACTCTTTTTGGTTTAAAGGGATGGACCCTGCCAGGTGTAGCGAGATGTCTCAATGATTCGGATGGAAAAATCCGCTTTGCGCCAGGTGGTAGGTGGCTTATCCCAGTGACAGGGTTTCGTCTCTCCCAACTGGTAAATTCACAGTATGTCAGCGAATGGTGAATGGAAGCCCTGAAGAAACGCAATATCCACCCCATGTGGTCTCGTTTCCTCTTCGATATTCCGTCCCTCTGTTTGGCACAAGGAGTCGTCAAACCCTGTCAAAGGACTCCAGCCAAAGACATGGTATGTGTCAAAATAGGAGGTTTGGACCCAGAAATGGCGGTGGTCCTTTGTTTGCCATGTAAGCCAAGCTGAAAACGAGTACTCTCAAAGCACACGCACACCCATGTAAATTATCGTAAAACCGGCTGCTGCGTTGTGGCTCGAACAAGAAATCCGAATTTAGGAGCCGGAGCACGATCTGAACAGAAATGAGGGTTTCTCAAAACAGGGGTCCCCTAAGATGGTTAGTTTCCTGTTGCTTCCCTTTAACATACTAACCCAAAGGGGTCCAGTTTGAGAAACTCCCAAATGAGCATTACTGCATTACTGTTGGAGCCGTCTGAACTTGAATGACACATGAGTCACACAACCCGGCATTGAAATGATCAACCCAATTTAAAAACCAAGAGGGCGCCGCCTTCCCTAGCCTTGCCTCACCCGGGTTTTGATTGTGAAAAATGGCCGCGCCTTCCCGAAGTTCCATGGAGCCAAGAACCACTCTGAGAGGAAGCTCTGAATTTCTCACTTGCTGAGTGGATGGCCCCAAAAAAGTAACCAAACTTTTTTATTTACCACTAAAATGGTCCAAACCCCAAAAAGTTTAAAGTTCATGAACTGAGGAAGTGAGACTTGGGGAGCCCCGTTTCTTGGATGCTTCCCTCGTGAGCGTGGGCGGCTTGCCATCGGACCCGCGCCGGACCACGGAAACCTGAGCAGAGCACACTCCGGCGCATCGCGGGTGGAGTGGTGCAGCGTATCCTCGGGAAAAGCGGTGGGACTGGCTCGGTGAAATGGGTTTCAGCTTTGAGTTCTTGAAATGCAACATAGCTACCCGCCCCCCCCCCCCAAAAAAAAAAGGAAAGAAAAGAAGAAGTAACACTCTTATCAATTGAATTAATTAGGGCTTACTTGAAGTATAGGACACCTCAAAATGGGTGTGCCGGGCTCGTTGAAATCTAGGATGCCGTTAACATGGGTTCCTGGCACGACCCTGAAAGAATTTCAGGCACCAGCACCTAGCCTTTCAAGGGAAAAATAGACTGGGGAGAACTAAATGTGCCATGGTCAACACTCCGAATCTGTGTGTCATGATTCCTGCAACGGGATCCTTACAATTTGGTCGCTGGACTTCGGATATAAGAGGCTCGTAGGGGGTGCCTTGCAAAACGGGGTACCCCCCACAAAAGGCATAGCTATTTGAAGCAGCCAACGTAAAGGCTTGAACAAGGTGGTCATTACATGGTGAAGCGGTCCCTTTGTTTTGCTGCAACCTCTTCCCCGCAATCTTTCAACAGCCATGCATCTTCAAGTCTTATGTCCAACACCTGAACGCAGAATCGGATCCAAGTAAAACACCAACGCAATTTGTTGGCCTTCCTTTAAACCAACAAACAAGGTACCCTCCAAAAAGTCACACCCACCTTCTTGTCGATGAGGTATGAAAGAGAATACCCATGGTAGCAATGGCAAGGAAGGAATAAATCAACTTGAGAGCGTTTACACGGGGAAAACTCACGAACCCAATACCAATGTTCTACCTTTGTGGTTTGGTCATTGTTTTCAGCCTCGGAGCCAACTCTGGCCTGCCATAATGAATCAACAGAGAACAGTCTTGCGATGAAAGGGCTTCTGTTTTTGGGCGCGAAGGGCCCCCCTTTCCCCCCCAGGCTCGTTCCAGAGGTTCACAGGCCATTCCAACATAACTATCCCATTTCCGACAATCATGGAAGCTCACCTCCTGGGAAGCCTCTGTCCATGGTTGTTGAACAGATTCAACTTCACGTCCATACACAAGCAGTTGACAATGTCACCGCAAACCAACCAGAGACCCGTCAAGCCGATAGGCGACGGGCCAAAATCGACACCCTGACAATATAGTCCGTTCATTCTGCACCGCTCAAAAACAGGTGCGCGTGCCGTGTTTGTTTGTGGAACACCCAAAATTGTGATTATCCTTGTTGTGTTCCTTTAATACAAAAGCAAGAAGAAAAGGTACCCTTGAAAAAGGACACCCACGTGATTGAGAAATTGGCTTGTCTCCAAAGCGATAAGGGGATACCCCAGCCAGGCGGCCAAAGGGGAAGCCCCGGGGTTTGAGTCTTGAGTGGCAAACAAAGTTCGAGCTGAACATTTGCGACTAATATTGTCCAAACCCAAGCAAAAGGTAAAGTTTGGGAACTCGTTGGCGGTTTGGCGGTGTGGCGGTCTGCGCGTGACTTCCATTTACCCAGAAGAACCCAGGAATACAAATCCCCAAGCCACCAATCCAACCCACCAATGAAGCGTAGGATCTACGGCCTGCGCTGCCAGCAGCGGTCTCATGTTTCGGCCCAACAACCTAAACCTGCGGAGTATCTAGAACATATGCCTTTTTCTACCCCAACACATGCTGGCTTCCCTTGTGGTTTCCCTTTCAAACCACGAAAGGGGGGTGCCAACGCAACAAAAACACATTTCCCTTCTCTTAAGGTGCCATGGACAACTTGAGATCTAGCCACCGCTTTTCGGCGGAGCCGACGGATGGATTCGACGGCTCAAAACGTGCGGCCTGCAACACCCGCAGCCGCACTTCACCGGAGGCCGAGCCTCCTTGCGTCACCTCGCGAGAAGGGCTTCTCCCGATTCGCTTCCGGGGCGTTGTGGTTTCCCTATATGGGTGGCTCGTCTTTCTTTGGGAGAACCCCCCTTTGGTTGCGGTCTAAAGGGAAATTACAAGGAAACCAATTTGGGGTGATTCGGGGATTCCCCCAATTTAAAACACAACCATATGGGTGTGTTTCAAACTAGGGGAACTCTAAAAAGGTGGTTTCCCTTTAAACCACCCCAACAAAAATGGTACTCTCAAAACTAATTCCCCTTTCGTGGTGTTCCTTGCTTTTCCTTTTTGTTGTTTCCCGAAGCAATCTGGAACGGGTAGCCTCAACAAGAAGAAACTCCCATATTTCCCCTTTCAACAGCATCCCTGTTATTGGGCCCAAACGGTGATATCTGAACTATCCCAACAAGGAGAAATATGGGCTTCGGTGGTGTGAAACTGAATGCAAGGGAAATCAAAGGGAACCGACTGGGCAACAAAAATAGTCCAAGCTCGAAATTCGCAACCGTCCTGAACCGGGCTCCCTATATTCTGCATGTAAATATCACCCCTAAGGGCAACTCACATATGGGCAACAAACTGGTCTCATTCTTTCACCATCAAGTTTCCCTCCAAGTGGCAAGTGAAAATAAAACAGACCCAGTTGCTGACTTTGATAACTTTCAGAAACAGTGCAACATCATGAGACAAAGGCGATGTTCGGAAACCACCAAACAATTAAATGGGTGGGTTTTAAAATAGGGTTTGGTTTCATTTTGCTTTCCATTTAAAGCCATCCAACAAGCGTACAATCGAAAACAGATCCGAATATACCGAGCCCTGTTCATGGTACCTTTCACTTGGACTCTTGGATTCCGGTTGGAAGGCCTGCCATGGACCGCTCACACAACCTGGAAGGCTCTTCACAGGTTTGGGATGGAATCACAGGGCATTGGTTTTCTATGAGTTGATTGCATGTCACCCCCCCCCCCCTTTTCTCAAGCAAAAACCCAACCCTTGTCTCTGCAATGACTGGCAACTCTCGCTCTCTCCCTCTCCTGTCCAAGCACCATAGGGCGCACCCACGGTCCATTATCTTGGCATCAACATGACTCTCGGTCTACATGTTTTTTTGTTTTTTGTGTTTTTTAATGTTCACCTTCATAGACCCAAAATAAAATGCAACGGGTTCAAATACCTGGAACTTGGAGCGAGCAACTCTTTGCGGCATCCATTCGCAACACTTAAGTTTAAGTCCAGCGCACGAACTCATTTGATCCCTACAAGGACCCCGGCGAGACACACAAACAAATGATGGGAATGATGGCCTCATGAACATGTATGTTGCGTATCTGCTCTGGTCCTAGAATGCAAGTCAAATGTGCGTAACGAGATGGGCAGTTTCTCCAGCACAGGGGTAGAAACGCTCTTTGAACATCCTCTCTACCTTGAGGGGGGGAGGGTGGGGGTCCCCAATGCCATTTCTGTAGGCTTATGAAAAGGAACGTGGATCGATACCATTATTTAAGACATGGGGACCCTTGACAGAAAGGGCCCGGATTTGTTTTGGGACTTTGTCCCGTTTTGTTTTGGGTGTTTTTCCTGGATTTTCTGTCTGGGAACTGGCAGGTGCGATCTCCCTTGGTTCTGCTCTCCCTTGGTTCTGCTGTGGTCTTGACTCGCTTTGCACCAGCGCGGGCAACATCCCCGGCATCGCTTTAACTCGGCAGCATCCTTTTCAACATCCCCGGCATCACGAGTTGGCTTTTTTGTTAGGCTGGGTTTAGGGTGGGTTCAAGGTCGGCCTACGGTTGGTTCAGGGCGGCAAGTTTGGGGGTGGCTGCGCTTTAGGTACTGGGATGGTTTAGTGCTGGTAATGCTTCTTGGGGTTGGTTTAGGCCGTGCTTGTGTTTAGGTGGGCTTTGGGTGATTTAGGGTAGGTTCCGGGTGGCTTAGGATGGTTTAGAGGCTTGTTTGGGGGGATATGGGGCCGTTGGTGTAGGGTTTGCTTTGGGTTTGTTAAGGGTTGGTTTAGAATGGGCTTAGAGCGGGTTTAGGGTGGGTTTAGTTTGGGTTTAGTGCTGGTTTAGGGCGGTTAGGGATTGGTTTTGGGGTCGGTGAAGAACGGTGCCAAATGCAATTCGAGGGGTCACCCCCCTTCCCCAATCCACGTTTCAGGGGGCTGATCACCTGTTAAAGCCCTCTCTACACACCGGATCAAGTATGACACACATGGAACTATCAATGGACCTCTAGTCACTCTTCCCCCCTCCACTTCAATTTTGCAGGTAGTATGACCAATTCTAAAGCAACAACCTATGACTTAAATATGTTCTACCACCATGCTTTTTGCAAGATGTTTTTGGGTGTCGTCATTCCCTCTACCTACCTAAAAGGACATATCATATACACCATCTACATATCATATACACCATCTGCTTTGACTCTGTCAGAAAGACATGAACTCAACTTTATGCAAATAGTCGGTCGGCGCCGAAAACCACATTGGTCCTTTTTGAAGTGGGGTTGCCTTAAAGGGAAACCAAGGTAGCAGGAAGGCCACCACCTGGAGGTGTCGCACATCTTGAAGAAACACACACACACACACACACGCCTCCAAATAAATGAACCCCCCCTCCCCCCGCACTCGGACAGGGTGTCCTTTTGGTTTGCTTACAGACCGACCCACAAAGGCCAGGTCCTCCAGTAGAGAGGTTAGAATAAGGGTACTTGTTTTTTTAAGTAGGGGAATCCTCCCAACCAAACAAGTTGGGAGAGAAGGGCACCTAGCTGAAAAACCTAATGTCAGGGACTTGTCCAACCCTTGTCAACCTTGAAGGGGGAGGGCGGCGGCTTCAGGGCCCGGTTCGGCGGCTGACCAGCGTGGTGTCCGGCCACCCGGGCTTCGCGGGGAAGAGCTCTCTCATCAGTTGTCACCATTCGGGTCCCCTGCAAACCACCACGCCTCCCGTCCCAAAAAAGTCGCCCCGCTCGCCGTCATTCGCCTCACCCACCAGGCAGGGACCCTGGCGCGTCAGCGTGCCAACCTCAATGTCTCGAGTCCGGAGTCGAGACGGCCCGAGCGGAAGGCGTTTTCTTTTTCGAGGGGTGCCTTCCAGTTTCCATGCTTTCCATAAACCCATCTTTCAGAAAACCACCAAAAACCCCAGGAAATGGCTGGTGTTTAAAAAGAACGAGGGCTGAAAAGAGGGGGGGATCAACCCCTAGATTTTTGCTGGTTTCCCTTTGGTTGCGGGTTTCTTGGGCGGGTTCCCTTCGGGTTTCCCGTGGGATTCCGCAAGTTGCGGTTTCTCACGGCTTTTAGATTGCTCTTCTGGCTCCCTCGTTTGGCTTCAACATGGAAGGACTCTTTTCTTCGTTTGGGTTCTTGTGGTTCTTTCATCAAGGGGCAGGTGGGCAATGCCTCTGTGATGGCTACTTTGCTGCTTTGAACAAGATACTGGTACTTGGTATGAGATTCCAGTTCCCTGTAGCCCAAGGAGCCCTCGAAGAAAAATGGATGACCATAGAGGCAAAAACGCCTGGGATGCACTGGGCTTGGTCCAAACGCCTGGCTCAAAGGGTCCCTTGCCCTTGGCACCTTGGGATGGCTTGCGGGGCGCTGAAAGCGGGTCTAAGTAGCTTCTTGGAAAGTACTTGGACTCTCCGGAATAATTGGAATGCACAGACTTGGAGCATCTAGTATGTTGAAAGCTTTTGTGCGCCCAGTCCCTGGATATCCAAGTAAGACTGGCAGAGTACTAAACATGAAATGGGGGAAAAACAAGTGGACTCCACAAAAGCGCAGCCAAACCGTTTTCCAGACTCACTCGTCTGGATTTTATTCCGAAAAACCATATAAACTGCTTTTCACTGAAACCGTTCCATGCTTGCCAAGAAGAGAAAGTCCACAGCTGCGGAAGCGAGGGATGGCTGTCGCCCGCCTTTGCCCAAGCGGAAAAAAAAGAGCTAGCTGTGGAAAAGTCATTCGCATTGACACCCAGCAAGTTAAAGGTTAACGGTCCAACCAAGTAGCATTTCATGATTGGTTCACAACTACCGTGGCGGGTGCCGGATTGTCTTGCAATTGTTTTGGGAAACCACCGCGCCCTTTCGGGTTGGCAAAGCTGGCAAAAGCCCTTCTCTTTCTCTTGATGGATGACTTGCACTGTTGCCCCTTGAAGGTTCCCAAGGAAAAATGGCACCCTAAACATGGAGTCTTCGGAGGTTGGGGCGGAACACGCGCACACGCAGCCACCTGAAACGTCTGCATGAGATGCATTAGATGAATGGTTGGCGGAATCTGGATGATGAGACTCAGGTAAATCATTTTGGAGGAATGCGATTGATTGTTGGTGCCGTTCCTGCACATCTTTGCCTGTCTAGGTAAACAATGGAAAAGGCCTTTGGAGTTTTCCGGACATTCGCTTCCCAGGACCTGAAACAGTTGCGATAACCTTGTTGGGACCGTCAGAGCATGGAGCTATGTGGGAAAGCAAAAGGTCAAAGGGTGATTCGCTTGGGCATGGGAGCAAATACCAAGACTTGGCCCACACCGTATATTTCTCTAGGGGTCATTTGCGGGTTCAAGTATCCAAATAGAACATAGCTGGATCCACCGAAAAAGGTTCAACCAAGGCGAATATTTATCTTGCCGGGAGATCTCGCATCACAGTGGCAACCTCAAAATGACCCTCTAAGTGTTGGTTTAAAGGGAAACCACCAAATCCCAACGTGGAGAGCTCCACAAAATGTTCAAGGTAGGTGGTTAATCCCAGCATTGGGATGTTTTGGTTATTACAACTGGTGCGCAGTGGAGTTCGTCCATCGCTAACGGTCTGGGTCGGAGTTCACCAGGCTTTCCTCTGGTCCCTTCTTTTCTGTAATCGTTTAGTACTCTTTTCTCAGTTGTTCAGTGACCCTGGGAAAAAAAGAAGGAACCCTTTTTGGGGAAGACCATTGTGGTGGGGCAGCCACCAAAAAAAGGGGAAAACAAAATCATTGGGGCCACTGAACCACTGAGTCTTCATTTTCTAGGGTGAATCCACGTTTCGCCACCTCCCCACCGATCCAAGCCATTTGGCCGGGGCCCCAAGCCACATCTCCCTCAGCTGTGGTGCGCTGATACTGGAGCCTTGGAAGGTGGGACAACTGAGGATCCATGGCATACGTGGGGGAGTCACGAGTCATGCATGGTCATGCATGGTTTTGCCAAAAAATATATATTGACGTTCCATAACTGAACAATACCATAACATCAAATTAAATGTTGAACTAACCATAACATCAAATTAAATGTCGAACTAATGATTTGACTGTGGCTTTGTCTGAGAATCAAGCCAAAGGGAACCACCAATTGTGGCTTGCCTTTGGCTTGCGAAAGAGTGAAGTCTGGCGGCAAAAATTACAAATTCTAGATTTGGGTGTGTCAAAACAGGCTCCGGGCACGCCCAGACCCTTCTGGTCAAGAGCAGCCCCCCCCCCGAATGGAGAAGCCCGGCCGAAGCCCTCCATGAGAAATCCAGCATCAGCCCACAAAACGCACTAAACCGCTGGGAAGATAGGTGGCTTCTAAAGAGAACGATGGGTGGAGAGACGGGGGAACGAATACCTAGACTTAGGCGGAGGAGCAAACCGTGAATGCCTATCAATGTCGCCGACCGGAATCGATCAACGACTACCCAAAACGAATATTAACTATCAGCACGCCAGAAAGACAGAAAGTCTGCCGAAAACCCAAAAGCACTGACTATTCTGGTCCGTGGCTCACGTGGCCGTTCTGCGTGGCACTGTGCTACGCTGCACAACTAAACAAATACAAGGTCTGCTGCCACAGACCGTTGGTAGGCGGTTTATGCCATCTCGTAGGTCTTCATCCATCTCAACTGGTGGGAATATTTTTCCCACTCACAGTATGTTGCAAATGACATTGAATGAGCCCAGGATGTGTGGTGCTCCTGCACACATTCTCGGCTGGGGCACCTAAAACACATTTGCGTGCCACTTGATGCCGGCTCCGGAGATCGGCTCGGAAGTTTCTCAGTTTCATGCACACCAGGAGCATCCAGGAGCAGCTCCTATGCCAAAATGTCTCAGATTCCTATCGATAGGCGAGTCTCTAGGTTTTGACCGCAAACGTGATGAAAGGAAACGATGATGAGAAATGGAGCTCGAACAAAACCCCGTGATGGGGATATGAAGATTTCACGGGCAACACCCCGCTAGCTAGTTGAAACATTGCAAGCAAGGGCCTCGGTGGTTGAGCGCCAACCCACGGAAAAGGCAACAAAGAGGCACCTGGAGTCCGCTTTCAATCCTTGAAGCAAGGTTGATCATGTGCCCATTGTGGATGGCGTCTTCTGTAGACTCCTGGTATTGTCTACAAAGCGCAAGGTCGGCAAACATCATGGGACCCATGAGTTATTGGATTCCTTGGAGTTGTGTGCGTGCTTGTGCATGTGCGTATGTGCGTATGCGTGTATGTGTACAAATTCGTATGTGTGGGTGTGTATTCTGTGCACATGTATATGCGTGTGCCAAGCAAGCTGGGGACCCTGCTATCTGGGTGATTTCCGCTAAGTTCCCTTCCGGCCAAAGATAGGGGCTGATCCCTCAAAATGCTTGGTTTACTGCGGTCCTTGAGCAACTTCCTCGGGTTTGACGCATGAGTCCGTCTCAAATGGAACAAACACGCCTAGCAAGGTTTCACGCTGGCTTCCCTTTCAAACCCCCAAGCAAAGGGTGTCCGCAACAAAACAGCTTGCAGAGCACGCAACCGAAATCAGATACGATAGGATGCCATCATCAATCCGAGCAGTCTTGTCCGTTGCTCACATAGATCGTCTCCTTGGTCCACATATATGGTTCGGCAAGAAAGTGACATCCTCGGAATCACCAAGCCTCCAAATGGTGGTGTCACCTTGAAAAACACCGGGTCCCACAAGTACTACTCAGAACCCCTGAAAACGACTGAATCTGTGTTTTTATCCCCCCAAAAAATAACATTTCGGTAGTGATGGATTCCCTTTAAAACCAATATGGAAACAGACACATATTGTAAAGCAAATGGAAGAACATGCAACCGCTCGAAGGGATCCAAACGGTCTATCCAGATTCATTTTAAGCGCCCGGCGCGTCTTCAGCAGCTACAAGACTAAACCTCGGGCAGGCGCACATGTTCGTTTTTGCTGTTCATCACATCCTAGCGCACCTTCCATTTCCATTCTCAGGGATACTCCCCTTCGAATTGCGAATTTCCTGGGAAATGTGTCTCTGAAAAAAACATGGGTGAACAGACAATTCAACCATTAACATCGGTAGATGGCACTGATATGCAAAACGCCACTTCGCACCAAAAACGTAGCCACCTTCGCCCCACAAAAAAAGTTGGAGAACCACCGGCAACGCAGGTTTGTTTTCTCCAGGTCTCAGGCCCAACGATCCCATTTTATCGTGCTACCGCAAGGTTGACGTTGGGTTTGGGGAGCAAACATTCTCAAAGTTTAGCAGTTCAGTGGAGTTGGATTTCAACCACTAAACCACAAGAAGATCAAACATGTTTAAAATGTTTCCCAACAACAACCATGTTACGGCAACTTCAGGAAAACCCTCTAGACTGCAGATCTTTGGTCACCAGTGTGAATCGGCATCCTTTCGGGAAACTTCGGAAGCCCGCGGCAAGCCCGTGCAACGGTTAGAATGAAGGGGATGGCTTGGTTCCTTGCCAAACAAAGGCTTCTGACTGCGACCCGTTTTGATGCCCCACACCAATGATCACCAATGGAGGCTATGCTACTTGTGCTTAGAGTTCCGTGCATTGATGTATATCTTACGCGTCGAATCCAAGAAACGCAAGATATTCCGACAACTAGCACCCGGTACTTGCTCACCAGGGAATCAACAGGATCAACAACCGATGTGAGGGAGGATCAACATATCCTGAGCCTCCTGGTGGAAAGGCGTATAAGGGTTGCATGAATATCCGGTGTCGTTGCGCTTGTCCCGAACAAGTGTTTTTGTTTTTCCTTATTGTCGTGTTGCGATGGTTTGGGAAACGTCCTACACGTGGTATTTCCAACGATGAGTGGAGGAACACAAGCTGGAGAAGACTTGACGCACCCGGATTCGCACCCCCCCCCCCTCTCAAATGCTGTCAAGGTCAGTATGTTGTCTTTGAACAAAGACCAGCGTTTGGGAGGGTCGCCCTGCCCCCCCAATTCCTCAGCTCTCTGTGGCTCTCTTGTTTGATCCTCTCCGGTCCTCTCCCTGTGTTGTCCAACAGGAGTGCAATCGACAACTAGAAGGAATCTGTGGATTTACTTTTCCAGTGCTGGAGAGGGCCATAATGAATCAGGAAAGCGTGGTGTTGTTAAGGGGACTGGCCCCTTGGCGAGCTTGTCAAGCCTGTAGCGATTAAACAAACTCCAGAAACTAGAATTGCTTTCCTGGACAGGTAGAATTATATTTTGGCAGAACAGGTTCGCATTGTTCAAGCAGCTCGCACATTCTTCTCGTGTGCCGCAAATTGATCATCAGCGGGCAAGGATGCCTGCAAACATAGATTCGGGGCCATTGTCAAAGGCCGCTATGCCGCAGCAACGAAGGTTTCATTTGCAAGCGAAGGTTTAACTCAGAAACAATAGGTTGACCGCCCGCTACCTTGAAAACAAATCCCAACTGGGCGGAATCGCAACCGGATTCTGATGTCCACCAGAGGGTCCGCTTTGTTAGCTTCCCCCTTGTTGGTGGTTTGGTTGGTGGTTTGGAGGTATTCCTAGTGGGAATTCTCTTCTACCATCTACAAGGGCCAGGGGTGCACCAACTAAGGGTTGCCAAAAATGTGTGTGTGTGTCAAAATGGTAGTGGGAACTGCCCGCTTCTGTGCTACCAGTGGAAGGCCTTCCAAATGGTTAGTTCTCTATTTGAAAGAGGAGGTTCTCATAAGTATCCCAGAAGTGGGAACCCACCCCTCATCCCCACCCACCCCTTATCCCCACCCTTCATCCCTTATTCATGGGGGCTGGGGGGGAGGGGGAGGGAGGGGGAGGGGGAGGGGAAGGGGGAGGGAGGGGGAGGGGGAGGGAGCCCAAAGAAGCCCTAAATCAGGCCTTATTAAGGGCCGGTTTTGGAAAACGGCCGGTTTTGGAAAAGAACGATGGTTGAAAAGAGTGAAAAAGGAATCAAACCCTAGACTTCTCCCCACAATCCTGCATAGAAACCCACCCCCCATCCCCACCCACCCCTTACCCCTTATCCCCACCACCCACCCCTTATCCCCACCCCTTGGACACCCAGCCCCGACAAACGGGCCGGCCGGCCGACCCCATTTTCAGCCGCTGAGCGGTCGGCTCCAAGTCCTCCGCCCGCCAGGTGCCGATCAAGTGCGCGAACTGGGCATGCGAAGTCGATGGGAATTGGGCCGAGGTTGTGAGGTTGTGAGGAATATGTCATTATCATTATTATTATTATTATCATTAGTAATTATCATTACTTATTATTATTATTACTTATTATTATTATTATTACTTATTATTACTTGTTATTACTTATTATGATTAATTACTACTTGATGGTTATTGTTTTTTTTCCCTCCCGCAAGTTCCTTACTGCCTGCCCAGACGCTCCCGATTGATTTTGGGCCCTCAAACAGCCAGGGTTTCAGACCACAACAGCCCTCCTGGGCGTGCAATGGAGAGTCTGCGTCTTCCGTCAGTGGATTGGCCAAGAGGCGCCAAACTTTTGTTTAATTTGCCACCAAAATGGTCCAAGCCCAACCCGCTTCGAGCCCAGGAACTCAGGAAGTGAGGTTCTACCACGTGCTTGCAGGACTCCTTGAAGCTCCGCAAGGCTGCAGCAAAAAAAAACAACAAATTGGACAGAGGTGTTGGTGGTTTCGGGTGGGTTGTCGGTTCACGTAGGTTTCGACCGGGCAGGGGGGTTGTTCAGTGTCCTTGGGGCGGGTTTGTGGGAGCAGAAAAAGCGCGGTTACGAGCAGCTGCGAGTCCGGCTCCCTTCCAACCACCAGCTTTGTGCTCGCACAAACCCAAGGTCTGCTTCAAAGGGAACTTGCAGAACCCTAGGTGTCCTTGAAACAAACATAGACGCTCTCTGAACCAAACGTGTTGCGCCAGTATCGAAGTATCCATCTAGTGAGCAAGCTGACCTAAGCACGTTGAGTACCAAAAGGGTATCAAACTCCAGAAGAGGCCTCAAGTTTGAGACGCAAACACATCTGCGCATACTGCATTATAGGATCCGTCTCCTTCGTACAGGGGTGTGCTCATCCGGAGGAATACGGATATCCCATCTGTTTGGGACCCCGGCCCAATGGTGGCCATCTGATTTATTCAACACTGGGGATCTGGATCCCGATTTTCCCAATCCGTACACCACTCCAAGGAAAGCCACTGTGTTTTGCCGGATTTTGGCGGATTGACTTCCCCGTCAGCTGCTCAGGAAGGACATCCATACACACGCCATGAAACTGCCTCTCCAAATCCCAGCTGTTCCGAAAAATCAACGCTTTGTGCTTCAACCAACCGTGGTCTTGGAAAAGATTAAGTATATCCTCTTAGACGTCACACAGCTAAAACACCCACTCAAATTGGCAAAGTTCGAGCCCCAAGGTTCTTTTAACGCTCCTTGTGGGTCCCTTTACCAGCACCACACACAATGACGCTCTAAGCTTCCAGGCCACATGTTTTTTTAACGCGTGTTGCTTGTTTCAGAAAGTGTCTGCAACCACAAAACATGAAAGTTGGATCACAACACACTGATACATGCATGAGCTGTGTATATATGTTGGTAGCATCAAACAACAACGCACAAATAGAAGTCCAATGCAGACACACGATTTCTATAAGTCCGGTTCACCACCACCCTTCAAGATGACCAGACCGGGCCAAACAACCACCAGAGTTCCATTTTTGTTTGCCCGAATGTAGACTTAAACTCACGGTTGTTCATTTCCCCCAAAAATTCTAGATTACAGCAGCAAGTCTAGCCCGGGGAAATCAACACATGGAAAACTGCCTGCACTGTCCCGAGAAAAAACGCCGGCGGCACCGCGTGCGGTGCTTGCTTGCTGCTTCCGCGACCTCGGAGAAAACGAGGTAGGGTGCACGTGATGTGCCATTTGGGCCTACCAAGGTCTGGGGTCAGACTGAGTACCACCATTGATGGTTGGAAAATTGAGTGAGGCCAGTCAGATTCCTAAGAATGGTTTTGTCAAAGGGAAACTACCAAAACTGGTGGTTGCATGTGGTTGCCTTGAGACAAACCCTACGAAAGGGTACCCTTAAACAATTGACCTTCTCATTTGACTGGCTAGAAAAGGTGCAAACTCTTCGGAACTTCACTAAAAAAAAATCCTGCCCACAAAAAGTTCGAAAGGTTGCTGGCAGGTTCATGGAAATCCCCGTTTTTCCCTCCCCACGCAATCTCCACGCATGACGCAATGCCGCTAGAGCGATCTGGGTCTAAGATAGTAAGAAGTCCCTTCAACACTTGCGGAGCTTCCATTTGCTCAAGCCCCGTGAAAAAATAATAATAATATTTCCAGTAGTGATAGATTCCCTTTGACACCAACAGGGGCACATTAACAAAATATTCTTAAGCAAATGGAAGGAAGAGAGGAGGTTTGCACCTAAGGTGGCAATTATCGCCCACAGAATGAGAAGCTGTCTGAAACTGCCAACCAATGGAACCCATTCCCCCCCGAAAAAAAAAAAAAACAAAAAAAAAAAAAAAAAAAAAAAACTCTAAAACCCAGCAAACACGAACCGAAACAACCAATGGAACCCCCCCCCCACCCAAAAAAAAGAAGCAGGTGTTTCTCTTTGGTTTCCCTCTAAAACCCACCAAACGCCACTGGGTCGAAGGTCAACCCGAGTGAGACCTCTGGCAAAACTCCTGGCTCCGCGCTGGGCCAAATCTCCAGCGCGTGGGGCAGTTGGTTCCGCACCTCAGACTTGGACCCCATCTTGTGGTTCAGGGGACCAAACAAAACATTTAAAACAAACCAAAACATGGACCCATGAAAAACATGGACAAAAAAAACATGGACCTTTAAAAGACATGGACCAAAAGAGAAAAACATGGACCTATAAAAACATGGACCTAAAACATGGATCTAGGTTCGTGGAAGTTCAAAGACATGGGCCTATAACACTTTTGGCGATCCTGACGGTGGCGACAGTGGCATGTTGTTGGTGGTTGATAGTGGCTTCTGGCGTGGAACTCCAAAGAAGCCGTCTTCGTGTGTCTTCGTTTTCTTGTGATTGCCTTGAAAGACACGTGTTTTTTCCTGATTCAACGCCAAGTGTAAAAAAAAAAAAAAACAAAACGCGGCTCTTTGCCCTAGCTTCACTTTTTGTCACTCTTCAATGCGTCAGAAAGAGGGGGCCTCGCCCCTTGGATGCGCAAGGGTCTAAAGTCTCACGGGTGGCTGAACGCGGTGTGTGGTACAGACTGAAGAAATCTCCCACGACACCGTCGGCGTCGGGGAATTTTCACAAACTATTGGCTATCTGACTGTAAACGCCAAAGCAAAAGGATTAGCCACATTTTGAGGGGTCCAAATCCCTTTGAAGAGCCATACTTCTTGCAGAACACAGGCCTGCCAAGGGATTTTACCGATTTGCTGCTGTCCTAGATACATACTTTCACTGCCATAATCTTCCGGCCGCGTAGACATTGCTTCGCTTCAGCCTCTTTTGCCACGGCAGCTGGACAAGGCATGGAGTCACTGGAGCTTCATGGGACAGGGCACGCAGTTTTTGTTTTTTGGAAGCCGTTCCAAGACAAAAGGACAAAGGGAGCCTTCCGTGGGAATCGAGAAGTTAGACTTCAGGTTGGCAACTCTTCTTCACTCTTGGGCTTGGGGGATTTGCTCCAAGAAGGAGGGTGGCGCGTGAAGCGCAAAGGACCTGACCAAGCTTTGGTTCTGAAGCCATGGAAAAACCTCTCTGAAACATGGCGAGATCTTTCGGGGTAGAATTGACTCCCTGGAGTTATTGCACATCACTTCTTTTTGCCCCAATTTAAAGTGAGTTTCCTTTTGGGGGTGCCTTCCTTTCCCCTCCTTGCCCAGGTTCGAGCCAAAGGCCCGATACTCCTGCCAAACAGCCCTTTGGACAACACAAACCTCGCGTCTCCGTGGCTATGCAGTGATTTCATTTCACTGGGATTGATACGCCTTGCAATGTGGCAACCTTAGCCAAAGACAAAGTCATGAGCCCCCTAAGTCAGCACCCGAAGCGGAAATCTGCGTGTAATCGTTCGTGGAACACCAAACCTTGCTGGTTGCTGCCCTAAGGGTGGAGACCTTGCAACCCTTCACTGAACCCAGACCCTTCAAGGACCTTTTCACTTGTGAGGGAACCTTTTTTTGTGCAAAATATAGAGTCTGAACAGGACAACCCTACTAAGCAGATCTAGGGACTTGACCAGGTGTCATTTTTAAGAAAAAAAGGAACTACCCAAAACAGATGAACATACCAACAACGCCTTGATTGCTGGTTCTCTGAGAATCAATTGAGGGAAGGCCCCGCAAGCAAGGCAATGGCAGTGTAGTAAAATTGGGGGTTCCCAACCCCCCAAAATGGCTCTGTTTCACATTCCTCCTTAAACCCACCCAACAAATGAGTATGTCCCTCCAAAAGAATGGATCAACATTGTATTCTGTTGATTTCCCCCAAAAAAGAAACCTCACGAACAGCGGACTCCTGAAAAAAACCACCCCCCTTTGTTGCCTTTGGTGGCAAGGGGAAGGGGAACCTTGCCCTAAGTTTCTTCAATTCCCGAGCTTCCAGCCAGGTATCGAGGGACCTCAGTCGGGGACAAAGGCTTTTGCCACCCCAAGCGAGGGCGGTGTCGAAGAATGTTCGCATCCGGACACCAAAAACAGGTTCAAACAATTTCTTGGCTGCCAACAAACTCTAACTAAGCCGCGAACACAAAAGAGCCCTTAGCCATGTACGCCTTTTCTTACATGGCTCAGAAGAGTTCTCAAAATCGGTTGGTTTCCATAGACCCGCAAGAAAAAAAGATAACATGCTGTCTTCTGGTGGCTTTCCCTCGGTTGCTTTCTGCTCCCCTGCTAAAAGTGACTAACTTTTAGTGGTTTAGTACGGAAAACCCATTAGTTGGCAAAAAGTTAAAGTCCTCACAGCCCTGGGCAAAATGCACCAAAGTTCCTTTGCCACTCCGAAAAGGTATTTTTAAACCAAAAACACGCCCGCAGAAGTACTTCGTGCCGGCTGAACCCGGAAGAAGGGGGTGCAAAGAAGTAGACCATCATTGTCCGCCATGCAGGGATACACCCCTGCAATCCCCTCCACATAACATTAAAATCCACAGCTACATGAGTGCCCAAATTGACTGCTGGTTGCACAGGTTCTACGAATATGGCTATAAAGGTTTGTTTACTTGGCAGGTCTGGGAGTTAGCTAAATGGCTAGTAAGCCTGGTTTAAGTCCCCTATAAGAGAATACCTAGGGTCCGTTCGAGGGGAATCTAGGCTTCAACATAGGATGGACCCCTCACGGCCGGTTTCCGTTTGGCCCCCCCTACAAGAACCAGCCTTCAAAAGGCTACCCCAGACAAATAACACAAACCCCTTGCCTCAAGTTCTACAAGGGTACTCAACTGGGCCATTGAAGGAAGACTGACAGGGGTGTCCAACTGGTTTTGGGACTTCCCTATCTGAGAAACCATCCATCGGTCACCTTTGGTGTTTTCCGTTGCACCCTTCACAGATCTTCAGCAGGCAATATGCTTAGAGGCGTTCCAGATCTTGGCCCACATCTGGGGGACGCTGCAAATAAGATCTTGGGACTCTGTTCCAGATTTAAGTATATCCTAAAATATAGCCTAGGTCCTCCAGTAGAGAGATTAGAACAAGGGTACCCTTTTTCTGTAGTGTATTTTAGTAGGGGAACCCTCCCCCAAAAAATGGCAAAAGGGCACTACTGGGCGACCCAGTAGCATAGTTTTCAAGAACACCTCAGTGATCTCAGTTCCCCCAGTGTTCCACTTCTATCTCGACGTCGACATGGACTTAAACTCAATCGTTCTGCATTGGGATGCCTAAGCCGCTGGTGGACCGATGTTCTTTCAGGGTCAACCAAACCATGTCCAAAATATGGAACCCGGACACGAAGATTGCCTTTCACTTAAGGGTAGTCTAGCCAGGGATACTTGCGCGCTTGTGAGAAATAATCCTTTCTAACAAAAAGACAACATGCAAGCCCTCAATCACGGTGTGCAAGTTTTCAGGGTACCCCTTTTTGATGGCTTCAAGGTAAACCCGCAGTTTGGGGGGTCCCCTCTGTGTGTCTGTGTGTCTGTGTGTCTGTGTGTCTGTGTGTCTGTGTGTCTGTGTGTCTGTGTGTCTGTGTGTCTGTGTGTCTGTGTGTCTGTGTGTCTGTGTGTCTGTGTGTCTGTGTGTCTGTGTGTCTGTGTGTCTGTGTGTCTCTGTGTCTCTGTGTCTGTCTGTGTCTGTGTCTGTGTCTGTGTCTGTTGTGCCTGTGCCTGTGCCTGTGCCTGTGCCTGTGCCTGTGCCTGTGTGTGCTGTGTCTGTGTCTGTGTCTGTGTCTGTGTCTGTGTCTGTGTCTGTGTCTGTGTCTGTGTCTGTGTGTGTCTGTGTCTGTGTGCGTGTGTGTGTGTGTGGTGTTGTGTTTGTTGAGTGTGTGTGTGTGTGTGTGATATGTGTGCGTGTGTGTGTGTGTTGTGTGTGTGTGTTGGTTGCGTGTGTCGTGTGTGTGTGTGTTGGTTGTGTGTGTTGTGTTGTACGTTTGCGTTATGTGTGTGGTGTCTTGTGTGGTTTGTGTGTATGTGTGTTTGCGTGGTTGTGTGTTTGTGTGCTTGTGTGTGTGTGTGTTCGTGTCATTGTGTGTTTGCGTATTTGTGGTTTGTTTGGTGTGGTTTCATGAGGGTTGAACATTATACATGTTGTTGGTTCCCTCTTTGACACACCCATGATGTCGAATGCTTTCACGTTGCTCCAAAAACGCCTGTAGCATGAAGTTGTTGGTTCCTGCCGCACAGGGAATCGACTAGATTAACCTCCGAAACCCGTCACATCAGCGTCGAGGTGCCACTGTCACCAGCTTTGTGCGCTCAAAGGGCGCCGGCACACCGGTCACCGCCACACCTCGTTCTGGTGGCAGCGAGAAAAACAAGTATCAAGAGGTGGACAATTGAAAATGTTTGATGCCACGTTTGACACGTGGTTTCTTGTGATGTTCAAAAGGAACGTGATATCATTCCCTGAAACCTCGTCAAAAAGCTAAGACACATGCTCCACGAAAACCGGAAACACGCAGGCCGGACTTCTTTCGTTTGGCAAAAACTTTGGAGATATTGCTATGGTTTCTTGGAAGTAACTAGTAAGCATCAGACAATGTTGATTCATTAATCAGCCCAGGAATCCATTGGTATCCGAACCCGCTCACGTCCCCACTTTGCCTTGTGCGGTTGCGTTGCTGGGCGGGGGCAGAGAACGAAGGCTTCCGCAACTTCGCAACCCTTGGTAACAAAGACTGACCGTTTCTTGCAGCCTACGAAAAATGAAGAGACAAAAAGGCAACTACTGGTTTTGCAGCCAACAATAAACCAAAGCCCAAACCAACCAACAACCAACCAAAGCCGAATGAATAAAAGCCCAGTAGACAAAAGCCCAGTAAACAAAATTGATCCAAGAACAAAGGCCCAAGAACGAAGCCAAAGGCTGCCCTGAGGCTTTCCCTTTGAAACGGATCCTGACCCATTCCGCGTCGCGCGTGGGTTGGACGGGACGTCGAAGCTAAGCGCGCAGCCCACCTCCGCCGTGGGAGAGGACATGGAGGACAGCAAGCCTGGCGGACGCGTTTGTTTTGTTTCTTTTATTGTTTTTTTCATTTTTTTTAAATACGAGGCAACATAAAACTTCAAATAAAAATATGAGTCGGTTGGAATGGAACTTGTCTTCATGGTTCTTTATTTTTCTTTGGGGTGGGGGCGGGGGGAAATATAAGTCGAGGGTACTCGTGACCCATGCTTTGGTGAAAAAGGAACTTGTCTTCATTGATTCATGGTTCTGGATTTTCTTCTCTTTTTTTTTGGGGGGGGGGGGGGGGAAGTTGTTTGGAAGGCTGTTGTTGTGGGGAACCCGTTTTTTCGATTGGCTTGAAAGGGACACGAAAAGGAATTCAACCATGTTCGGGTTCAACATTTGGTTGCCACATGGGGGGGGGGCGGCAACACATATGGGTTGCCGAAGCAACGATGACCTCAATAGGGTTCTTTGTTCATCTGTAGCTGTTGGTTGCATTGTGTTTTCTAGCCGGGGGACCCGTTGGTGAACGCTTGCCCACAAACCGCTCTTAAGGGTGCTCCAACTATCAACAAGTCACAGGCAACGAGGCCAGCCCCACCCGCCCCTGACTGGTTGAAACTCATGGGAAGCCCATGGATTGTGTCCGCGGTACCCGAGCCAAATGGATGAAGGACGGATTGCAACGGCCTCCCCTCCGTTGCGTTCAACGCACCACTGAAATCAACAGCTCGAAATGCACATGTGCGTTCTGTTCAAGCACAATTCAACGAAGGTCCCTAATTTTTGGGCACACCCAACTGGGGTCGCTCAAGCACCGCTCTGATTTTGGACAACAACGCTGCCCTATTCTTCGCCCCATGCTTCCGCCAAGAGCTTGGGTCAAACAAAGAGGTTCTAAAGGTATCGACTCACTGTAGGGCAAATCATTCCCCCAGAATGATTCTCAAAACACATCCAAGAACCTCTTCCAAGAAGGTAAGCACCTTTCCGGGGTTGGGGGGGCCTTTAGTTGTTGCCCTGCACTCAGGGTTCCTTTCATGTCCACTTCAAAAATCACTCCAAAAGCGGACCCCTCCCTCAAATCCGAACGAGTGGATTGGCCCTCAAAACTAACCAAACTTGTTGTTTGCCACTAGCATGTGAAGTCCCGAACTCGGGAAGTGAGGACTGCTACTTCCGAACCCTTAACAGGGTGCAAGACCATCTTGTTTCTTGCCGGCCATCAAACATGAAACAATCCACAAAACGAGCCAAAAAGCTGCAAAGCACCGCTTTTTAGAACAGTGAAGTGCAAGAACCCCTGTTCACCCCGGCTGGTTTTCTTCCGGCATTTTGCCCCGACAGCCTCCCTCCGGCGTCGCGCTGCGCGCTGCGCGCTTCGCGCTTCGCGCCTGCCGCGGGCAACGCGGCCACACCCGTGCTGCCCAGGATGCCCACGCTGAGCCTGGGCTTTGTCGACAAACCCGGTGGCTCCGTGTCCATGGCTTTGTGAGTAGCCCAAAAAACCACCCTAACCAAAAGGGTAAAAGGGCGGAGGGTTACCTAGTGGAAGCTGGGATCCACTGGGAAACTGCTTTTCATCGCTGGATTTCTCCCCAGGTGAGCTCGCTCTGATAGCGCATATAATTCCATGAGTCGGGGCGGGTTTGGGTGGGGACGGTACCTGGGTGTGCTTTTGCAAGAGCACCCTTTCTGGAGGTGGTGAAAAAAGGTTAACCAAAAGGAACCCAGCCATTGTAATACTTTGACACACCCACATTGTTGCCCTGTTTGCTTTCCTGGCTTCCCTGTTAAACCGACCAACCCGTCTGTTCCCACAAAAAGACGAACAGGAAACCAAACAAACCGGCGTCCCATGTTGATCGGCAGGCGAGCGGACCTTCAATACAGGAACACGAATCTTTGTTTTAACCGACTAGAGGCTCCACCTTCTCGTTGCCGAAGGCACCCCCCAAAATTTGTCGTGTTCAATTCTCAGCTTCCATCTACTTGGTGGTTTGGATTGGTTTGGTGGTTTGGTGGCTGAGCGGATTCCCATGAACAAATCAGGTTACCTGAATCTCGGTCCTCCAGTAGAGAGGTTAGAATAAGGGTACCAACTTTTTCGGTAGTCTATTTTAGTAGGGGAACCCTCCCCCAAAAAAGCTGGTACAAGGGCACTACTGGAAAAACCTAGTGAAGATACCCTTTGAAAGCCCTGGGGAACAAAAACAAAAACAACATCGCCACCTTCAGCTGTCTTTGTCTTTCGACGCACCTTCGGAGTCAGTGAGTCTCCATGTCCCTGGCCTTGCGGGTACCCCCGAAAAGAAGAAAAAAACGGTTGAGAGGAGGAAACTGGCTGGATACCTAGAGTGGCACAACGTTCCACTGTCCTTTGGGGGAAACAAGGCACCAAAGCCAATTTGGCAGTTTCTTCCAGGGAACCCGTCTCCAAACCAATCGAAAACAAGGAAGGCACCCCGGAGGACTATAGCTCGGGGGTGGCTCCCTGGGATCCGCTGGGATCCCAATCTGTGCTGACTGGGCCAGCCCAACGGACCGTTTTGAATCGTCTAGGTCCTCCAGATTTGAGAGGTTAGAATAAGGGTACCAACTTTTTTCGGTCTATTTTAGTAGGGGAGCCCTCCCCCAAAAAAGGGGTGAGACAGGGCACTACTGGGGGACCTAGTTGTACAACCTTTTGGGGGAACCTTTCTCTTTCAATGGGATGGGGGTTTTAGGCGCCACTCATCGGATCGGGCCCGGGCGGGCCGGACCACCCGGTCACCTCACGGCGAAGTGAAGTCCAGCGCTCTTTCGGTGAGCCGATGGAGCGGCCACAGGCGCTCCACAACTTGGCTTTGGGCTCAGGTTGAGAACGCAATATATGGGCGTGGCTCGAAATTAAACGGGAGGGGCAAACCGCGGGTTTTGGTCCATGTTTCCACTTCACAGGGCTTGCGCCATTTTGGAATTCCGGTGTTTTGAGCCACGGCCATATGTCAGCAAGGGCGTTTTCTCGTGACGGGGTTCGAAAAGAACCTCTGAAGCTCGAGCCCGCGGTCTTGATATTTCTACCACATCCCAAACGGACCACTAGGATGGGATTTGTTTCTTGGGGGGGGGGGCAAGTTGACAACACATAAAGCCATGATGATAAGATAATTGCATGTGTGTAATTATGTAGCCCCTTACATATTGTCCGGGCAAATGACCGGAACTCTGAAATCGCAAGGCAGCAAACATCAAGGGCCTTCATGGTGGGCGAGCTCGTTTTGCCGCAAACTAAGCTCATTTTTTGGTAGCATCGTTTTCACGACGTTGCACGCAAATCAGCTGCTCCTATTTCTAATGAAACAAACCAAACCACTGCTCAATGGAGAAGCCACGATTTTCCCGCAGTTTTCGCGACAGCTTTCCGGCACCCCTGCATGCCAATTGTCGAGCTTGCGCAATTTGCCTTGCGTGGGTTATAACCTCACACATGATGAAGGTTCCTTACTTGGGGATTCCCTACCTCAGGTGTATGACTCACACGGCTTCAGGATTCCAACTATGGCCAGAACATGCTTGTAACATCTTGTAACTGTGCAACCTAGCCACAGCACCAACCACCCAAAGCCCAGGAGAGTGACTTTGAGCAGTTCGCCTTCATTTTCCCTTCAAACAGTTCACAACCAAATATGAAGTACCATTCAAAGAAGAGACACCACACCCGAAATCAGAAGGCACGGTTGATGCAACCCCGAAGCCTTGTAAGGGCGCCCGGAAAGTATTAAATGCGTGGAAAGTATTAATCAGGCAACAATACCTGTCCCTATCGATTGTCATGTTGGACAAATATTAAATAGACACAAACAACCCTGCGGAATATGGAGCTTTGGGGCCAGCCGGTTCAACCAGCAGGGAAAGGGGACACCCCAGATTCGATGGACTGCATCCAACAAACGGTCAGGTTTCCTTTTGATATCCCTTCAAAACCACTCCAAAAGGGGTACCCTCCCTCCAAGAACCTGACAGAGACCCGGTCCCTTCAAAAGGAAAATGGTCCAAACCAGCACCCCCCGAACGTCAGGTTCCATGCTAATGAGTGGGAGGGTCTTCTTAAAATAAAGATACGCCCAAATGACCGTCCCCCTCCGTGCGCAACCCGGCACCCACCTCAGGAGTGTCAGCCTGGAGAAGGTGCGCGCGCCCACCCCTCAACCGCCTTAGGCTATGCTGTTTTTTTGGAGGAAATGGCCTCGCTCTGTTTGTGGAGCTTCCCAACTCAGAGGCTGAAATTCCCAGTTCAACATGTATTGGGTGCGCTGCACCCCCTCCCCCGCCTTTTTAAGAGTGGAGCCCAACCTAATTTGGCAGGTGGGTGACCCCCAAGGAAAACTCATGGGCCCTGCAGGGCGGGGCGCGATTGGTTTCTATCAATCTTGGGACCCACAAGGGATCTCCAAAAGGCCCGCTTTGAGGTTGACAGCGGACGAGCAGGATTTACATCTCCTGCAAAACAAACAGCTGTTTGCCCCACACCCGGCTCGAAAAGTGTGTGTCCGGCCATGTTTGTCCGCGTAAGGGTCAAAGCACCCTTTCACCCCGTAGGAAGTACAGGTCCCTAGATTTCCCCTCCGGCCACTTGGTGGCCTCAAGGTGATCTTTGAAAATCAATGAAAATGTGGTTCCTGCCACAAAGAGACCAAAAGCAACACCCCCCAGGTTGCGCCGCTCATTCTCGGTCAAAGTGAAGCAAAGCTCTGGTTGCGCGCCTCACTGAAAACTCAGAGGCTGGGACCCTCTGTTTGGACCCGTGATCGTTTCAAGGAATACCAAAAACGAGCCCCGATTGTTTTGACAACCCCCCCTCCATGTGAATGGCTGAACAAATGATTCCGGGCAACCTATTCAGCTTCACCGACCCCACCTTAAGGCCTCCCAAAAGAAACTTCTTCTCGGGTGTCGTTTTAACCCCCATACTGACGTCGCCCAACTGTGCCTGCCTTGAGCTCCCCCGTCTTACCGCCCAAAGAATAGCCCGCCAAGGGACGCAAACATAGGTCCACCTTTTGGAATTACTAAGACAGGGCTCAAAGGCTGGATCCGCTTTGGAAGGGCTTAGCCTTCAGCTGGTTTCCATGTGCTTGTAAAAACAAGAAAATTATATTTGTCAAAACCAAAAGGAAGCCAAACGTTTGCAGGGCCCTTTAGATGTGATGACTTTTCAAGACAAGCGAAAGAACGTGTAAGGAAGCCCAACCCAACCTGAAGTCGTATACTTCAGTACGGCCCATCTTTGGATGAGTTCTGCTAAGGATACCCAAAGCAAGCCGAACATTCCTTCGGGACCTCATTTCGAACCACCAAAACACGGCGTGAGCGTCCCAGCCTCAGGCTCGTCAGCCTGAGCGAGTAGCCCCAAATGGCCATGGGGGCATTGGGTCCATACGAATAGCCATTAAGGAACGGGTCGCTCCGAGCCCAACATGCAAGGGCAGGCATGTGGCTTCATGTTGTGTTCGTTATGTTTCAGGAACCTATGTTAGTATTCCCACTCAGAACTCTATGGAAGGGCGACCCATCTCAAAGAACGCTTTATCTGGACCCTTGCCCATACATGTCTGCTCCCTTTTTGGCTACAAGGAAAACACATGTGTTGGAGCAACGCGGCCAACTGCGACAGCACACAATATGGTTCACCCGCTGCTTTTAGCTGAACCCCTCCCATATCTTGCAACATGACAACGCCTCTCACAGCCCCTTTTATTGTTTAAGAAAGGCTGCAGCCCCAAACAATGCATTTGCATGTTTGCAGGTCACGTCACCGACAGTTGAGGTACAAGAAACGTAAATGCACAGGGTGGATGGAAACCTCCAAAGGTGTGCGATTGGTTCGAAACATAACCCCAAATCGCTCATTTGCTTGCTGGTGCTCAGCAGGCAATGAGGGAATCACCCAGACAACCAACCCCCTATGGTTTCCTTTCAGGGAATCTCCAAAACCGGTTCATTCTCAGCTCTCAGTTTCATTGTCATTCCCTGCCTATCGCACCACAAACTTTACGATCTCTTCAACCCAAAAACTGGGTCACCCCCTCTTCAATCAACTCAAAGCCAGCAAAAACTATTCACAACCCCAACTCCTCTTGGGGCCAAACGCGCGCGCGCGTTTTCGGAGGTCCTCTCTTCACGGGCCGAGGCTGCCACCTCTTTGGAGCCCCACCTACACGGCGCGGCGGCGCAGCCGCTGGCGCACCAGGTGCAACCAGAGGTCCAAAACGTAAAATGCGCAGGGCGGCGGGGGGTGGGGGGGGAAAGTGGACTCCCAAACAAGGCTCCAAGAGGCTGGGTTGCCAAAAAGACACTTCACCCAAGTGCCCAGCTGCCACCAGCCATCCTTTCCGGTGTTGTGTGAAAGGGGAACAAACACAAAGCAACAACCGTTTTTCGCCGCATAGGGCAACCCATACGGGTCATTCCCTTAAGAATCCTTTTCCCGGTTGCCATGTTTGGCATGTTGACGGGTCCTGAACCATAGCCACCCCCATCAGGGATCAAGAGCCTTTGAGGGGTGCAAAGAATCTGAACGTACTGAGCCTCCATTCCAAAAAATGGTGTTTACAGTTGTTGTGCGTGCTGCTTTTCATTTCCGCAGAATACTAGTTCTACAACACACACGCAATATAACAAATCATATATTCGAGCATTTAACTCACTTCTCCTCGGTTCAACCCGAACTACAGTCAACCAAAAAAGCGCAATGGGCCTTTTCGGTGATTGAAGGCATTCTTTGAGTTCAAAGCAAGGGGGAAGTAAAGCAGGGGAGTCATTGTATCTCCCCTAATCATTACCCCATTCAGCGAAAACAGCTATGTGCGAGCCGTCTAAAGCGCAACACCAAGAACTCTGAAGATCGTGTTTCTGTCCCCAAAAAATCCCTACAACCAGGTCGCCTAAGGAGCATTGCTTACCATCATACAGTGGTTAAGTAGCAGCTAAAGACCTGGGGTATACGACTCCTGAATCCTAGTGGTCTCGAAAGCACATCCAGAGAAGCGAGCGTTCCAACTTCGCAGGCAGCAAAATAGGGGGTCCATCCCAACTATGGCAGTAAAATTTGGGCATTACAGGACCCCAATAATAGACTAGGTCCTCCAGTAGAGAGGTTAGAATAAGGGCACCCTTTTCTCTGTAGTCTTTTTTTAGTAGGGAAACCCTCCCCCAAAAAGGGTAAAAGGGCACTACTGGGGACCTAGTAGATGCACCTTCCAAAAAAGAGCTATGGGTTGAATCATACACAATCTGGCAGATAGCCGTGGTTTCCTTCAACAAGCGTAATACAAATGGCTCGCTTCCAACTAGGACGCAACAATCTGTTCAACGGGAAGAATCATAATTGTGGGTTCCACGCTACTCTCCAGGGGAGAAGTTTTTGGGCCAAAAACAGCATTGAGACTTGTTCATGAAGCAGTGAACCGGAACATTTGCAAAACAATGAAGCAAGAGCACAGACTGTGCTCACAAAATAAGGGAGAATGGTGCCGATGAATAGAGAACATCAAATTCCGCATTTCAACATGGTGGGGATCTCTCATCCGAATCCGCAATTCCGTAGTTGGAAAAACGCCATCCGTCAAAAGGATCTTGCGGATTGACTTTGAAGAGCCCTGTCAGCTGTTCTGGCAGTGCTATGAAGCTCCCATCCAGACTGGGCTGCTCCTTGCCCCCTCAATCACCTTTTGTCGGTGGAATGGAACACGCAGGTGTTCTCACACGGTCTCTTCGGGCATTGTGGTCACACCAGAGAGCCATGAAATCCCTAGTTGACTTTGAGCAACCCTGTCTACTTGCTGTTTCTCAGACATTTGATGAACTAATGGGGATGTGACTGTTTTTTAAGGGTACCCTTTTTTTTCTTGGTTTCTAAAGAAAACTATAAACGAAAAGCCACCAAGCTTTGGCCCCCGCCCCCCCCCCCCCCCCACAAAAATCACCAAAAAAGGGGTACCCCCAAAAAAAGACGCAGCCACGGATCCCCAAGGAAACCCCAGGGCAGACGTCACTCCCTGAGCTCCTGGCCAGGCTGTGAGCTGCTCCCCACTGCCGGGGCGCCAGTACCACCCTGGCGCTGAAAAAAGGAGAAAGCGCGGCGGGGTGGGTGGGGGGGAATTTGTTCACAGTGTTTTCTGGAATTGGTAGGCGTTGTTTATTCTTTCAGCAATCAACCTCCTGAGTGGAATTGTATGAGTGGAATGCCTACAAGCAATTGTTTTTTTGTTTGGGAAACCAACCTTCAGAGTGGTGCCACCAGACGCCTGAAACAAGCCCTGAAAGGCTCGTATCCCATGGGGGAAACCGCCTGCATTTTTTAAAGGGGAAACCTACAAGTTGCTTTGGGCTTGCATTCAAAGTTTCAGACAGGCTTACCCTGCCACCTATGGAACCTGACTGAGGGCTCCTGGAAGACCAGTTTCCTTTGAAAGGACCCCCTGTGAGGTTCCACGGTAGTGGACAGGAGGCTACGCTCTTTCATTTTTTAAACGACGTGTTGTTTTTGTTGCGGGTTCCCTCGAGAATCGCATCTTTTGGTGGGTTCTCTAATTCCAGGGATTGATCCCCATTCCTTGCAACCACAGCTTGATTCAATCGCTAATTTTCTGGAAAGAAGGACCCCTGCAAGGAGGGGACAAGAACATTCATCTTGTGAAGACTGTCGTACCTGTTGGTCAATGTTCAAACCAACCCGAACGCGGTTGCTGCCTGTCCGCCCCTTTTCCTATCCCCGCCCCCTAACCCATTGTTTGGCAGCCCCGATGTAGGCGGAAAGATGGCATCCCTTCCAAAAGAGATGGTAGCCCCCCACCTGCAGAAGCACGGGGTGAATTCCCATGGAACGCAAGTACACCCACGGTTTTTCCTCCAAGCAGGTCAAAAAGCAAACTTTATTCTGGAAGGAACTCCTTTTCAACCTGTCCGGCTACTTACTCCAACTCAGAAAGCAGGAATGCGGAATGCCGATGCTCCACATATATCTGCAGAGAGGGCCCGGAAATAGATCAGCCGAAGAATGGACTCACACAACAAAAGAACTCGTAAACACGCAAGTCAAATTCGAAACGAAATTGTGGACATTGCCTGCTGCCACTTCTGCGATACCACTGGCTAAACTGGCCCTCTCAACGACTACCTCTCCCATCCACTATTTCAAGATGGGAGCTGAAAGACCACTGTCCTCAAAAAGGGACCCGTACGGTTTGTTCCCCTTTGGTGGGAGGGTAAATGTCTTCACCCCAGGATGCAGGTCTTCTGAGAGACGTGAGGCTGAATGGAAGCCCTCAATTTGTCCGTCCGTAAACGGATCGGTGGCTGTGTTGCTCATGGTCGTTCTTCCCCTGACATAAAGATAGAATGAAGGGCTTAGTGAGCAAGTCGATCAAACCCAAAGTAACCAGGTTGACTACTACCCGCGGCACACATGGTTTGAGCTGCATGATTAAGAGTAAAAGGTACTATCGATAACCATTCAGACCATGATCCCAGAGCTAAGAGGAGCCAGACGCAACACAGCGCGAGGGTTGATTTTGAACGTTTCGGTGAGAATCGAGGGCTCCTGTGAGACTTCCCACACCATATATTATAGGTCAACATAGGGCCCCAACATGTTGGTTCTCCTTTTGGCTTCCCTTTAAACCAGGGTAAAACGGGTACCCCCGAAAAACACTGCCCCAAAAAGAGACGAGTCGCTTTGCTTCCAACAAAGCGTGTCAAAAGGCATCCAGACAACAGCCCTCCAAATGGTCTGAATGACGCAACAGTGCGTGAAACTGGGTACGAGTTTAAACGGAACAAAGGCCAGCCACGCATCTTTCAGGTCCAACTACCGGTCTCTCCTTTAAAGGGTTCCCTTTCTGAGGTGGTGTCCAAGGACGGCACAAGGAAAATCACCAAGTTGGAGGGTCCCATATTTTGAGGCAACCTCATACAGTATGTTCGGACATTCTGAAATGGGCCAAATGCGATCCGCCATCTGACACAAACGAAGTTGCACATCCACGTTGCCACAGAGGTTGCTGTTAAAACATGGCCAAATGAGACACGATCAACACGTCACTCAAGTCATGACTCCCCCTGTGCCCCTGAGCCTGAAACCAACCCTTCGAGGACAGAGGCAGTTGGGACTCTTAGTTGGGAGACCCCCAAATAGGTTCAAACCAATGGATTCCTTTCGGATGTTGCACATGTGCCTCTTTGATGCACGCTGGTCCCCTTCTTCTTGGAACCTGCTGAACGGGTGTGACAGGCAAAAGCGGTCGCATCTGAGTCACCCCCCCCCCCCCGCGCCCTTCCCGCCTGCCAAGTTCTTGCAGCCTCCCTCAAGCCTGGGTCGGGAAGGGAAATGTTCCCCTTGCTGGTGCGAGAGATGCAGGGAATGAGACATGAACCGTTTTGAGACTCCCCAAGAAAGGATGCCATACGGGTTCCCCGCTGAGCACCAGCAAGTCACTGTCTCCAAATCGAAGTCTTTCCTCAGATTGCAAACTTGAAGTCCCAGTGCTTAGCTGCCCCAGTAACGCAGTGCAGGCCAACCCACAATCTGTGCTATTCAAGGGCAGTCATCAGGCAGCCCAAAAAGGAAACAAGGATCACAACGGAACCGGTTCATCCCCACCTTGTGCAAGGGTTTGGGCTAGTTCACTCATTTCTTTGAGAATCCACTCCATGGCAGAACGTTTTCATGTGTTTGCACGTACCTCACATAGAAGCACATTCCCTCATTTTCAAACATCCCTCCACCGGACACCAAAACCGCTGCATGACCGGACCAAACCTGCAAGCTCTTTCAACCTGTGCTTGCAAGATGCTGTATTCTGACTGTGCCTTTCTGTTCACATAGCCCTCCCAACTATCCGATTTGCAACGATCATTGAAGTGGACAAGAGGCTGTAAGACTCTGATTATTTAATTCCACGATGCGTGGGCAGCTAGAAACAGTGGCGTTGAAACCAGGGTGAGTTAACCATGACACCAAGCACTCCCAGATACCTCCTTTTACAAGCTAGAGCCACGACGGAAGAAAAGGGGAAAAACACACAGACACACAGAGACACAGAGACACAGACACACAGACACACAGACACACAGACACACACACACAGAGACACAGAGACACAGAGAGACACAGAGAGACACAGAGAGACACAGAGAGACACAGAGAGACACAGAGGGACAGAGAGAGACACAGAGACACACAGAGACACACAGAGACACACAGAGACACACAGAGACACACAGAGACACACAGAGACACACAGAGACACACAGAGACACACAGAGACACACAGAGACACACAGAGACACACAGAGACACACAGAGACACACAGAGACACACAGAGACACACAGAGACACACAGAGACACACAGAGACACACACAGAGACACACACAGAGACACACACAGAGACACACACAGAGACACACACAGAGACACACAGAGACACACACAGAGACACACACAGAGACACACACAGAGACACACACAGAGACACACACAGAGACACACACAGAGACACACAGAGACACACACAGAGACACACACAGAGACACACACAGAGACACACACAGAGACACACACAGAGACACACACAGAGACACACACAGAGACACACACAGAGACACACACAGAGACACACACAGAGACACACACAGAGACACACACAGAGACACACACAGAGACACACACAGAGACACACACAGAGACACACACAGAGACACACACAGAGACACACACAGAGACACACACAGAGACACACACAGAGACACACACAGAGACACACACAGAGACACACACAGACACACACAGAGACACACACAGAGACACACACAGAGACACACACAGAGACACACACAGAGACACACACAGAGACACACACAGAGACACACACAGAGACACACACAGAGACACACACAGAGACACACACAGAGACACACACAGAGACACACACAGACACACACAGACACACACAGACACACACAGACACACACAGACACACACAGACACACACAGACACACACAGACACACACAGACACACACAGACACACACAGACACACACAGACACACACAGACACACACACAGACACACACACAGACACACACACAGACACACACACACAGACACACACAGACACACACAGACACACACACACACAGACACACACAGACACACAGACACACAGACACACACACACACAACACAGACACACACACACACACACACACACACACACACACACACACACACACACACACACACACACACACACACACACACACACACACACACACACACACACACACACACACACACACACACACACACACACACACACACACACACACACACACACACACACACACACACACACACACACACACACACACACACACACATACACACACACACACACACACACACACACACACACACACACACACACACACACACACACACACACACACACACACACACACACACACACACACACACACACACACACACACACACACACACACACACACACACACGCGCGCATGATGCATGATGCAGCGCCGAGCAAAGAATAAGCTCGAAGAAGGAAACTGTGTGTACGTGTGTGCTCTCTCTTGTCGAAAATAACAGCCGCAGATATCCAAACAAACATACCTACCAAGAGCCTACGTATACATATATATAATATGACATACAGAACAGGGACAAACGATCGCCGATTTTGCCGCTCTTGCTTGCAGGTCGAGGGCTGTTTGTCTGTTGTCTGTTTGTTTGGTTGTCTGTCTGTTTTTCTGCCTGCATGCTTGCCAGCCTGCCTGCCGGTTTGTCAGTCTGTCTGCATGTCTGTCTGTTTATCTGCCCGTCTGTTTTATCAGTCCTTGTTTTGTTTGTTTGGTGTTGATTTGTTGTGCTGTGTTTCCATTGTTTCTAGGCGGGATTGCGAGGAGACCTTCAAATGCATTGGTACTTCTGAAGGATCGTGGGGTTTCTCCAAGCCAAGCAACTTCACAGGCTTTTCTCCGGGTTCGGAGGTTGTCAAAAAAAACAATGCCAATGTACCTAATTCTTCTCAGGGCTCGGGGAGCTTGCAAGAAACACGTGCTGTTCAGAGAGACCGCCGGTTGGCTAAAAAACTCCATGTAGACTGAGGATGCGCTGCCCTTGTGCCCACACAAGCCATTCAGGTACAGGAGTGGATGTTCTCAACTTCTACGCAACTCTGCGCCACAGATTTGACAGTTCCATATCCTTGATACCGTGGATGGACGAAATCCATTTCGCACCACTTGGAAACAATGGTTGAAACCATTGTTTGTTGGCATTTACAGAGGAATCGGGAATTATCATTCCAGGGTTTCTTAGGTGGTGCAGGATTTCGTCCATCCCCAATATCACAATGTTGGCACCCGCAGCTAAAAAGGAAGTCATGGGGGGCAACGCAAGAAGATTATGTCTTTGAGATGAGCTAACAAACAACAACAAATGCGTTCCCTTATTCCTCGCCCCTTTAGAGGCATGGGAATGTTGAGAGTTGTCTACCCTACCCGACTTAGCCCTGGTTTCCAAGCAAGTATCAACCCACCAATGCGAAATTGCAGCAAAGCTTGAGTTCCCAGGTCAAGCAAACAACGAAGCAATCACCCTCCGCCGGGTCAAGGCGAACAAATTATCTGGGCTGTTCGCTAAAAGTTTCAATTTTAGTGGGTGAAATGGAAACCCAACCACTAAACCAGCTGAAAAGCTAGAAAGCTGAGGAACTGGATGGCTCCCAAGTTGACTTGTCTTACTCGAGTCGCACACATCTGCGACTCTTCCGATCGCATGGGCAGCCCAACAGGCGAAGGTCAATCTGCTCCGAGTGCAAGTGCATCAGTGCCTTAGGCTTTCGAGATGAGTCTCAAAGTCCCTTCAAGGATACCAGCTGGGATCTGAAAATTTGGGTGGATGGTTTTGAAGAGAAACTGCAGGGAAAACCAAACCACGCTTCTGAAAATCCCCTCACAACAACGACATACCCGTTTGGGGCAGTGCAACACATTAGCTTTACCTTTACAAGCTGGTCTAGAGGATCTCCCTGAAGAAAATCAGGTTTTGGGATATGCTGTTTCAATAACCCTGACGTGGCTGGCAAGGCGACTTCACCCGTTCATTTTGCCACCCCCACGCCTGTTGGTTGACCCTCATGTTGCCTTCTGGTTTGTGGGACTTAATGCCAATAAACCCCTGGTTGAGTAATAGGGGGATGTCCCCTTCTAGTGGGGAGTCATCACTTTTGGAGGGAACACCCCTTCAATAGTGGGGCGGGTTTCTCAATCCTGGGTCAACATTAAGGGTTGGAGCTGGCACGAACAAAAAAGTCCGCAATTTAAAATCATGACTGGACACATGCCAAGCCTTGTTTTCTTGCAACAATGATGGCACTGGTACCTGATCGAGACAAACTGAGATTAAAGGAGCCCGTCGTTGTTCATTCACACTGACCTTACACATGCACAAGTATACGGCATAAACTTATTCAACCTCACCTGTTGCGTTGAGGGCTCTTTAATGGCAGGTTCTTTCTTTTTTTGGAGGGGGGGGGGCTGCATGTTCGGCAAGTCACTTGCACAAATTGCCCTGAAATAAGTTGTGTTTTTTCAACTGCCCGCAGTGCGTTTGTCAGCCACGGCGCAGCCACATTTGGGCAAAGCCTTCTTCTCTGCGTCTCGCGGACCAATGTTGTGGTACTGCGGCGCGTTTGCACATCCGTCCGCCTTCAGCTCGGCCTCCATGTGTATCGACTCGCGGTGCAGGTCCATCTCTTTGCATTTCCTGTGGAAATGCCATTTGGTGGCATGACGAAGCCGATGCACCCCTCGTCACGGACAAATGGTTTTGGTGGGATGCCAACCGGCCCCAGAATGGCAAGAACCCGGGCAACCTCTTGGCAAAATAACATACACTCATTTGTTGCAATCGAACTGAAGCAACTTGTTTGTCTTCAGTAGGACTTCAAGAGGATGGTAATGGACCTGGCAATCCCCTGAAAAACCACAGGACATGGTTCAGTTTGCTCTCATTCAAGGAAGGACGCAACCCCTACTGAAGGCAAGAAAGGACAAAGGGCAACTGGGAAAGCGAAACCTTACCCCCAGTTGGTAGTTTGGTTTGAACCTTATGGGGTGCCTGTCCCACTTGGCGATTAAGGGGTTCAAAACCCCACAAATCCAAACCGATTAAGGGGAATCTGAGTCAATAAGTTTGAGTTGGGCAATTGTAAAATCAGCGGCTGGGGCCGGAGATGGACATCCCCTCTGCTTTCCAACTGGTGAGGGGGTTACCTTAGGAAAGAGCCTATTTGGGCATGTTTCATCTGTTGATTTCCTTGGAACCTGTTTCGAAAGCAACGGAGAAAGCGGCCATCTCCAGCAAGAAAGAAAATAAAATAGGATAAAGAACAACATGCCCAGTTGCGTCACCTACAATCCTGCAGACATGGTAGCTTGTAGCGCCCCTTCTAGGAGCAACAGGCCTTGGACTTGCTATCTTTCATGGACCAACGATGACGGAGGTAGAGGAGGAGTCAAGGGCTATCACCTATCCACCCCTTAGTGTTGACCCCATATTGATCAACCAACCAGTTTACTTAATAGGGGGATGGGGGGGCCCTCCAAAAGTGGTCTGATTCCAACCACATGTCACCCACAGAAAAGCACGAAACAGATTGGTTGACGGGAATATGGGGTCAACCTTATGGCCTAAGGTCCGTTTCAAGGGCTCCGTGGCAAGCCCTGGGCTCAGCCAGAATCGCCCCCCCTTTAGTCCATGAAAATCCTTGAGCTCCGGGCCAGGTGGGGCGTTTGGTTGTCCTGCGATTTTTTGCCCAGCCGACCCAGCAGAAAGGGAAATGAGGAGTGCTTTTCCGATTGCTTTTCCAGAACTATGGATTTGCTTTTTGCAGAGAAACAATCTGAGTAAAAAGCTTTCGAGGACCTTCATGGCAATTCTCTGCACTGGTCCGCACAAACAGCATGAGCCAAGTTGCACCCGGCATGCAAAATTCACATAGTCTCGCAGAAACATGGCACCTGGCATGAATTTGTAACCCTGGGGACGAGTAGATGTCGGAGCAAGAGCTTCGGGGTTTGACTTTGTGATGCTTGTTTTAGCTCACGGCGTCCTTAACGACCCCGTGGAGTTCTTTGTTTTTTGGACGTTCATCCCTGCGTTCATGCCTCATGGTTCGGGGGGGCGATGGGTGGGCCGGGGGGGGAGGGGGGGTGGGTGGGGGGGTATGATAAGCACACCCGCCCAACTGCTGCAGACCAGCCTGCTCTTTTACCGGATTACAAAATAACATGGTTCTGGGGGGGGGGGGGTTGGGGGGGGGCATGATAAGCACACCCGCTCAACTGCTGCAGATGCGTCTTTCACCCCTGAGGCATTCACTGGCCCAACCTTTGGCTCCAGGACCATGGGTCATCATTTTGTTCTCGCTCTTTGTGTTGCGTACGTTCTGCTGCTGCGTGTCGCGTGCACCCTGCCCCATTGTTGACTCGTGGTTCCAGGCATTTTGGACGTGTGATCCGTTCTTGTTGGACGCTCACTTTGAAGTTTTCGCTGGTAGTTCGTCTGATCCTTTCGCGCATTTTGCGGCATCTGTTGGTGCGATATCTGCTCGAAGCCCTTTGTCCTGGTGTCGGTTACCTGCTGCACTGCCGCGTCTTCGCGCTGCCTGGCTGACGCTCTCGCGCGCCCGCTCCCCGCTTACCCCGGCTTTGCATGCTGCCTGTTTTGTTCTATCCCGACGTTGGTTGGTCATCAACTTCACTTCTGCACCATCATCCGCTTTGAGAAGTTGCCTTGAAAAAAAAGAGGCTGGCAGCCTCAAGAAACGTGCGTGTTGGCCAGCAGCGCGAAGTGCTGCTATTCTCAGGCGATTTGGCCCTTTCTTGTCAAAGCCATGGTAAAAATGGAACAAAATAAACATGGTGCGTGTCAACGATGCAACGAAATGTTCATAAAACGCAGGAATTGTGGTAAACGTGCTTGGTCGCCATGGTCAAAAGCAGCGTGGTCATTAGCAACGCCGTGACCTTTTAGAGCTTGAACAAACCTTGTCAAAGGTGCCTTGACCCTCCGCCCTTCAGAAACAAACAAACTAGCTGTAACTAGCTGAAGAAAGGCTTATCTTTTCGAGAGGTAACACATACCTCTTCAAGGCCGCGAAACATTTGTGTCCGCCGAGGCAACTATCGTTCGGACTGAGGACATGTGTGTTGCATGCGTGGGGGAATAACTTGGGCGGGAAAGGTTTGCTTTGGGGAGAGAAACCAACCAGGAACACCCTGGGTTTTGTATTCGCGCGTGTGTGTGTGTGTCTTTGTTGCTTTCGCAGTAGGTGTACCAATAAGGCCGTCGACTTCAGTTGCCTGCAAAGGAGCAAATGAGGGTGTGCCAGGTAAACGATTTCTCCTCAAAACAAACCTTTTCCACCCAAGTGAGTTTACCACGCAGAAAACGCACGCGTGCCCTCCATCCCAATGTCAGTTTCCTTGACAGAAACAGACATTCCGCACAGCCATGGGAAAGCCATGGTTTCCTTTAAAAACACTCAGGTTGAGGTAGCAGTTAGTTTGACATATATCTACCAACCATGAAACAAACTGTTCGGGAAAGCGCTTGTATTTCCGACTGGAGATGCTAAGGTCTCTCTTGCTCAGAGCGAACTAGAGTGTCTGGGGTCGAAACAAACTGTCATGCGCGAAAGTTAGTTTCTTGGTTAAGGCCAACTCCCTGCACAAACGATTCAAACAAACTCAATCTAGCAAAACAAAAACAGGCGTCCAAGTGCAGTTTGGAAAGAAAAAAACAAAGTTTCAGGCGGCGCAAACATGAGCTTGGGTGGCATAAACAACCACATAACTCAATTGCTTCACTTGCTTCATGCTCGCAAAGCCTTAGACTTTGCAAGGGAAGCCTCGGCGGCTGTCACGCTCCTCCCGAGCGAAAGCTCGAGAGTCCTGCCCTTGAAGTAGTCCAGCGCGCTTCGGGCGGCAGAGACCCAGGTTCCGGACCGAGCTGAAAATGTCTTGTTCTGCTCGTAGCAGTGTTCCTCGAAGCCTGGAGCGTTGCCACCGAGGGTTGGATCCTTGACCTGCGCCTTCAGGCCTTCGGTCAGCGTGGAGACGTCTGCAGTAGCAAAGACTGTCCCCGGTGCGGCCCTTCTTTGCAGGCTGGAAGGCCAGTTTCTGGCCGAGAAACCAAAGTATGCCCCTGCATCTACTACAGGGGACGTGCCCCAATCATCAAGTCCCTTCAAATTCGCGCGGCAGCAATCTACATGTATGGGGCATGTCAGGGGTATTCAAGGGGCACACAGCAGTACCAAACACTCCATGAGCACGTGATTCAGCCCTTAGAGCTTCCTCTTATAAATGTTCAAGATACACCCAAGCAGCGACTAAATTTCCAGGAACTCAGGAAGTCACCCAATCCCATGTTCGTCGCTTGGCGAAAAGGCGTCCTCGCTCGTTTGGGGCTGCCAAGCCTGAGCGACGCACACGTGCTCGAGCCAAAACCAGGGACCGGATCATGGAAGTCAAATCCAGGGTCTGGAAAATCAAGCAGTTATCCGCACCCCGTTGGTCTTCTTGGAAAAAAAAAGTCAGCTACTTAGCACCCACCCTCAAGTCGTTTCAATGCTTAGTCTGGTGGAAAGGAACTCTTCAAAAGGTCACGGTAGGAAAATCTGCCGGACCAGGAAATCATTTTAAAGGAATCCCTCCCCAAAAGGGGCCTTGAACAATGGCAAAAATTGTTTCCCTTGAAAGAAAAACTCAGTTGCCCAAAGGACTTGAAACTAGGTTCACCTTTTGGGGCCATGTCTCATGGACCAAAATGGGAAAACCAAAAGGTCAACAGGTCGGCTTTGAACAACTGAGAAAAGGGACGCACTTTTGTTTCTGCTTCATGCCAGAATTGTCCTTTCCGCAAGTCACTTGTTGGTTCACAAGGACGTTGCACGTTGATAAGAATAATTCCCGTCCAAGTAAAGCACCTTCATGCTTAGCTTGACAGAATGGACTCTATTTTCGGCACAAAGCATGGGGGAACCATGAGTTGCAATCAACGCCTGGTATCAAAATGGTCGACCGAAATCCAAAGGAAATGAGAAGGCGGATTTCCACGCCTGCGTCCGGCTGGTCCCTCTCGACCCCTCATCTACGCACCCAGTGTTTAACTAATTTCCCTGTTTTGGCAACCAAGCGGGGTTCACCCACCCGACATAAAAACCAGAAGGCAAATGGATCGAGGGGTTACCTACTACTCACTCAATCAAAGGTCAACCTTTTGGGACCTTTACCAGAAGTGTCTCCCAACTTGTGGGCGGTGACCTGCCAAAAGAACACTTGCATGAACAAATAAGTTTAAAAAAAAAAATAAAAATGACAAACACAATCCCAAATACCAACAACAAACAGAAACAACAACAAAAACGAGAAGGTCGCTTCGCCTACAATTTTCAAGTTGCCAGGAAGGCCTTGGAGCCCACACGCCAGTGGCGGGCACTGGCACAGCTTGGGCCTGGCGCGCTCGGCGCGCTCGGCGCGTGGCGTTGCCTGGGGGCCTGTGAAGGACACACCAGAGGTGTGGATCTGTCTGGGTGAAGTGTACTGTGGATAGATGACATCCTGCACTGCATAAAAAACCCTGGAATGCTGATTCCCCTGTAAATACCAACGAACAATGGTGTCCCATGGTTTCAAAGTGGTGCAGGATTTCGTCCATCCACAGTATTTCACCCAACCTGCAACTTGCGGTGGTTGGGGGCAATTCCCCCCATACACCACCATTTGGGGTGAGGTCGTGTAAGGTCGTTTTGTTTCACCCAGATCTGTTTGTTTTTTCTTTTTCTTTTTTTTCTTCTCGGAGACCCCGTAAAATGGTGATCTCCCTGTGGGTGTCGTTTGAATCCATGTTGAAAACCACCGAGAAAAAAAAAGTACTCTCAAAAAAGTGACACGCTGGTTATAACCCCTGATCTAAGTAGAACCCATCCCCTGAGTAGGGGGTGGCACCTCCAAAAGTGATCCGGATTGCCGCTAAAAGGGTGACACCACCCCTACGAATCACCCAGGAGTTATTGACGCGGGGTTCCCATTATTGTTCCCTCGGAACGTGCAGTCACCCTGGTTGATGAGGGGCGCAGACCATTTGTCCGTGGCATGGGCAAAGATTGGCACTCTTTTGTTGGGGGTAGTTGATTGTTAAGGCCTTAGCCCCTGCGAAATAATGGATTTGCACCTGGAGGTCTGGGAGGATGAATGATCCTGGCTCTCCTTCGCCCAGATCGACCAAGACGGAGCCCTTTGAAACACCAAGTGTTCTCATTCGGAAGCTGCACACCAAAAACCAGATGTTCAAATGCTTCATCTTTTGTTTTGCCTTAGACGAGCTCAGCTCAAGGGGGCCGACAGTGTTTTTTTTGAGAAGCCTCCTGATCCTCTCAGAAAGAATTCAAGCCATCTAAATGCATTTGAGCCCATGGGTCCAGGGCCCAACCCGCCTGTTGGCCATCCCACAAAGCAAGACAGAAAGGCCCCATCTTCTTTCCGTACTCAGAGGAAAACGAGTTTGGAAAAGTACCCCTTTTGGGGTGGTTTCAAAGGAGGAAACCCACATTTGGGAGGTTCCCACATTTGCAAACAAGCCCGGGTGGCATCCCCAACAGCAACCCTGGAACCTTGTGGAACCCTTCCTTGGAGCTGCTCCGGATCACTGGGAGCTCATTTGGGCAGATGGCTGGGCAGAAACGAGGGGCTTGCACAAACATCAGGTACGTCTTGATACTCAAGCCTCATCAAGCAGCTGTTCACCCTGACAAGTAGTTCCCCTCCCAAAACCTGGCTGTGATTCTCAAGCAAAAGGTATCTCTCCAGAATTTGGAGTACCCTTTGAGGTTTGTCAGCGAAGGAGTTCCTTGCTCCATGCCGTCCCTTCCACCAGTCCCTGCTTTTCTCAGGTTGTGGGCTGTACCCTGGCAACCAGAATTGCGGTCTGAGCTCCTGAAGCCAAAACAGCGCCGAAAGCCTTCGTATTTGTAGAGGAACCTCCCTTTGGGCGACCGTCTTTTTCAGGTCCATGTTGAAGGACCTTGAGGGGTGGGGACCACGCAGGTGAATATCATTACTTGCCCCAAGAGTCAGGACTGATTGTGACTTAGTATTTGACCCAAGTCAGTGCCCTAAACAAGTTGCCCAAACTAAATCGAGAACGTCCTTGGGCTTATTTCTCGCTCCTAGACCATTGTCCAGCTTTCGCGGTTTCTGGAAGCTGGGTGGAACCTGAATCAATGTCTGCTTTCTCCGTCTAAATTACCCGCAAATGATCCATGCTTGAGGGATGCGCGTGCTTCAATTCTTGCCGATTTCTCCCAATGTAGATTGTCCCCTTCCTCCGAACATAGGATCAGAGGATATCTCAAAGATCAGCTTCCTCTTCAAGAGACCCTGGTGCCATGGCAAAAAGGAAGGCTCCGCGAAACCCCGCCAGCCGCCTGCTCGCTGATCTTCATATGATCGGAGCCCTCAGACCAAAGATCCAGACCTGAGGCTGACATTCAAATCGAAGCGGCCCTGTGAACTTTGGCAACGAGAGCGAGTCACATCCCACCCTCAGGGTTCACTGTATGGTGTTCAAGGTAGACTCAAATCTCGTGATTCATGTCCCGAAGGAGAAATTATGGGTTTATGTCTACCTTGGGGCAACAGGGATCCTTACATGAAAAACACCTGAGCATTGCTTTGTATATGGTGGTTTCCAACTTTATTTGGGTGTTGAAAAAGCCACATGTTTCAAATGGTTGCAAAATGGAGATCTTTTAAGGAGCCCTGGGCAATAAAACAAATTGACTGTCTTTGTGGATATTTTGAGAGCCTTCCATGTCCCTAGCCCCGAATTGACAGGCAGATCAAGATATGACGGTCCAACTGTGCGTGCGGTTCCAACCAGTAAACTGGGTCCATTTACGCAACATTACCCTCTACATGGTGGCTCAAAGGGAAACTACCGGACCAGAAAGTAGGTTTGAGTGCCCCTCCAAAATGCGATGTATTCGAATTCAGGGCACCCACTGAAAGATCATTTTGCCTACCAGGCGATTGAAATGAGCACAAGATGTGTGGCTGGGTCATCGGAGTCCTTTGGGCTTCCTTACAACCATTTACCCTCCCCTTTTCACATGGAGCCTGACGTTCGGGGGGGGGGGGTCCTGGAAGGCAGTTTTTCCAGTTAAAGCGACCCCCTGTCAGGCTCCATGTTAGGATTTCGCCATTTTGAGATGGCCAAAACTCACGGAACATGCGCCCTGGGTTTGTGAGGATCCAAGTGCCTACGCCCGGCCGGGACTTGATCGCTCGAAACTCTGCTGGGTCACCACACAATGGCTTGAATTAGCGACCGGAAGCGGTGCCCAACTCCGGCAACGGCATAAACACCTTAAGGCCAAGGGCGGGTACCATGATCCGTATCGAGCGATCCCTACCAGGGAATTCATGATGCGAAAGCCGGAGCTGGTACACATTGGTTTTGTTTCCAAAAGAAAAACCATTGAACACTATTTGTGTGTGTTTTTTTGGGGGGGAGGGGGGGAGGTACCCTAAAAAAAGACACACCTACATGTGTGTTTTGGGGAGCGTACCTTTTTAAGGAGCTGGTTGGTATGTATGTGTGTGTGTGTGTGTGTGCGCGTTCTGCCAACGACCTGGCACGTGCAGAAACATTTGCTCTCCTCTTCTTCGACAGGCAACCCAAGATCACTCTCCTCTTCTGCGCGATTTGCTTCATCTGTTGCTAAACACGCGCAGGCTCCACATATCTCTCGTCACACTTCCAACACCAATCTAGCTAGGCATGTATTAAAGAAGTGAAGGGATATGATAGGAGCAAGCTCCCAAGCAAAGCAATGCAGGGAAGGCGAGTGCAGGGACTGATAGATAGGAACAGCATCCCAAGTGAGGAAGTAGGAAAAACAGGTGAAGGGATTGCTTTGTTGCCTCAAGTACGGAAGGGCAAGACATATAAAGGGACTGATGGAAGCCAGCATCCCCAAGTGAAGGAAGGGGATCCTTTCACAAGGGATGACAAGAGGCTGGGCTCCGACCTTGTGAATCTGCAGCTCCTGTCGCCACTCCACGCATCGCTCAAGGATGACCCCGGGTGCAAGTTCACGTCTTCTTTTTGGCGGCAAAGGGCTTGACCAGCACAGTGGCTCGCAGTGCAAGCAAGTCAGTTTTCGGAATAGAAGTCTCTTACTCTCTTCGTGAGTGAACTGGCCAAAACAAGTTCAAACTTTACCACTGAGGTCCAAGCCCAAAAAGCTTAAAGTCCGGGACCTCAGGAAGTGAGGAATAGGCCGTTTCTCCATGCACGCCTGTGACCTCCACCTGTTGAAAACGTCTCCTTGAGCGCGGGATTTTTTGCGAGCTTGCATGGCCGTGGCCGTGGCCGCGCGCACAAGGCTGGGTTCGTCTGAGCACTAGGAAAAGCATGAGTACCATACCACCCGTTAGCAGCCGGAACCGTTCGACTTTCAGGAGAATGGGTCCCTTTTGAAGGAACCCCTTAAACACAAAAAAACAAAACATGGTCCCAATTCCAGGACCGATTCCCCGCGGATCGAACTGTTCCATGTGTTACTTGGTGTTTGAGGGTCATAAAACTGAGCGGTTGAGCGGTGGGCGCCGGAGCCGCATCGAGGCCCGCGCCCCAACCAGTCTTGTCCGCGATCCAATAGCCTTGGTCGCGCGGTCTCCCTTTACAAGCCCCCAGCCACCCTTTTCAAATGGAGCTGCCATTTTTGTTTGAACAAACCCGACGACCCGAATTTCCAGGCTTTTCGGCCTGAAATCCTCACCACAAACTTCTTCTTGCAACTTCTTGAGTTCTAGTGTTGTTGAATGTGAGCCAGCCAATGCAAAAGGTTCAGAGCCGGCAAGCAATCATTAACTGAACCCAAATCTTGCAGATCAGTCCTGAGTCCATATGTGCTTCTTGATAGATTACCGCATTCCTAGACAAACAACGCATCTGTCTTCACGCGGTAATACTATTGGACAACAAAGTTGATAGCTGCTGCAGTTTTTCCGGCCACTAAAATGGCTCTCCCAAAAAGTTTAGATTGCAGACATGTGGGCAGTGAGTATCCCAAGTCAACTTGGAGTCAGGGAAGAATCACATTGAGGCATGCAACATCGCTCTGGTATGGCTCTTCAGCAGCATGCCCAACAAGGCAAGCTACTCCGTAGCCGGGTGTGTCCGGAAGGGAAACTCCAGAAATGGATTTTCATTTGCACCCTCAAAACAACACCCGGAGCGTAGAGGGTCGTGGTGCCCCCCCTTTGAATTGGGGGACCTCCAAACGTTTCCTCTACCCACAACGAGAAAATTGGCGTGTCATTTTTTGAGGCTACTGTTTTGTGGATTGGTTTAAAAGGAAACGAAAGGAAACTAGTCTATTTTGTGAGTCTCCGTATTCAAGACAAAGCCAAATGTGTGGTGAAGCATCCCTTCCTGGTTTGCCCATCCCTTTCACAGGGGCTGCCATAGCGTTTCAGCCACATGTTCACAAACCGTTTCTGACCTGCAACTCTTGGCCATCCGTACACAGAACGTGACATGGTTTCAGTGTCCAAGTGTCCCGTTGTGAATGTGTCCCGCTCCAAAAAGGTGGCGCCGGTGGTGCTTTGATAGGGTCCCTATGGTCGACTTGTCAAGCTGGGAATGTCTTAAAATAGGGGAGCTCCCCCAAAATGGGTGGTTCCTTTTTCCCGTTAAAACCACCACAAAAAGGGCACCCTCAACAAAAGACTCCAAATGTCTTGGCGCTTTGCCTCTGGGTTAATCAGTCTGCCAAAAATATGGAATAGTCTTCTAGGTCCTCCAGTAGAGAGGTTATATAGAATCAGGGTACCAACTTGTTTCTGTAGTCTATTTTAGTACGGGAACCCTCCCCCAAAAGAGTTGGTAAAAGGCCTGGCTGGGGACCTAGTGTTGACCGTTTTGGAGGAGAACCCAAATATCGTCCGGGCACTCAGAAAGCGAGGCAACCCGATGCATCTTTTGGCCCGCACGGCTGTAGACGAAGAAGACCGCGCCATGCATCTCCCACTCCTGCAAGGGTGCTTGCAGAAGGTTCTAAACTGGCTGCTCTCAGATCCCCCGCCAAAGGTTTAACTTTAGTGGCTTAAATGGAAACTACCACTCAACGCTAAAATGCTGAAAGGCCAAGGGGATGGCTGGGAGCCACCAAGAAAAAATGAACAAAATCCATCCATGCCAGTTTGGCTCTCTGATTGGCTATTCGGCACCCGCGAATGTAGAGCTCGTCTGCGTCCATTTTCTTGCTCGATGAGCGGTTTGGGGAATCAAGCAGAAGGGGATCCGGGATCCCCTAAACCACAAGGAACGAGACCCCGTGGTAACCGCGACTAAGTCCTCAGGGGTAACCGCGACAGCACCTGAGCGGCAACCACGACAAGCTTCAGCTGTAACGACGACAAGATTAGCGGTAGACACGACTAACTTCCCAGAATACAAATCACTCCTGGAAGCTCCGGGAAGCTGCAGGAAGATGCCGGGACGCTTTCCTGGAAGCTTTCGGGAAGCTGCTGGAAGCTGCCGGGAGCACGAAAGCGATAAATCGATTCCAATTATCACTTTTAGTATTCCGGCTCTTCCTGGAAGCTTCCGGAACGCTTTCTGGAAGCTCCCGTGAAGCTTTAGCTGGAAGCTGCCGGGAGCACGAAAGTGATAATTTGAGTCCAATTATCACTTTTAGTATTCCGGCTCTTCCTGGAAGCTTCCGGAACGCTTTCTGGAAGCTCCCGTGAAGCTTTAGCTGGAAGCTGCCGGGAGCACGAAAGTGATAATTTGAGTCCAATTATCACTTTTAGTATTCCGGCTCTTCCTGGAAGCTTCCGGAACGCTTTCTGGAAGCTCCCGTGAAGCTTTAGCTGTATTCCGGCTCTTCCTGGAAGCTTCCGGAACGCTTTCTGGAAGCTCCCGTGAAGCTTTAGCTGGAAGCTGCCGGGAGCACGAAAGTGATAATTTGAGTCCAATTATCACTTTTAGTATTCTGGCTCCTCCTGGAAGCTTCCGGGAGCTTCTAGAAACTCTTCTGGAAGCTCCCGGGAAGCTTCTGGAAGCTCCCCGGGGCCTTCCAAGAGTACTCTGCGAAGTTTACTCTGCGAAGTTAGTCGTGACTACCGCCAAACTTGTCGTCGTTACAGCTGAAGGTTGTCGTGGTTACCCTTGGTGAGTCGTGGTGACCACGGGTCCTGACAAGGAACGGTTGAGAGGGGTTCCCTTATTCCCCGAATGGCAAGTTTGCCTCAAAACTACACTTTCAATGGTGTGTAAGGGGAACCAGTTCCCAAGTGAAATTTTGAGAGCCGGGTTTTCGGATATATTATTCCAGAGGACGTCACGCTACTCCCCCGACCTGGAACCAGCCAATTCTCCGCGTTTGAAACGGGACCCGTGGTCGGCATACTGCGGATGAGTCTAAAATAAGCCTCCTGTTTGGGCTAACTACCCCTAGCCTACATGCGTATGCAGTTATGCTGCTATGCCAATCAGCCATCACAACTCCCACATGACACCAACTGGGACAAGTGAAGCGCCTGTCATAAGATTTCCCTTGCCGCCCAAGCACAGGAACACACCTCCAGCTTTGGCCGACTTTAGTCTCAAGCGTGTTTCGATGCGCGTCGCCAGAGAGGCGGTGGAAGCGTCTGGAATCTGATTTGGGTCTGCCTTTTTGGGGAACCTCCAAAATGGTGGTTGTGGCTGTGGCTCTACGTAACCTCAAAAAAAAGGGGCGCCCTCCAAAAAAGACGAGCCACCCATGTCGCTCTCAGAGTCAAAACCAGTCGAAGTGGAGAAAGCTTTGCGGGAAAACCACCGGTCCAGATCCACTTCCAGCAGCGGAGCGGAGGGATCTTCCTGGCAGGGAGCTGGGGTACAGAGGCGGACCTGGAGTCTGTTGTCCCCAGATTCAGATGAATAAACCCCCTGTCACCATATTCATAAACAGGGGGTTACTAATCCGGGGTCAACATTATGGCCCCTTAGCCAGACGATAGCAGCGGGCTACAGTACTGCGTCTTCATAGGGCCCTGACTCCCAAAGCATCCGAGAGGGAAAAGACCTGACACAAATTGGGGTCCTCCGAGGAGTAGCGGGACAAAGCAGTTCGAGGAAAGCTGTTTACCTCAACGGCTTCTCGGTTGGAACAGCAACACTTCTGCCCGCTTTCTAATCATGGGCCAACTACCGAGGCTACACCCTTGAACCCCCTTCTGAAAAAGTATTCACTTGAATGTTCACGTGGCGAACACGAAAAACACTACTAGTGCTTCGATGCAATTCAATATCCTCTGGTCTATTACGTCCTTTTCCTGCTCTCTTGCGTGGAACCTCAACACCCTTTTTACGCGATCCCGATTTCAAGCCGCTCCGAAAAACAAAACGATTCTTTTTGGAGGCTGATTCCATGTTTAGAGCTAGGGGTCGAGTTCATGGGGAGAGCCAACTCCCAGCTCAAAGTTGGAACCTTACTTGAAAGGGACCCCCTCTCCAAACCATATTGGCTACCATGTCCTTACAGAACTCCTGGTAGCTCCTTGGCTCCTTCTTGAAAGGCAAATTTGGATACCCCCAGCTCCTCAGTTGGACAAACAAACGGAGGGAGCGGGGATATGGGGGGGGGGGACCCCTTGGCGCCATTTCCCATATCAAACTTGGTCAAGGCGCATCAAACGGGGAATCCTCCTGTATCCCTGGTTTTTTCCCTGTATCCCTAGTTGGTTTCCCTCACTTAGCTCCCTTCCAAGCACCAGCTTGGTATCTGGACCCACTGGCTTCCCCCAAACCGTCGCCGGCTCGGCGGACTGCAAGCAAAGCCCGTGCTCGGACAGGTCGAAGCGGGACCTCGGGCGACGAATCAATTCTGAGGTCCGCAAGCTGTGGGTCAAAAATGGGGCAACCCCAAAATGGGTTGCCCTGGCAAATGGAACCCCTGGACCAAAACCTGCGGTCCCCTGGTGGTTTAATTTTGACCCACACCCAAGGTGTGTGGTAGAGTCATATTCAAGGGAATCCCCTCCACAACAGGGCGACCATTGGTCATGGAAAGAAACAACTTTGTTTGGTGCTTGGTAGATGAATCTGCAAGGGAAGCCCCCCTCCAAGACACGGCATCTACTGGCCACTAGACACAGCATCGGCATCTTGATTTGGAACCGTCAACATCAGGAGGGACCATCCGTTGAAGCGGGTCTTGGGGAACTCCATCAGCTTGGAACTCAAAGAAGCCCCCTTGCTCAGGTCCCAAGATTCTTGGGGCAGTTGATTTCCCTCTGAAGTGTTTCCTGGACATGTCCTTTACAGCCCCCTCCACCCCCCTTCTCCCTGCGCCCAAACGAGTCCCTTAGCTTCCTAAAGTGGGCTTCGGCCATAGGTGGCCTTTTGGCAAAATCGATGGGTTTCCCCGGTAAATGGAAGAAATCCCACCTAAACCTGTGCCATCGAGTTTTAGTCAAACTAACCTACGAAAGGACACCTCTGGCTTCAGCCCGAGGCCCCCGGCGTGGCGGAGGCGCGGGCGGCGCGGGCGCGATGCACCGCGGCCCGGGACTTGAGGCTCTTCGCGGGCACCTGACATCCCGCGAGTCGCGAGAGACCGAGCGACCGCGCCAAAGAGACGTTGGCTCACGCGCTCGCGCTGGCCCAGTTTGGATAAAACGGCTTATTACTTGCAGAGCTACCCGGAAAGGAGCCACCCAGAAGAAAAAAAGAACAAAAAACGCCCTTGACAACCAAAAGGAAAACGGCTGCCTGGAGTCCCTTTTCCGACCCTTAAAACTTGGTGGGTCACGACCCAACATCATGGGTCATGGAGCCATTTTTTAAAAGGGTCATTTGGAGAGTCTAGCTATGCTTGCGCTTGCAACCAGCTTGGAGCTCGATTTCTAAAAGGTGATCGCCTTTTGCGGGCTCCAAAAGTGGGGAACGCCAAAGGAGGGGAACCCAAGAGGTTGAAAGGTTGAGACGCTTTGGGCAACTGAGATATGCTTTGGTCCACTTTCAGCCCGAAACCTGGGTAGGCAGTGGGCAGTGGCTCGAGCCGACATTCCTAGGGACTCGATGGCCCAATTCGTTGACTGCGTCGGCAACATAGCGGCACGCTCAGCGCTACCAAACCTTCTCATCACAGGTTGTTGATTCTTCAGAAGCTGCGCTGGTAAAGAACTTGCCGTTGAGCCGCGAGCCACACGCCCACAGCAAATCTGAAACCTCTGACCATCGGGCGGCAAGCGGCTGGGGTTTCCACGCGGGGCTGGGAAGGGGGGGGGGCGGGTTCGATGTCTAGTACAGTACAGTGCCCCAGCACACGATTCTCTCTCTTTGTTTTCTCTCTCTCTCTCTCACTCTTCCCAAAGAATAGTTGTTCATCCGAGGAATCCTTGACAGGACAAACTATCCCCTCTTTTATACTGTTCTCTCTCTCTCTCTCTCTATCTCTCTCTCCCTCTCGCTTTCCAAATGAGTCGATTTTCATCCGAGGAATCTTTGACTATGCCCTTGACCAAAACTACCAACGGGTGCGGAAAAATCCCTGCTGACCTCAAGACCGTAGATCGCTTGCCTACCAGCCCCAGAGTAAAATATGGAACAACGCCGGAAACAGAATAATTCACTTGGTGTTCTGTGCGCCCTATATTGTGGGCCAAGTTTTGTGGTGGTTAATACCGGGTGTTTAGCCAATATGCGGGAAGGGTTTCCCTTTTAGCTCCCCCAACCCCCTTATGACTTCCCGTTGCTAGTGATGTTTCTTGGGTTGGAAATATCGGGAACCCTGGATTCGGACGGGAGTCCACCCAAAAATACCAAACCAGTTTTGGTGATTTGTTTCGAGCTCAGGAAAATGTAGAGAAACAAGGAGGAGGAGACCCCCCAGAAAAATCAGCCCCTTCCATTTGCGTTTTCGCCCCCTGCAAAAAATAAACACATTTCCAGTAGTGAAATCGATTCCCGTTAAAACTAACAGGGGAAAATAAAACACATTCTCAAGCAAATGGAAGTTCCATTCATGAGAATGGGGGTGTCGGGATACCTAAAGCAAGCCAAAAAGCAGGATGTTTACCACCAGTTCTTCTGAGAGGACTTCATTTGAGCCAACACATATTCGATGTGAAACCCATTCTTTCGGACCACTTTGGGGAAATAAACCATATGAAGCAAATGCTGCCCTTTGCTTAAGCCCCCTGGAGACAAACAAAAAACAAACATTTCCAATAGTGATAGAGTCTCTTTACAACCACCAGGGGCAACTACAAAATCTTCCTTTCAGCAAATGGAAGAATGGAAGCTTTCCGGGTCCCTCCCGCCCCTCCGAGGGAGTCGTCACCCCCCCCCCCCGCCAGCGCGGAGTATTCGAAGCCAGCGAAGCGCACGGCCACCTCCACCGCGAGGTCCGGGTCCACCTCCGCGCTCCGAATCCGATTCTCCGAATCCGACTCGCTTGCGCTCGATCCGTTCCGTTCCACGGGGACATGGCGCGTTGTCGCAGAAACCGCGGGGAAAGAATCCGTAAGCCCGGAAAAAGGTGCATCACATATAATTGCAGCGGGTAAATACAATTTGCGGGGGGGGGGAGACAGTGCAAATGATATGTTTTTACCCCAGAGGGGTAATTACTTTTCAACAGGGAAATCCCCAGCAGGAAGGCCCCTAAGTGGGAAAAATCAATAAGAACCGTGAAGATAAGCCCAGGTCCAACACCCTGGAACCGAATCTCCTTTTGAAACCTCGACAGCTGCTCCAAACCACCCTGATCGAGCCTATCTGAGACCCGAAAGCTTTCAGCTGTGGGGGAAAAATCAAGGCTCAAGGAAGACTGTAACCTCGAGAATAAGGAGAACAACCGCAAGAATCACCTGATTTGAAGCAAGGAAACATGGCACCACTGAGAAAACAACAGAATTGAAGACACATGTACCCGGAAGCACAAATTGAGAAAAGAGTACAGCATAAGCCTAAGGACTAGACCCAACAGCCCTGGAGCCTCAGAAGCTGTCGGGACAAGGGCAGACCGATGTTTCACCCCAAAAGGTTGCTAGGGGCTCCCTAGATGCTTCCCAAGGCCAGCAAATCAACATAAGGAAACTTGCCTCCAAACCAGTGGCTACAGGAGATATTTCAACACAACACGGGTGAATAACAAGGATTTACCAACCTGAAATAAGTCCTTCATCCACGACCCAGAAGTAGGTGTCCTCTCAAAACGTGGGAACCTCCAAACTGGTTTCCTTTTAGTATCCCTTTCAACTAACCAAACGGGGTTCCCCCCTTAAAAGAAAAAATAACACAAAGAAACACTTGGGTGGCTTCCCTTCAAACCGACACGCAAAAGCTTTTGCGCCCGACAACATGAAGGTCCTTCGAAGGTGCCCCTGGGCTAATGTTCTTTTTGAGGAACCCAACTTGGCCACCAAACAAACCGTCTCAGAACATCTCAGTCCAGGAGTCAATACATTGGGCCACCAGGACCCCGAAATTTCCGAAACGACCATAAAAATGGGTGGCCACGAAATTGCGGTGAGTCCATCCAGTTTAAAGGCTTGAGGGAGAAGTTCTTGGCTTTGGGGTGGTTTCGATTTTCCGGAGTCCCAAATACCTATTCAAACAAAAGTGCTAGAACAAAGGAGGCACAGCTCATGGGAGCCACAGACGTTCAATACATTTGAGTTAAGTACTTCAGAGGCGATCGGGTGTGTAGTAAGTTTGTAACCCTGTTCACCCACCGAAAGGGCAGAACAAGAACAGGCGTAAATATTTGATATGATGCCAACCAACCAATTCCCCTGCTTCCTTGGCCAACCCAACCCTCCCCCCAAACCACCCTTCTGGGGCACACTCAACACCTATTGATATTAACCCTATAGTAGGCATGCCAACGCCTACTAACCTCCAATGAAGTAGGGGTCTACGCGGTTCTTTAACGGACACATCCAAAAACCGCCTGCTCTATAAAAGGGAATGTTCTAAATCTGGCATTTGGGTTGCGTTTAATATCTGCCACCCTGAAACTACCCTCAAAATTGGGAATGGAATCGCTAACGTCACTTCGGGCTGCAACTGACTTTTCTGGGTCCTTTGGGTCGTGTTTGGTCCCTGAAAGTTTGGAATGAAACCACCAACCATTTTGGGTTGCTGCCCATCTTTGCGGGTCTTTTGCTGGGTCTTGTTGGTCCCTGAAAATGACAAAAAATGTCATCACAAAACAAATTTCGGGTTGCAACTCTGAGTCTGGGTTCTTTAGTTTTTTCCGGTCTTTCGGGGAACTGATACCGTGATACCTTGAATTCTTGTTTTCCGGAACCCAGGCTTGGCCGTCCCGGCCTCGTTGAAGCCCAAGCGCTCTCCAGGGCACAAGGGCTGGCCGGAGGCCGTTGATGCGAAACGGTCCCCGGACACTTTTGGAATCGGGATCAGTTCGTGTTTACACCAATCCAATCCGGGGCGGATTTGTTGACTTCATATAGCTTTTTCAACCAATCGGTTCATTCATAGAGGGGCGGTTTTCTCCAAAAGTGGTCTAGACTTCTCTGCATGTTAACCCGGGGAACAGCACCCCCTCATTAATGAACTGGGGTTGATTCATAGAGGGATCAACAGTAGGCCATTTTAATACCGAGTTTTGATTGTGACTCAAGTCAACTCTTTTGACGTTTTGGAAGTCACAAAGCACCGGGTCCTCACAACGGCAACTGGCCATCCTCCGAAGTACTGGATTTCAAAATCCAGTTCGCATAGACCACCTGGCTTTGTGCATCCACAGCTGCTAGAAGAGTTGGTGTGCATCGCTAAATGAAACCAGGAGCCTTGAACGAAAAGCTAGCTCTTCAGAAGATCTGCCGCAAGGATTGAAACTGACTCTGGGAGTTACTCTCGAATTCTTCACCAGTTGGCTGGTGGTTTATCCCAGTATTCTCCGGCTGTGATCCATTTCACGCCGTCTGAATTGGAGTTATGTCCTTTTCCCGGGTCTGATTCTCGGTTTCGCGGAAGCCAGTCCTTGGATTTGGGCGGCTTCCAGTTGGAACTCCGCAGGAACGCCACTACTTGTGGGCCCCCCTCATGTTGATACCTAAGCGCTCCTACCACACACCCTGAAGCAACTGCGACCAAGGGAACCCAACCCTCGTTTTGAGAAACGCCCCATTGGCTTAGACGAAGTTTGCGTGGAGCCACACTTCTTCGCTGAGAAAGCACGAAGTGCTTCTTCCATTCGAAGGTCGCCATGAGAAACAGCTTCGGGCGCCCTGAGTTGGGTGACAGCTGAAGGTCCAAGGAAGCTGAAGCTCCAACCTGCGCCTCCCTGCGTATGTCGTTTTTTCCCGGCTTTCTCCACATTAAGGTGGAAAGCCACTTTTCTGGGAACTTGGTTTCATGTTTCGCTGGGTTTGCTAGGCCAACCTATAGCCATGTTGCCTTAGGGAAGCCCAGGATGGGTCAAAGTTGCCCTCTGCGCCTGTGAGAGGTTTTGCCTGGGCAATCACAACGTGCCCTCGTCCCTTTTTGGTTGGGACTGGGCCTTGTTTGGTGGGTTGAAAGGGAAACCAATAGAAACACCACCGAATTTTGGGAGCCCCCTGAACAAAGACACACCCAAAAGTTCAAGGTTGAAGATCCAGCCAAAAGTAGCAGCCAACAATTGTCCGACTTCAGCAGAGCCCTGATTCGGGATGCGCCTGCGTATGGGCCGGATGGGCCTCCTGGAATGAGTCGCGGTGAGGCAGGCTGATTGAATAAGAAGGACGGTGAAAGGTGTGTATTATGAATATATAAGTATACATATATATATACATATATATATATGTATATATATATGTGCTTCAGTAAGCCTGTTGATCACAGTTGCCACTATACTAGTGGAAAATGAAGTAACCGGGCACGCCAACCAGGGCACGTAGTACCAACTAATCGGAAGTACATAAGTGGAGGAGTCGGGGGTTGGCTCCAAATGGGAAAACTTCCGTTGAAAGGCCGGCATCCCTTTCAAAGGGTGGTCCTTCTGAGGTTCTTCTTTGATGCTTTCCAAAAGGCAGGGCTGAATCACGGCCCTTCACTCCAAAAAAGCTGCCTCAGAAAACATGCAGTTTCCCTCTAAAACAAATGCCTTATATACGTTGCTACGTCTCCAAAAAGTTTTGTTACGGAAGTGCCTTCACTCAGCTAAAACGGCTATTGGCACAAATGCCTGAACCCCTCAATCGCATGGCTTTTCGGGTTGCAGCCTGGACTGAGATGTGAAGCCCATTCTTTCGGACAATACTGAAATGCCGAAATGCCTGACTAGCCTGGAAAACACACACGCACACACTTATCTCGAGAGGCTTCACTAGCCGAGATGCAAAGGTTGGAAAAGCCTGCAACTGCTGAAATTGCTTGACAGATCACAATGCAGAACAGAAACCGGGAAGCAACAGCGAACAGGACAGAAAAACAGTCAGGAAAAGGAAGGAAAGGCATCACGGAAATGCAGGTACGCCGGAGTGGCCAACTCCGGTATCCCGTCTTGCTGCCTAGCTTTGTTAGACCAGGTCAGCAGCAAGACGCCTGGTCCCCCTGCTTAACGTCCGTGTTCCAGGACGGTTCACACACACAAGGCCCCGGTGGGGCGGACACGAACCACACAGTGGGAATTCCACCAGGGGACCGCCAAAAACCCCGCGGCAACAGCAAAAAAAAATCAAGGACAAAAAACCCGGCGCACAAAACCAAGCAGAGGGAATTCCACCAGGGGACCTCCAAAAACCCTCGGCAACAGCAAAAAAAATCGAGGACGAAAAACCCGAGCACACAAAAACCAAACCGAGGGAATTCCACCAGGGGACCGACCAAAAAAACCCGCGGCAACGGAAAAAGGTTTCGCAAGAAACGAAAATGGCAGCCACGGCGTGAACATGAATTGAACTGATCTGAGTCGGCGCAGAGCGTGAACCAATGAACGGCAAAGTCGGTGTCTGACCGGCTTGTCACTCGCGCATAAAACTTCTGGAGCCTGATACCTTATGAGAGCTGCCTTGTTCAAAAGGCAGGCAGTGCAATGCGAATGAAGCTGCGGAGCCTGATACCTCATGAGAGCTGCCTTGTTCAAAAGGCAGGCAGTGCAATGCGAGGTTGAACTGAACGTGAACTTTTGAACGTCATCCCCTTGCAGGGGGCTCCCGCATATGGCGAGTCCAGCCCACAGCGCCATGTCGGACAGGCCGTGGGTAAACACACTTATCTCGAGAGGCTTCACTAGCCGAGATGCAAAGGTTGGAAAAGCCTGCAACTGCTGAAATTGCTTGACAGATCACAATGCAGAACAGAAACCGGGAAGCAACAGCGAACAGGACAGAAAAACAGTCAGGAAAAGGAAGGAAAGGCATCACGGAAATGCAGGTACGCCGGAGTGGCCAACTCCGGTATCCCGTCTTGCTGCCTAGCTTTGTTAGACCAGGTCAGCAGCAAGACGCCCTTGACTAGCATGATGAAGAACATTGCAAAGCACAACATACAGTTATGCTAATCCGTGGCTGAGACACGTCATCACTCAATAAATAATGAGCCTGGCACTTTTATTGAATGCTTCACATGTCATTAGGTGGAAACCAGGGAAGACCCAAGATGGCCTGTTTGATGTCCTCTTGCTTTCCCTTTTGAACACCATCCAAACTTGCTGGTGCAGAGTGGGGATTCCCTTGAAGGAAACCACAAGGGATGGTGTGTAGGGGTCATTCCATGTCTCATTCCCTGCCTATTGCACCCGCAAGAAAGGGAACTCGCTTTCCAGGTTGTGTCAAGACCGGTTGGTTCCAGCTCTCTCTCCATGTTCCAAAGCTCCAATATGGGTGTGGCGCAACAAGGGGGGGGGGGGGTTCCTGGTGTTTTCCCTTTAAGCCAAGTCCCCACAAAAACAGGTAACGAGAAACAAGACACGCCCATAATCCCTAGCCACAAGGAAGCTCGCCTTTGGCTCTGGGCCCTCAGCGGCGGGTAGACTACAAATCTAGGGCTAGGTCCTCCAGATTTGAGAGGTTAGAATAAGTTGGTACCAACTTTGTTTCCTGTAGTCTATTCTAGTAGGGGAACCCTCCCCCAAAAAAAGGGGGAGAGAAGGGCACCTAGCTGGGGGACCTAGTAGGGATAGCTTGCCCACTATTTTTCAGATTCAGGGATCGTTATTTCCAGAAAACCACCAACACTTTGGGGAAAGGGCCGGTTTTGGAAAGAACGATGAATAGCGAACCAACCCCTAGAACAAAGGCAAACCCTCCAACCAAGAGTTGCAACAGTGAGAAGCAGCCCATTGAACACCAGGGTCCTTGAACTCACCGGGGGCGTTTGTTTGGCAAAGCCGTCGAACTGAGCCCCGTTCCGGGGCCTAGAATGGTAGCCATGGGTATCCCAGTGACCCATTTCCCTGTAATGAGAAACTCGGATGAACAGACCCTTGGTTAGTTGAAGGGGGGTGGGGCCACCCCCCTTTAGTAGTGGTTCATCACCCCCCCCCCCCCCGAAAAAGAGGAAAAAAACGCCCCTGCGGGTTGCCTCACCCGTGCCGCCCCATGTCCCCTTTTAGTACTCAAGCAGCAAAGCTCGCGCAGCTGTGGTACCACAGACATGTTGACTATGATGTAGGGCCTAGGTTTGAGGTTTAGCGTTTATCAGGGTTTATGTTTAGGCTTCGATTTAGGGTTTTGTGTTTGCCTTGATTTGGGTTTAGGCTTAGGGTTTGGTTTACGATCTAGGTTTAGGGTTTAGATTGGGCTTTCGGGATCGGGCAAAATGAAGCCTTGGGCTGAAGGCTTTGGAATAAGCTTAAGGCTTAAGTCTTAAGTCTCTCAAGGTTTCGGGCTCTGCATTTGGGGTTCAGGCTTGGGGTGTCAGTTCAGGGGCGCAGGCAACCCATAAAAGCTGGCCGTATTCCTAGGACGGGCTTATTCGTCCGGGGTCAACATGAGTTATCCCAGTATCCCATTTGTCCGGCTTGTAGGTTACCAAGGGGTGTCCCGGCTTGTTTGGCTGGGGGTCCACTGGCGAAGGCCTTAGCGATTCCTCCAGCACCAAGCCAGTTTGCTTCTTTGACCGCTGTACTAGCTGCACTTCACCCGTTCCTTCCCTCGGGTGTTTTTCTTCCAGAGGATTGGTGAAGCATGGTGCAGGGGTTGCTTCCAAGAAGGACGGAAAGAGTCGAATCTCTACAGTGCTCCGTGGGGTCGCGGCCCCACGGACTCCAAAGCCAACCAAGTGCAATTTCAACTCAAGTAGCCTCACTTCCTGAGTGTATCGCCCAACAACTTCTAAACATTTTGGCTGCCACTACCATGATCCAACCCCAAAAAGTGACTAGAGCTCCAAGAACTCAGGAAGTGAGTGGTTTGTGCCGAACTAATCGAGGACACGTCAGCAAGCAAACCGAAGCTACCAAAGGTGTGACTCACCTGGGAAAAAACTTCATGGCCATGGACAAACAGGTCATTACTTGAAACAAAAGGAAGAGAAACCAAGAGGAAAACAAGAAAGACCTTGGCAAACGTGCCGAACATAAGACCTTGTACATCTTATGGGAAAAACTGGACAGAGGGAAGAGAAACCGAGAGAAACACTTACACTTCAAACACGCAACAAACATCACCCCCCCCCAACAAAAATAAGAAAAGTATGAAAAACCATGGCTTCCACAAGAGGTCTAGGCAGGTCTTCACACGCAAACGCACCTGGCCTCCACCTGCACTTCTTCCGTCTCCGCCTCGTGTGGACGCTGCCCCTGCCTCAGGCAAAAGGGAGCATCGCTTTCCCAAAGGAGCGATGCTTATGGGTCTTTTGGTGGGTCTTGTTGCTCTACGCTGAACATGGGAATGACATCGCTAGCCAGTTCAGGCTGCAACCCTCAGTTTTATGTGCCTTTTGGGGGCGATCACTTGCTCGCTTGCCCAGTATGGAAATAAAAGGTGCTTAGCCTCAGGGATCTTTACTCAACATGGCTGCCAAAATGGGAAAACCACAAGGTTGCAAGGTTTGGGCGTAGAGAGCCGCAGCTGGAACTTTGCAGTCCGCAAAATAACCTACTGGAATTCCAACCTGCCAAACCAGTTCGCAACAAATCGAGAGATCTACTTGCGACGGCCTTTTGCTTGCGGCTTCTCAGGGAATGAGGGAATGACCCCAAACTAAACCATCCAATTGGTGGCTCCTCTCAGGGGATACCCTAGATTGATTTCCAAAACCTGTGAGCTCCCTACTGAGAAGCACCAAGTTGCGGAATCAAAAGATCCATTCAAAAGAGGAAAGTCCGCCGGAATTGCTTTCTGAGTCAAATTTCCGAGTGGATTGGAGCAGACCCGCCCAAACGCTGCATTTGCCAGTAAAATGGTCCAAAGCTCCAAACAAATCTGAGTGGATAACCCCCAAAAAGGATCCAGGAACCCAGGAGTGAGATAAGGCTTGAGGGGGTCTTTGTACGGCAAAAGGTGCCACGTGACTGGGCGCCAGGCTCGCTGGGATCGCCCGCCATGAGGAACTGGTTGTGCCGGCGCCTCCTCTTCGTCTTCCTCGCGGATTTAGAACCAAAGACCAGGCTGCAACATGGGGCCTGCGGCCAACTCAGGCATAGGTAGGATTGGCTGCATGAAAATAGAGCCAAACATATACAAACAAAAAAATGCCCTACTTACAAACACTGTAGCACATACGAGTACGGGGAAAATGATGTCAACTAAGCAAAATATGGCGACAAGCTTCCAAAAAACCGTTAAGGCCTGATCAAACCTAAATTTGGGTACATCCTAAAACAATGGGAATCCTTGGTTTCTGTTTTAGCTGCCAATTGAGAACCATTCCAAGCTACCAGATTCCACCAGAATCGCCCTTACAAGGGCTTCCCCCAATACAAAAGCCTGGACCGACCCTCCAATGGGAAAAAGTGAAACCTTGCGGGCCGAAAAATGAACGTGTCCAAAAGCATAAACTTAACACAAACTAAGCGACCAACAAAGAAAGAAAGAAAGCAAGAAAGAAATTAAGGACGAACGAAAAAGAAGGAGTAGTAAAGAACGGAAAAAAAAGGAACAAACAAAGAAAGAACGAAGAAGTAAATAAGGGCAGACCAAAGCTGAAGCAGTAAATTCAGAACACATGCAATTAATAAAGAACTGAACACAACAAATGAAAAACACGCAATACATGCAATACATATATATATATACACAGAAACAACGAAACAAATTAGCAAGCAAACACTCAAGCAAGCAAACATAATAAAATCAACACAACCAAACACCCAACACAAACACACAAACAAGCAAACAACAATCAAACACACACCAACAAACAAACAAACAAACAAACAAACAAACAAACAAACAAACAAACAAACAAAAACAAGCAAGCAAGCAAGCAAGCAAGCAAGCAAGCAAGCAAGCAAGCAAGCAAGCAAGCAAGCAAGCAAGCAAGCAAGCAAGCAAGCAAGCAAGCAAGCAAGCAAGCAAAAGCAAGCAAAAGCAAGCAAAAGCAAGCAAGCAAGCAAGCAAGCAAGCAAGCAAGCAAGCAAGCAAGCAAGCAAGCAAGCAAGCAAGCAAGCAAGCAAGCAAGCAAGCAAGCAAGCAAGCAAGCAAGCAAGCAAGCAAGCAAGCAAGCAAGCAAGCAAGCAAGCAAGCAAGCAAGCAAGCAAGCAAGCAAGCAAGCAAGCAAGCAAGCAAGCAAGCAAGCAAGCAAGCAAGCAAGCAAGCACACAAAACAAGCACACACAAACGAATACAGAAATACACAACCAAGCAAGCAAGCAAGCACGCACGCAATCAAAAGCCATGCAACCAACCATGCAACCAACCAACCAAAACAAAGCAGGCAAGCCGGCAAGCTAGCAAGCAGGCAAGCAGGCCAGCAAGCAAAGATAGCCTCAACATGCATACTCGACCATCAACGCCGCGCCTCACGTTGCGAACCGAGCACTCGAACTCGCAAGGCAGGGCCTGATTTGTTCATCGGAAGGCGCATCATCTAAAGTAAATTCAAGCAACCACTGGTTGTGACCAATGCCCCTTTCTGTGATGCCAACCTTGATTCACATGAAAGAGTTATTCCCTACAACCGGAAATGTCCACGTCCCATGAAGCAATCGTACATATAAAATACAAAGCATATGTATATATGAATATGCATATACATTGTATATATATATACATATTATACGTGCTTCGACCCCACAACACCCATGTGCCCAACAAGGATGTCCCTGCAACTAGCTTTTTGCCTAAAAAAACTTCCTGTCGCGTGGGAACGGGGCCTCTGAACATGGACAACCCGGGGGACAACAGGCAGATCCTGTAGATATGTTTTGGTAGTGAGGGATGTCATACGACATACCATGGCCCAAACAACTAGAATGGGGTTGGGTACTTTCAAACCAAAAGTCATGATAGAAGAACACAATGTGTACCTGTCAGGCCCCCTGATTAGCCACTGGCAAATACACTGTTGTTCCCTAAGAGGACATGGGACAATGAAGACTCGCCCCCCCAGTTTTCCGCGCAACAAATTGAGCTCATCCCTCCCAACAACTACTTTGACCAAACCTCATACAGTATTGTCTGGGCTGTTTCAATCGGAGGGTTGGCCAATCCGATTCTCCATATATATATATATATTTAATAGGGAAGTCACTACAAAGGGGGACCCCTTGCGCAACACAAGGTAAGGATTCAGGATTGCCCTCGAACAGCCCAGATTGTCTGGTTTGAGAGGGGTGCCCGAAAGGACAGTGCGAAGCATCCCAGACCCATGGACCCCGGCGATCTTCCACGAAACTGACCTAACACGCAAACTAAAACCAGGGCAAACAAACGTATTTCCACCAACCTGATCTAACAACCACACTAAAACTAGTGCAACTCGATCAACCAAACTGACCTGACAAGCACCTCATTTGAGCCACACTGACCTCCAAAACCGGCGGAATCTATGAACCAAACTCAAAACAAACAGCTGCTCCACGTCCCTCAGCCACGTGCATTCAGCACCGAGAGCATCGGCACGCACACCACCTCGGCTTCGGTGATTGGGCCCGGAACAAAATGATAGGAATGAACACCGAAACGAGTGGAGTTCCATGAAAGAAAGTCATCATGTGGGTATGGCTCAAAATTAAACCACAAGGGGCCGCAGGTCTTAGTCCTGGCTTCCATTCACCAGGGTCCCATTTTGGTTGCCCCATTCTCGCCCAAACCCATGTTTTTCTTGCTTGATCTTAAGGGGACCACCCCGCTCCAAGAAAAAAGCAAAACAAAACGGACGCACCCCACAGGTCCGGGGCACAGCGCGCCATGGTCCCAAGATTTGGGTACCGGGGCTCAAACCCAGAGGTCCTTTCGGGACATCAACCACCCCTTGGATTGAGTCTAATGTAGACCCAGGATGAAAAAACCCGCCCCATTATTAGGGGGGTGTTCCCTCCAAAAGTGAATCCCCACTAAAAGGGGACACCCCCCCTTTAATCAACCAGGGGTTTTATTAATCCGGGGTGAACATTACCTTGGGGGAACTCAACAAATGAACCCCACAGCATGAAAACTGCAGTTTGGTTTGCCAAAAGCAGCATGGAAGCTGGGAGCGGTGTTTGGAGGCATCCCTGTTGCTCGCCTCTAAGAGCCACCTTCCCCGAGTCACTGGCTTCTCTTGCAACGGATGTGTGCTGTGGTAAAGACTCCATATTATATCAGTCATGGCTATGGTTCCCGTGTAGACATCCTCGTAGTTAACGAACACCCTAGCTCACGATCGGCCCAAGCCAGCGGGCCTTTTGACCATGGCACATGTGGGTGAAAAGTCGTGGTTCGGAAAGGGCCCCATCCGCATTCCGCATGAGGCTCCAGGTGAAGGAGATCCATCAAGGCCATGTGCGTACCCCACCCCAACCCTACAACTGCCAAGCGTTGGACATCGGCGACTCGGAAAAAAAAGGAAGAAAACAAACTGTTCGCTGTCCGAGGCGTGCAGCCATGTCACGCACGCACAAGCTGCCAACTAAACAAGTGGCAGTCAAAAAATCCAAGAGGCAGTTTCACAAAGAAGCCTTGTTCATTCGGAAGCTAATGCAACCACCGAACAAACTGTCCCCAACAACAATCAGGACATCATCTACTAAACCCCAAAACAAACCTGCCAACCAAAGCAAAACCAATAGACTCAAAAGTAGCGGTCCCCCAAGTGTGCCTTCTGTTAAGGCAGCCCGAGCTACAAATCTCCTTGGAAGTGGAGGTTTGGTGCCTTTCAAGAGGATGGTACTCGTCCAAGCTCCTACAACCACCTCCCTCAGGTTCTCACGTGGCTGACCGGCCCCAAAAAAAGTGAAGACTTCTTGGGCCACTAAAATCAAGAGAGAGCCACGGGCAAAAAGTGCAAAGTGTGTCTGGCTGGGTGAGGGTTACTTCGTTCTTTTTGTCCCAATCACGTTCATTTGGGGCCCCGTTTGCTTTTGTCCAAATACTGGGCTCCGCGTCCAAAGCCGGCGCTCTAGTAGCGGGGTTTGAGTGGATGCCCCAAACCCCGCCCCACCCCGTCCCCGTACTCGATATCCCATACCCTCCCCCCTACATGAAGAGCTAGGTCCTCCAGATTTGAGAGGTTAGAATACGGGTACCAACCTTTTTCTGTAGGCTATTTTAGCAGGGGAACCCTCCCCACCAACAGACAAACGGTAAAAGGGTGCGCACTGGGGGACCCAGAGAAGGTTTTTCAGTTGACCAAACCACCTCCAAGTTTCCATGTCCCTCCCCTCCGCCCGTTGGCAGGATCCGCGCCGCTCTGTCGCGGAGCTCGCCCTTCCGCAGCTTGCCCTCGTGGGCCAGAAGTACCTCAAACCGTCTCCAAAAACACGTCGTGTCTCTCACTTTCTCGCTTCCGATCGAGTGGATGGCTCAAACAAAGTAACCAAACTTCGGGTTTACCAGAACGCAGGAAGCCCGAAAGGGAAACCACCACTTTAAATGTGATGTTTACCACTCAAATGTTTTCTTTTTGGCCATCTAAATGGTTTACCGCTTTCAAAAAGGTCTTCTCAAAAAGTGACTACAGCTCCAGGAACTCAGGAAGCCCCGAAACCACGAAACAAGTGGCTTGAAACCAAACCCTGAGGCTCCCAGCTGAGCAACTCACTAGTTTCCATTGAAACAATCTTGAGATCCCAGACAGGGAGATGGAGGAAACCCTGAACCATGACGACCTAGAGTGTCCAAAAGGCTCTGAAGTCAACAGAAACATCATCTTAAGCCTCATGTTCCCCAGACATTCGGCTTGCCGAAGTGGGCGGCCAAAAGAAACACCTAAGGACCTAGCCGCGAGCTTTCGTAAAAACTGGGTGGCCAGGGGAGAATATGAACTGCTTGGTTAAACAAAAACACACACATGCATCCTCTACAAGAACCTGGGGTTCAAATCTCAAAGACACCAATCCCAGCCACCAATGTTATAGCTCATTTCAAAGAGATGACCCCTCCCAAAAAAAACACAGGGGTTGATTTATAGGGCGATAATCTTAAGAGGACGCCCCCCCAAAAAAAAACACACAAAAAACAAAAAGACAAATACGCCCCCCCCCCCCCACCCACCCAGGAGAAAGAATGAACAAAAATAGCCCCCTTCCCCTTCTCCCCCCCCCCCCGCGAAAAAAATGAGAGGAAAGAGGGCACCACCGCCCTGGCCTGGGCGAATCCCTGGGGCGTCCGGGCGAAGCGATACCCGGCAAAGCGGTCCAGCAGCTTCTCGCGCTCGTCCAGGGGCTCGCTGTCCAGCGGTAGCTTCATCTGAGCGAAGGCTTCGGTGAGCGTGGGTCCGCAAATTACTAGGTCCTCCAGATGAGAGAGGTTAGAATAAGTTGGTACCCAGCTTTTTAACCTGGAGCCTAGGTCCTCCAGATTTGAATGGTTAGAATAAGTTGGTACCCGACTTTTTGTTTGTGGATTTTAGTAATTAGGGGACCCTCCCCCCAAAAAAGGGTAAAAGGGCACTACTGGGGAACCGAGAAATGATCTCCCCTGATCAACCTGTTGCTTTTGGAGTGTCCAGTGAAGCTATCACAACTTTTGGTCCTGCGAATGATCTCCCCAAATCAATTTGCAGGTGTCCGGTGTCCAGGCGTCGCGTCGCGGGAAAAGTTTGCTGGTGTCCAGTCAAGCGAGGCTCGGCGAATGATCTCCCCATGTTTTGTGCAGGCGGTGTCCATTGAAATGCCGACTTCCGGAGGTGACAATCTTTGCGGGTGCTGTCCAGTGAACCTATCCCAACTGTTGGAGCTCGCAAAAAGCACACCGAACAAACACTCAACAATTGAACAAATTAATTGGTTCCATTTAAAGCTAGCAGGGGGGAATTCAGACGCCTTCTTCGGCAACAAAGCGGACAAGAAGTCAAGCAATTCCGTGGGATTTAGTTGTGCTGCACAGAAAGTGCGCCTGAGAACCCTGCGGATGTGGCTCGCTGAGATTTGAACGGTCTCAAACAGAAAGCAGCCAACAAACCAAAAAGGGGGGCCGACTGGCCGGACTCATCCGGCCCCATGCGAAACGTGGTCGCTTCTTGCTGGTAAGGGGGAAAAAAGTGAAACCCCACACAAACGGCAAGCGGCAATGGTCACTCAGGCCTTACAATGATCTACATGAAAACAGGTAGAACCAGCTACTGCTTTGGGCAACAGGGGTCTTGGGCGCGCGCGCGGCGCCGACTTCAGCGGCTTTTCCCAACGGATTGAGGTTTCGACCCGCCGACCCGGGGGCTCTTCCGAAGTTCCGAGCCAACGCCACTTCACCAACCAACGATCCAGCTTGCTTCTGAACGATCGAGCTTCGGTGGGCTTGATGGAAATTGTTTCCAACAGGTCTCTCCGGGGCGTTCGTTCCGAAGATGTGAAAAATCCCCAAGGGACCATCAGCGCCATGCCCAATTTGGTGTCCCAAACCCTGGTGCGGGCTGACCCAAACCATCCCAACGGCCTGTTTGGTCAAATCACTTGAATCCCGTAATGTTGACCCAGGATTAGTAAACCCGTCACATTATTAGGGGGGTGTTCCCTCCAAAAGTGGTCTGAATCCCCACTAAAAGGAATTGGACACCCCCCGATCAAAATCAACCAGGGGTTTTGCTTAAGCTGGGGTGAACATTAGGTCGTCTAGCATTGTGGATTTCAACCATCCTCGTGGTTTCCACTTAAAGCCTTTGAGAGATGAGTCACAATCAAAACCCGGTACCAAAATGGTCTACCCAGAACCATGCTTCAAGAATGAAGAAGGCGGATATCCGCAACTATTTCTGGCTGGGACTGCCCCTTACTAACTTTCATCTACCCGGGTTTTGATTGTGGCTCAGATGTCGTTTCACCGCCAATCTGACCGCAAGCGTGGGGTGTTGACGCTTGGCCATCAATCCGACTTGGGGTTTCCACTTAGGAAGCTGGCGTGGGTGTTGGTGGCGGTGGGTGCAAAGGTGAACCTCCGGTGGATCCTGGGCAAGCCTCAGGTAAGCAAAAGGGTGGAAAACCCTTGGTTACACGGGAAAAAGGAACATGGAATTGGGGAAGACTTCTCCGCAAAGCCCCAGTGCATTATGCATGTATATATATATATATGTACATATATATATATATATCAATGGCCGGCGCAAACCAACCTTGCTGTTCATCCATCTGCATGCGCAGTCTCCGCAAGAATCACTCGCGGCGAGACACGCGCTTAAGCCTCACATGTAGCTGAAGGCTCAAGCTCCGGTCCTGGTAGCCGCTTTAACAACTTTAACCTAAGAACAACCCTTCTTAACCAACTCTATCAAGAACAACCTGAGAACAACCTGAGAACAACCTGAGAACAACCTGAGAACAACCTGAGAACAACCTGTTTAGAATAAAAAAAAACAAACCTAAGAACAACTTCAACCAACTCTCCGCCCTGATTTTCAGACTTGGCCATCTGTTCGGAACGGGCTGGAGAAGCCCTGCCACAAAACACACGGCCAAAGTCAGGCCTTGAACTGCCCGCGCTTATCCAGAGGCATCGACACCTGCAGGATTGCCCCAGGGGATTTTGTGCACATCTTATCCCAAATCAGGGGGTTTTGGCTGGTTTGCAAAGGTGCTGTGACTGCCTTTCGGTACACACGGTACATCTGGGTGAATGCGAATTCACAGACCTTAGATGAACCATGATTCATGTTGTTCCCAAGAAAACATAGAAAAATGTGGGCAGGCCCCTATAGTTCTTGTGGGAAATTTGGGTTGCCCAACCCACGCTCTCTCCAAACTCACAGCAGTATAACAATACTTGCTTCAATGACTCACATCGAAACCCTCTCATAAATTCCATGTAAGGGGACAGGAGGGCATTTGGTTCCCTTCACTGGAAGAATGAGACACGATGAGACCATCTACCAAACAGAAACAGCTTCAATCTAAGTAATCCAACATGAAAAAGTGCAGAGCCATGCAAAAGACCATGCTTTTCCAGGAGGCTCAGTTCGCCAAGAGACGGGTTGATCAGTTTACCAACTCAACCGGTAAGATGGGTGAGGGAGAAAGCGGGTCCAAAGAGCATTTTTGAGTACCTTGCTGGCTTGACGAAGTACTTGCCCACTTCGCAAGTGAGCAACTCGGAAATTCATTTACCTGGACCCTCAAACTATCCTCTAATGTGGGTTGTTGCCCCAACATTAAGGTGATGTCCCATTTTCACCTCACTTGTTGAGTGGATTGGCCCAGAGAAAAAAAAACACTTCTTGGTTTGCCGCTAGGTGACCAAAGCACCAGGAACTCACGAAGTGAGCAAAGGGTAGCTTGTGGATCCAAGTACACCTGCAAATCCCGTAGTACAGCTGCAAATCCCCAAGGGGGCGAGTTGCAAGCAGAAAGTACGAACCACTAGTCGGCACATCGATCGCTTCCTTGACTTTCGGCCCAAATCCGAACGAATGGAAAAAGGAAGCCATATTTCCCTCATTCGCGGTATCCGACACGCGCCTGAGAGGCTCCAACTAAGGGTGGCAAGGCTCCCCCTACCATCTATCCAAAGTAAGCCTCCCAAACACATGGGTCATACTGAGGTGTGCCGCTTAGAAGAACCGCTATGATCAATCCCACGAACTCTGAGCTCAACTCTGGGGTGCAGGGGTGATTGTGAAAGGTTTCCACGGTGTCGGTTGCCACACGAAAAAACATGTAAACCTTTACGTCCCTAAGGGTCATGACCCCTCCAATGCAGACCCCATCCTCCAATGGAGAACCCCAACTCCTGAAAGGCCCTTGGAAACAACCAACTGTGGCCCAAAATCAAAGGGGACCCTTAGGGATAGCCAAAAACATAAAATGCATTTGGAGACCCCAGACGGCCCGCTCTTGCCAGACAAGCTTGTGAATGCCGCTGCTCCAAGGGAAACCAAAAGGCACGCCGCTTCTTCCCATTCTCTTCAGCCTTCAAAACATGGGCCAAGACAATGAGAAAATGCGCGGTTTCTACACAGAACCACGTGTTACCAGTAGAACCATTTGTTGGTTTCCCCGATTGAAACAGAAAAACACATGGACGAGGAAGAATCGGACCAAGCCACCTCGTAGCCACCGCCGATGCCTGCTTTCCAGGTTTGGTACCTTGGGCCGTAGCCAAACCAGGACCCAGTTGCGTTGAAAGCCTAGGTCCTGCAGTAGAGTTGTTAGAAGGGTAGCCTTTTTTCAGTAGTCTATCTTAGTAGGGGAACCCTCCCCCAAAAAAGGGGTAAAAGGGCACTACTGCAAAAACAAAGAGCTCATAGTTGGCTTGAAGGACCGCGCCTTGGTCAAGGCTTCAGCTTGCAAATCTTGCACAGTCACCCGGCCGTGGGTCAACACCAACGGTGCCATTTTGGGGTAGGTGCCACCGCCCATGTTAGTCCATTTTAGTGGGGATTGAGATGTTGATTGGGGGTACGGGGTTTTGACCCATAGCCACTTGGTTCCTGTCGTCTTTGGGCCTGCCTGTTTTCTGGTTATTGGCCACCTGCATTTGCTGAGCTTGCAGAGCGGTATTTGCTTTCTGTCGCAGAGATCTGCTCAAGCTTTCCGCCAAACGACAAGGGAAGCCACCGAGCATCCAAGTATCCTTTGCGGATGTTTTCGTTGGGGTTCGGTCTCTGCCCTATTTAGCCTATGCTTTTCTCAGCATCTCTCAGGTGGAATTCCGGAGGGTTCGGTTCCACGGAGCTTGGACTTTCAAAGGGTTCCGGTGCTGGGGATGCCTGGGCTACTGAGCTTGACCAGTCGAAACTTGTTGTTTGCCACTCAGATGAGTCCAAGTGACCGGCAATTCCCATGAACACATTCTGGGGTTACTCTCCAGAATTAGGGTTTGATCCGTCCATCCCAGAAGAGCATGCATGGAAATCAGACGGACCACTTGCATCCCAACCAAAAACCGGGTTGCCGACAAATCACACAATTCCCGTACTCGCAAGCTCGAGGCTCGGAAACGACCTTGATTGTTGCAGGAAAGGCAACATGTCGATGCCCAGACCTGCCGGTGGATTTCCATGGAGAAAGGGCCCTCTCTTGTTTGGTAGTTGAGTCTAAAGGGAACCCTTCAAAGTGAACAAAGGGCCCACTTTCAGGGATGTTGTTTCCTGGGGTTCGCTTCCAAAGATCTCACTTCTTGATGACAGGGCCCCAAAACCAGAAGGGAAGCGGCCCGCCGCAAACCATTGGCGCCCAAAACCATTGGCGCCTGGCGCTGCAAACCTGGCTAGGCTTACACAGGCCTTACTATGACAATACATGAAACCAGATACAGAATAACTTAAAGCTTCATTCTGGGCGAAGCAAAAAAAATGGAGACACGCAGAAATTATTTTACCATGATCAAAGTCACCCCCTAAGTGGTGGGGTAAAGGGGAAACCACATTTTCTGACTTTGATAACCCCCAGAGACCATCCAGTAGAGAACCGCCCATGGGCACCGGGGCTCCGAGTGGACAACTCCGCGCGCCGAGGCCATGGCGGTGGCACTTCCACCTGCTGTGCTTCGCCATCCAACTCCCCGAGGCCTCCGAGCGAGGAGCGAGCGAGCGAGGATGCGAGGAGCGCGGGCCCCCGAAACGAAAAGGACGAAGGTTTGAGGATAAAGAACATAGATAAAGATTCATTGATGGATTGAGGATAAAGGATAAAGAACATAACTACAGAACATATAGATTATCTTTATGATACCATTTCTCTTACCTTGACGCTTGATGCAAATAAACCAAAGATGCCATGTTCATGAAGCTCTCGAGGTTAGGTTAAATCTTTCTACTGTCATCAGTCTTATCAAGCAAGCATGAATACTTGAGTAGATATGTATAGGTCATTACATATATATATATATATGTAGGTGCATGCATGACCAAGAACTTGTGGTGCAAGTTGACAATAAAGCAAAGCGGATGTAACTAAGGAACTTGGTAACATGTGGAATCATTCGCTGGACATGTGGGCATCAAACGCTCGCTACTTTCACTCCGGTGCCAAAGCCAAACCTAAGATGGTCTGCATTCGTTACCTGCACAAAGGGAAGAAGTAGCTCATCATGTGCGTGTGGCCAAGTATAATGTTTGCTATATATATACCATGTTCTTTAGGCCCAGAAACTGATAAAGAAATATACAGATATGCCCCTTCTCCATTGCCTACTTACCCTCCCTAAGGTCAAGATGGACGCTGTCAGTGGGGCCCTTCTGGGCAACAAGGGCTGGTGGCTTCCAATGTTGGCCTGGGGCACGGGATTGCAGCACAAGGAAAAACGAGGAATCTGCAGGTAAGGCACCTTCACAACGGTGAGCTCGTTTTACCCCCGGATCGGTGAGCTCACCAAAGACACATAGTTTCAGTTGCTATCCTGTCGCGCCTCTTAGGACCTTGAGGCTGAACATCCGCAATTCACTGAATGGGTATGTGATTGTGAGGGGACCCTTTTAAGGTAGGATAGAAGAGAAGCCAAACCAAACACCCTGCATGTTGGCCGCTTTGCGATGGAGGCTGCCTTCTTGGACACCCTCGTGCTTCACTCCCTCATTTCCTCATTGCAAGCCGTGCCTTCCCCATCGTCTTCGGGGATCCTTTTCAGAAGAATGGGCCAGACCCCTCCGGAAATTCTGCGGTTTCTAAAGAGAATTGAGGATCAGCCCTCAGTATGAGGAAACATATCCTCAGAATGACCGAGATGTGGACCAAGGGTCATGGCCATCTTGAACCCCAAAAAAGTTGTCACGGTCCAAGCTCCCGTGTGCCAGAGCGCATAAAAATGCCTTTGAAGAGGCAATCCCTAAAGTTGGTGGTTTCTCAATAGTTGCCCTTGAACCAGGCCCAAATAGAATGAAATCGACCACAAACAGTCGTGTTCCGTGCTGGTCGAAAAGACTGTTTTCTTGGGATGACCATTCGGGGAACCCGCCAACAGGGCTCCCCATATTCCTCTGAAAAAGTCACCCAACTTTCAAGGAGACTCATGGGCCCAAAAGCGCCCGAACTTCTTATTGCCGTTATTACCAGCAACATGGTCTTCCCCAAAAAAGCTGAAAAAAATCTGCAGGGACTCAGGGAGTGAGCATCGGGAATTTCTGGGATACGCTCCCCGGAAGCCGAGCGACTCATGGCTCCGATCCGGGCGCGCGGCTGACGCTCAGCGGGCGGCTGGTCATGTTCTGCAGCAGGCCCACGCCGCTCCTTGGACATCGCCAGCGCGCTCGCAGCGGTGCGGGTGTTTTTTCATACAGGACGCAGTGAGTCCATTTACTTGTATAGTAGTTAATCAAGGGAACCCCAGCCTAAAAACAAAAGCAAAAGAAACAAAAAAAAAAAACAGCCTTTAAACAAATACGACAACGCGACAATTGCCGGTTTCCGGCTATAGCGGTAGCAGGGATCCACTGGAAAACATGGGTAACTTCAAGGGAAAAGCCAAATGCAAAATTGCCAAAGGTAACGGGGATCCAGTGACAAAACATGGAGGAAACATTTTCATGCGCTGCCGAAGCCGATGTTTGAGGACCTGCCCTTGAAATGGGAGGGTGCGACAGTGCGACGTCCTCTCACTCAAGTTGCCTAGCCAAGTCCAAACTTTTTGCTTACCACTAAAGTGCTCTTCCCGAAAAGTGACCAAAGCTCCAGGAGCTCGGGAAGGGAGAACATTCAGGCAGTGACCTCTTTGTGAGACGCCATGTAGGCGCCAAACTTGATCATAAACTACTGGCCGTTGTGAGCGAACCTCACGCCTCTGGCACCTTGGAGGCCCTCACCTTAGGTAAGGCTGAGTTGCCAAAGCTTAACCTCCATGGCTGCCAGGCACATGCCTCAGAGCACTTGGTGCCATACGATTAGCAAGCTTAGCGCCCAATCGCCGCCGCTGGTGCCCAACTGTTGAGCCATGGGTTCCAAAAAAGGGCCTGAAGGCTTATTTTTCGGGGACCGGTTTGCGCGCGCGCCTGTTCAACGGGACAAACAAAGCGTGCCTTTTTTGGCGCGAAACATCATGATACTCACTTCTTGAAGGATTATTCTAAAAAAAATGAACTGGTGCAAGCCCAATAAGTATTCACTCCCACCAAAAACCCTCCCCCCCCGGCAAAAAAAAGAAAAGAAACTACATGAGAAGTGGTTGTTCCTGGAGCTCGTCTCAGGGCCCCGGCAAGGCCACGATGGGCGCCAGCGAGCGCACGTCCACGGAGAAGGACACGCACAGGTGGCGGTGCCCCACCGGAATGACCCTGCGCAAGATCTCAATCAGGATGTGCCTGGTTTCTTGGCTGGAATTAGGACCCCAGCCCAAAAAAAAGAGTTGCCTGTAAAAGGGAATCCCCAAAAAGCAACAAACATGAAAAAGGGGAGCTAATTCTGGGAAAGTTTTTAGGGCACCCCGTTTTCCTTTCGGACTTGCTTCCAAACCACCAAAAAAGCGTCAACGAAAAGACTCAACCAGACACACCCCCACAAAATGGCTTCGGCTCTCCGTTCGGACTCCCTCTCAAACCATCAAAAAAACGGGGAGAACCAACGCAACTAGATAAAACCATAAACTCAGCTTCCCTCCAGAGGACACCAAAGGCGATTCCCACCAAGGGACACCCCAGACGGAAGCTGATGAAACCGGGTCACTGGAATCCGCTTTTCCCAAGACGTGGGGCACCTTCCCCATTTGGCTAAGGCCTTCTGCTGAGGGGGTCCCCACGACTCATCCAGCCTGGTCGCAAGGGCCTAAAGGCGAAAGAAACCAGTCAGGGCTGCCCCAAAACGGCGTCGGCGGAGCTTCCAAAACAGAAAGGATCCACCACAGATCTTACCAAAGTAGAAAAAAGGAAACCCATGGAGGAAATTGGATATGAGAAACGGACAACTCTTTGGAGGGACTTTGCGCACATTGTAATATGGCTTATCCGATATCCCAGTTCATCCAATTCTTGCGGGATTTTGCCCACGGTATTACCAGGATATCGGCTCTGGGCGGGCCGTTAATAGCTTTTTGTAGGTTGATATGCAGCGTTGGGTGGGCCACCGGCGGTTGGTGGTAGTATTGTTGGATGGTCATATGGGTGCTTCCAAAAAGAAAGGAGGCCAATCATTTTCAGGGCTCCATAGTTTGGAAGGCGTCATGGATGTTCGGTGGGCTCCCTTTGGTTCAAACATGGAACTGGTGGTTCGCCAATTGGGAGCAACATTGGTCGTTTCAGCTTCCCTCTTTGGTTGATGGTTGGTGGTTTCGTGGTGAGGTCGCCGGGTGGCTTCCCATTTAACCTCTGCAAGAACCAGGGATTCAAACTGGAACAAGGACACTCTCTGACGCATCGTCTTTTGCCACGGTTTGATGGTTTTGTGTGGTTTGTTTACTTGCAAAAATATGTAGCGCAACCCCGCTCAGTCCACCGAGACCCCGCTTTTGGCCGAACCGCTGCGCATGCCAACAACACTATGGACGAACTCCTGCACCACCTAAAAAACCCTGGAATGATGATTCCCATGCAAGTACCAACCAACATGGGTTTCCCATGGTTCAAAGTGCTCCAGGATTTCGTCCATCCACGGCAGCTGTTCATGATTCTGTTTCAATTTCATGAAGTCAACCTTACAAACATGGGTGCGGGTCGGAAAAAAAAGGGTAACCCGGTACATGTAAAGCCTGCGGTCCATTGGCTGGTTGCATCTTGACCCATACCCACATAAGATGGTATCGATTCGGAGACCGCCGGCACAGCGACAGGGCACCTACGACCAGTGGTGCTGAACGGAAGCTCCTCTCCTGAGCCGACGCAAGCGTCGGCTAAACGTCACAGAGAAGAACCCCGTGCTCCCAACGTTCCAACTGCCAGTATGTCAGCGCAACAGGCATCTGCAACTGTAGCTAGAAGCCGCAAAACTAGAAATATCAGCCCTCCAATTGGTGGGGTTTCCCATTCACCACTTACAAAAGCCAGGGGTTCAAATCTCCAAACTACCAAGTCAACTCACCAAGTAAGGGTCACTGAATCTGCAGCTGTGGTCGGAATTCCAAAACCAGAAGCAAGGAATTCTTCGAGTAACGGAGCTCGTTTTACCTCCACGCCTGCTATCAGATTGGCAGATACGTGCTCGTTCTAAAAACGAACAGGACCAAACACCGGAAAACTTTCTTAACAGCTGGGGGCTGATCAAAAGGCCGTTGAAGGGAATGACGAGGGCAGTTCGGGGCCAAGAAATTTTGATCAGCCCTCAACTACGGGCTCGCTCCCCGAACGAGCAAAACCTTCCCCGGAGAGAAACGACGCATATTGCTGGCTCTCATCGATCAAGCTTGCCGATGTGCCTTCAGGAAGCGCTTTTTTTTCTTTCTCCGAGTGCAGGTTAGAGCTTTTGGAAACGGCAACTGGCAATTTCAAGAGGAATCTTGAAACGTCCAGCGTAAGCCTGGCAACATACCTCATGATGCCACCAAAGCAATCTGCTGAGAAAAGCCGGGCAGGTAGGGTCCCACCTGCTCATGCAAGGTTTGATTCCCCATTCTCTTCACCCATCGCTCTCTTTAGATGCGACACCTATTTTCCAGGGGTGTGGCCCATTTGAAGAGAAGGATCCCCGAAGAGAATGGGGAGGGCACAGCTGGAATTTCGTCTACCCTTCCTCCCACTAACATCCACTAACATTGGGAGACAGGGTGTCCCACAAACAAAAACCATCTCCCAGGTTCCACTCCAGTGATCTACCCCAGAATTGTTAAAAACTCGGGAAATGAGTAGAATTACACCCAAACTTCCGGAGAATAATTCTTGGGCTCCGGCTCACCCACCAGCCCTGGCCCGTCTTGGCGTTGTCCATGTCGCCCCCGCGCAACTGGCCGGCTGCGGCGCATGCAAGCGCCCTTTCTTTCATCCATTGACTTTTGGTTCTACCCACATGGGTACAACAACTTAGATTTGTTACAGGCCTTGTCACAAACCCCATCAAACGAGGTAGTAGAACCCCCTAAGGCCCAACGAAGGCTTTGGTTGCTGCTCAAACGGTTTTCACCGCCCCAAGCATCAGAAATCGAGCATTGAAGGGATTGGATGGGGAAGGGGTTGGTTGCCTCAAACAAAAAGTGCCGTTTTTGAGGTCCCAAGCTTCTTAGGGCAAATCAAATTGACGCAGCCAAGAAATAGGCATCCTGCAAAATTCCCACACAACAAACGATAGGGGCCTACTCAACACACCCATATTTGCAAACCCGCCAAACCGATAAGAAGTGGCCACCGAAAACCGACACCCCACTGTCAATTGTTCATATGGCAAACCCTGCCGGATCCCCAAATCTCTTTAAACACTGTGGGGTTGAGGCAGGTGCTGGGCGGGGGTAAGAGAAGGTGTGTCTTCGATTGAGGGCCCTTTTTGGTGTAGTTTTCAAGGGAAACCGAAGGGAAAGCCACGAATTGAGGGTCCCCTATTTTGGGACACACCCTCTTATCCGACACATTCATGGAGCGCCTTGGCAAGGCAGATGTTGACCCACCACTTCGGAGGCATTGTGCACGAAGAACCTCCATAATTCCCCGATTCTACATCACGCATGAATCTTGGCCCAAAGGTTGGGGTATACGAAAACGGGCCGGGGAACGAGATATGGCACATCCTCACTTGAGTCCCAAATGAACAAGTGAACTTGGTCGAGGAAAGTCTTTGCCGATGGACGGGCCGGAGGGCATTCCACCCATGACGGGAAGCAAAGTAGGCAAGGCCACGCGGGCCATAAGGCCACGCAAGGGCCATGAGGCCACGCAAGGGCCATGACCGGAAGCAAAGTAAGCGAAGCAATGCCCGCGTGGCCACGCAAAGGCCAAGACAGGAAGCAAAGTGAGCAAGGTGAGGGCATCAAGGCTGCGGGGGAGGAAACAAAGTGAGCAAAGTAAGGCCACGGCGGCAACGGAAGGCCACGCAGGACCCATGACAGGAAGCAAGGGTAGGCAAAGCAAGGCTTTGCGAAGCAAAGTAAGGACGTAGGGGCCATGACAGGAAGCAAAGTAGACAAGACCACGCGGGGACCACAAAAGGCCACGCAGAAGCCAACACATAAAAAAAAGTCAGCACGGCCCACGCAGCCACGGAAGGCCGGGGCCATGACAGGAAGCAAAAATGCGTGCAGCAAGGCGAGAATGGTAGGCATTGTCGCCTGGACGTCTGGGGCAGGGGAGGGGGTGCTCGTCGGGAAGAATTCCCTTCGTGCCGCCCCCGGGGGGGTCCTCCTTCCCAAAGAATGCCAACACACCGATTTGCAGTTGGAGAGTTGGATGTTGGGCCGAACCAAATTGTGGTTGCCCGCCATATGATTCTGAAAGTAAATTCTTTCGAATGGCGGGCTCAAGGATCAGGAAGAGGAGCTCTGCTCATCCAAGAGAGCGGAAAACCCAGGAAAAGAATCGACTCAACAAAAACCGCGTGGGTTTGTCTTCTTTTCATGGTTGCCGTTTTGGGTCTGTACGGGAAGTTAAGGGGAGCCACCAGTTTGTGAAGGTCTCCTACTTCGAAACAAACCCACGAACCCTGGCCTTTCAGCTTTCGGGAAGTCACTGACGGCGCACGGGGGGAGGGGCCGAGAAAATGCCGTTCAAAAAACAAACGTGGCTCCCGGATCAATAACTCCCTGCCTATTAAGAGTGGTGGTTTCCTCTCCAATAGTGATGAACCCTCACTAAACCAGGGGCAACACCCAATCAACATCAACTGGGGGTGTTACTTAACCTTACTGACTAAACTAGCACCCCCCCCAAGCCAAAAGTCAAGAGACCGGGTGTTGGTGGGGATGTGATATTAACATGAAAATGCTACAAAAACATCCCAGGGAGCACCCCTTCTGAAAATCAACCGGGGGTTCTACTTGAGTTCGAGCCCTGGTTCCTGTTCAAGGCCATGCTTCGGCTCCTGCCCCGGCCTGCATCTCCAAGACCCAGCGACTGCTGGTGCCCACGCTCCTATGCCCAAGCGGGACGTGGGAAATCAAGCCCTGGTAGACATAAATCTGAAGCCACAGGAAAAAGCCGTGGGTAATTAGCTACAGAAACCATGGTAGTAAAAAGCCCTGGTAGCCATAATAATCATGAACCATGAACCAAATGAACTACACAAGCTGCGTAAGCTGCATAAACTTCCAACCATAAACCATCCCAGTTAAGAGCATGCCAAAACCATGAAACACATGAAGTACATAAGCAACATAAACCACATAAGCCGCATGAAATTCTATCCACAAACCATCCTAGTTTACCAAGACCAATCATGCAAGCACACTCAGAAGGGCGGGATATCCATGGTTGAAACTGTCCCCAACCAGCCTTCATCTGATTTGTTCAACCCAATCCAAAACTACAAATACGGGGCACCAAGCGACCGGTATGACTCCGAACTCCCTGGCAAAAAAAAACCCAAAACGCCGATACGTGAAGCCTCTAGACTCCTAGACGGCCACCTTATGAATTGAGCTCCCCAACAAATTCACGTCTAACCCAAGAAAGTTTCCTCTATGATGGCTTTGGGGTTTCATGTTCGTCTGGGGAGTGCGTCGGATTCTGGAAGCTTCCCTGTTGGCCCAGGGCAACCGGGCTTACCAAACATGTAGCTGTCCTCCAGACTATCTCAGCAATTCCTGCTAGTGAGTTGGATTTAGCACATTCCACACCATTGTATGCTTCCCCATTCATCCAGGTCAATTCATCGTGTTGTAAGATGACTACTTCCGACAGTCACATGTCACCCTATGCCTACCAACCAACTTTCCCGCATCTATGACTCCTGCAACCAAATAATATGAGTCAAAAGGACCAGCGCCCAAGCATATCTAGGTCGGTTATAAACATCTGATGGTACTTGGAGTGCAGCATATATAGGTTGGGCCTTCCAAGTGCTCTAGTTGTCCACTTCCATGATAGAGGATATCGATTTATCCATTGGCAGGGGCCGGGCCCATTTCGAATCATGTTGTATGGTTTTCTGTTAGTTCCAGTTCGCCAACGCATGCCATCGGTTGATTGTTGGCTTGTCTTCCGTCTTAGTGATTGTTCCCTGACTTCGTCTGAATTTGTTTGACTCCATGTGCCAGTCTTGAGCGAGCGGTTGGAAGGCGTATGCCTGCTGAGGTTGCGTAGGATCTAAGGAGCCAGCCCATGCCGGAAGCTTCCGTTTTTGCAGGCAGCGCCCGTTTCGCCCATGTTCCAAACCCAACCTATGACGGAGCCCGTATTCCAGACCCTAATTCCCAGAATGGCCACTCGGAGTTGCGGTCAGTCAAAGACAATCATTTTACTGGGCGCACGTTGACCGTTTCAGAAAAACGGAACCAAAGTCAGAAACTACCTTTCCTTCAACCTACCAAAAGGGGGCCTTTGTTGGCCAATTGTCTGGGGCTCGGGCAAGTTTGAGACAAGGGGCCAGAGTTCACTCAACCCCCTTACAATGATGCAACATAGCTAAGAAACCAGCTACAGGAATTGTCTATAGGAAATCCTGCTTATTATTGGCGGGTGCTTGACCGATTTCCTGCACACATTCCTGTAGCCGGTCGCTATCATTCTATGTCAGTTACTCACCACTGAATTCTGAGACACCCAAACTACTAACCGAATCAACCGCCCGAGAATGTTACAGCCACGCTCTTAATAGGGGAATACTGGGAACATGATTAGCGCTCCAATTGGAAAAAAAAGCCAACAGTGACCTTGATGATCTAAAGAAAATTGGCTCCAGGATCCGTAACAGGAAGTGATCCAAACAAATCCTCGAGCTGCTTGATGACACACAAATACCACGATGCAAACCCAAAACAAAATGTCGCAGCAAGTAACACAAATTGTCCTTAGATACCTTGGTCAGCGGTCAACCCCAAAATTAAATTTTAACTTCCCTTCAATCGTTGGGATTTCCACCCAATAAGTTTGGAGCAAAACACATTTCTCAGCGTAGTTAGAGGGTCCAAACATGTTCTTTGTTCCTCGCCATTGTTAAGGGACTAGATTCAATGATTCAAGATGGCCCACACAAACTTGTCTCATATTTACCACTGCAGAGCCCCTGTATCACTCGATTGGATCCATTTCATGTGACTTTCCCTTGTTCGATCGAATTGACGCTTGTTCTGAACCTCGTAACCTCTTGGTGCTAGCTCATGTCGAGTTGCCCTTGATGTGCGAGTTGGGCTATCCTGGCTGAGGGCCCATGAGCTTCTTAGGCTTCCGGGCAGCGGGGCGTCGCTGTCGGCGGCCAGGTACAAGGCCACGGGCTCTCGGAAGTCCCAGCCTCTTAGCTCCGAAGCTCGGGCTCAACTTGGATGCGGAGGTGACCCATGAGATCAGCCCACCAAACCTTTTGGTTTACCCACTAAAATGGCCCGCACAAACCCCAACAAGTGTGTTTGTTGCCCGTTAGATCAGTCAACCAGCATCGTGGCATTTTTAGGTCAAGCAGCTCGAGGATGTGATTGGATCACTTCCTGTTACGGATCCTGGAGCTAATTTCTTTAGAATATCAAGGTCACTGTTGGCGGCGGCTTTACCAATTGAAGGGCTAATCATGTTCAACACTTGGATGCGGAGGCGACCCAGATCAGTCAACCCATTGGCCCCAAAAAATTAGCCGCCGAAGCTGTTGGTTTACCACTAAAATGGCCATGGCAACCAACCCCCCCACCAAAAAAACGACCAACCTTGAGTTGAAAATGGAAACGGGGCTTCTCTCTAGAAATTGACCGGGCGAAACGGACTTTCTGAGTGGATTGGTGGAAAAAAGTTCACATCCCAGCTGTACCTTCCAGATTTCTCTTGAAAGACCCGCCTCTCCCTAGAGAAAGGACACTCAATTGAGTTGGATCGGAGTCTCCATACTTCAAAAAGTTCCTATTGTGTGGCTGTCCTTAAAGCCTTCATTTTGTTACTCACAGACCTGCTGCTCTTCTGAGCTTATTGCTTGCTCAGGCCAGACACACATTCAAGGCAGGAGGCACCCATGATGTTAAAGACAACGTGCAGAAAGGCGTGCCAGAAATATCAAGTGCTCGGGCTGGTCGCTGCAAATTTGGAGTTGCAGTTCTCAATCCCTGAAACTCTTTGGGCACACAACAGCAGCAAGTTTTCTGACATGCGAACCGGGTTTCGGGGTTCAACACCCCAAGTATCAGTTGCTCGGCCTGAGCAATGCAAATCTTTAGTGCTAGTTGTCTTACCACACCGAATCTTGCCCCAGGACAGCCCTGTATTGACGTCGGGAGATTTTAACCTATGGAAATGCACGGTTTCCCAAGAAAACGATAGGTCATTGTCTTCACAGTGACAGTGTCAGAACAAGCCCAAATACCTCCATTGGAAAACAAAAACCAGCAGTACATAGATTCCTCTCAACAAATATTCTTAAGCAAATGGAAGAATAGGGGTCCCGTAAAATGGCAAGGGTTTCTTTGCTGCGCAGGGTCGTGCAGCTGCAGCTGAAACTTGGAGTCGGTTCTTGATATTCAAGAGATTCAGAAGATCCGGTCCATTGATGCTAAAGGACATTGGTGCGAGAAACGCACCGGATGAATCTGCGCAAATTACTGTGATTCAATAATTAGTGCAAATACATCAGCGAATAACAGGAGATACGATATTGTCTTCGGACCATGACTCAAGTGTTGGGTTTTAATTGTTTGTTAAACATGTTAAACAAAAAGACAAACAACATCGCAAATGTTCCACACAACCCCGTTGTCAACTAGACTGAACTAGTTGCTTCTCCAAATAAGCGATCCTTCACCAGTCAATGTCCTCTTCATTAGGTCCTCCAGTTGAGGGGTTAGAATAAGGGTACTAATTCTTTTTCCTGTAGTCTATTTTAGTAGGGGACCCCTCCCAACCAAAAAAGAAACGGTAAAAGGGCACCTAGCTGGGGGACCTAGTCCATGTCCCCTGCTAACCGTCCAAACGGGAGGACCCAGCGCCCGCCGATTTGGAGGAACACACCGCGTGAGCCGCTCTGAGCGAGCGGCGAGAGATTTCCACCGGCGCACTTCCTCAGCATGAACCGCAGCCAGCCCATGTCGAACTAATTACTGTGGATGGTTGCGAAATCCGCTTCTCGCACCACGAAGGGAAACCATGGGAATGAAACCATAACGTTTGTTGGTATTTTACAGAAAAATCGAATCATTCCAGGGTTTCTTAGGTGGCGAAATGAATTGCGTCCATCCACAGTACGTCCCGAAAGGTGCCGATGTGAGCCACATCTTGGTTGAGCAAATTACTCGACTACGACGGTCTAAATAGTGATACTGCTTTAAAACAAAACTTAGTCATCATTTGAGGAGTACACTATTGGCAATGAGGTAGCCCTTGTATGTGATTCATCTGGGCCAGCTGCGGTAGCTTTCAAACCAGAAATAAGCAACGCCAAGTAAGGGACCTTCATCATGGGCAAGCTACGCTTATCCCCAAGTAAGCTCGTTATGTTTTGAGATTCATTTTGTGTCCCAAGCATCGTGGTTGCATCCCATGTCCTAATAAAATGTTGAACACGCGTCATCCCGGTTCTATTGTAGATAGCAGTGATATGGACCCTCCCAAATGTGGGCCACGAAAATACCTGACAAATGCGCTATGCTCACCCTACCAACCCCAAACACGCACTCTCCTGACCGTGGCACATGAGCCATGGTCAAATCATCTCATGCCGCTAAGGACATTGGGAATTGTGTGAGACCCGCTCATAATTATCCGAGGCCTGAAAAGCAAGGATTTTGCAACTTGCTGAGTACGAACAGAAACACAACAAGTCCCACCAAAAGAGCGCTTCATGAAAACTCGTGCTCCACGAACCAAACGTAGGAATGATCTCACCCCAAAAGACGTGGAAACATTGCAGCGGGGAAGATGGGGTCGGGTGCCCACGGTAGACTACCAGTCAAAGATGCCCTTGATGGCACACAGTCGATCATTTTGTCCCTGTGCAGTCAAAGACGGGACACCGAGTCAGTTTTTGAGCTCACTTGCTGAGTGGATGGCCCCAAAAAAGTAACCAAACTTTATATTTACCACTAAAATGGTCCAAACCCCAAAAAGTTTAAAGTTCATGAACTCAGGAAGTGAGTCAAGGTGTGTTCAACCAAGAAATCGAACTGACAATGGACCTACCTGAACTTGAGAGAAGAGTGAGTGAGTGAGTTTCCAGAAGCACCCCCTACCTCCGTCTTCCAAGCGTCTTGCACCTGCCGGATTCCGGACCGCTACCCGCACGTCGCACAGCGTGCTGTTGAAGACCTCAGGACGCTTGCCACGGCGACACGGCTGGAGAAACGGAACAACTTTCAGAAGAAAAAAGCAACTACAAGCACAACAAAAAAAACAGAAAAAAACAAAGCTACGAGAACCCACAAAATCGCAAACTTCCGTAGTGAGTTGTGTTTGCTCGCCTATGTTTTGGCCGATGTTCAAGGGATGTCGGGAGGTCTAAACCCCAAAGGGCTTCGTGCTTGCCCAACAGCTCTGGTGTCTTTGCCAATGGGTTGTTTCGGAACGGGAAGTTCCGACTTGGCCTTCTTCGTTACGAAGTTACCCCCAGAAAGTTCGCTTCCTTGCGGATGTCAGCTTCGGGTTTCCCTCAACTCACGCAATGGCACAGGTATCCCAAAGGGTCCAAGTACCTTAGGATGGTTTCTAAGTGGAAAGGGCAAATACTTGGTCCAGCAGCTCCGCCTAACTAACAGTACAATATCAGATTTGTTTTGTATACTTTCAAAAGCTGAAAGCTGAATTAAGGGATCCCCAAATAAAGGATCTTTACCATGGCTTTCGCTCGTTATACCCGCTCGCCATCCATTGTGTAGATTGATTACAAGACCTGAAGCAATGGATTCCCAAACCCAAGCAAACTCGCTACAAAACAATCCAAGGCCGTACTGTGGATGGACGAAATCCGTTTCGCACCACTTGGAATCCATGGTTGAAACCATTGATTGTTGGTATTTACAGGGGATTCGAATCATTCCAGGGTTTCTTAGGTGGGCGAAATGGATTTCGCAACCATCCACAGTAGGGTTTGATCCGAAAGGTCGCCACTGCTTACCGACACCAGTCGCCAAATGCTCGGCCCTCGGCCCACACAGCCACGGGCGCCCCAGTCTGCGCCAGCTGGTCAAAGGCTTTGTCCTGGTACATAATGCCAAGCCGCAAGCGTGAAACTGCATCCAAGGTGTGGCTTGCCCGGTTTGTGTGCAATTGACCAGCCCCGAGTTTCACTTGCCTTGGAGCTACTCCAGTTTGAGTCTTGTTTCAGTCTTGTTTGATCCCCAACGCCACAAAACATGGCTTTGCTTCTTGCCAGTCAGTTCCAGGTTGGTATGGGGTCTTAGCCAATCGTGGGTTGGTGCGGCCGAAACCCGTGACGGAACCGCATGTAGTTTGTGTTGTCCGCAAAGAACATAAAAACAAAAAACGATTCTAACCCAAAACTTGCAATGCTCATCATCTTTCCTTTTGGTAGGCTTCCTTTGTTTGTTTCCAGGCCACCGTATTGAGCCCCCAAATTCTGAGCCACCCCTCGTCACTTGCCCAAAGGACCTGGAAATACCCTCTCCGGTGTTTTTTGTATTGTTTTTGGAAATCACGCCTGGGGCGTCCCGGTGTGGTTTTTGGTTGAAATCACGCATGGCCAGTCCCGGTGCTTGCTTTTGTCGCGTTGCCTGTGGGCCCGGGGGGTTGTTTCTTCTACATTCGCGCCTTGCTCGCGCCCAGGCGTGATGTAAAAACAAGAGCACTAGGACCCCCAGGCGTGACTTCCAAAGAAAAAAACACCCGGGAACAGAGGCTTCAAAAGAAAAAAGAAAAAACGGGCCACAGGCATGAATGCAACAAAAACAAGCACCCGGACCCCCCAGGGTGTGCTTTCAACAAGAAAAAAAGGGACCCCCCCCAGGGTGTGATTTCAATAACCCAAACACCTGGACCTCCCAGGCGTGAATTTTGAAAAGGAACGAACAGGACCCCCAAGCCGTAATTTCAACATATGTGATTCCAACAAGAAAAGCACTGGAGCCGGCGGGATTTCTAAAAGAAACAGGACCCCCCAGGCGTGATTGATTATATTTGAAAACACACAGCGGGACCGAGGTGTTGTTTGTTTTTTTGGAATTACCAGTTGCTCACTCACTTGCTTGCTTGCTTCGTCCGTGAAAGAAACACCAAAATGAGAATCCAAAATGAGGAAATTCAAAATAAACACGGCTGGTGTAAAAAACAGGTTCCGGACATACAACGTCAACCTTTTTTGCGACCTTGACTAAACATGGACCACGGGGAAACCACAAGGCAGTTCCAGTCGATTCGCTTTGCTCACTTCCTGAGTAGATTGGCAAGCCAAGAAACTCCCAAAGCTCTGATTCGCCACTAAAATGGTCCAAACCAAAGAAGTGAAACTACAGCTCCAGGGAGGGCTTGTCAAAAGTGGGCCATGCTTTCTGTGGGGCCCGCCTTTGAAAGGGCTCCAAACACGAGTCCATCTTTTTGCCCACCCGCCGCAACTCGGCTAGGCCCTCCAGTAGAGAGGTTAGAATAAGGTTACCAACTTTTTCCACAGCTGAAAGCTTTGAGGTCTCAGCCCAGGTAGGCTCCGGGGTGGTCCGGGCCGGACCTGAGGTAAGTTAAGGTTCCACCAGGGTTCCACCAGGGTTCCATCAGAGTTCCACCAGGGTTCCACCGGGGTTCCACCAGGGTTCCACCAGGGTTCCACCAGGGTTCTGCGAGGGCTGCGGGGTGGAGCGAGCACTAAAAAGAGCCCCGCATGCTGTTGGGGATATCACCTGATCTTATTTTAATCTAGTCTAATTTTAGTAGGGGAACCCTCCCCCAAACAAGAAACGGTAGAAGGGCCCCAACCCCCCCAACCCCCCCAACCCCACCTAGCTGGGGCACCTAGTCGGTAAGTGAGAGGCTGTAGGCAACTGAGCTTCTCCCCCGAAGCCGAAGCCCCCCAGCGAAGCCGAAGCCGAAGCCGAAGCCGCGCGGCCTGCGTTTCCTTCGCGGAAGCCAAGGAGTTCAAGGCCACCGTGAGGGCTTGCATCAAAGGCGGCGTGATGTTCAGCACCTGACGCCGGAAAATGTGAACCTTGGAAACCCCATTCTTGCATTTTTGCCCGGCAATCTTCTCTGGACACCCATTTTAAACCGGGATGTTCGTTGGATACCCAGCGATATGTTCGTTGGAAACACATTTTAAACCGGGATGTTCGTTGGAAACGAGTGTTTAACCCAAGACCTGGACCCAACTACCCTGAAGAACTGGCACATGGCAACAGCTTTTTTGGAATCCTGGACCCTCGAGTCTCCCTCAAACATGGGGAAAGTTGCAAGCCAACAAATGATGGGGGGGGGGGGGTCAACTTGCACAGGGGTAGTTTGAGGGTCCAGGCATATCCTTGGGGGTCTAGGCTTGCATTAAGCAAGGTTTCGGGTGTGTCTGTTATATGTTTGAAGAAACTGCCGTTTGGGGGTTGGTTCAAAGGGACACCCAAAGAAACCCCCAAAGTTGGAGGTGCTGTTTGGGAGGGGGTACCTTTCCTCCGGGCAATATGGATGTGCGAGTCTTGCAGCGCCCTTCGTGAAGAAGGCTTGTTTCAAAGCAACTGTTTTCTTTGAGGCGGTCTTACCGCGTGACAATATGGGCTTGTGAGCCTTGTTGCACCTCTTTTTCATAAGCTGGTTTCGGCACACGTAAGCTTTGCTGTACCCTTGTAGATAAGGCGTGTTTCAAGGAAGCCTGAACATGTCATTGTTTGGGCCCGGTTCAAAGGAACGTGAAAGGAACCGACCATCTTGGAACCTTCCGAGAACACATGCACCAAAACAGAACTCACTGAACGCTCCAAGGTCGGCCTTGGGCAAGGCAAAGAGAAGGGCAGCATTCCAGCCCTTGGTTCTCTGCTCTGAGTCTCTGGTCTCTGGAATAAGGTTTATGTGTGCAGAAGGAGACGCGTCTACGCCTGGTGCCGGACGACGCACTCCGATTGACAGGTGGGCGATGGAGAGCTGGTGCCAGCTTTCACAAGGGTAGCTTGCCCAAGTCTCGGGTGGTCTTTGGGCAAGAAAGGATCGGAAGCCCCAGGAATGAACGTGGCCCCTATGTCAAGTCAAACAAGCGTATAACACCTACCTACTAAAGGACATGTCACATGTCCTGAAGTCAGCAGCACAGTAACCTCACTTCCTGAGTGGATGGCCAATAAAAATCGAAGCTTTCAGTTTGCCACCAAAATGGTTTTCACAAAAAGTCAGAAAGGCTCCAGGAGCTCAGGAAGTGAGCAACAAACAACCGACGAATGCCGCTCGCCTCTAAGATGACTTTACACGTGCAGCCAACGCGACGTAAGCCTTGCTGATTCGAGGAATGCGTAGTGCAGCTCAAGGTTACACCCGCTTCAAGCTACTGCGCGCGGCCTCGCACAACTTGAGACCTGAGCCATGTCAAAACCTTGGCCTGCTTGTTCCAATGACCGGTTTGTGCCTCTTCAAAACCCCCTGGCGCAATCACGAAGCGTGCCTCAAGGTTACTTTGAAAGGGATCTCCCAGAAGGGGCTGTCTGAAAATACTGGGAACTTCCAAATACGTGCAATACGTGCAATGTCAAAAAAAAACTGAAAACTGAAAACAACAAACAAAAACAAACAATCCTCAAAAAGACTAAACAACAACAAACACTTTGGAGTGAAGCATGCAGCGAAGGCACTAAGTGCTCCTCCGCGCGAACGGACAGCCTTGGCCAATGCCACGGCAAAGGCAAAACCCAACCAAGGGAACACCGCCCATTTTTCTAGGGGTTGATTCCTTGTCCATTCTTTTGAACCATCCTTCTTTTCAAAAATCGGATCCGTTTTCCCTGAGTTTCCGGAGGTTTTCTAGAAAAACTCGGATCCCTGGGTGTAGGATGCGGAAGGCATCCCTGGAATTTTGGCATTCGGCTCTTTAGAGACTCCGGAAGCCCATGTTTCCTTGCAACTATCAGGGAAAGGGTGCACATTCCTAAGCCTCTCCAAGCCACTGAATCCGAACTAACCAGTCGGGCTCAGTCACTGCTTCACAAGCCGTCTCCCACAGCTTGTGTCTCAACGCAAGCAACTGGCCCAGGTCAACATGCAAATGGGAAAAACCACAAAGCCGAGAGACATGAACTTCATGTATTCAGGGTGTCTGCCAATCATATATGCACTAGAACTAGTCAACACCTAGTTTGCTACCCAAGACCTGTATGGCCATGGGTCAAACGCCCGTACCCCGAGTGAACTATTGGTTTTGACCCCCCAGCCATATTAAAGAATCAAGAGAGGAAGACGGCTTCCATTTCGGTGGTGACTGTCCCCCAACGCTATACTTGCCCTCAGGAAGTTGCACCTGTCTCCTCATAGGACCCAGGAAAAGCCCAGGGTCACTGCCCCCAAAGTATATGGTCCAAAGCATATCATGAAAGGGTGCCTAAACTCAAAACGGGACGGGCCAATTGTCCCTTTGAGGTGAGTTTTGGTTGAACATAGATGGTACTGGCTTCAGTTTGGTGCAATCATACACCAGCGCCATCGAAATATGTTCCGCAATATGGCATCTGGTTGATGTGCAAAGGGAAGACTCAAACTTGGTTGACGTTGGAAGGGGGGCAAAACTTTAAGTTTCAGCAGCCATGTGGGGGGTTCAACCACTAAACCACAAGAAGCAAAGCTGTAAAACATGTGTCCCAAGCATCGATCCATGCGAAGGACCCATTGGCTCGATCGATCGATGGATCGCCGAGGTGCAGCGAGGGGGAGGCCTCGAGGTGCAAGTTCCAGGGCTCCAGGAAAGGCTCCGCGACCCGAAGGCTCTGGTTCCAGTACTCCGCCCCTCGGCGTTTTTTTTTTTTTTGAGAAGGGGGTGGGGTGGTGCGGGGGGGGAGGGGAGGTGGCTGCAAAGGGGGGGGAAACAAATTGGTGGTTTCGCATTGGTTTCTCTGGACAATGGACTCAAGCATGTTAAGGGTAGTTTGAGGGTCCAGGGAGGCAGTGTTTCAACCCAAAGTGGAGGGCTTCCCGACTCTCCAAAACCGGGGTTGGGCCACATCCTGATGATTTGTTCACGACTAAGCTCCCAGTATTTTAATTGCATCAACGCGAGGTCCAACATCAAGTGCAAGTGAACCATACCTTCTTAGTACAAAATTGTGTATGTAACCTGTCTCACAAACAGCCAAGGATCGAACTCACAGATGTCACGTGCAGGAATTCCCGGGGACCTCACACCAGGAATTCCCCACCCCCACCCCTAGTGTTTCCCCAGATCGTGGAGCCCCAAGAAAAATCTTGCGGGAGTTGGACATCCATTCCCTTTGAAACCAACAGGGGAAAATTAACAAAAATGATATATATATATATATATATTAAAAAAAAACAAAAACATAACAAACAATCCAGCAAATGGAAGACCAAGTTGCCGTCTTCTCAGTGGCTCCAACCCAAACCTCCCAACCAACCCACGGCCCCGATCCATCGCTCGACGGCGGCTTCAGCCGAGCGGCGCAGCTGCAGCCGCGCCCTGAGGCCCTCCATCGCCTCGAAGCCCGAGTTGTGCGCCCGGAAGAGCCCGCCCTCGCAGGGTGGCACCGAATTCTTCGGGACGCTCGAGCGGTTGGGAGATTGGGAGGGTCGGGCGAGAAGCTGGGAGCGGGGAACCGCCAGATCTTAAGTGTTGTTTGTTGTTTGTTTGTTTTTTTTTCCTGTGAAGATGTGCCCCGTTTGTGAGGAGAGGTGAGTAGTGAAACGTGAGGACTCATCAACGCATGGTGAATGCCTCAATGACTGCGGTGGTCTCCCATCAACAAGCGTCACCTTGGGCACCCAAACAATCAACGCGGTGGATGAATCTGGAGTCAACTTAAAAACAACTTGGACCAACACATGCTGAACTCGAAACACGAAGCGTCGCAACGACTAAGTTGACGTCCAGCTCATGTTCTCAAGGAGGGTAGGGCCGTGCTAGCTGAAGGCTTTTGCAAGGCGCGCCAGAAACCTATGCCGACTGTACCAGTGTTGCCCCGAATTTGTGGGAAAACATGCTAACATTGCACCAAGTAAACTCCATCAATGTTCTACCCTTGAGGTGTGGTCATCCTTCAAGGAAGGAAGTTGAATCCGATCGAAAACCAACAAGGTGAGGATTGAGTCATCCAACAAAGGGAAGCCTAGCTTCCCCCCCTTCCCCCGCCCCGGACCGCGTTTCAAGAGTCAGCATCCACCAGTCGATCTCTTTCCCACTCACTCATCCAACCCGTCCCTCCCTTCCGTCGTTCAAGCGGGTAGACCCTCATCCCTTATCTCCCTTCCTTTCTACGTCCAAGACATACAGTTAGGACAAACAAATAAGCAATGAGTCTGTGTTCAAGAGAACCGTTAACCTGTCTAGACCCTCTCCCACTTACCAACCGTTCCATCTCTGAGACTCGCCTTAACACCGTTCCATCTCTGAGACTCGCCTTAAAACCGTTCCATCTCTGAGACTCGCCTTAACGCCGTTCCATCTCTGAGACTCGCCTTCAAACCGTTCCATCTCTGATCGAGACTCACCTATAGACACAGCATCCTCACACCCTCATCTCTCACACCCATAATGTTAACCCCGGATTAATCAACCCCTGCTTGATTTTGATTGGGGGGTGTCCAATTCCTTCTGGGGCTTCATCTCACTTTTAGAGGGCACACCCCACGAATACTGGGCACGGGTCTATTAATCCTTCATCAACATGAATCTAAAAAACCCGGACGTGGAGCTTTGGGACTCCTCCGGAGTTGCTCAACCAGTCGGTGCTAGGTCAAATTCACGGTGAGCTCGGGTGACCTCGCTATAACTTGCCCAGATAAAGAATCAAATGATATTAAGAAATGGATATAAGGTGAGTGGTGAGTCTTCGCCAGCACACGTGCTCCAAGACCCAGCACGGTTGACCCCGCGCATCAGCCACGGTCAATATTCATGACTGTCCCCAACTGACGTTGGCTTTGGGTGAGTGTGACCCATGTCATGTCGCAACTATATCTAAGTATGTGAACCAAACGCTGTTTAGTTGCTCATTTACATCATCATTAACCCTCACTTCCGACGATCGGAGGGTTTTGCCGAAGACATTTTTTCTTGTCGGGAAGGTTCCTATCCACCTGCATGATTCTGGTTTCCACTACCTCCAAGCCGAAGCTACCCCCCCCCGACAACAAAAAGAAGAAGTGTATACTCTTTAATTCTATCGCGGTTGTATTCCCCCCTCCCCCAAGCAAAACAACTCAGGCTGTATACCCTGTGGTGGTATAGCGTGGTTGCATTCCCAATATTTCGCTTAGGTATCTTCGGTTTGGGGGAAACGCTTCGGTTGCACCACGCATGGGTCAAAATCCCGGTTATCCCCCAGTGAACATCCCAATCCCCACCAAACGAAGCTAAAATGGGTGGTGAATTCATACCAACCAAAATGGCTGTGGCTCAAAATTGAACAAGCGGGGTTACGCAGGTTTTGGTCCATGTTTCCACAGAACCAGGGTTCCATTTTGGAATTCCGGTTTTTTGAGCCACAGCCAAATGGCATCGCAAAACGGTTTTGACCACCACCGCCACAGCCAGCGTCCGCCCCCGTCGCCGCTCGTACTCGCCTGGAGGGACACGTCGGAGAGCTCCAGCTTGGCCCGCGGCACGGAGCTGGCGTGCTGGGTATCCGACAGCCTGGTGGCTCGGCTCTGGCCGTTCGGCCAGGACTTGAATCCGCAAAAGAAGCTTACCCCTTAAAACTCCCAGCCCTGGGGAAGTTAATCTTGTACAAACATAGAGCCCATGTTACCCCCAAAAAGTTGAAAAGTTGTGTTTTTAAGAGGTAAGGAAGTCTTTCTCCAATGCTAGTACACTTGGTTTCTCGTGGGAAGGGGAGAAAAAAAACAAAAAAATGGCAGGTCAGTGGGGATTTCAACCACTACACCACAATAAGCAGAAATGTAAAACAAATTTCCCATCCGCGCCGAAGGCGGCGAAGGGGGCGCTTGGAATTTGGGGAAGGTCTCCGAGGCTCCCAGAAGGGTCCGACAAAGAATATTTGGCCACCTGGAGACATCCCAGATTTATGGGCAGTCGAGGAACCAGGAAGCGGGTTCTGCTTCAGTTCCCAGTTTCCGAATGGGGAGGTGTTCTGGCTCTGCGATTTATCAGCTGCCCTTTGTCTGGGTGATAAATGCGAGTGTAGAACATAAATCCACAACGATTGTGTTTTCAGTGGGCAAATCCGACATACAAAAGATTCACTGAATACCGCAATGGGGAACAAGTGGTTCGTCTACAGTGGTTTGCTGTTGGTCAAGGGCGCCTTCGTTGCGGGCATAACCCCATGCTCCCTATAAATCCTTGCTTGTGGGGGAGACTTGCAATGTGTTGAATCAAAATCAACACCTGGTACACACAAGTTCGAACCAGAACGCACAAATCCAAAGGAGGGAATCACAAGGACCAAAGCCGGCGGGAGTCCCTGCTTGGGTGATCCATTGAGCAGGCGCGTTATGACCATAATTCCAAGAAACTACCTGTACACAGGAACATCTCCAGGAAGTTAGAACACTACCCGCAAAAAACAAATCCGGGAATTGGTTCATTACACCCGTGGACAGGGTTCCTGAAGATTCTCCTGGAGTTTGTTTCCTAGCATTCACACGGAACTCAAGAAGGCTCCGATTGATTGAAGGTCTACCTCGAAACACGTGTCCACTTGGGCGATATTCCTGGCTGTAAAAGAACCAACCCGCAGTTCTCATGTTTGCCATTGCTGAAATCACCGGCGGTGGGGTACCCGGCCACCTTGACCGGACACCCATGGGAAGTTAAGCACTTCCTATGGGTAAAGGAACACCCGCAGGGCACCACTTTGAGGGGGAAACTCACTTTCTGAGCGAATTTGGACAAGTCCCAAGTCCAAGCTGTTTGGATCTAAGGGAAACAACAAAACCGCATTTTTTTCGGGGATCCCCCTACTTTGACACATACACATACAGTCCAGGCACAGGTATGCCGTAGTTTGTGGTTTGGATCTGTGGTGGGATTTGAACCGGTTCTTGTAGAGGATAAATGGGAACCCCAGCCCCATCCTCCACCAATCCAAGCCACCAATCAAAGCGACCAATCAAAGCCACCAATCCAAACCACCAATTACAGAACCTGAGAACTGGCCGGGTCGATGTGTTGAGAGAGAGACCAAAGAAAAAAAACATATTGGGGCCGCCTTTGGCCTTTGAAACCAAACCAACTGAGGGACCCCGGCTTCATGGCGCGTTCTACTAGATGGTGGTCGGGCCCACTTAGATCAGGGGCCTCACCGTGAAGCCATCCATACAGATCTCCAGGTACACCGTGAGATCCTGCTCCTGACCGAACATGCCATTCCAACAAAAACCAGTCTTCACCAATGTGTCCACTAAAGTGCTCGCCATTGGGCAGAAAAAAACGGGCCCGCCGAAAGTCTTCCAAGAAATCCCTCGAAAAGTGGTTCCTCCAATGCCCACAATCCCGTGACCCCTCAAACACACCGCCACCCCAAGCACAACTTGAGAAAGATGCGGCGGGCTGTGGTGTGTTTAAAACGTGGCCCTCCCTACCAGCAAAGAAGTTCCCGTACAAACATCATGCTTCCCAAATATGGCCATGCTCCCCCTCAACCACATAGGATTTCCCAGACTTGGATACGATTCTGAACGGAATTTCTTCGTGGACATAAATCCCGACATAAATGTTGTCCACCAAAGTATCCCGAATAAAAGATCGCAACTGGATTCTCCCAGGCCCTTGGAACATGGGAGCGAATGACCCCCCAAATCATTGGCACAATACTCTATGTTTCAAGGCTCATGGAGACCCTGCGGTGTCCAAAACTTGGGAATCTGTCAAAATAAACTTGCTGGTGCGATAGGTAGGGAATGTGGGAATGAACCCAGGCTTTGGTCCCCTTAAAGGAAACCACCACAAGGGATAGCTGTCATTCCATTTCTCATTCCCTACTAAGAACCGTGGTTTTCCTTTTTATTTCCCTTCGCACCGCAAAAATCAAAGAGTTCCAAGCCTGCAAACAAAAAATCGTAACCGTGGGCACTCTGGCCGAGTTGAATTACGGGGAGTTGCCGCCAACTCTTCAGGTATCCATTTGCCTGGTTTTGTAGGCAACCTAAAACCCCTGCCTTTTGCAACCAAAAGGAAAACGGCTGGTTGCTTGCCTTTTGAGGTAAGCGAGATGCACCCAGAAGAAGATTTCAGGTCGCTCCTTGGCACCAATGGGCAAAGCCCTCGAAGAAATGGCCGGGTCGCTCCAGAAGTCCACCAGAGGCATGCTGCCTGGAGTCAGTCGAATAGCTCGGGGTTTCTGGCCAAGTACCTTGACTCTCAAACTACCTGCAAAAACATGTTGTCACATTTTTGGGGCAATATTTTCAAAATGGTTCCAGGTAGTTCTAATCCATTTTGTGGGACCCACCTGGACCCTCTAATTCATAAATTCATGGCTCCAATTGCTTAGTTGGTAGTTTGAGAGTCCAAACACCTATTTTGACAAGTTGCCAGAAACCAGCCCGGTCTTCCGTGGCAAACCCTCAAAAATGGCGGCTTCTCTTTCGGTACAAAGCCCAACACACATGAGGCACGGCGGAAACAGGGGAAAATGAGTGAGTCTTGTGTTAGGCCTCCAGGAGGCCACAGAGAAAAAGGCCACACGTTTTCTGCGCTGGTTCAAGGGCGTTGCCCCCTAAACACAAATGAACAACACGCCTCTAAGAGGAGGTCAATGGAAACAAGGGAACTGGTCTGGGGCTACATGCCGCATTGCAGGGTCCCTAAAAAAAACAAAGCGCCCTCCGCCCCGTTCAGCTTCCGCCGCGCATGCGCGCGCGCACGGGCGCGCAAGCCTCGCAGGCGCCAGCGCTTCAATCGCTCCTCCACTCGCGGCTCGAGACGCTCCTGGAAGCTATCGAAGGCGTCGGGTCGCATGGTTTGTTGGTATTTGACCAGGGAATCGTCATTCAAAATTGGTACGATATGGATGGTTGCGAGATCCGTTCGCGCCACGATGAAACCATGGTTGAAACCATAACGTTGGTTGGCATTTTACAGGGGCATGGAATCAGATTCCCGCGGTTCTGATCGGTGGTGCTTTAAATGGATTTCGTCCATCCACGGTACGATCGGTTTGTCAATTCGGGGTTCCATTCGCCAAGATGTTCCATGATGGTTTCTCAAGTCTAAGGCTCATGCCCCTATGGGCCTATGGCGACCCTTCCAACAACTTGTTGGATCCAAAGCGATACTTTGAAACCCTTATACGTCAAGAAACTGGCGGCTTTTAGGTTGGACTGCTCATCATGCTTGTTGAACTTGTTGATGTTTAAACAATCCTAAAAGGAACATATATATACATACATATATATATATATATATAGGCCTTCTTTGACAGGAACACCAGGTAGATCTGGAATATTCAAAAGCCTAAAGGTGATATTTGTGTACAAATCACACAAACAGATGTGTGTGTGTGGTAGGATACCACAAGTGAAACTTGTGAGGTCCCCCTTTGACACATCACATGAACGGAAAACCCAAAACGCGGGTCCCTCGAAAAGGATGGGTTTGCAGGTTCCATGTCTAGAAATCGAAATCCGCATGAAAAGACGCAAGAACTGGCTCCCTGCAAACCCCCCTTCATGTCGACCAAGATCACCTATCAAGGGCTTCTCTTCTCTTGGACGTTCGGGGGCCTCAGAATGTTGCTTCAGACCCGCCCAACTTGTGTTTCCACCCAAACGCATTGGAATTCGCAGTATTTTTATGATCAGGACGAAGTGAATCTCGTTATGCGGCCCTCCTTAAGCCCCTGACCGACAAATTTCACCGCCACGGGACACAACTCGGGACCCCTCGCGAGCGTCGTTCGGACGGACCGATTTCGGACACTTCTCCTGCCAGAGGCGCTTGGCCTCCTGGTAGTTCTCGAGGGTGCGGACCCAGTAGAGTTGCAAAGTGCTCGCAGAGATGCTGCTACTGGCGAAAACATCTGTGGCTTAGGACAGAAAATGCTGTGGATGGACGACATCCTGCACCACAAACCATGCGAAACCATTGCTTGTTGGTATTTAGAGGGGAATCATCATTCCGGGGTTTCTTAGGTGGTGCAGGGTTTCGTGTATCCACAGTATGTGAAAGAGTCTGTTTCATATGGTGAACTCCGAAGTATGAGATAAGTTTAAAGGAGACCCCAGGTGAATTTGGAAGTTTAGCTTTTGCTTTCCGGGCCAAGAAAACAGGCTTGGCGGTCAACAGGAAAGGACCCATGTATGTTGACAAATCCCGGGTTGCTCAAAGCAACTTGGTCAGTAGTGCATTTTTGCGGATATTGAGTTAACAGGGATTCGCCAGTGCAGCGACTGACTGACCCGAAAAGCGAACAAAAAGGTCCAGTCTTGGTGTGCATGGGGAACCCATAAAAAAGGAACACAGCGCTCCTACACTGTGCTGGGTGGGTGACTGTCGGTTTGGAACATCAAGTACTGCCCTCCGGGCCAACATGCAACCGACCCCCGGTTCCCTCAGAAGGAAAATGGTCTTCACATCCTTGCGTCAGGTTCCATGTCAATTAGTGCCTCTGCACAAGGCGTATCCTAGCTAGGCATAGCCTCTCTGCTACGTCCACAGGGAACTCTAGAAACACAAAAGGCAACTTCAGGGGCCCAAAACAAATGACTTCCCGCATGGACAAAATCTGCGGGACCAGTTGGCGGGTGGTTTGTGAACCAGTATTGATAGGATTTCATTCATTCCAATCACTGGTGCAAATTGGACTTTGTCCATCCACAGAACTGCTCCTGTGCTGTTTCCGTAGCTAATACAAAGAACAACAAAATCCTTGAAGACGCCAGTTCGACATGCATCTGCTTTACGACGGTTTACCCCACAACGATCTACCACAAAGCTTGCCTTTGCAAAGAGTAGAGCTGTGCTATAGTGTCATTCATCTCTGAGACTCTCTGAGCTCCAACAAATCGCCCCGAAACACTGCTTGATCGAAATTCACCTTTCAACCTTTGCGGACCATTCAAGAGTGTTCCTATGGTTCACGACAAGCTATGATATGAGGCTCCAAAAGTCCCGTTCAAAAGGGTCGCAAAGCAAACCCTGCGCTTCATCTGTTGACTGAGATTCACCCCCTGCCCTCACCCGGAAGGCGAGAAAGAGGCTCGACGGGTGCCATTCAATGCTCGGCTCGCTTTGGTAAAGCAAGGGCTTACGAGAGCTTCCTGGCACCCATCGTGGAATAGCGCGTGGGGCTCATGGCTAGAAAGTTGGTTCCTGGTTTCTGGTGTTACGTCAGGATGAAAGTTCTGGCCTCAAAGCTGATTCCCCGTTTCCCCGTTATATCCGTTTTGATCGTCTTATGGGCCAAAGAAGCTACCCTGCGTAAATCACGAACGGGTTCCACTTTCAAGGAGGCCTACGGTCTCGTGCTTAAAGCGGGCGTGTCTGAAATTGGGGATCCTAGACCCCCCCCCAAATGGGTGGTTTTCTGCTTTGGCGTCCAAACGCCCAAGCGGAGGTTGCCTAGGTCCTCCAGTGGAGGAGGTTAGAGTAAGGGTACCCTTTTGGCACGTGACGCACGAATGACTGTCGCGCGTAGGTCGTAGGGCATGCCGCCCTACTACCGGTGAAAAGGGGGGGCATCAGCCCCGCACACAGACCCCCAGGAGCGGCTCAACCGGGGGTGTGAAACCTGGGAAGGGCAAAACACCAGTGGAGAGGGGGGGCCCCCAGTCCACTGGTGTGTAAAGCACAAAATCAACGCCCACCAGCCACCCCCAGGAGGGGTGAATGGGGAGCAGGGCAGGCACAAGGTCCCAGAAGGCTGGTCTAGGCCGCAAGGCCGAAGCAGCCCACCCCCCAAAAAGGGGGAAGTCACAAAACTGCTGTACAAGCGTAGGGCCCGAAAGTTGGACAAGTAAGCCAAGAAAGTCGGGACCTCCGGGGCCACTGGCACACGCCACAGGGATATGAAAAGCACCATGAGGTAGCAGCCACTCACAGCAGGAGGGATGTATTCACTATGCTGCGGACTTCTGAAAGCTATAAAGACCCAAGGGCACGATGGGCAAGGCAGCCCGCATCACGACTGCCGAAAAAAAAGGCCAAGGTGTCAAAAGGGCACAACCCACACACAAATAGACCCGCCCAGAGAAGCTGATGCAGAGCGTGAAGAGAACGAGGCATCAAAGGGGCCGAAGGCGCACAACGAAGAGGGCCAGCTATACCTTCACCCCGTAAGAAAGGGGGTGTCTCGAGGCTAGCACTGACCCAAAGGCCAGGATTCCTCCTGGGTGAAGCGGACCGGCAACGAATGCGTCACCAAGCGGATAAGCTCCCCGAAGACGACACATCACAAACACGGCGAATGAAGAGGGTGACCAGGGGGTGCACGAGGAGCAGGTTGAAGACTGAGCTGCCAGCCATGGCTTTTTGGACGCAGGACCGGGCAGTGGAGCCCCAGCCCTGCCCCGGGGGCTCGGCTCCCTGAGCCGAGGGGTGCTTGAACCCGGACGGCTGTAAGGGTACCCTTTTTTCTGTAGTCTATTTTAGTAGGGCAACCCTCCCCAAAAAAAGGGTAAAAGGGCACTACTGGGGGACCTAGTTGCCCCTGCCTATTGTAGCTCTTGCTGGTCTTGGTCGAGTCTAGAAGCTCTTCCCACAGCTTTTCCACCTGGCCAAAGCTTGGCGAAGCTCTTTCCCAGGCGGGTGGTGGGCTTGCCAGCCTTCGATTCAAACCATGGGCTTTCCAGCCTTTAAACCGTGTTTAACGTTTATGTTGTTAAACAGGAGGGAGAGAAACCCAAGAGAAAACAACATCTAAGTGGGTACCTTCTTTGGGAATGGGGTCCCATTCAAATGCCATATTTTGGTAGGCAAGCAAGGGGGTTCCCACCCTGCGGACACCGAACATAAGATGTAGACGATTATGTATAGAGTGGCCTGCCAGGAATCTGCTTGCATGCATGTTGTATTTTGCGATATTCAGGGAAACTAAAGAGACGCATCCCCTCATCCCAAAGACTCCTTTCCTGGTTTGGTGCCTCACTGCTGATCTGTTGGCGCAATTGCTTTGGAGGACCCTTGACAGATGGGGGCTCTTTCATGGGGGGAGTCATTCAAGAGGGTCCACATTGGCCCTTTGGGAAGCATATCATAGGTCAATCGTCCACAACATGTCTCTTGTACGGAGTGTTTCGCCTACTGCTCAAGCGGTCACATGACCTGTCTGATATCGGTCGGGGTATTGGTTGGTGATCGGTTGGGGTATCGGTTGGACGGTACTTTTTGTTGATAAATGCTCCGAGATTGTTGCTCATGCCTCTGCCTTCGTCCGGCAAGAAAATGTTTTGGCCTTGGTGTTCCTGCCCTGGGATCCATGTCAACACTGATAATAAGCTCCGGCCGAACACTGTCTTCAAGCGCTTCTCGTGCTCCCAACCCATGGCGGAAACAGCTAGACCTTCCAAGCCAGTACTTCTCGTGGCCGAGATGCCTTCTGAAGCACAGTCGCCTATGAATCATGCCACATCTCGGGCCCCAAAGGGTCAAGCTTTAGAGACTTTGGTGTTTTGCGGGTCTGCGCGCCTGTCACAAGCTTTGCAAAACCGAAGTCCAGGTTTCCTTTAAGTGTTTCGTTTTTCATCAGTAGTTTTGTCGGGCACCGATATCGCCAGATCGAACCCTCATACATTCTCGCATGTGCTCGCTTTCCCTGGAGGACTTCGTCAATCTGGTCCAAGCTGACGTTTGAGAGAAACACTTAACATCTGTCAAAACATGCTGTGTATTTCGCCGCGAAGTTCTTGGTATCACGCAAGTAGAGATGATGCAACCAAACTCCCACAAAATCCTGATCTGCTCTGTCCAAAAGGGACCATCTCAGGGCTCATCAGATGTCTCATGCAAGTGCACCGAAGGAAAGCCCATGGTTCATGGGCGAGGGGAATCCAAGTTGAGCTCTTGCCAAAGGCTTGCCTCCTGTATCCGATTGGCCAAAGCTCCCGACGGAAACCTCACGACGGTATTTCCCCAAAGGTTTCTTGACCCGACTCTGGGGTGTTGACCCAATTCTGAAAGAACATGTTCTACGATTCTGGTTCACACAGTGTCAACCATAAGACATAAGACATTTTCTGTGTGAGGTCAGATGCTCCCAAAGGATGACCCAGGAGGCACCATTGGTCGTTTCAAGGCTCACAGGAATCCTGGTACTCACTGCTTTGCCATCTCACATGCCCAGAGCATTAGGGGCTGAAGCCTCCTAACGGATCAAAGTTGCATTGATGCCATACAAACACACAGCCAAAATCAGACCAAAGCCCCGTTCGGACACCGGAAATCGGGGAGGGATCAGACCAGCGCCCGGCGCCTCACCTGCAACATTTCGGGCAAAGGCGTTGTAAGCTCGTGAAGCTTCAGGCAGACTTGGTCCTGAAGGCGAAGGCTACCGTAGCCCACATGTGCGTGTCTCTTAAAATCTTTAAATAGCGGAATCTGTGGGCTTTCCTTAGAACAACCACCAAACGGGTACCTTCATCCAAAAAACAATCCCACACCCATACTCCCGACTTTTTTCCAAAATCCTTCTTTTGACAAACGCTGACTGAGATTCCCCGAAGTCTTGATTTACTCCCCCAGTCTGACTCCAGCCAGGACTAGGAGTATGTTTCTTGGCCCGACCATGGCGTACACCACAAATATGTTGGCATAATGCTTCTTATCAGTGAGCCTACCCCCCCAACAAGAACCATGGAGGTGCCCCCAGCAGAGTTCTCTTGACAAACACAAAAACCTCCCCCATGTTGATGTACACATATTCTCAGCCCTTCCCCGATTCCGACTCTCATCCATTTTGCCGAGCATGACCAACCGCGAGGGTTTGCTTGTCCCAAAGAAGCCTGGGTGAACAGAATGGAAGACCAACCCTCAGCATCAGTGTTCGGAACCTCCATTGGGGATCTCCATTGGAGATCTTAATTGGAAGGGTTTGGTGGCCTCAAAAAGAACCTTGAGCGGGAGCATTAGAAACGCCCCTCCATTAGAAGGCAACAAAATCTTCATTGGAAGGCTGAGAGGATCCTCGAGAGGCCCCTTGAAAGGAGCCTTGGGCCCCAAAAACCGCACCCCAATTTCGGTCGCGACAGGGCTGATTTCAGGCCACCCCCCCTCTTCAGGCCTGCTCTGCAGTGTCGCCCCGCTCCCTAGCGAAGGCTTAAACACCGACACCCAACATAGCCTTTCTCACTGTAGCCCCCCCGATTCAAGTAGCTGCTAGAACTACCTACCAAACATGGCCCTTATGGGCCCTATAGACCTTTTTGCGCACATTTGCGAGTTGAGAGCAAACACAAGATGAATCCCACCGCACAATTGGCCAAGCAAAATCCCCGCGCCTTGCCCTAAGAATCTTGAGACCTCAAGCAAGTTGGAATAGAAATGATGTTGTGAACCGAGGGACTTCCTGTTGAACATGCTATCTGCCAAAATAGGGACTTGGACTGACCTCCCACCAATACGGAAGTGCTCTATCCTTGAAGTCACCGATGCGGACACTGGCCTTGTCTCAAAACAGGGAACCCTTGAGATTGGTGCTTGTTTATGGGGGGTAGGAGGCTCCCTCTATGTTGACTCCTACCCACACGTAGCTTTGAACGCCCAGGGGGAAATGGTGTCCCTCCCACATGGACCATAGACGAATCAGGAGAATTTGTTTGACCAAACCGCATGCGGAGTGTACTCCTCATTTTGGCGAACCATCATCTAGGTCCTCCAGAATTGAGAGGTTAGAATAAGGGTGCCAACTTTCTTCGGTAGTCCTTTTTAGTAGGGGAACCCTCCCAACCCAAAAAAGTTGGTAAAAGGGGTACCCTTTTGCTTCTGTAGTCTATTTTAGTAGGGGAACCCTCCCCCAAAAAAGGTTGGTCAAAAGGACTGCACTGCTGGGGGACCTAGCCATGTTCAACGAAGACGCCAGGCCCATGGCCTCCAAACCAGCGATCGATGCGGCCCCTGCTTCTTTCAGCAACACCAGCGAGCCCTAACGCTTGCAGGCAAAAGGGTTGGCCCTAACGCTTGCAGGCAAAAGGGTTGGCACCCCTCCCACTCAAAAGGGACCTTGTTGCATCTCATGCGTCATCTCTTTGATCACCTTTCATGCTCCCAAAAGAGTGTTGTTAGTAGCGGCTTGCAGAAGGGTTTGCAGAGGGCGCGGGGTGTCAACGCCAACCACTTGGCTTCCCGGGACATCTCGCAACATGGAACCCCCAAAGTGTACCATGAGCATAGGTAAATGGATGGCCCTGGTAGATGATTAAACCACCAGGTAAACCAGTGCCATCTAATTTTCCAGCAAAACTCAGCAAAACAACCAAAAAGGACACCTATGACCATGAGGAGAATGGTCTTGCCTGAATCGGCCACTTCTGCGCCAGGAATCTTAGAGCCCCCAAAGAAGATCCATGCAAAGGAGATCCCAGACCACCTGGGCGTTATTTTTTTTCTGGACCCGAAATGGAGGACATCATTCAAGTAGGGGCTCCATATTTTCACCTTTGAGGGGGTCCAACTCTCAAAGTTCATGGCAACTTTGCAAATCCTGTCCCAAAGGAAACTCAATGGGGCTTGTCTCAAAACGGGGAACCCTCAAAATGGTTAGTCTCTTTTTGGTGCTCCCTCAAGCATCAACCAAAAGGGGAATTGATTTCATAACAACACACCCCCCAAACAAAAACCCAGCCCCTTTCAGGTTCGTGCGACAGCCAAACTCGCAGCCTCTGGAAGAAGCCCTGCAGATCTTCGAAGCTCAAGTGGCCCTGGTCAGATTTCAAGCAACCCCCCCCCATCCACCCTCTCAGGCTCAGAATGCCCGCCTGTTAGGGAAAAATCTGGACCCAACTACCCTTGCCACCAAAATTATGAGGTGATGTCCCAACCTGAAAGGTAGCTAGAAACTGCTAGAAAACTACTTTTTACAACCAGGCTTTTCATGGCAAGAACCAGCAGCTACCGCCTTTTGCTCGTGTGTGTGGAAGCTGCTCCAAATACGGAACCCCCCTAAATAGAATGCCATGATTCCCTTTGGCTTCCCTTTCAATGCCAACACGAGGGTTTTGGGGGTCCACCATTTTGAGAAGCTCTAATTTGACATATGCACGTGTGTGTGTGTGTGGAACAACAAAGGCCTGTTATGGCAACTACCGTCAAAATTGGTTTGGGCTTAGCAGCACGCGCTTTTTTAAACAGTATTTGAAGCAGCGCCAGCTAACCCTTGGGGCCTCATTTGGTCTGAGTTGGCCTCAATAGAGCCGTGCTTGATTGATTTGAACTGTGTGGGGCCTACACACTTCAAGCATGCAACTGCGCAAAGGCAACGAAGCATTCTCTCCCCCAGAACTTGGCTCCAAATGTATGTTCTGATAACTGGCCGCGCAGGGACTGGTGCGGTTGCCAACGCAAGTGGCACTAAGATCCAACAACCCCCTTTCTTTGTAAGATGAAAATTACAGTTTTAAACATTAGCCTATAATTCAAAACGGGGCGAGGAGTAGTAGACTAGGCTACGTGGCCATAACTTGGCTCCTGCATTTACCACACTCTCAAAAACGCTGCTCAATGAGGCTTAATACCCTCCCTAGCACCGGAGCAAGTAATCCTTCGCCGCTTCCTTTTGCTTTTTGAAACAAAAGGACACCCCTGGGTTACCTACTATACAAAAGGAAATGGAATCACTTGGGGGAATTGAAGACGGAGGACAAGGGTGCGGCCGTATTGAGTAGGCCTAGAATTCATCCCCAACAAAGGCGCTGCAGGGATTGAACACGGAGAAACGCCCTCCCAAGAGGGTTCCTAGAAATCGGAGGTATGGTGGATACCCTAAGGATTGCAAGGGAACAAGTGAAAATATTCTAAAGTACCATAAGCAAACACATGATTTTGGGGTTGAGCATGCAACGGTTTACTTCGATGCATGGTTGAACTGCGCAGATCTCAAGCGAGACAGCATTCATTCAGCCGTTTGCCTTTTACCTGTAGGGTGGTTTCCTTAGATACCGGATAGGTGGAACTACACCAAATAGATGGAATCAACGTCAGGGGTGTGCGTTGGCCCAAAGTTCAAGCTGTTGAAATAATAAGCGCCCACCCTGGAACCATTCCAAAACCCGCAGATCACTCCAGATCACTGCAGAGCTCTGGGCAGAGATCTCATAGCTTTCAGTGGGGGAAGAAAACATATTTGGCTCACTTGCGATCGAGTGGATGGCCCAAAAAAAGTCCAAACTTTATATTTACCACTAAAATGGTCTTCCCAAAAAGTTTAAAGTTCATGAACTGAGGAAGTGAGTTGGGCCTTGTTGGTCTGCCTCCTTTCGAAGGTTCTAGATTTTGAGGCTCGACGGAAAAACCACAGGAAGCGCCCATGTTGGGCGCCCATGAAAACAAAACAAAAAACAAGACACGACCTCCTGAAAACCAAGACGACACGCCCATTTTGGGAGCCAAACAATTTTTAACGACACCCCCAAAAAAGGAAAGTCCGAAAACTCGGGGCGCCAAAAAAATAAAACAAGTCCCAGCCGGACGTCCCAAAACCCCAACGAGACCAACGGACTCTGCTCGGCACTGTCCGCGCCGTGTTTCCCGCGAGGTGGTGCATCAAATGCTCCGTGGCGATGTCCAGCTCCTGCAGACATGGCGAGTCAATATCCAGGCGGGAGGATGATGTGTCAAAGGCATGCCACTATATGCTGCTGAGATTTGTCTAACTAGGGTACCCACAAAAGTGGTGGTTGGTTTCCCATTTCAAAGCCACACGGAAGGGGCACCCTCAAAAAAACGCACTCCATATTGTCCGGATCCCAGTTCAGCTCCGAAGGTGTTTTGGTCCTGGGTGGTGAAAATAGATCACCTATACAGACAGTCACTAGGAGGTCTGGAACAAAAAAACGCCTAGGCCCAGGTAGTCTTCTTGACCGGAGCCGCCTGAACATGCAGCGCTTCCATCTGCGCTCCCAAGCAAAAAGGGGGAAGAAGGTCTGAAAACAAGCCACGAATTCCACCTGGAGCCTGCGGCCTGCGCAACTCTGAGCAAGCCACCGTGGCCAGTTGGAATGCCTAACCATGTTTGACCCGCCATTGTTCAATCAACATCCTTCAGGCTTCCCTTGAAAGGTCTGGTTCCTTAAACCAATCTTGGCAGACATTTAGCCGTTTCATCGGCCCCATCGATGACATTCAAGCAGGATCTACTTGGAGCCCAGCGTAGATAGCCAGACACGTCCGTTCCGATACTGACAGGGTATCTCACGTGGGTACCTGGATAGTTTGGACCCTGAAAAGATGCCTTTTGGCCTTTTTGCGAAACAGCATGTGAAACATGAACCCCTTTCTTTGCTGCCTTGTCGGGAGCCCCCATCCTCATGAATGTACGCGCCACACACACACACACACACTTTAGGGAGCTTCTGAAAATGATCCTCCGAGCATGAGGGATTGGCCCAAAAAGAACAACTTTGTGTTTATCACTAAAGTGGTCCAAACTGCAAAAGTTAGACTTGAGGACGTCAGAATAGGTTGACCCTCAAACTACCTCAATTTTTTGAGGCAACAACCCATTTTTCAGGGTAGTTTCAGGGTCCGTGCAGACCCCCCAAATGCTGGGCGTCTCAGTTGTCCCTTTCAACCGGCCTCAAACAGCCCCCCACCCCCGGTGCCTTGGGGGTCATGAACCTCGGCTGTGCAGCAAGTCTTGGGACCAACAAACAAGAGCTCCAACAAACGGAGCTGGGTTTGCGTAATATGGTAACTGACCAACAAACCAACGGTCCCTGAAATCAAAGGCCTGAAGACCTTCGGAAGGAATCAGGAGCCGGGGTTGGATCCTGTGATGTCGACTCCGTCACGACCTAGCTGCAGTCCCCCCAAATATTTGGAATCCAGGCAGCTACTGTTTGAACAGAAATACGAAGAGACTGAGGATCAACCTCTACTTGAAGAGCCCAAGTAAAGTAAGTGAGCCCAGCATGTTTCTCACTCACGGCTGCTTTACGACCCCTTTTCGAGGGCCATGGGTCATAAGCAAGGTCACCAACTACTGTGGTAAATCAATCGCCTTAGCCAGTCAACATCACCTGCACGGATTGCGATTCCCAGACTGGAAATTCGGGAACCAGAAGTCCTGAAGCACAACGCACTGATCCCATCAGTGATTCCCTGTAAAGGCAAGGGAACCGTTTTAGTGGCTTGCCTGGTATCCACTGGGACAACAGGACCCCCAACCCAGAGCTGAAGTTGTCTGCTCTTGTTCGCCTCATCTGGTCCTCTGCAAATGTACAGAACGACCCCCCTCTTGCGGAAAAAATGCCCTTCAGGGGGTAGGAGTAAGTAACTCGCTGAGGCATGTGATGTATTCTTTGAGGGAATTTATTTAAATCTATTCTTGATTTACAGGAAACACAACTGGAAAACCGCCCTTTTCGTATGGCACGAACCGGCACATTCCTAGTTCCAAGGGCGCTTCATGCAGACGAAGGTGCTGGCCGTACATGCTCTCCAGAAGGTCTTTGACCTCCTCGGATATCCATTGCTTTCACTCTCCGGTACGAGCCACACATGTTTTGGTCTTCCCCCACTGGAACCTTTCGGGTCTCTGCCCAAGGCTCATTTGAGTGAAGTTCGGAGTGACTCCTTTGGCAATTTCGACACCCCTGTTTTGGGTTCCGCGGATACCACCTAGGCTTTCTCAGGCCTTTGAAACATGACAACCAAAAAGCACAAAGCCAAGGCGTTGGCGGAATCTCCCGGATAGGGTGCAATCTAACTACCTCAGCTCAGTCGGAGCCAAAAGGGTCGACCAGCCAAGAACTGACAATAGCTCTCAGTTTCCAGTGAAGTGTTAAAGCAAACATGAAGCAACAGCCAAAGCTAAAATGACGCACCCAAACACCTTGGCCAACCAAACGCTTTGCGGAATCTGATCTGGCGCTGGGCTTGTTCCTAAAACGTGAGCCGACAACCAGCAACAAAGAACCAGCAACACTCGAGTCAACCATAACAAATACTAAAGGCCAGCAGAAAAAGCAAACCCCAACAGCAAGAACGAATAACACCTGACACAAAACACCAACAACAACAGCTGAACCAACAAACCCAACAAAGAGCAAGGAACACACCAACACAAACACAACAAACAAAGATCCGGAGAATAAAAAACAAAGAAGAAACATACCATCCATTTGCATAAGTCCACTGGTAAAAATGATCATTATTTCCAGTAGTGATAGATTCTCCTGAACACCAACAAAGGAAAAAGTCATATTCTTATGCAAATGGAAGAACAAACAACCCACCCCTTGCCAACCCCGTCCCCGGGCGTTCGCGTCCGTCCTCAGGCTCGAGGGTGCCGCTATGATCCACGTCCAGGCGCTGGAAGAGGGACCGCACCTTCTCCAGATGCCTACGGAAAGCGGAGCGAGCCGGAGCAGCTCGCCGAGCTGAAGGCCCCAGGCCGTAACTCTGGGCCCGTGGAGTTTACCATCGGCAAAGTCACCCGCTAAGTGGGGTAACCAGGCAAAGGAGATTCACTGCAGGTTGCAGGGGGAGCTGCGCCCATGTCGGTGAAGGCTGAAGCCGGCTACGGCCAAGTTTGCGGACCATTGTCAAAGTCACCCAAGTGGGGTGAAGGAAACAACCCCCATTTCTTGACTTTGATAACCCCTAGAAACGGTCAAACTCATGACCCCAGTAACTGGCTGGTGCGAGACAGGGAATGACACCGATGTCCGGGGTGTTGGGAATGAACCGTTTGAAGGATTGGATTCCCTTTTAAGAAAACCGCCAGTTGGATATGCGGGGCATTCCCTCATGCTCTGCAGGCTTGCATTTGGCTGCGTCTTTTAGGGGACCCTCAGGTGATATCCCCAACCCCCTCAACCCCTTCAACGCGCCAGAACCCTCCCTGAAAGCTGCACCAAAGCCTATCTGGGCAAAGCCATTCTTAGCTTGACTATCCCAAGGTAGACCTAAGCCAGGGCGTGGTTGATTTCCCAAACAAAGATTCACCTGGGACTAAGTCTGTCTATGCGTCACAAATTGGAGCCCTAACCCTAGGGCTCTTTTTTTCGGTGGGATTTAGGTCCTATCAAAAGAGTCGGGGTTTGGAGAGTCTGTGCCAGTGCTTCCAGTTACCCCTATAGTGCAGATAACAAGGGTTTCTCAGCGCAAGGTTTCACATGACAGCTTCCCATGCTTACTCGCTACAATGGTACCTGGAAGCACTGGGTAGTATAATATGGATACTGATGCAATACAAGCATGTTGGTTCTGGGTGTGTGCTTTTTTAGCGGCGAAGAATCATAACAATACATAATCATGAGTCAAACAATGGGGTGTGGTGGGGTGGCCTGCCAGCTCTACCTGCAGGGCTGCCTGTAGTCAATTCCGGTGGTAGTTGTCGCTGATTGGGATTCAAGCAATGCAAAAGAAGATACACAAGTGTCAACATGCTGGCAACCCCAAAATGTGTTTGTTTTTCTTAGATCCCTTGTAAACCCACCCAAACACAGTGCCCTAAAACACACACACACACACACACACACTCTCTGAGCTTGGGAGAACGGCAGCGTCCAAACCAGCCACTTTTGGCCCCCTTCATGGGAAGCATGGCCTTTTTCAGCTTTCTGAACATGGGCTCCGAGCAATTTTTTCGGCAACCTATAGGGGGGTGGTTTGTGGCCCCATGCAAAACTGGTCTGATTCTTTCGCAGGAAAAGCAGCCCCCCCTATTAATAAACTGGTGTTGATCAATATGGGGTCAACATTACACACTTCCACTAAACAAAGCATGGCATCTGACTTTTGAGATAAGCAAAAAAAGAGACTTCATGATGATGACGATGAAGCTGAAGCTGAACATGATGATGGTGATGATAATAAGGACGACGACAATGAAGAAAATTGGACTTAGCACTATCCTGATTCACATTTCTTCCCTATGCCTTCGCATATCGCTTTTCCCCATCTCAGAAGCCGACTCTTTATTTCCAAGCCGCCGGATACCCGTTCCGCATACTTGGAGAACCACACAGTGCTTTTGGTTCCGGTGGGGTGTTGATTCCTGGGGTTCCGTGCCTAGGCTCCTTCTTGGTGTGGCCAGTGCCTAGGCTCCTTCTTGGTGTGGCCAAAGACTTGATTTGAGCTTTGGGACACTACTCCCTCGCAGATCGGAAGGAGGCCAATAACAAAAACATGGTAGAGACACCCCCACGAAATCGGACCCCTGTTTTGGGCTCCAGGTCAACTTGCAGAGTACGAGTTTCGTCCATTTCAGTGGCATTCATGTTTCCTTCTGCTACCTGAATATGCACCCTGAGGAAAATGTGTGTCCCCGTACCTCTACCACCTACCTGAGCCACATGGTACTTCTTCCAATAGCTTCGCTTCAAGCACAAAAAGGGTGCTGTGGCAAAACGGACACACCCAGGAACCCGTCAAATTGTATTTCCCTGGAAGAACTTCCCTGGAACACTTGTCATACTACCTGAACGATCCCCCGCGCATTTGACTGGCCACAAAACCCACCCGAAACACGAAGCCAAGAGGCGTGTCCGTGTGTCGCTGGGTAGGTGAACTCCTGCGCAGGACATGGGTCGAAAACCCGACACTCGCCAATGATATGTCCAGACTCTGCTTCATATTCGAACATGTTTAAGAAATGGGCTTCAGCCAGCGTGACCCATGAGTGGAAGCAAGGGAAAAAGCCTCGCTTTGCCCTGACAATGATAAGCGCGGGCCAGGGTCAATTAAGCTTTCCCACGCTCAAATGAATTTCTTTAGCAGGAATCCGTCCATCTGCCTGAATCGCAAGGAACCCATGACCAGACAGAGGGTGTTTTTCCTCGGAACATCACATCACGGGGAAACTCCACTACACTTGGGCAGCTCTCTCGCTCTCTCTTTCTAGTTCCTTGAAGCGGGCGCAGCTTGCAAAGGAGCTGCTTTGTTCTTGTCTTGCGCGCAGCTCAAAGACTTCCGGGGCAAAACCTAGCAGCTATGAAGTTGAGAGAGCGGTGCCGCGGCTGGTTATGTGTCAGCAACGCCAATACCAAATAACCAGCTGGTCAGTGACCCTGCTAGGAAAAGGATTCGGACCGTTTTTAGGTGGACGATTTTAGATGGGGAAGCCATCAAACAAGAAAAGAATTAGAGGTGCCATTGAACAACTGAGCGATCTCTTGTGTAGGTCAAACACGTCCACCTGGTTTGAACCTTTATGGCGCTAGGTGGGAGGACTTACTACAGTTAGGTGAAAGTAGATGGCTTGCCCGAAATCAAATTGCGCCATCGATTAACACTGGTAAAAATACTAAGGTTATGCCCCAAGGTACTCCTTGCTAAACAAGGTGGTAAAGCATCCGAACAGTCCGAACATTCATCCAACTGCTGTTTTGGGCGCAAGCTACAAAATCCCCATCCGAGGTCCTCCTGGTAACACTCGCCGAGGAGGCACCCTTCGGGATGGGATCTTTGGCCGCCTGGTAGATTCAAAGCCTAAAGGTGCGAATGTGTATGCGTGTGCAGTTTTGACTCATCTATACATATGTATGTAAATAGTAGATACACTGTTTATAGATATGTATAGATGTAATGGTCCAGTACCTGAACCCCCCCCCCCATCCTGCACCTGGCGCGCGCACGTTGCCCTTTGATCCTTCGCGGTTTGAGAGAAGTAAACGAAAACGCAAACACATATAATATACCCCCACGCTTCGTGGGACGGTTCATGACTTCCCGAGCTTCATGAGTGGCAAGCACGAAACCGACAAACTGACCTTCTGCGTCTGGAGCCAGCGAAAGCCCGTAGGTGTTGGAACACGCTACGTTCCGGAGCAGGTTGGGCAGCTCCTTGCAAAAAGCGGGAGCTGTCTGGCCTGAGGCGGCTCGGGCGAAACGCCCAGAGCCGCCGGCCCCATCACCTCACTTAGGTCACGCCAACGTCTTTCTTCGCGTTGCCGATTTGCATTGACATGCCTCCGCAGCTCATCGACAGCAGCGGCAGCAGCAGAGAAGGAGATCATCCCAAATGAAAGGCATGCGCCCATGCGAAGATTTAAGTAGGTTATGTGGACAAAGCGCAGCATTGCCGAGAAGCATTAACCACGTAGAAATGTGCTTGCCGTTTGTTTGTGCAAGTCAGTGTTGCACCACCTGTGTTCTTTTTGTCAAATGGTGGTGTTGTGCGTCTTGCCCTCTGCCTGGAGCCTGCTCAAGCCTGGTTCAGGCTTATCGCCTGAGTCTGGCCTGATCCGGTAGGTGTGAGGGGAGGAACACCCACCCCAAATGGGATACCCACACCCAAACAAGAACTCAGCAAAAGGCTCAACTAGAGAATCATTGGTGTTTAGGATTCCCTTTGCCGATGTTTAAGATACCTTGCTTCGACTTTACGAGTTGCTTCAGGTAGACCCGCTGAAAGTCCGCAGAGGGCTTGACTTTTGATGATTGGGCAAGCTGAAAGACGAGTTGTTTGAGAGCGACCCCTCGAAAGGGCTGGGCTGCGCGGGCTATTTGGCATTTTCGAGTGTTTGAGAAGCGATGCACCTAAAGTGCGCAAAGGGTTCGGGCGATGGGGGGGCGATGGGGGGGTGACGGGGGGTGGGTGGGGGGCTCAGGCTGGGACCATATATACACATTTGCAGATTCATGGGTGTATACCTGCAATAAGTACATATATAACACCTATACATACTATGTATGCAATATGTGCATTTATACGTATAACGTGTGTATACTTCTATGAATGTGTGGATAGCAAGTCATCGATATATTAATACATGTATACTAGGTCCTCCAGTAGAGAGGTGAGAATAAGGGTACCCTTCTTTCTGTAGTTTATTTTAGCAAAAGAACCCTTTTTCAAAAAAGGGTAAAAGAGCACTACTGGGGACCAAGTATACATCTTTCTGTGTGTCATACACACAGGCGTAGGAGTCAAATTAGACACCCCTCAACAGCACGCTGGGCCAAACGACTTTGACCCCCTGCGCACAGCAGTCAGCATCGCACTGCAAGTTCCTCGTCCCTGCTGGCAACACTGCCACAGGAGCAAGCTAAAACGAAAATGGCAAGGTCTGTCCAGGTCTTCGATGCAACAACAGTCACCACCCAATGATGCTTGCCAATCTCAGCGACATGTGGTGATTGCAGTTGATTTTTGCCACGGCAGTTCGGCTGACACAACCAATCGCTCATCTCTCAGCAGCAAAATAAGGACACAAGTCACATGCCTGTTCAGCTGATACTCAACTTTGCGTGCAGTCTGCAAACTCACACCTGCCCAGCCGGACTCTACCAAAGGAAAGCCACATAGCGGCGAACAGCGCCGCACAAAGTACCAAGCTCAGGTCAAAGTGATGAATAATGAGTCACCCCAAGCAGCAACTTTGCAGTTGGCTGCCTAGTCCTTTTCATGACTTGTCATCCAAGCCTGGCGAAACGCTTGACCTCCACTTCCATTGCCCAGCCCAGAACATGTGGTGATTTGCTTTGAATTGCGCATGGCAGTTAGGCTTACACAACCAATCGCTCATCCTGGCATGGCAGCCACATCCACAAGACAAGGCTGCATGTCACATGCCTGTTCAGTTACTCAACTTTGCGTGCAGTCTGCAAACTCACCTGCCAAGCCAGACCAGAGGAAAGCCGCATAGCAGTGAACAGCGCTTGCACAAAGTACCAAGCTCAGGTCAAAGTGATGAATAATGAGTCACCCCGAGCAGCAACTTTGCAGTTGGCTGCCAAGTCCTTGTCATGACTTGTCATCCAAGCCCGGCGAAACGCTTGACCTCCACTTCCATTGCCCAGCTCAGAACATGTGGTGATTGCTGTTGAATTGCGCACGGCAGCTAGGCTCACACAACCAATCGCTCATCCTGGCATGGCAGCCTCATCCACAAGACACGGCTGCATGTCACATGCCTGTTCAGTGAGTCAACTTTGCGTGCAGTCTGCAACTTCACCAGCCAAGCCAGACTCTTAACAAAAAAGTGCCAAGCTCAGTTCAAAGTGATGAACAATGAGTCACCCCAAGCAGCAACTTTGCAGTTGGCTGCCTAGTCCTTTTCATGACTTGTCATCCAAGCCTTGCGAAACGTTTGACCTCCACTTCCATTGCCCAGCTCAGAACATGTGGTGATTTGCTTGAATTGCGCACAGCAGTCAGACCCGCACTACAAGTTCCTCGTCCCTGCTGGCAACACTGCCACAGGAGCAAGCTAACACGAAAATGGCAAGGTCTGTCCAGGTCTTCGATGCAACGACAGTCACCACCCAATGATGCTTGCCAATCTCAGCGACGTGTGGTGATTGCAGTTGATTCTTGCCACGACAGTTCGGCTGATACAACCAATCGCTCATCTGTCATCCACAAAATAAGGACACAAGTCACATGCCTGTTCACCTGTTACTCAACTTTGCGTGCAGTCTGCAAACTCACCTGCCAGGCCGGACTCCTACCAAAGGAAAGCTACATAGCGGCGAACAGCGCCGCACAAAGTACCAAGCTCAGGTCAAAGTGATGAATAATAAGTCACCCCAAGCAGCAACTTTGCAGTTGGCTGCCTAGTCCTTTTCATGACTTGTCATCCAAGCCCGGCGAAACGTTTGACCTCCACTTCCATTGCCCAGCTCAGTACATGTGGTGATTTGCTTTGAATTGCGCATGGCAGTTAGGCTCACACAACCATTTGCGTGCAGTCTGCAAACTCACCTGCCAAGCCAGACTCTTACCACAAAAGTACCCAGCTCAGGTCAAAGTGATGAATAATGAGTCACCCCAAGCAGCAACTTTGCAGTTGGCTGCCTAGTCCTTTTCATGACTTGTCATCCAAGCCAGGCGAAACGTTTGACCTCCACTTCCATTGCCTATAGCTCAGCGACATGTGGTGATTGCTGTTGAATTGCGCACGGCAGCTAGGCTCACACAACCAATCGCTCATCCTGGCATGGCAGCCTCATCCACAAGACAAGGATGCATGTCACATGCCTGTTCAGTGAGTCAACTTTGCGTGCAGTCTGCAACTTCACCAGCCAAGCCAGACTCTTAACAAAAAAATGCCAAGCTCAGTTCAAAGTGATGAACAATGAGTCACCCCAAGCAGCAACTTTGCAGTTGGCTGCCTAGTCCTTTTCATGACTTGTCATCCACGCCTGGCGAAACGCTTGACCTCCACTTCCATTGCCCAGCCCAGAACATGTGGTGATTTGCTTTGAATTGCGCACGGCAGCCAGCCTCGCACTACAAGTTCCTCGTCCCTGCATGGCAACATATGGCAACACTCCCACTGCAACAAGCTAGCACTGCATTGGCAAAGGAACACTCAGAAAGACATCTAAGTCTGGACTCCCCCATGCCCAGCTCAGGGTTCCGTATTCAAGGCACCACCCCGAACTCGCCAACCCGAGAGCCGAGGTCGCAATGTACTCACAGCATCCGAGCTGAGCAAATGGACCTCAAAATTCAGGTCCCACTGAGAAGCTCCGCATGGAAGTCCCAAAGTCCGTCAATCGCCATGCAAGTGAAAGGCTCTGCATATTTTAGCGATTTCCCCCGACTTGTTTTTGAAGGGTACCATAAACCTGACTGGGGGCTCACCAAGCTATACCCAGACCCATGCATTCCCATGAAGAAAAACTAATTAACACTCAAGAAGCCCACCCCTCCCCCTCCCCGAAAAAGGGGTACCCCCCCATGGATTTCCATGGGACGAAGAGACTTGGCAATCGTTGATTTTAAAGGGAAACCCCCAACCAAAACAAAAAAAGCACACACACAAAACAAAGAAAGAAGTTGTTGACACCCGCCCCCCTTCCAAACAAAACTGACAAACCGGTTGCTTTGAAGGTCTGGAGAAGGGGGCGCCAGACCATTCCAATCTTCTGAGCGCTACCCAAAGGTTTGCCTTGGGACACGGACGCAACTCACCAAGTGGTGGGACACCGATTTCTTATTTGTTTAAAGATAAAGGAACACCCCTGCAACCAACAACTAGATTCTCGATTCCCCCCAGAAAGGTGACTGCTCACTTCCCCGAGAGGGGAAGTGAGCGAATCGTGTTTCCGGCATTGTTCAAGCAACATCCTGTAGGTGTCCCTTGAAAGGGGCAAGGGCTGGTTTCTTAAGCCCTCCAACAAAGGAAACGGGGGCCAACAAAAGGTCACCGCACTTTTTGTTTACCACCGATATGGTCCGAACCCCAAAAGTGACCAAAGCTTCGAAACGGAACTCAGGAAGTGAGGTTTGAAAAAGGGCACCTAAGCCACACTCAAAACCCGGGCAATTGAAGGTAAGGGACAGTCCCCTGGTCAGAAATTGGGTGCCTTCGCCTCCTTATGTCTCCCACTAAGATGGCACCCGACATTAATCCCCCAAGAGGAAATTGATGCAGGTTTTTACATGTTCTGGGTAGACCATTTTAATACCGGGACCGGGTTGTGATGATCTGCCCTCAGATCCCCTGCTAAAAGTTTAACTTGTGGGTTAAATACGAAAAACCAACCACTAAACACCAAAAAGATCCAAAAAACATAAGTTGAACCGGGCCAAGGTACGATAATGTAAGAGCAAAATCCCCCGCCAATGTAAAGTAGCTGGTAGAACCACCTACCAAATTGATTGAACAAAGCACTCTATGAATATCCGCCCCCAACACCCGCCAACCAGGTGATTCCCCACTACAGGTGAACCCCGCTATGTATTCATCAACTGGGGTTGAACATTATGACTCCATCTTCCGTTGGGATGAATCCCAAGGGAACCACCTACCAACTTGGAAAACCTCCAAGTTATAATTTTCGCTGTTAATAAACTGGGGTTCGCCCCCACCTACCAAATTGCTTATGACTCACCTCCTCTCGTTTTGATCCCCTCCCGCTCGTCCCCTCCCAGCCGCTCGTCCCGCCGCTCGAGCGCTCGCTTCGATCAGCCGCTCGCTCGCCTCCGTGGCCTCCCGCAGCTGCGCGGCCGCCTGCTGCAGGCGCCACAGGGCGCGGCTGGAGACGGTGGCCACCAGGCCCGGCTCCCCCTGGCCGAAGGACGGCCGGGAAAGAAGGACGGCCGCGGAAGCGGCGGCGGACACGGAAAGGAGGCGGGGCCGCGTCAAGACCTAGAAGGAACAAGGGGACGGTACAAAGGGAGAGAACCTGGCGTTTTGGAGCTAAGGGAGAGAATTCCCACAGAAACGACCTGGAAGGAACCCAAGGGGACGGTCCAAAAGTGGAAGGAACCCAAAGGGGCCGCTCCAAAGGGAGAGAACCTGGGTATTTGGACCTCCAAAGGACAGAATTTTCGGGAATTTGGACGCTCCAAAGGAAGAGAAATCGTGAGAGAGAGAGAGAACTCAGGAACTTTGTGTTGGACTCTGGACCTCAGAGAAGGGAACTGTTTGTTGGGCTCTGGATTCGGGTTTTGGGGCTGACCTCATTTCAAGGAGCGGAGAAAAGAAGAATTCACCTAGGAGCCAACCGAAATACACCCCCCGACTCAAAACTAACATGGAAGCTGCCAGAAGGCCTCTGTAGATGAGACCAAGTCTTCCGAAGTGGTTCAGGATTTTTTCCGTGCATCGATGTGCCACTCCCCTCACAATTATTCTAGAAGCTCAAATCTGGGGGACTAACATGGACCTCAAAGCAGAGTCATCCAACATATGATAGATTTTGGGGACCAGCCAATCTGCAAGGGAGCATCTGCTGCCGCTTGCCCCCAAACATCAGCGTCCGGAGTCATTTGGGGCCATGCAAAACTCCGGGCAAACTTTCGGACATCTCAGGGCGGAGAAAACAAAAAACATCGGGGGACAAAGAAAAACTCCGGAAAAAAAAGCCCACCAAAAAAAACAAACAACAAAAAACAAAAAACAACAACTCGGAGGTGGATCCACCTACGGCAACCCGTGGGCCGTTGGTGGATCTCGCAGCTCCCCTCCGCTCTGAGCGATGCTACGCGATGTGCCAGCCTGTGCCGCCAGCTTCAGCTGCAGCTCCTCCCCCGAGCTGGCGGGGTACTTGGCGAAGCTCAGGTCCTAGACGTGGGAAAGGGGGCAGGTCCTACGGGAGACGTGGGAAATAGGAGGAGGGGGGGGGGGGGGGGCATGGAAGATGTTCCCAACTTTGCCCTTCAAATGGAAGATGTTCCCAACTCCACGCCCTCCAAATGGGTGTGCATGTTCTGGCATTCCTGGAGTGTCTGGAGTGGCCACATGGTGGACACCTGTTTGCTTTGGGTGAGGGCTTGAGTCTGCTATACAGACCCGTCCATGGCGCGGAGGAGTGGGGGAAAGGAACCAGTTGTCGAATTCATTGGGACGTCTCACTGACTGAGATCACGTGAACTGGTAAGAAACTCGGGTCCCCAAGGAACTTGAGTCATGCGATGATTGACCAATAACTAAGCTTTGTGCAAGATATTTTGGGAGTGAAATAGAGGTCTGGAAAAAACATGGAACATAAGCCGTACCCATGTGGCTATGGTTTCTCAGCTTCCCACGCATTGGCTGGTGGTTTGGATTGGTGGTTTGGCTTACCCGACTTTCCCAGTGGGAAACAGAACACTCGGGAATCACTTGCATCGCGAAACCTGGGGTTTGCGTTGTGTTCTTGTTCCATGGTGACACTCCGCTTGTGGATCATGGTGATCGCAACCTTTACAGTGGAATAAGACTATATATTGGGACCTCCAAAAGGGCATGTCCATCATAAGTCCTGGAAACCAATTCAGGGTCTTTTCAAACTGAGTGGTCGTTTATTGCACGAACCTGCCACGGTCAAACTCCTGAGCCATGCCATGACCATCCCTACTGTGGTAAACCGAAGCTTAGTTGGGATGGATGAAGCCAGGAGATGAACCACCAAACAACTGCTGCCCCCAAGCAAAGGATCCAAAGGCTGACCTACCGCGCTCCCCCATCCCTAACCAGTGGGGGTGTTTCAACTGCTCCTCAAAGTGGCATCCTCAAAATGACCCTCTTCTTTCCAATCCTTTGGTAGCAGAAAACAGTTAGTTCTTTAGTCTTTGTTTGCCGCCCTCCCTAAAATGAAGAGAACCACAACCCCAAAACCAAGAACAACCTCTTCTTCTTTTTCTGCAGCCCTCGCAAAAACGAACAGAACCAACACGTCCATTTGCTCAAGCCCATTTAGAAAAATACAAACATGTCCAGCAGCGATAGATTCCCGTTGAAACCAACATGGGAAAAATAACACAAAAACAACTTAAGCCCTTTGAAACCAACATGGGGAAAATAACAGAACCAAACAAAAACTTAAGCCGTTTGAAACCAACAGGGGAAAATAACAGGAAAAAAAAGCCCTTTGAAACCAACAGGATAAAATTACATAAACATAAAAACAACTTAAGCAATAGGAAGGCAATCACCTAAACCCAAAGGCTCCTGGGGCTTTCAATGGAAGACCCAACCCCTCCATTAGACACCCCGGAGGTGGTTGGGGGTAAAAACAAAAAACAACTTAAGCAAATGGAGGTACAAAAAAAACACGCCGAAAGCAGGGAAGCCCTTGGCTTCAGGGCCCAGTCCCCACCCCTAAATATTTCACTCGAGCTGCCCATCGGCAGGGCCGCAGCACGGAGGCGGCCTGACCAAACCCAGTGGTTCTTGGAGAGTTGGGCCAAGTTGAGACCAGTTTTAGGTCCTGGCCTTCATTTGGTGGCCACTAGTGTTGGGTCCTGACCCTTCATTTCAGCTTGCATTTGCGTCTTGCGAAAATAAAAAAATAGAAAACACGTCCAGTAGTGATAGCTCCCTTTCCCTTTGCAACCAAAAACACGAACACTCACACACACACACAAAAAAAAAAAAAAACAACACACGTATTCCTTTCAGCCAATGGACCCTTTTTGGTGGAGCTGATTGGATCACTTCCATCTCGAGGCCAGGGCACCCCCTGAAACCAACCGGAATGCACTCGGCAAGCTTGATTGAAAATGTCGAGCGGACCCTCTGGTCGCGGTTCTTGGGTTTCTGTTTGGTGTCCCTATGGCCGAAAAGGAGTGAGGTTTTTCCCGAGAAGACACAATTAGGTGATGTTTGCGTGATTGGAGGGTGGAAACCTTTGCAAGGTGAGAAAAGGGAAACCAAAAGGGAAAGACCAATTGTTGGGGTACCCCCTATTTTCACGACATGCCCGTATGGCAAGCAGTCGTTGCATGGCAGCCAACCAGCTAGAACATTATCCTTGTCAACTTTAAAGGGGTTCATCGGGGTGGTTGAACGTTTAAACACGAATCGACCCACCCAAGGGTGGCAGCATCAGTCATCAAACGATGCAGGTACCTCGGCACAAAACAGACACCCGTGCACAAACAACAGAAAACCTGGCATTCAGGGTCGAACCTATGCAAGTCCAGCAACCCACCAGTGTGCTCATAGGCTTCTGGTTGCTGATGGGTTTGCATGCAATCTGCCTTTCCAATTGCTCCTGTCGATCGGCATTTAGAAGTTTAGCCAAAGAGAGAAACCAACGGAAGACATGCCAAATATCTATGATGCAAGACCGGCTCGGCGAAAACCCTGCGGACAGGTGTGGGTTTCTCTAAAACTAGGGAACCCCCCGACAAACAAAACATAATCTTTCTCTTGGTCTCATCTTTCGATAACAAAACGTATCCAACAAAGCAGAGCCATTCAGCTGGCCGAACAAAAAATAAAGCTTTCAAGGACCCCTCCTCTGGCCTGAAGGCCATGCCTTTCTTGGCTTGTTCAATCCCAGAAGGACTAAAATCGCAGAGACAATTGGCTCAAAAGACCTCAAGGGATCCTTGCGGCAATGTCCTGGGAACGACTAGGTATTTGCTAGGTGCACCATAAACATCACGGAAGTTATTGACGGACGCCACTTGCCAAAACTGAAGCCAGGTCTATCTAGTTGGTCCCAAACCCGCACCAGGGATTTGAAGGGGCCGGGAATTGAACTTGGCCCAACTCTGGGGAACACCAACCATGTGGACGGACGAAATCCGCTTAGGCACCCCCTCAGAAACCCTGGAATGATTCCCCTGTAAATACCAACAAACGCTATGGTTTCAACCATGGTTTGCAAGTGGTGCGAAATGGATTTTGTCCACAGTATGTTGAGATTCTGGTGCACATTTTGTCTACCCTGAGACAAATCAAGGCGTTGTCTTCAGTAACTGGGGACCCAAAACGGTGAGCATCCTTTCGGCCAGGATTTGTGCCCACCAACGAAAACTCATATAGTGTCGAGTTTCTAGAGATTGGATCATTTCCTCAACGTCCACTTCCTAAATCCTAAGGGAGACTCCTTGGTTGCATTGACCTCTTCGGAAAGCACATGGGTCTGTCTTTGCCTGTCATTTGCTTTTTTCCCCAACACCTGAAAGCTGTGGGGTCTCAGATAGGATCCGGGGTGGTTCGGGCGGCCCTGAGGTAAGGTTCCACGAGGGTTCCACGAGGGTTCCACCAGGGTTCCACGAGATTTCCACGAGGTCCTGCGAGGGCTGCGGTGATGCGAGCACTAAAAAGAGCGCCGCATGCTGTTGGGGATATCACCTGTTTTTGTTGTTCTTTTCTTATTTTTGTTTTGGGTGGGGGGGGGCGAGGAGAAAGGGAACCAACCGAAAACTGAACTCCAGTCCACAAAGGGGCGCACCCATCTCATCCCACATCCATGTCGGCCTTTTTCCACAAGAACTAGGTAGTAGCACCTACGAAAATGATGGCCCTTCCGGTGGTTTCAGGCGCTCAAGCGGAGACCACCTTGAAGCAACCAGCCCACCGCAAGCCGCGGTTTCCGCTCACGAAACAACACCTTGGAGGAGACCACCTCCCGGCAACCCGGGCCCACCCCACCCGAAGCGGCCGCCTGCGTATTCGCAGGCTCGCACTCCAGAGCAAAGGACTGCAGCTTGAGGGTGGCCTGACGGATGGGCTCCGGACCCTTGGGATGAAGTCACGTCGATTTTGTTTTGGACCTAACCTAGGCCCTCCAGATTTGAGAGGTTAGAATAAGTTGGTACCCGATTTGTTTTTCTGTCTATTTTAGTAGGGGAAGCCTCCCAACCAAAAAAGAGTAAAAGGGCGCTACTGGGGGATCTAGTAACCGCCAACTGAAACATGCCTCGAGTTTTTCCGTTGACGAATTTGCCGCCCCGGAGCTCATGTACAAGAATGTCCGGCCTACAAAAAAGCAACCTTTGGAAAACCTGGATGAGGTTTCAAGAAAAAATGCGGCCCAATTGATGGTGAGTGATAACCATGTTTAGGGCTAGTTTGAGGGTCCACGTACCTTTGTTGGCATTGTGGGAAGAAGGGAAACCTCCCTTTGGTGGTCCGATGAGACCCCCAGCCGGGCTTTCAGTCAGCGCCCAGGCGCATCGCTCGCGGACGGCGGTTCGCCGGTTCGCCGCATCCCCCTTTTTGGCCGCGTTCGGCGAGATCCGTCTCCATTTGCTCTTTAGTATAAAACTTGACAGGGCTGACAAAAAGGCAAACTACCTTGGAAGGTACTTGGACCCTTAATGTCCAATGTGGATTAGTCAACGGGATTATGTTTGGGCCCCGAGAAGTCAATTTATTCTGCGTGCAATTTTTACTCCCATTTGGACCCTGATCGGCTGCAGACTCCTCTCAGAAACATCCCGAAGGAAGGCTCTTAATGGACATCCCCAGAAGCTAAGACAAGTTTTTAAGACGAAAAAGGCCCCGCAGGCCTCAGGCGGGAAGATCTGTTCGACACGGTGGAGTACCGTGGATGGACGAAGTCCTACCCCGGCCTAAGAATGTAAAAATACCGACCAAAAATGGCTTCATCCATGGTTTCATTCCGTGGTGCGAAATGGAGTTCGCATCCATCCACAGTAGGAACCGGGGAATCTCCTGGTATCAGGGCCCGGCCCAGACATTTCGACCCGCATCCCGCCTTCATCTTGGGCATGCGACTGTCTGCCTGAACAAGGGCTGACGAGAGCAATGGAGCTGGCAACTGTATGCGGAGCCGTTCACTCACTGCGAACGCACTGAGTAAACGTGGAGCCTGGAAAAGAAAAAACATATTCAAAGTCTTCCAATGAAGACCCAATCCACCCCCCTCCAATACAGGCTTCAGCCTGATGCTTGAGTATTTTACAGTTAGAAGTCACCACTGTAGTGAGAAACCCTTTGTGATTTCCCGTTTGTTTAAAACGGTGGGGTTCCCTTAGTTACCTACACAGGGAACTGGGATTACTGGGTGGAACCCCCGCATTAAAAAACCCATCCTATTGATCGGGCGGGTCACCCACAAAAGTGAATAATTTCAGCAAAGAACATTTCCCGATCAAAATCAACCAGGGGTCTATGGAGTTCCCGTTGTCACTCAGGTGTTACCACTGCTCATGTCGCTGTCAGGTGACTTCCCCATGGGTTTCCCACTAATCCGGGGTAAACATCTTGCATGGCCGCGTATCTTTCAACCTCGGCCGCCAGAGGAAACAAATAAGCTCAGGTGATATCCCCAACAGCATGCGGCGCTCTTTTTGTGCTCGCACCACCCCACAGCCCTCGCAGAACCTGGTGGAACCCTGGTGGAACCTTGGTGGAACCCTGGTGGAAGCCTCGTGGAACCTTACCTCAGGGCCGCCCGAACCACCCCGGATCCTATCTGAGACCCCAAAGCTTCCAGCTGTTGGGGAAAAACAAATGCCAGGCCACGCACGAGCCTTGGGCCAATATCCTGGGCTCCAAACAACTTTACCCAAACGCCACGCCCGCTGTCCACCCCCCTGCAAAAAGTGGACAACTTTTTGGGGGTTTTGGAAAACACCATCATTTGCCAAAAAGTTAAAGTCTAAGGATCCAACCCAATAGCAGTCAAGGACTGTCCTACCCCCAAACGGATCCGCGTTGTGGGGAAATGCAGGTGTGTTCACTTTTCAGGTCACCTGTGTAACTCCCACCTGTCCCTTTAGCTTTGGGTTGAGTGTGCTTGGACATTCTAGAGCTCCAAAGTCAGCAACCGGCGTTCTCTCCATTGAGCCTTCTGTAGCAAAAGCAATCACTTAGTAAGAGATTGGCAACCCGGGTTGGAACTTAGTTGCGTCCCCTTTCCTTGGTTTGCCCAGGGTTGCTACCCGCTTCAGTACCTGATCGCTTCCCGAAGTACTTGAGCCATGCCCTTTAAACCGACCCAACTGTGGCTGGGCCAGTCCACCCCCCCTTCCCAAATTCCCACACTTTCCAGTGGGGCGTTATCAATGTCAGACACCATGGTGAATATTTTTATGCCTACCAGTCACTTATGGGGTGTCTCAAAAATTGGACCCCGTCCCCCACGTGCTTGGTTCTTCTGGTGGAGTAAACCTGTGATTGATTGCTACCGTGGATGGACAAAATCCTTCACCGGTTGGGATGGGTATAGCCCGATGAATCCTGGGCTCTGGTGAGCTGATGCCGGGGTCAGCACCACTGCCCTCTTACTTGGGGGTCAACCCATTTTGAGAACCACGGGTGTGTCTGTTTTTGGAGTTGGTACCAATTCATGATGGGGGGAACCGATCATGGAAAACCACAATTTGTGTTTTCATGGAGGGCTCCCGAAATTTGAGCCAAACCCATATGGCCGTGGGTCCAAAACAGGTACCCAACATGGAACCTGGCAAATGAAACCACGGACTAAAACCTGCGGTCCCCTAGTTGCTTGATTTTGACCCACAGCCACATGGGTGTTTCTTTTGCTTTCCCTTCAAACCAAGGTAACCTAAGGGTCAAAGTATCAACCAATTGTAAATAGCCAACCTTACGTAAATATCAGGCGGCACTCCCAGCGCTCCATCGCTCAACATGTGCTTATGGGGCTCACTCACATGCGTGCATAAGCCGCCGCCATCCGGATATCTGGATTAAGAACCAGCCGCCATACCACAAGCCAACTGGTTCACGGACAGGTCGATCCGATGTGGGCAAGCCCGGCCTCGCAGGAAGCCAGAAGACAAGCTTCGCTCCTGGAGCCCAGCAAGCAAGCACGCAAGCCAGCAAGCACGCAAGCAAGCACGCAAAGAAACCAACACACGCACACAAACAGTCTTGAAAGCCTTACAAACGCCTTCTACACACAGACATACACAAATAAACACCCCCAAAGCCATTGGCAAGAAAGGATTGGCAGGCCTTTGTTGAGGCTTGAGGCGTAGGATCAAGTTTTAGGGCCACGACTATGAGGCTTGACACACTCCAGGGCTCGTTTTGATACGAGAACAAACAGACGCAGGGGCAAACCTGGAAGGCGGACTGTCACCTACCCTCATAGAACAACTCACTTCCGGAGTGGATTGGCCAAAACAAGTCACCAAACTTGCTGTTTACCACTAAAGTGGTCTTCCCAAAAAGCTTAAAGTCCAGGAACTCAGGAAGTGAGGAATAGGTGGTGGGTAAGTTAAAAACGGTTATTTGCTAAACCTTACAGTGGTAAACTAGTAGTCAATGTAGGCCCTTATGCAGCACCCGGTGTAACCTGCATGTCTACAAATAAACGGCAGGTGTCTGTTGGCTTCCCTAAGCCTGGGAAAAAGGAGCCGGAAATGGAGGTCCAAACCCTTACGGAGATCCCTAAGAACCCGAATTCCAATCGAAGGTCCTTTCCGATGAATGGGGCCTTGTTCGAAACACGAAAACACCTCTACTGAGCCACGTTGGTCTTAGAGTTCCTCGTGTTTTCGCCCCTGTGGCTGGAATGCAACCTGACATAACAAAAACAAATGGATAACTGCTTGATTCTGTTGAGCCAATCTCAAATGGGTGCGTCCAAGCACCGGGGCCGGCCGGGGGGCCCTTAGCAGCGTGGCTAACGTATGTCTCGAACCCAAGGAATGCTCCAAAGAGCTCGCCGAAACGGGCAACCCGAGTCATGTACTCGTTCACCACCTTAGAGGCTCCCAAAAGGTGATAATTGTGCCACATGTATCATTTCTCGAGCTCTTTCAAATTGTTTTAGTCAACCTTAGAATATTAAATAAGCCATGCGTCGGGACCAAGATCGGTGGATGTGGTCAATTCCATTGTGATTTGCGTCAAAAAATGTGATTTGATTTTTTGGAAGGAATGAAAATGGACCACGTCTACCGATCTTAGTCCAAACATATGAAAAGCAGTGAGAAGACGAGCCTTTTACTCAGTTACAAACAATGCCGTTCCAAAGAGGTACCATGATTGCACAGAGCTCATGAGATGCGTCTTCAAGGAGCAAGAACGGAACCGTCTCCCCCCCCCCCCGAACCCCCTAAAGCGCAAAAATGGGCTCAAAGGAGACTGAATGATTGACGCATTCTAAGATGAACAGAACAATACAGTGATATCTACTCAAGCAGTCAGATTGGCAGGCACGGAGACTGACGTGTATTTCATGGTTGCGCAGCTATTCTCTGTGAGAACGTGGGTTAAGCCACTGCGGAATGCACAAGCAAAGATATCAAACTGTGACATTCGCACGCAGTACAAAATATGATACAAGGGATTCCTACATTGCTGTAAGGGTTCATCATGACTTAATTTCCCCGCCCCCCCCCCCCCCCGCACCGATCTTGGTCCCGACGCATACATTAAATAACATCGAAGGAGACCCATGCCACTCACATTTTCTGGAGCTCTTTCAAGTTAATTGATTTAGTCAACCTTAGAATATCAGATAGCATCGAAGGAGACCCCCGACTACGGGTCGGAGCAACACAGCAATCCCTTCCTGGAATGCGCGATGAGATCCGTGTCCAGCATGGCCTCAGCATTGCATCAAAATTACGAGCTTCCCAAAAGTAAGATGACCTGGGCTGCCCTCAGATCCCCAGCTAAAAGTCAATAAGTTTTAGTGGGTTAAATGAAAACTACCCTAAACCCTAAAAACCTAACAGGCTAAGGGGACGGCTGGGAGCCACCATGGTGAGTCTCCGCTTTTTTGCAAGTTGAGTAAATCTGCCAGGTCCCTCCCAAATCAAACATAGACTATCAGTACCAGCAATTTGACCGAGAACAGGTCAGAAAAAAACTCCACCGTGTCTTCTGACTCTCCTCTCTCACGGTGCACAGCAAAGACCTCGAGCGGCTTAGGCTTCGCAAGCTGTATCAAAAGACACGACAAGGCCACCGAATGCCAAACAAGACCTGAACGGTTGGGGGGGCTTCGCGGCCTCTCGCTTTTCTTGCTGAAGTGTAGAAGCTACGTTGTCAGCGGGGTGCTGAACACGGCTGTGGAAAATCAACTGTGCTGTGATCCGTCATTCCCCTGACTACTCTACGATGTTCCTTTGAAGGGTCCAGATTCCCTTGGCCACTCACAGAAAGCGGCCCAGCCTTTTTCCGCAACCATTATTCCGAATTTCTCGAAAGCACCGCCTAGATGCGAGGCGGCCCCCTCTGATTCTCTGCTTCAAAAGGTTCAATCTGATCCGGCTGACCAGTGGGTCTTCTTGGTGATAATCCTTTGTAAGGTCGGACCTTTGTGACTAGGTCTTCCAGATTCGAGAGGCTTGAATAAGTTGGTACCAACTTGTTTTCTGTAGTCTACTTTAGGGGAACCCTCCCAACCAAAAAAGAGAAACGAGGGGTGAGAAAGTGCAGGGAACCCTCCCCCAAAAAGAAACGGTACAAGGGCACCAGACTGGGGGACCTAGTCCAAGTTTCCATTTGCCAGGGTTCCAGTTTGGCATATTTCCAGTTCCAGTTTTCCACGTGGACCCACCAGGGTTTACATATTTTTTGACCTACAGCCATATCATCAGACCGGTCAGACCGCTGGGGTTGGGCACCAAAGGCACTTAGGCCCCCCGGCGCCGCTGAGCTTGAGATCCTTCAGCTGCGCGGAGCAGCCCATGCCTCACCCGTGAACCCGTGACCCGCGTCCCTGGGGTGTGGTCGTCCCACCCGGTGTGGTTGGAAGGGAACCCCGGTCGAAACCACGAGGACTGGAGAAATACGTACTAGAATCATAGGTGTCCTTTTAGGGGCAAAAGATGGGTTTCCCTGGTAGATGAGAAAAAACCACCAGGTAAACCAGTGCCATCGATTTTTCCAGCCAAAGCTCAGCAAAACCACCCAAAAAGGACACCTATGACTAGAATGCCTCGCTTGGGATCCAATTTCTAAAAGAAAGACGGATTCAAGCACTGTTTCTGGCTCTACCCTTCTGCACACCCAAGTGAGTGATATCCCATGTCCCAGGTTTTTTGTGTGGCAACCAAGGGGGGGTTCCCACGTAGAAAAAAACACCAAGGGGAAAATGGGTTTCGAAGTACCTACTAGTGGCTTGCCCGGGTTTTGTCAGTCCCCCGAAGACGATCGGAGGGCCTTTGGCGATGCCTAGCCATTTCCATTAGGGTAACATAGGCAACCACCCGGTCAAAACCAAGAGGGAAATGGGGAGTAGACCTGTTTCTGGCTCTCTAGTCACATGAAAACCAAGGGATTTCCGATACAAAAGCCAGGAGGGAAATGGCTGGTTGCCTACTGTCGTGGCTTGCTTGGGATCCCATTTGCCCAAAGGAGCTGGAAATACAAGGTTGACCTTTGGGGACGTTGACTGAAGCTATACCAACATTGGGAAACCAAAAGGGCGGGTCGGCTTTGGGCATGTTTCTGCCAATCCGGCTGCCTGGAGTCTCGCCGTTCTGCAGGGCCTCGACGTGCAAGAACTCCAAAGTCACCTGGCGGATGACGACTTGAGGCCATCGATGAGGGCGGTTGGCAACCCTGGGCACATAACTCGCCTTCACCTGTTACATGCCACGGAAAACCCCATTTAAGTCAAAATAAACCACCATCCCACCCATGTTGGTTCAGTTTTGTCATTTCCCTCCCCAAATAGATTGCCCCAACTTCCCCCCACAAAGTTTGCCCTGCTTTCACCTGTATGTCCAGACCGGTGGGCACCGCGGCGCCCCGCTGCTTCCAGTTGCTATAGGCAACCAAGGGACACTATCCATGGAAAAGCCTAGACGTAACCATACCTGGTTACCTGCAGTCTTCTAACCGGAAGCATTTTTTTTGCGGTTGATTGGGTTTGCCTGGATGCACTTGGTCTTGGTGGATCTGGCAATGGAAAGCCTAATCGGGCAAAACCAGGGACAACAGGGTTCGCCGGAGGTCTGGGGGGTTCTGTTCTTGAGCTGCGCTTTCCCGCTACAAGCCAAAGGCAACTTTCCAAAGACATCCCCTCATTGGAGAGAGAGAAGCAAGGCGCAAAACCGCAAATTGAGTGCTTGGCAATACACAAACGAAACCTGAACGCAAAGAAACACAAGCAAGGGACCTTTAGCACGGTGAGCTCGCTTTCTCCCCGCTTGGTGAGCTCGCCAATTCTAAAATTGGCAAATCCGATACAAGAGAGAGGACCTGGAAGGAACTATGGCACAAGTCGAGGCTCACCGGGGTCGCTGGACACCTCCGAGGCCTCGCCTCAGCTTTCAGCGACCTCAGCGGCCGCTGCTCATCCTTGAGCTGGTCCAGCCACTCCTCCGGGCGAAGGACACCCTCGAATTGCTCCCGGAAAACCCGGCGGAGCAAAAGGTTGGGAAAAAGGTCGTGATCCCAACCATGCGATTAGGCCGGCAAAATGGTCGCGGACCCTGAAACCGCCCCTGACAAAAAGGAAAATCACCCCATGAGATCTGTTGGGCGGGGACCCAGTCTAAAGGCTAGTTTCAGGGTCCAGGCATATGTTTCAGAGGTGTGACTAATCAATTTGTCTTTGTCTGCCACACCCAATCGCGGAAGTTCACTGCACACATGAAAGTTATGCTTCCCATTGGCACACTGCGCCACAGTCAGGCACATGCAGTTTCAAGAGAACATATGAGAGATCGCTTTAAAGTAGACAAAAGGATGGTGACCTCGCTGAGAGAAAGGGCGCCAGCCGGTCTTCCCAGGCTTCTGCGCGTACTGCTTGCGATTTGCAGCCCAAGCCTTTGCCTCGGCCTCGTGGCCTTTGCAAGTCTGGAGCGCCTCTTTCATCTCGTGTTTGTAAACCACCACCACCACCACCACCACCACCACCACCACCACCACCACCACCACCACCACCACCACCACCACCACCACCACCACCACCACCACCACCATTGCCATTGCCGCTGGCTCCGATGTCCCAGGCCTTCTGCGAAGACTCAGGCTCTTCAAACCTTGCCCGCTTGTCCGCTTGCGCGAATCCATACGAATCTGCCGGATGCGAAGTCATGACTTGGTCCTCCCTGCAAATATCTTTCACTTCCAGGCCATGTGCAGTGATTGCGTTGTTCTCCCTTGTCCGGCTTTTATTTCAATCCAACCTCTCCGAGGCCGACGCGCCAGATGCACTGCCCTTAGCGGCTGGCAACGCCAAGGAACCGAAAACTAACACATGTAAGTGCCGCCTGGAGCTCCAACAGCGTGAGAGGCCGTCCAAAAGCAAGCCAAAAGCAAGCCAAAAGCAAGCCTAAAGCATCTAGGCCAGCCCTCGACGTAATGGGAACCCAGAACAAATAAACCCAGGTTAGCTGCTCTCAAAGAAATATGGCTGATTCGGGCGTTTCCCCCGCGTGTTGCCCCGCCCGGTGTTTTCCAAATCTTGGGGGGCGGGGGGGCATGAAACCCAGAGCTCGTGACTTATACGGGCGTGTTCCCCAAAGTCAGGGATCCACCCTTTAATTAACCGCGCTTATTCATCCTGAGCTGTTTCCTGTGGTTACTAACGTCACAGCCGGTGGATCCTTTCCCTACCCACCGCTTCCTGCATTCAATTTGGACAGCAAACATCATGCAGGTGTGCGGGTGCAAGTCAGTGCCGGAGCGTCCGTTCCCGTTAACCTACCACTTTGGACGTGATTTTGATTAGATACAGTATTGGGGCAAGTGAACAGCCTGGGGGAGGTGGGCACGCTTGGGGGGATGTGGTGGCATCCACACTTTCACTGCACTCAATTCGGGCTTGCTCAAAATAACGGGACCCCTTTAAACGAAGCACAAGGTGGTTTCCTCAAAACAAAACACCCATTTATTCTCAGCCGCCCCCATGTGTGAAGATGGCGAAGAATGGAGCGCCCTGAAATGAGTTCTCCAACCTGAGTCTGGACAATCTAACATGGGCTTCGGTTTATCTCTAGTTTCCACGTAAACCCCCTCCCACCACCAAAATACAGTAAGAGATGCCGAGCTAAGCCTGATAAACAAGTCACTTATCAGGTGTCAATTATCATCCAGTTATACATAAAGACCCCCCCCCCCCTCCCGGAAAGGAACCACACAACAATTGAACTCATATTTTAACTTGCCCTTTGCCTTTGGTTTGCTCTGTCTCGTGCATGAAAGCCTTCCGTTTGCTCGTTTCGATGTCTTTGGTAGTAAACATGCAAAACCTCTACGCATTTGAGATCCATTGGGCTGTGGGTCATAAATAGGTACCCAAGATGGAACGCTGTTTTAAATGGAACCAAACACCTTTCCATGTTGACCCATACCATACCATGCAAACTGGAGGGTTGTTGACTAAATGGGTATCGGCCAATGGGCCATACCCGTTTACCGAGAAGCCCTCCAGTCTGCTTCCTTCTCGCTGGACGCAAACCGAAGTCGCCCCGATCCTCGAGGTTCAGGTGCTGCGGGATGGGCCAATTCTCCGCGGCATAGCGGGCGTTCAGGATCTCCTCACGGGTCGCTCGTCAGCGAACCGGAGAACCGCCAAGCGGATGTATGATGCCCTTTCCAGGTTGGCGAAGGGAAACCAACAGGCAAACCCACCGAGGACGTTCTTTGTGGATTTTTTTTTTTTTTAATAATAAAACAACAGGTATTTGTCGTGCTTCCCTCTAGTTGGCAGTTTGGATTGGTTTTGGTTAAGGGGTGGTTTTCCATTTACCTTCTACAAGAACCAGGGTTCAAATCCCAAACCGCCAATCCAAAGCACCAATTATGGAGTACCTGAAGGATGGTTCGGGGAAACCAACAGGAGAACAAATCCGTGAAGGTCAAAACAAAAATAGGTCCCTTTTCCACCAACCTGGCTCCACCCGAACGCGAAAAGGGTCATTAGAATGGAAAAGCAGACGAATTGGCACTCTTTGTTTGGCAGATTTAAAAGAACCCCTCAAATCAAGTGAAAAAGGGCACCACTGGGTGCTGTGGGTTTTACGGGCACCAAAAACACACATCAAAATAAAGGGTCCTGAGGACACATTTGGGCCCAAATCACCCAGCTACCAAAGGATCATCTAGATCAAGTGGTTGGATGTACTCCCCTACAGACTAATATGGAACCCACACCATGGGTAGATGAAACTCCTTTTCGGGGACCACCCTTCTGGGCTTGCTAATTTGTAGTGGAGTACCCTAGAAATGGGCGGATCTCCATTGGAAAGCCCGCAGTTGGAACCAGTATCCGAACAACGTGATATCACAACTTGATACCAATGAACCTTGACGCTCCGATTGCCCATGAAAATGGGTGCTCACCCCATTACTTTGAGGATCGCTACCCAATTTACACGGGTGGTGTGAGGGACCAGGAAACTTGCACCCGAACAACTTGTATCCACCAGTGCAATGCGAGCCACTAGAAGGAAAAACCCAAATCCTGCAAGCAAACCACACAAACAGTTTCTTCTTCAAAACGGCACACGCGGCACTTGTGGAGTTCACAAAACCTCGGGCCCTTCTTCAGGTCCCCCGAATGTGTGCGTCTGAGTGTTTCTTGTTCAAAACGTCCCTTAAGGCGGCTTCTGCGAAAAAGCCAAAGCCAAAGGGAAGCCACCGGTTTCGGGGGGCACTAATTTGAGACACCCCATATAAAAAAAACGGGGCTGGGTCAAGCCGCGCGCCTTGGCAGACATCCGCTGCTCCCACTCGGCAAGGTCCCGTTGCTTTGCCCTCACCGCATCCTCGAGACTCCGACCGGTCACAGCTCAGAAGCAACCGACCCATACGTAGTGGGACAATCAACACTTGCTGGTTTTGTAGGGGTGTCCCCTTTTAGTGGGGATTCAACACTTTCTTGGAACACTCCTTAAAATTGGAACATTCCTTTAAAATGGCACGGGTGAGTCAGTATTACCCCTCTCTCCCCCAACTGTGGGCTACACCCAAATACACAAATGGATTCTTCATCTTTCGTCTACCATAGAACCTAAGTAGAAGACCCCACCCGCAAGCCTTGAGGCTGTGTTCGCCAGCCCTGAAAACCTCTAAGCCCCATGCGCTCGCTGATTCCTCCCTCAGGCTAACTTGGAAGCTCCCGAAAACCTCTGTCAACGAGACCAAGTCTTCCTTCATTCTGTGCATCGATTTGCCACTCCCCTCACCATTCTTCTAGAAACTCTAACCTGGGGGACTAACACGGACCTCAAAGAAGAGTCATCCTCAAAGAAGAGTCTTCCCATGAAGCTTCCATGTTCGCCTGGAAAATATTCACAAAGCAGAAACAGGACACGGTGGAGAAACGGCCCCAGCGGTGAAGTGCAAGCGACCCCTGCCCAATTTCTGGAGGTAACTATCAGCGGGACTTCAGCTAGACTCTTTTGTAGGGGACATAAATCAGAGTTTCTCAGAATAATTTGTATGGAGACTCCTTCAGGGGGGTTGTGGAGATCTCCATTGCAAGGGGCTTGGGAAAATGAGATGTGAAAGAAAACGTCACGCCGTGTATTTTCATTTTTAGCATGAATACGCATGCTACTTAACATCTCCGCACAGGTTCTGAGGGATCTCTCAGGGATCCTTACACTATTCCCCTGAACATTGCCTTGTCAACGGTGGTTTCCCTGTATTTTGGTGTTGAAAAAGCAACATGTTTCAACTGGGCAAAATGGAGACCTTTTGAGGAGCCCTGTCTCTCTATCCGGGTGGTCTGACATACACAAGTGTCCCCCCTTCTTTGGGCGTCCTAAGACTCTTGGGACCTGAAAGGGGGCATTTCTTTTTGAGCACCTCCCATGAGATCCTGTCCGATGCTTAGGTTGGGTAAACAAAACCCTTGGCTCATTTCCTGAGTGCATTGCAACAAGTCGCCAGTTTGTTTGCCTCTATGCTTTTCCCAAAACGGGAGGTGATCCTGCGCGTGGGTAAACAACCATCGGCCTTTTTGGGTGGCTTGGCGCCTTGCAATTCATTCACCTATCTTAGGGTTGCTTGAGCAACTATTGTAGCGGTCTGCACCAGTATCTCCATTGTAAGCGTTTTCCTAGGCATCACTGGACCCATTGCTCAAGGGAATCGGTTCGGCCCTCTGTCGTTCTGCGCCCTTGGGTCCCCGAAGTGGACTTAGACATGCGGATGGTTGCGAAATCCTCTTAGGCACCGCCGTTCAGAAAACCCCTGGTTTCTGATTCGATTCCCCAACGTAAATACCAACAAACGTTAGGGTTTCAACCATGGTGTCCAAGTGGTGCGAAATGGATTTCGCTTTTCCGTCCGCAGTAATTACCGTCGGGGCTGTCCCAAGACTTGATCTGGCCACTCAGACGTCAGACGACTCTCGACTCGGGATCCGTGCCAAGTAGTGCTGCAGCTCGACCGCGGTCAAGGGCATGCGCTCCTTCTCCTCGGACTCAGTCACCTCCTGCCAGCAGAAACATCCGTTTGCGGCAGTCCCGTGCCCTGGGGCAAAAACATAGGGCAAACTATGTCCAGTAGGGGGGAACAAAAAAACAACTGATTTCCAGTAGTGATAGCTTCCTTAAAAAACAAATGCAAACTATGTCCAGTAGTTGCAGCTTCCTTTTAATAGTCAACGGGGAAAAAACAACCGTATGCTTGATCAAACGGAAGGAAATGCACATGGGAATCCCACCCATCCAACCGGCATGGCTTGACCTCACCTCACCCACACCCGATGCTGGATGCCCGAATCTTAGATTTTGACTTCTCAGAATGTCTTGTGGTTTGGGGCCCCGGCTCCCTTTAGACTCAGCCCAAAGGAATCGGAAACAACTGGTTCACCTTTTGGGGCACTAAAAATGGACCCTTTCACGGGGAAGCTGAAAGCTCCGATCTGGTCAAGTCGCTTTGGACCACAGAACCAGGGGCGCTCCAAAAATCGCTTGGCGGAGCCATTTGGCCCCATTCCGACGGTCAAACAGCAAATATTCAGATTTTGCTTGACATCCACTTCCATATTATCATAAACCACGCATGTGCACGGATTCGGCTTGACACTCAACCCTTAAAACAAACCATCTCGGAGGAGACCTCGATTTTGACGGACTCTCAAAATGGTGTTTGATTGTTTTGTTGGGGGGGGGAGGAAGGGGCGAGGGGAAGGGGGGAGATGAAGGGGGGGAAACAGTTTAGAGAAAATTAAAGGACATCACTAACACGTGACGTGGAATACATCAAAGAGCCCGTTTGGGGAGTGCCGAAACCAGAATCTGCCTGGGTTTAGTGGCAGGGTATGTTTCGAACTTGCCCCCAAAACTGATGTCCTTTTGGTTTCCCTAGTAAAACCATCCAAGAAGGCTTCGGCAGTTTGAGACGGGCACACTTGAGGCATTGTTCCCACAGGACATGCGCAAACACGTGAGTCCCACGCTTTTGTGGAGTCCGTTTTGCAACCCAGAAGTCAGCACGCCTTGGCAAGCGCAAAAAGCACAGTGTGCCAGGTTGACAAAAGGGTCGTTTGGTACTGGTTCACTCGGATTCATCCGGAGGGCCCAAGTAAATTTCCGTACAAAATGGAACCAACCCTAATTGTTGCGAGTACTCCGGATTAATCGGAGGGAAACACTATCCTTTGAAGGAGCTGAAATACCACTTTAGCAAGTACCAACGGACCCTTTGGGTTGATTTGTCCGGGTCTGTGACCCTTGTCTGCCGCGAAGGTGGGTACACGGCAAAGCATCATGATAAGAATTTCGAAACAGCCTGACATAACCATAAATGTACCATGGTCGAAACTGGGTAGCTCACTTTCGCTTAGGAAGGAATCCTTACAACAATTGTTTCGAAACACTACGAGATCCATAACCATCCCCGGAAGCCCAAATTGGGTGTTGTGACCACCACAGCATATCACAGCGCTGCAAAAACATGATGAAAGTAATGCTCACCTGCATTGATCTAAGGCGCGAAGCCTCCCATCAAGTCGCCCACAGTTTCGATGTTGCAACACCAAGAGAGCATATCACTAACCAACCGTGCTACTACCAGAAACCGATAAGGGCTTACCCAACATGGATATCCACTAAACTGCCAAAACCCCACAGCGGCCGTCCAAAACAGACCCCTGGTAATTTTGCACGTCAAACAAAGGCACATGACAAACAAGCACGGTGCCCGCGCTTCAGTTGCACCTTGGCCCACTCGCTGAAGCGGGTCATGGTGTCGCTTATCTTCATCCTCAGGCAAGGCCCATGTCTCTTGTCGTGTGGGGGGGTGTCTTGTTTCCCGAGTTTCAACCCATCCGCACTGGCCATACAATAAGTCCTAAGTAAAGAACGTTATCCTGGGAAAGCTTGTTTTACCCGACAAGCACCCCCCGCCCCCAGAGCGCTGCTCCAGACCCATGCCATCTGGATGTGGTTTCATGATGAAAATGTATGTCCTTGACATACGCCCCACGATACAACTGTTAATTGATGACCTTGCGCGTTAGCACATGTGACTGGTCCCCACATGGATTATTGAGCTTACATTCATCCACCAACGCAGCGCCACTTCATAGCTAACCGACCACCTGGAGGGTCGCGATGTCGCGCGTGTTGAGAAGGAGACATCACGCTTTCATGGGCGGTGGTCGTTGCAGCATCAAACGATTCCTTTGAACTGGCATCAAAAGTGTCCTTTGAACTGACCACCTTCAATGCAAACCTTCAGAAGAGAGGACCCAGTACGAATGTTTTGTTTTGTGCTTTGCGAGGCACAGCAACCGTGCCAGGCCAACAAAAACCGCAAACACCCTATTTCTGACCGGGTCCGTGTTAGTAAGACATCGACTCTCTGGTCTAAAGAGGTTTCCCAGTTTCAGATTTGGGCGTGGGCCGAAAAATTGAGGGACGGACTTGCAACAAACAGCTAGATCCTTTTGGTTTACCTTAACAACAACACAATCGCATTTGTACTTTCTGAGAACCGGCCCTCAAGCTGCAGCCACGACCAGTCTAGAGGCAACCAAAAATCGGAGCCTTCCCCTTCAGGAAGGCCTCGAGGGCTTGCAGCTTTGGGAGTGGGCTTTGAACACTCGTGCGCAGCCTCCTGTCAGGACATCCTTGGGGGGCTTCCGGAGCTTCCGAATCCGTAAAAATACGGGGAGATTCTCCACGCCCTGGAAAAAATAAAATGTCCAGTGATAGATTCCCTTTGTCAATTGTGAAAATCACAGATGTTCTTAAGCAAATGGAAGTTGGGACTTGGGCTTGGCCAACTCTCAAAACTTTTCTGCCAGAGAGCAGCGCCAGCACGCTCTTGGGGCGCACCAACAAGTGGATGCCGCCCACCTCACGTGTCAACCGGGCACACGTCTCAAACAAGCATCAGAAATCTTGCTTGGGATCCTTGTTGGAAGGGTTTAGTCCTGTACAGGTCCCAAGATTTGGAAAACACAAAGCTTCAGGTCTATCAAGGTCAGGGTAGATTGAGGGCCAGCCGATCATCTTGTGAAGCAGGTAGATGTGAAGATGTTGAGCCCACCCAAAAAATAAGAAAGCATGGAGGAGACGTCAGTATATGAGCCTTCTAGAGTGGAAAAAAACAGTGACTACACAAGCTAAAGCTCCCTTGCTTTGCGGATAAGTGGCGTCCAACACAAACAAACAAACAAACACCCAAACACACACACACACACACACAATACACACAAACGCAGACCTTCCCCATCCCCCGAAAACTGTGTATATATATATATATATTATGGGTCCGCCAGGACCCCCCCCCCCCCGGTCCGAGACCCCGAGCCCCCGGATCCTGTGATCTACGGTCCCACCCCCACCCCGACCCCCTGAACTCGCACCCCGACACCCCGGCACCCCCACCCCCAGGACAAGCCAACCCGCAACCAACCATAAACCAACCCTAAACTAACCCTAAACGAACCCTAAATACCCCCTAAACCAAACCCCTCTAAACCTACACCAACCCTAAATCAACCCTAAATCAACATAAACCAACCCTAAACTAACCCTAAACGAACCCTAAGTACCCCCTAAACCAAACCCTAAACCGTAGACCTCTAAACCTAAACCAACCCTAAATCAACATAGACTAACCGTAAACTAACCCTAAACCAACCCTAAACTAACCCCCAATGCACCCTAAACCAATCCCTAAACAATAAACCCTAAACCTAAGCCAACCCAAACCAACCCTAAACTAACCCTAAACGAACCCTAAATACCCCCTAAACCAAACCCTAAACCGTACACCTCTAAACCTAAACCAACTCAAAAACCAACCCTAAATCAACATAAACCAACCCTAAACTAACCCTAAACGAACCCTAAATACCCCCTAAACCAAACCCTAAACCGTACACCTCTAAACCTAAACCAACCCTAAATCAACATAAACTAACCGTAAACTAACCCTAAGCCAACCCTAAATACACCCTAAACCAAACCCTAAACCGTACACCTCTAACCCTAAACTAACCCTAAACTAACCCCAAATGCAAAACCAATCCCTAAACAACAAACCCTAGACCTAAGCCAACCCTAAACCAACCCTAAACTAACCCTAAACCAACCCTAAATACCCCCTAAACCAAACCCTAAACCGTAACCTCTAAACCTAAACCAACCCAAAAACCAACCCTAAATCAACATAAGCCAACCCTAAACTAACCCCTAAATACACCCTAAATATACCCTAAACCAATTCTAAACCAACCCTAAACCACCACAACCCAACCACAGGACCACAACCACAGGGGGGGGGGGGGTACTTGTCTGACCCATGACCATTGGTGGGGGGGGGGGGGCTGGCAACGCTGTACCATATATGTATATGCATTATTGTGCAAACATGTGTATATAATACGTAGTATATATTAGTATATCATGCCGCTAGGCCGCGCACGCCAAACACGCCCTTACTTCTCCCCTGTCTCGTTCCTAGTGGCCAGTGGCCCTGACTGGAGAAGCTATGCAGCAAAAGCGCTCCAAAAAAGGTGTTGGTTACAAACGGCTAAAAGGGGAAGCCGCTTTACAGGGGATATAGCCAACATATATATATATATATATAACCCCCAGTCCCTTGTGCCTGCAAAAGCCCGTCTGCCTTTGGCCAACTGAGCCGAATTTGTCCAGCAAGAGACGGCCGATTCTGCGTCGGAGAAACTGGGGCGTCGGCGGAGACATCTGCCAGCGCCGTCTTCTTTGGCATCGGTTTTGGAACCTAGGAAGCGGCAGAAACCCATCGGATGTTGGATTCTTAGGTGGGTTGTCGAATTTCACTGCTCAAGGTTTTACGTGACAGCTTGAAAGCACAGGGAAACAAAAATGTCCTACCGCCGTGTCACCTTTTACCAGGGATACCAACAAGTCCCCCAGATGTGCCATTCGGAGTCTGGGAAGAGCCCCCGATACCTTTTCAGGCGGGGTCTCTTTTCAGGCGGGTTCCTTTAGCTTATTGAGAGCCAAGGGGTTCATTCGCATAGGTGTCCCTTTAGGGGAAATAGATGGCCCTGGTAGATGATTAAACCATCAGGTATACCAGTGCCATCTATTTTTCCAGCACAACTCAGCAAAACAACCAAAAAAGACACCTATGTGCATTCGGTTCATTCACCAGGGGCCAAAGTTGGAAAGGGCAACCTGAGGGACGAGCGAGTCGAAACCTCCACTGGCTTCCACCAGCGTGGCAAATCGGTTGAGTTTAACCTTGTAGGTAATGTCCTCAATCCTGATTTCGCGTCTCGCCGTGGGTGCGAGTACTGGCACGATGCCTTGCGGTGAATCCGCGTTGAAGCCTCGGTGGGAGGCTCCCAGCCTAGCTGTCAGTTTCCTCCAGTCGCTGAGCTGGTTCGAGCTCTGCAATGCCAAGTCTTCAGCGAAAAAGTCGACCATCTCCGCAACGAAACCGAGTGCTGCGCTGTCCGAGTTCCAGAGACGTTGAGCTGTTTGTTGGGTGGTGCGTCTGCAAATCGGATACCTCTAAACCTAGAGTCTCCATGACCCTTTAAAAAATAGGTCCATGACCCCATTATTTAGGGCAATGAGCCCATTTTGTAAGGCTCATGGAGACTCTAGGAAGTGGGTGCTTCGCTTTTCTTTCGGCTTCCCCGCAAAACAACCGAGCCCAGTTCCAAACGCACGTCTCAAAATCGGAAGAGATTCCCCGAAATGGTTGGTTTTCGGAAGCCGCGAAAAAGAACCACGCCCACGTAGATCACTCTGTTCCCAAGAAACCACAAATTGTTGGATTACCCCAAAAGGACTGGAATATACTGGAGCCCAAAACACAACCAATGATCAATGCCAATCTCAGGGGCCAACTCAAAGAGCAAATTCCACACAGTGAGTTGCTTTTTTAGCTGATAACCTTTCTCAGGGTTGACTTGTAGTGAAACAAACGGACAACCCGCACTTTCGGCGTTGAATCAACAAAACAGCCTAGGCATGTTCCTTAAACAGTAGTAGAGACCCTCTTTCAGATTCCATGTTTGTTTTTGAAGAGACCTGCTATTTTTCTTACATACTCATATCCTCATGAATCTTGGGATCTCAAAAGGGGCCTTGTTGAGGTCCCCACCCTTCCACTCACTTCCTGAGTGGATGGCCCAAAAAGGCAAAAACACTTTCTATGTACCACCAAAATGGCGTCCTTGCCTCCAAAAAGTGACACCTAAAGCTCCAGCTACGCAACTCAGGAATTGCAACCAAACCCCAAAAGTGGCAAAAGCTTCTCAAACCGAAACTCAGGAAGTGAGTCGTCCTTACCCCAAAAAGTGAAATTGAAGCTCCGAAACGGAAGTGGCTCGGAAGTGAGCTAACCCATGGAGTGGAGCTTGAGCTTCGGATTTCTTGGGGCGATTCTCGGCCGCGGGGCCAAGAGCGTGCGTAGCACCTTTGGCAGCTCCGCTCTGACGGTCGCACGTGTGGGCGCCAAAAGCTCCTCACCTGAGAAGGGGCGGGGGGGAAGGACCACCTGCTTGACATGCATTCCTATGTATATATATATATATATATATGTATGGAATGTAATTTATATAATAATGTGGGGATCCGTGTCAAAACATGGGGCCCCCGCAAAATGGTGGTCCCCTGTGGTTTCCCTAAGCAAACGACATGAACATGGTTCCCAAAGCATCAGAGAGGAGCCTCCATGGAACAGTTGTAGATCTCGATTGGAAGGGATCGGACTCAAAAAAGACTCCTTCAAGATGTCTCCCCAAACAAGTAACATTGCGTGAGAAATCTGATTTTGACCTCCACGTTTTGGGTTCAATCCCAGGATACTAACACGCGCAAACCATACGTTAGCTAATGGTTAGCTTCACAACCTCCTCTTGGTTGTTTTCCTTTGAAAGTGGACCAAGCTTGTTTAAAAATGTTGCACACTCTGGTGCAGGCGGCTTGTTGCTTGTACGAGTGCATTGGCGCTCCGGGGAGGGAGCGCATAGAAACAATTGTTCATGTCATGTAGATGTCCTTTCGATAAATTCAGAATGAATGATGATACCAATGATGATGAGAATAACAAAAACATGAAATACTATCATTTGTTGTAATAATAGCGCCTAAAACACCTCCTGCTGGGTACGTTGCACACATAATCTATTTTGGACTAGTCCGAATTTGACATTTCTGGAATCAGGGTTCCTTGAAACATCACCCCAAGGCCAACTCATTCAGCTTGGCCCAAACAGCCGCAAAGGAAATACACTGCAACAAAAAGGACATAAAAGCGAGACTGGAGCCCATTCACCCTGCGTGAGCATGCAGTACAGCTGTCCGGCTTTCAACGGCTCCCGAGATTTCCCCTGGAAACATCACGCCAAAGGAGACGTGGTCGAATTGGCAAATCTTGGGTGGCTCCAAGCCGGAAGGAGCATAAGGTCGATCACCTTTTCTGCGCTGCCCGTTTTCTGATCCCCCGCGAAAAGTGACTAACTTCTAGTGGGTTAAATGGAAACTACCTCTAAACACTAAAAGGCTAAAAAGCTAAGGGGATGGCTGGGAGCCACCAAGTTTTGTAGTGCTTCCAAAAGGTCTCTCAGCAGCCTTCGGGGTCACACCAAAGACTCAAAGCCCGGCCTTGCACTTCTTGATTTAAATAGCACAATTCCCTCGTAAAACGCGGAGACAATGCCATCTTTAGTATCTTTCACCCAACTGTACCTGGAATTGCTAAAGAAAATCAGGGAACCCTCAAAATGGCAACGGTTCTACTTTCCCTTCCAAACCAACCAAAAGCTTCCATTTGCTTAACCCCCCTGGAAAAAATAAGAACCTTTCCAGCAGTAAAATCGATTCCCCCTAAAAACCGCAAAGGGGATCATAAAACATATATTTACTGTTCAGCAAATGGAAGAAACCGATCCAAACCACCAATTGAGGCTATGGTGACAACGGGGTCCCCGGTCCCAAAAACCGCACGACGCTCGCCTCCGGCTCGGAGGCTCAGCTCTGCATCCGCGGACACGTGCGTGCCCCTGGAAGCCGAAACCGCAGCTCACAAACCCGGCAATAAAACGCGGATTTGCTTTTTTTTTGGGGCAGGGGGAGGAAGTGGTGGACCTAACAGGGGGGTGGAAACGCGGATTTATTTATTTTTGGGGAGGGGGTGGGGGACTTAAAAGGGGGGGTGGGGGGGTGTTGCTTTTTGGGGGGGGGGGGGGCTAGTACAGGGCGCCAAATTTCACCCATGTTTGAAATGTTGTGTTTTCTTTTAGGGGGGGGGGCGGGCCCGAGTACAGGGCGCCAAATGACCAGCAAGATGCAGAATATACGTGTGTATTATGCATTTACAAAAACATGACTTGCCTTTGGAAATGTTCAGTAAGGCTAGATATGCCCTGATTAGGGGACTCGATTGGAATCTAAGATAGAACATGAAAAACACCAGGGTCACTAACCAGTCACAGAATAATTGTCCAGGCTCCTTAACTTGGTGACCCAAGTTCGGAGTCATGACCAGTTCAGGGACCTATTTACGAATCTGTTGGTTGACCACTTCGTCATACCAAGCATCTACACGATTAGGGCCAATGTTCCCCAAAAGGTAGTTTTAGCAGGACCACCCGATTTTTTGGAAGAAACCCCATGTTGTCCCAAAATGCATTTTTGTCCAATCGACCACCTCTCTTAAAGCAGCATGGAAATCTCTTCAAAACACTCCAACACCCGGTTTTCCACAGCTGGGTTGGGCCAAAGCCATGACCCGTCTGCGGCAATAAGTTCTAGGAACGAACCTGTGCATAGAACCACCATCACCATCTATGATTGTCTGTTCATGTGTCGCAAGCAACCGCTGGGATTTCCACCCTTGAGTTTTCGGTCCCTGCAGATGTGCTTTACAAGTAGGATCCTTCGCATGCTAAGGACATGGCTGTCATTTGGCGCAAGCAGTCGGAACCCATTTCAACGGGTGACCCAAAAAATGTACTCATGTTGGGGTCATGATCTCAGTCTATTTGCCTAAGTCTATTTGCCTAAGTCCCCAGAATCATATGTCCAAGGATTCCCCTTAAGTAAGACAGCAAATGGACACCCCCCCAAAATGATTCCCCTTGAGGCAAATATAGCAAATGGAAACCCCCCCAAAATGGTGGTCGACAGGTTGCAAAAACAGTGCCTAAACCCACAAGATGGAAACAGTTGAAACACACACACACACATACACAACCTATGGTTAAGCACATGGAAACAGTTTCCTCAACCGGTTCCGTTAAGTTGCCGCCGAGTTGGGCCTCCGCATCCACTTGGCCTCGAAAAGAAAACGTCACACGTCTGGATGGTGCTTTGCTTTTCAGTTGGGATCTACGTCTAAAGAAACAGATGTTCTCTCAAATACGGGTCCAACTCTTGGAGGTGCCAAAACTAGTTCCGGCTGATTCAAATCTGTCTACACGAGAATATCACACAACTTTGGAGAAGACCCCCTTTTTGGACGGTGTTTAAAGGCACAACCTGCTCAGCCTGCTTGAACACAAACCCAAGTGGTTCTCCCCACTCCCTGGATCCAGGTGGATCCCTCTGTAACTTTGGAAGCTGCCCCAACCCCAAAGCTGAGTTGATAAGCCAGCCAAAGGAACATGTGCGATGTCCGCCCAAGCCAGGTGTGAGATGAGTCGAAAAGACGAGGAGTCATTTACATATCTGGGTGTGTCTCGAACAAGAGGGAAACCCAACAAATGCTTGGAGTGATTGCGGGTTCCTTGAAAACCAACCAAAAGGGATTCACCATTTCGCGATCCACACATATTAATATAAGCTCGATCGGTCTGGTGGATGTGTCAAATGGTTGGACGAGGCTGATGAAGGGCAGATCAGGTCTGGATTCCCGATGTAGGCTTGTTGTATACCACTCCTTCCAACTTGCAAGCCAGCTACAAAGCCGCTCATACAACTGTTACAAATAGCAGTATATGCATGTGTATACATATAGTAAATATCATAGTATATATGGGTATGGGTCAAAATAAACCCACCAGGGAGCCGCAGGTTTTAGTTTTTTTCCATTTATCAGGGAACCATTTTTGGGGTTGCCGCATTTTTGACCAGCCGTATAACCTCCACGCTGGTTCACTTGTTGGATGCTCCGGGCCAAGCCTGAATTCGATCTTCCAGGACCGCTGGGTCTGGAGGTGAAAGTTCAAGCCTCCGCGGCTCAGGCGCTGCGAGTGAGATGACTCCCTGCCCGGTTCCGGACGTGCATTGCCTGTGGCTCAAAAAATGGTACCCGACATGGCCCCTTGCCTGGAGGTATATGGAAACAAAGACGAACACCTGCGTAGCCCCAGCTGTGTAATTTTGAGCCACACCTTATTGACATGGCTCTGTCTCAACTAAGTACCAGGGAACTCCAACCCTTTTGTACACTCGGAAAGCCGATGTCGAGTTCGGATCCTGGGACTTTTTGCTAGAAAGACCGGCCAAAAAAGGCGACAGAGAATCCCCTACCTTTAAAGGGCACGAACCATCAAAAGGAAACTTGCTGGAACAAATAGAATGTTGGCCAATCCGATCTTTTATAATATGCGTTGAACACTCAAAAAAAAGAGCCCATTCCGAGAGACAGCCTACAATTTGTCCAGCCCAAAGGGACTGGCTGGCTTCCTTTTGGTTTCCTTTCATTCCATGCAAAGCCTCCAACGACTTTGAGACAGGCTTCTTTCCTGTCGCGTTCAACATATGCAACACTTGGGTCCCTGATTTTGCTGGGTTGCTGAGGGTTCCAAAAGGGCGCCCGCTGTGTAGTGGCAGTACCAAAAAGGGATGGCTTTACAAGTAAGAGGTGCCTTCTCAAACTGGATAATCGACAACCTGCCAAACTGACACAACCCCACCCACCCAAAAGAGCCAGAGAAGCAAACGGGGGATAACTAAACTAAACCACCTTGGGGGAACAGTGCCGTCTACTTTCACCCGACTGTACTCGGGTGTTGATTTTTGTTCACCCAGCATCATTGAACCCTCCACTGGAGCTCCATTGGAAGGCTGACCTAAAAGCAAACAAAGTTTCAGGTCCCAAGATTGGGGCACAATTAACACTCTCTTTTTTTTTTTGGGGGGGGGGGTGCTCTAACTACATAACCGTCCTTCTAAACGATGTCCACCTACCGGGTCCTCGATGAAACATCAATGCGCCAGGCCTATGGACAGCTCTTCCTCGCCAGAAGAGTCCTGAATCGCCATGGCTTCGTTGCGAGGCGTTTATCGGAAACTTGGAGTTGCGCGGCTTGTTGATCGCTTCCAAGTTGGAAAATTGTTAGTTACCTAGGCTATCACCCACACTAAATTACACTATGTGGATCGAGTTGAGCCTGGTGGGTGGTTGCCCAGGCTGACCACTCACCAACTCTGAACATCCATTTACCTCTGATGTTTTGGGGCAAATTCGGATCCCCCCTCTTCTGGACATGCTGACTGAACTTTATGTGGGAATGTGTCAACAGAGACCCTGTGCGCGACGGGCCGAACAGCAAATCAAACAGAGGTCAGTGCTTTCCCGCTCGAACATTTGCGGCAAATGGGGGACGCCCATTTAAATTGGCAATGAAACTGCTACGCTTAGACCCTTCCGAAGCGAAATGACAAAATTCCTTGATGGGGCCATGCAACTGAATAGCTCCTCTGACACGTGCAAACCTTGTAGGTCCAAGTCCTTGTTCTACTTGAACCCTGCCGCTCAAAGCTCATCAAGCCCAGAACAAAGCAAAAGATGAGTCTTCTCCCAACCCAACCTAACCTCTGGTCCAGTCACCCCCCCCTCCCCGGTCTTCCACTCCACTCCCCCCGAACTAACCCTCCTGAAAAACGATCCGCAAATCATCCACCGAGACGTGCGTGCCGGCGATGAACATCTCCTAAGCGGGAGCACAGTAATTATGGAATCCTCTGGGTCTGAACTCATGTGGCACACGTGCAAGAGTTTGCAAAGTCTACACCTGTCCCCAAACCCTGAAATTCGGGATCCTCAAGTAAAGAACCTGATGTTAGAGAGAGAGAGAGAGAAAGAGAGAGAGCTGGCAATAAACAAAATCAGAGGATTTCGCAACGGATTTTGGCCAGGTACCTTGAGAGTACAAAAAAAAAACATATTTCAACTCAAAGGGTGAGCATTACGATCAATCCGAAGCTGACATTATAAGGCAGGGGTTCCCTAGATGTGCCCCTTGTAAACATCACTCGCGTAAGAGGACACTGACTGAAAACTCTCAAAAGGAGAGACGAGCCCCGGTCGATATTGAGTGTGTCCCCGAGACATTGGATTTTGGCGAGCAAACCCCATGCCCTCATGGTATTTTGGTCAGTGCCAAAAGAAACACACGCTGAGACGACCAGCGCCGGGAGCCCTGCACGGTTCCCCCCCCCCCTTCAACCCCTTGGATCGATTTCTATCGCCAGAAGAACAGCCCTCTGAAGGGGAAGGCGATCTTTGACTTGCTCCATGGGAACCCCTGGGTAAATCCCTGGTTGACGAATAGGGGGCGTCCCACTTTTGAGGGGATTCTTGACTGTTGTGGTTGAAACTTCCCCCCCGTTTGGGAGGACCGCCAAAAGCAGGAGGGCACTCTTCAAGCGTTTTGCTGAAACCTGCAAGGCCCCACCCAATCTTCGGAGAGAACCTTTGACTCATGGGTTCACACCCAAATCCTCCGCCTGGTTGATCCACGGTAGCCAACGCCATCCCCCAAATTTCGGGCTGGGGCTCCCCCGGATGATTGGCTGGGTGCGCCAACTTTGATTGCTTGGGGCCCTTGAACGCTTTACGGATTTTTTTGGGGTTCCAAGGTGGGCCGTCCTGACGTCATCGCTTTCCAGGAGACTCCCACCAGATAGTGGCGACCGTTGAACCCCAGATTCTGAACTTGTGTGTTACCACTGAACCAAAAAATCATGATGTCCATGAACTCAGGAAGTGAGGCTTCTTCCGAGCCCGACCCCCACGCACCAAGGAGAAAATCACATCGAGGCGCCGCGACGCGCGCAAAGATTCCCATGGGCGGCTTGGGATTCTGGGCCTTCGCCACCAGGCCTCAGTCGGCGCCTACGTCTCCGGGCATGGTTGATCCCTAGTCGGTCGGCTGCTTAACAAAAAAAAGACAACCTGAGAATCAGAAAGGACCCTCTGGAGGGAAATTGGGGAGCTCTACTGTCCAGAAGGCCCCGAGATTGGGGCAGTCGATCAACCCCGTTTCTGGTGGTTATCCAAGTCAGAAACTGGGGTTGTTTCCCTTAACCCACCACTTTGAGGGTGACTTTGATCAAAAGAAAAGCCAACAGTAACCCAAAGTCACCTCATGGCTCCAACCATTCTTTCACTTTCTTCGATCAAAAAAAAAGGCAGGCAGGCCCTAAAAGGAAGCCCCATGACACCACCAAAGGGAACGATATAGAATCCGCCGAAAAGCCACGTGGAAACCCGTGAAAAGCCAACGGGAAAGCCCCATGCGGCACCGAGGCGCCGAGGGAGCTCTTGGCCGCCGATGCGCTCAGGCTCGAGGCGGCGCTTCGCAGCTCCTACGGAGACGCTAAGAGCTGCCTGGTGCTTGGAATGCGAATGGGGGGAGTTGGGTTTGGGGTTTGGGGTGCCTCTTGGGTTTGGGGTTTGGGGTTTGGGGTTTGGGGTTTGGGGTTTGGGGTTTGGGGTTTGGGGTTTGGGGTTTGGGGGGTTGAGCTTTTGTCCCTTCACCATGGCTGCCACGATAGTAGTGGCGGTTTTGTGGGTGTTGTTTTGTGTCGGTAGCATGGATGGGCTTCTATTTGTAGCATCAATGTTGTTGTTTACCCCAACTCATCTATGCTGCACTCATTTCAACGTGAATTTGGACTCACTGGGTTTTTATGTCTTTTGGAAGGGGAGGAGATTACCGATTCGCCCGTTTTGAAGCAGCTTTCCAAGTGAGCGAACGCTTCCTCACCCATCAAGTCTATCAAGTCGACAACCTCGGGGAAGACGCCAAAGAAACCTGACCAGCGGCCCCTAGAGAAACTTGCCTTGTTGGGGGGCTCGCTCGGGTTCCATGTCTCTTGTGATAGACGAGCCACTGAACCATGGGGACTTTTGCTTTGGATCTGTTTGGACCCCCGGAAACTGTGTTCCTGGCCCGCCTGGGCGAAGGTCGATCACGTTTTGTGGGTTTGGTTTTTATGGGGCCTTTGGAGTAGGTCCACCCCTTTGAAGGCTTCGAAAGAAATCATTTGCTTCCAGAAGGTCTAAGACGGTGCCTTTCGGGTTACACCAGAGAAACGGTCTATGATAGCAAGGCAATCCCCAGACATCTTCTGTGCCTTTGGGGTCACACCAAACTCAGCCCACACAAACTGCGAGGCATCTCTAGGTGCAGATTGACCGCTTGAAGCGCAAGTGTGCCTTAACTTGGGGCCTCGCCAAGGTCGGTTTCTGTGCAGAGAACCGATGATGGCTTTGAGCACAAAAAGTAGATCCCAAAATTAAAATTAGGGTTGTCTGGGCATGAGGCAAAACACCCTAGGAACCCTCTTGACCACATTCTATGCATTGATTTGGACATATTTGGACCATGGAGCATGCATTCATTTGGCGCATGCTTCAACAGGTGAACCAGGCTCTGGGCGATTCTGAGTTGGGCCTACCATGAACTATTTTTGTCTTGGGTCTGAAGTATGTTTCTATGCTCGTGCTTTTCTTAGCGAGACCCAAGACGGTTCCTTTGGACTTTGATCGAGCCGTTGGAAGGCTGGCTTGAAACAACTTCCACCTCCCCCAAACAATTCGGCATTGCAATTCCCCTACCCCCCCCCCCCACGCCACTCCCCCCCCAACCCAACCCGCCCCCAACCCAACAACCGCTTCGGCTCCTCCTCCGGCCAGTGAGAGGTCTTCCGCTGCAGCACCACGGTGACGTTCCGCGCCCTCAGCCGCACCCCCACGATGAAACCTGCCAGAGGCGACATCGCGGCCGGGAACCTCGCGCGCTGTGGCTCGGAGCATGGGTCAAGGGGGTAGCCCTGGGCAAATATGCGATGAGGACTTATAAGGAACACAACCAGGTGACTTGTGGTTAAATGCGCTGTAAGGTAAAAAACGAGCCTGAAGAAAGTGGAATGGAGTTGCGGGGTTCTACGGTGGAAGACATCCACGCCATCTTGGTACGACTTGCCCCGCGCCCCCTTATTAAAATTGATGTACGCGTTTTTGCCCGTCACAAATCAATGCTAAGCAGGGGGCTCGGGGTGGTGAACACGCAGTCTTATACATATCATGCAAGATTTCTTCCATCAACAATGGCGAAGTAAGTTGGCGCGTTTCAGGGGAATGCACTTTGAATTATTATGCTGTAGAGAATAATTTCGCATGGACCAACTTCTTGCTGGCTTTCGGATGGGAATCACCTTGAAGGGTTTGGGGGGATGCAACGAAGGATGGTGTATGCTTGCGGGCGATTCCCTCATCTGCTGAGAACTAGCAAGACATTGGGTTGAATGTGCTAGGTGCCAAACAAGTACGAACACAATTCTCCCTTGCCCCCCCCCCCACTTCCTCCGAAGTTCCACTCTAGCATGTGTACATACCCCTTTCACATGCTTAGTTGCTGGGGTGAATGACCGCAAACAGGGCTCCCTAAGCTATATAGTTGTCCCGTAAACATCAAGAGGGAATCAGCCACCATTGGTCCAACAAGTGATGTGTAAACTAGCCGAGGGAAATATTGGCCCACATCTGGGGTACTCCAAGTCATATATATATATATATGTACTCGGTTGCTTTCTGCTCCCCTGCTAAAAGTTTAACTTTTAGTGGTTTAATGGAAACCCCAGTAGTTGGGAAAACGTTAAAGTCCTAACGTCCAAGCAACATGCACCAAAGTATAGATGTTGTGAGCCTGATTCATACTTCTACCATAAGTTATAACATCGTTTCGGGATGAGAGACCCCAGACATTTTAGAGACTGCCAAACCACTTGCTGTTGGTACCAAATCCTCTCTTCCTGTGCAGGGCTGGTGCGGGCTACGTCCACTCCCAGTGGATCATGTATCCTGTCAAGGGCCCTCGCGCTTGGAAGCCACAAATAAGATGTCCAGAATCTTCATCTACCCTAACACACAAGATATGTTTTGATGAGTAGATGGGCCAAAATATGTCCAGACTCTCTCTCTCTCTCTCTCTTTGTCTCTTTTGTTGGCTTTCCAAAAGAGACCAGGCCAGGAACTCAGGAAGTGAGGCCCATGAGTTCCTCAAGCATCTGGTGAATCTTGTGAATTGATTCACTGGACAATGCGCCTTCTTGAAATCTGACGTTCCACAGCCCCGTCCAACCCCAAAAACTCGGATAGACACTGGTTCATCCGGGCTTGTCTGAAATACGCCTCCCTAGAATAGTACTCAAAAGTTTTCTGAAAACAACAAGCCACACCCATTTCGTGGCTCCACTGCCCGCTCCATCCGATAAGCGCCAAACGCCAAACACTCCCGACGAACGTCCAAGCCTAGGGAGAGCGCCAGGTCTCCCACCTCCACCTGAGGTGGTACAAATCCACGGAACTTGGTAACCCAACATGGTGATAAAGGTTTATACGGGTGTGTCTTTTCAGGGCTCCCTGCTTTGTGTTGTTTGCGTGTGTTAGGGAAGCAAAAGAGAAACCACCCATTTTGGGGTTCCCCTATCTTGAGGCAAACCATTGATTTTAAAGGTTTCTCCCCTGAAAAAGAAACAAAGGAAAAGAACCGAATAGGGCCTCAATTCCTACCATTTGTCTCCCATGGTCATGACTATTGTAGGGTGCCCCCAAACCTGGATTCCACTTGTTGACCCTCCCTCCAACAGTCATGGAAGCTGACAGGGGGCTTTTGGAAGACTGCGTTCCTTTTGGGGAAGCTCCCTGTCCACTTCCATGATTGTTGAAAAGGGGGTAGTGGCTGTCTGTATCATGTGAATGGATCAAATCCTGCTCCAGTTGGTATGTGGTTAGTCGCAGCATTTCTAGGGATTCATCCGCTGATGCAGGAGTGTGACCATATTGGTGTAAAACTAAAAACGGACAACGAACCACACACAACCAATCACATTCAACAAACAACTAACCACATACAACGGACCACATACAACAAACAACTTACAACAAGCAACTAACCACATGCAACAAACAACTAACCACATACAACGAACCACATGCAACGAACAACAAACCGCAAACAACTAACCGTAACCACATACAACACTATATGTACACAACACTCCTCACACGACTAAACTGGCCCTTCTTCGCCTCGACGAAATGTCTCGCCTGCGCGGCGGTGAAGGGCAGCGAGTTGCTCAGCGCCTTGGTGATGGCATCCAGGCCCTTCGCGCGCAAATGGGTCCTCGGAGCCGTGAGAAAAAAAAGAAACAAGCCCCGCACAAGTCCGACTAAACACATAAGTTGTTTGGTTGTTTGGTTGTTTGTTGCGTGTTGCATATTGCTGGCTGAATGCCTGATTGCTGTGGCTTTCATTGCGTGTTGTTTGTTTTGGTTTGCTTGTTGTGTGTGTGGTGTGTCTTGTAGGCTGTTTGTTGTATGCTGTGCAATGTGTGTTGCTTGTTTGTGTTGCTTATTATTGTGACTATTGTTTGTTGTTCGTGTCGGGTGTTGTGTGTTTGTTGTGTTGTGCTGTGTATTTCCCCACCCGACAGGAAGGGGTTGTTAGATTTTACGTTGGAATCCGCGTTTGCGATGCTTCTACACCACGCTGCGGCATTCTGCTGCTTCAGCATGTCTAGATTCACCTACTGGCTGCTTCCTTGCAAGGGATTCCCATCCCTTTTTCATGGCCAGGGTGCAGCCATCCTGCTTGAAGGCTGGCGATCAATGCCGAGGTTCTGGGTCACGGAAACTGGGTGAAACCCACCCTGACAGCCAACGAACCACTTCCAAATGGCCAGCTGCTGCGCAAGCTGCAGGAAGTCCGTACCCAGCCTTGTCCTTGACCGCGGAGCCCAGCTTCCAACAAGCAACGTACAACGTTCACCTGGCCACTCTGAGCAGCAAAATACATGGGCATCCGCCCACTCATGTCGACCTTGTCTTTGTCCGCGCCATCTTTCAGCAAGAGATGTACAACTTCCAAATGACCACTTTCTGCTGCACAATGCAAAGGCGCGCGCCCGTATTTGTTGACACTGTCCTTGTCTGCCCCAGCTTCGAGCAAGCAACGCGCAACGTTCACGTCGTAAAAACAGCCTCACTTGTCCCAGGACCTCTGCAGAAACAAAAGGTGCACGCCTTTTGGAACCTTGACACTGTGGATGGACGAAATCCTGCACCACTTGGAAACCATGGTTGAAAGTTGAAACCATTGTTTGTTGGTATTTACAGGGGAATCGAATCATTCCAGGGTTTCTTAGGTGGTGCAGGATTTCGTCCATCCACAGTATGGACCCAATCAGCGAAGCCAAAAAGTAAAAGGTCGATTCCTCGGTTCGCTTAAGCAGCCATAGTAGGCCGCAAAATGCAAAGGCGAGTTCCTTTCATAGTCGCCACTGCTCGGATCCACTGGCATCTCCAGAATCCGCACCACCTCAGCCTTGCAGCCGCTCTTCGCTGCCATGCACAACTCTTGAGCCCCGTCCTCCACGTATGGCCGCACGATGACAGACAAAGGGCCAGCGGCATCCCAGCCGTCGTCAAATGGTAACACGCCTGGCTGACCACTTTGAGCTGCCTGAGACTTTTTCGGAAAAAATGGTACGGATTTCCTTAAGGTTGGCATGAACAAACCACTCAAAGGAAACCAAAGTCAACCTCACTTCCTGCGTGGACTGGCCAAAAATGTCCATACAGGAACTCGCGAAGTGAAGAACTCCTCGCCATTTTCGGGGGCCTTTTCTTCTTTTTGACCGCCGCCGGCCTGAAATTCCCAAGACCGCGGCGCCGGGCGAGCTCTCGCCGGAGCTCATCGTGGAAGCTAGCGCCCTCTCGTAAGACCGACTGGTGCGCAAACCACTGGTCAAACTCTCCTCGGCTCATCACCTCTTCCCCGCCCACCGCCATGATGACCGCCATGGGCGAGAGGCGAGGGCAAGACTTGGGTGAACTTTGGGACAGCTTATGGCACCCGAAAGCATCGGACAGGGGCTTGCTGGGAAGTTAATAAAAGTCATAGGAAGTCAAAAGCCGATGTCATAGTGAGTCATAGTCAACCCCTGTCTAAAGACCTTCCTCGTCGATCCTACAGCCACTACTTGCAGTCACTGCACGGATACTGGTGCTTAGACTGCTGTCGTCCTCAAATAGGTTGGCTCGATGGCAGAACTTTGGCTCGAGCTCCAAAATCAGTCTCCACGACCCTTTCAAGCATGTCGCATGACCAAAGAGTTTGTGACCCCATTTTGCTAGCCCGGGGTTGAAGTACCCACCAGAAACAAGCATCTTTTCCCCCTTTTAACCCGCGCAAAACTATCTTCAGTCGTGGGCCTCTGAAAGTCATGGAGACTCCGACAAGTTTTCGTTGACCTGATAAGCACCTCGCCCATAGCGCGCAAATATTGTTCGACCACCTGCCAATTGTAGCGCAATGGGGAGGGTCTAGAAACCACCAAAACCAAACCAGTTCGAGGGATTCTCACCTTCACAACCCTTGGTATGGTAGGCAAATCACTGTGTTTTGTTGCAGCCCCCTTCCAAAAACTAAGCGAACCCGCAAAAAAAGAGCAACACCTATGAAGTCCCCGCTGACTTTGACAGGTCCAAGTCATGCCCCGGTTTGCCGGACCCGAAGAGCGAAACGGGCGATGGCCCAAAGCTTTCTGGCTTCGGGACCGGCGAAACGCCCCATGGCGGTCTCTGGACCCCTTTTGAGAAACTACTGTGGATGGGCGAAATCCATTTCGCACCACTTTGATACCATGGTTGAAACCGTTATTTGCTGGTATTTACAAGGGAATGACCATTCCAGGGTCTCCTAGGTGGTGCAGGATTTTGTCCATCCACAGTAGGTCCTCCAGCAGAGAGGTTAGAATAAGGGTACCCCTTTCTTCTGCAGCCTATTTTAGTAGGGGAACCCTCCCCCCCCAAAAAAGTTTTAAAAGGGCACTACTGGGGGACCGAGGAAAACACCACACTTGGGCTGAGGCCGAGTTTCTTGTTGTGAGTTTAACCAACCGTGTGCCAAGTGGAGCCAACACCACTGTGGGTTGTAGATGGTTGTAGCGCAAGCCTACAACTTGGCTTGGAACGTCCAAGCAATCCACCAAATGAATCCCTGTGACATTTCCGGAGTTGAACCTGACGCATTTCGGCTGTCCCATCGGATGTTGAACCAGGGTTCCCTAAAATTTTGATTCAATCATCACCCCAGAAGGAAACTCACAAGGGGAATACGGGTTTCTCCAAAAATAACGAATTGGACTGTTCTTGTTGGTTTCCTTTTTTGAGACCAATCGAGGAGTGTCCAACCCAAGAGGAACCACACTCATGTACCCCCCTTTCAAATCAACATATGGGTTCGTCTCAGAATATGGACACCCCAAAATGGGTGGTTTCCCTTTTGCCTCCCCGAAAACAACAGGGGCCCCCAACACAAACATACGGACACACACACACACACACCTATACACCTATACACCTTTGTAGCCCTGGGCTCGATTCTGCCTGGTTTCCTCGGGCCTAGGACCCCTGTCAGCCCCAAGGGTAAATAGGAAAATATGTTGATAAATATATATATATATATATAGATATATATATATATATATATATATGTAGTTTATCGGGCTTTGAATGAGAAAATGCGAGTGGGAACTTTTCCCAAAGTGCGAGAAACCATCTCCAGCAATTATTCTCCAGCATTTTTCTCGCTGAATACCCACAAACACCCGCAATTTCAGCCTCAGCTAAGCTGGTTCCTTACAAAAGCGCAAGCAAACAACAAGGGGCCCCCTTTGAGCGGCCCCCCAAAATGGGGAGGTTCCCCCAAAGGAACCTCTACCCAACTCAACTCCACCCAACCCCGCGCCCCCGAGACTCGCATCTTCTCAGCCGAGGAGCTCCGAGAGGCTCACGAGGCTCAGGAAGCCAAGGGATGGGCCCTTGGAGATCCAGGCCCGCAGCAGCGGCCAGCACAGCTTCCCCAGCAATTTCCTGACCGGACCACCCCTCTGGAATTGGGGGGGGAAAAGGGGGGGGGTTTCTCCTGGCGGGTTGACCCAGACATTTTTGGGTGGCTCCTGAGACTTGGTGGTGGTCCTCCTGGGGGGGGGAGGGTCAGATTTTGGGTGGTCCTGGAATTGGGGTCCTAACACAGAAGTTTTTGGTGGTCCTCCTGGCAATGGGGGGGGGAAGGGGATGCAATACGTCTGCCATCAGTGGTAAATCAAACCATGTCTCCAGAACCCATGCATTATGGAGTCCCAAAGTGGGGGACGTCCAAGGTTTTTTCCCTCAACCTCACCAATTCGGTGGGAAGAAGGGACCAGGTGTCCAAGCTCAAGAAGGCCTCTGGGACCAGATCCCCGCGAAGCACCTCATTTGCCAGAGGAATCTTGGTCGGTCAGGCAGGGTTCGGAGACTGTTGGGGATCCCACCTCCTGCAGGAAATCGGGTCATCCGAGGGCTCCAACAACTGGCTTCCATGCTGCACGCATTTGTTTTCGGTGCAAGCCAAGCTGCACGCATGGAGCCTTAAACACTCATGCGAGTCATGATCAAAACCCATAAAAATGGTCGATCCCCAGAACCATGATTCAAGAATTGACAAGGCGGACATCCGCACCGATCCATGGCTGGGATTCTCCCTTACTACCCTCCAACTACCCAGGTTTTGAGCCCGTGACTCATGTTTGGGTTCAAAGTTTGACAGTTCGGGTTAGGACCAGTTACCTCATGTTCCCTTTGTTTTTTTACAGGGGTGTTGACTGCAGAGCCAGGTATATGCATCCGCCAGGTATTGCCAATGGGGGGGGGGGAGGGTCCAAAAAAAGGTCGAAAGGATCAGGAAAGGTCGGTTGAACTGCCCTGTCCAGAAGGCTGCCAGGAGCGCCGCAACCAGGACATACATGGCGTACGAATAAAATGCGGCGCCTTTTTAGTGCCACGTTCTTCTCGAAGAGAACTGCAACCTGCTGGTAGGTTCTAACCGAAACTCAAATCAACGGATGATGAGTTTACTGATAGCACATAGAAACCAACATGTAAAAATCAGAGTTCATCAAAATCCTGGTGGGTTCCAACTGAAACTGGGCCCATCAAAGGCAAACTTAGTGACCCGAAAGGACGAAACGGAACCCCAGGCTGCAAGGCGCTGCTTGAGGTGAGCTTTAAGTCCTTGGATGTTCCAAGAGCCTTCCTGAATCTTATTGTTTGCCGGCCCATGCAAAATTCGGGGTAAGAGAAAGGTATTTATTCTGAACAGGACATGATGGGGAGGGGGCCAAACATGCGTGTTGCTAACTAGGTAGTCTTACCCTGCCACAATTCCGCATCCATGTAGTTGTTTTTATCTAGTTGATTTCAAGCAAAGGGCAAGCCTTACAAGGCCACCAGCACCTTTTGAGGCAGCTACAAACCAAACCCCCTTCAGGCAGCTACAATGCCTCGAGCCAAATGCAAAATCGATGCTTCCGAGACTTCCAGGCCTGCATTTCACCCCTAGCGCATGATGCCTGAACAATTGCAAGTGGGGGAACAACCTAAACCAAATGATTTGACACAAATAACACAGTTGTTTTGGTGCTTGGATGTGGCCTTTTGGTTGACTTGCAAGACTTTGGGACCTCAGGCCTTTGTCTAAAGCATATAGGCTCGCCCCCTAAACAGAAATCGTTTTCCCTTTGGGAAATCCCACAGGAAAAGAAAAACAAAAGCAACAACCCGTCCAGCTATGGAGAGGTTGGGGGCTGCCTTTTAAGGACACACGGTGGATACGCTGTCGGATGAAGGGCATCTACTGTACAGTGCTGAGGTCCTCATAAGTCCTGGGAAAAAGACACAGCAGTTTGGAGCTGGCTTCCCTTAAATACAACCCACACACACACAAGTCTTAGACAAGTGACATGGGCCCTTGTCAACGGACCGTCAACCATTGGACCATGCAAGGATCCAGTGTATGCGCTATGAACGAGGGTATGTACTGTCAGTGCATTGAATGCAGGGCCCATTGCAAGGTGGTATTAAACTGTCCCAAGAAACAGGGCACAAAGGTGCTACTGGGCAAGTAAGTCTGAATGTAGGTTTCTGCTTGAGTGGGATGGAGCCAGGAACCTCTCCTAAGGTGACATGGTCAGTTCTTGAGCATCATTGGACCCATTGGAGGGGTCTGGATCTGTATTGAAAGGGTCAACAAAAACCTGTCCCGAGACTCTTCAAGACAGTTGGAGGGTGCCTTTTTTCAGGGTACCCTTTTTGGGGTGTCAAGGGAAACCAAACACCAACATCATTTTTTGGGTCCCCCCATATGTTGGCAGGTACCCGGTGACCTAGGCAAGCAAAGTGAAAGCCACTTTTCCGCGTCCACGCGATTTTCGAATCGCTGGTCCTAAGCTAAAGCGTTCGGCCCAGGCCAAAAAGTCGTTTTGCGATTCTTGCGACTTCTTTTGCGACCCATGAGCATCGGGTCAAAGGTTGAGGATAAAACCCAAGTGACAGACTCTGGCGATCTCCTGCAAAAACGGGAATTGGACAAAACAAACAACACTGACAGACTTGGGCCGTTGTTCGGCCAACAAAAATGCCGTGGCCAAACGGCTTGGATTCGAAACCGGGAACCGCGCGGATTGGTCTCGCAGCTTTAAAGCTGGGCCTCTGAGCAGCGCCCAAACCCATCTCCAGGGATACTCGGTTGCTTTCTGCGAACCCCTGCTAAGAGTGACTAACTTTTAGTGGTTTAATACGGAAAACCCAGTAGTTGGCAAAAAGTTGTTCAGTCCTAACATCCAAGCAAAATGCACCAAAGGATACGTTGATAAAACAAATGGCCAGACACCCTACTGGTGCGACAGCTTAATCCCTTTATTCAGGTTGCCACTAGAGGAAGACAACACAGAAAGTTCGAACAGTTGAAAGGGTTGCGTACAAGTCAGACACTCATGGACCCATGGACGCATGGGTTATAATTCTGGGCCGCCCTCATCCCCCGCTAAAAGTTTAACTTTTAGTGGGTTGAATGGAAACTACCACAACCGGATAGCTGGGAGCCACCAAGAATTGTATCCTTGTTGTTATCTCTTAGGAATTGGGGAGATCAACTCCCCCCATGGCCAAGATGGCCCCAGGCCCTGTGAAAGTACCTTCTGAGGACATATACCGTGGACAAAAACCGTCCGTTTGCAAAAACCATCGCCCTCAGAAGAAAACAAAACATAGTTCAACTTGTGATAGATTCCCTTCAAAACTAAGGGAACATCAAAAAACATGTTATTAAGCAATGGAAGGAAGGCTACCCTCTGGGGCCCCTCTGGGGGTAGTGAGAGCTTTCCCCTCTGTACACCCACTTGTAAAGTATGATGTCAAGGCCCGACTAGATACGGTCAGTCGCTTCACAATCCCATGGTTGAATAGGGTGTCACAAGGTCGAACCAAAGATCCACCAATGTCAACTTGTGGTTGTTCGATTCTGGTCAACTGGGAACCTTGAAATGTCTAATGATGTCAAACTCACAACACGAAAGGTCAACCCCCTGAAACGGCCAAACAAAAGTACGGGGTCAATGGGCGCTGCTCATTCGCTGTATCCCGCAGGAAGCTGACTAACGAGATGACCGCCCCAAGTCAGTTTGCAGCCGTTCTGGGTTTGTCATAAAATAAAGGTATCCCCGAAATGGGTGGCTTTCCTTTTGGTTTCCACTTAAACAAACCAAAAAGCGACCCTCGAAAAGTAACACTGCCGTCTGCCTTCCTGTCCTCTCCCTGCCGGCATCTCCCGACCGGATGGCTCGTGCCACCGGCGTGCCCGCTCGGGCGCCAAAGCGGCCAAAGCGGCGCTTTGCCAAAATCCACGGCGCAGATCGGTGAGCCACAAGAGTGGCGGGCTAAGGCTCAAAAAACCTTCACAGGCACGGTCGATCTTTTTCCCGAAAGCATGGCGAAGGGTTCTTCCGCTGGGTTCACTTGAGTTGTTCTCATGAGAGTCATTACAAGGTGTCATTGCAAGGAATCATCATCATGAAAGTCATTGCAAGGAGTCATTGCAAGGAGTCATTGCAAGGAGTCATTGCAAGGAGTCATTGCAAGGAGTCATTGCAAGGAGTCATTGCAAGGAGTCATTGCAAGGAGTCATTGCAAGGAGTCATTGCAAGGAGTCATTGCAAGGAGTCATTGCAAGGAGTCATTGCAAGGAGTCATTGCAAGGAGTCATTGCAAGGAGTCATTGCAAGGAGTCATGGCAAGGATTGCAACTTGCACTTGACTCCTTGCACTTGCAACTTGCACTTGACTCCTTGCACTTGCAACTTGCACTTGACTCCATGCACTTGCAACTTGCACTTGACTCCATGCACTTGGCTCCTTGCACTTGGCTCCTTGCACTTGGCCCCTTGCACTTGCAACTTGCACTTAACTCCGTGCACTTGCGACTTGCACTTGACTCCATGCACTTGGCTCCTTGCAACTTGCAATGGCTCTCATGACTCCTTGCAATGACTCCTTGCAATGACTCCTTGCAATGACTCCTTGCAATGACTCCTTGCAATGACTCTTGCAATGACTCCTTGCAATGACTCCTTGCAATGACTCCTTGCCATGACTCCTTGCAATGACTCCTTGCAATGACTCCTTGCAATGACTCCTTGCAATGACTCCTTGAAACAAGCAAGGAGTCAAGTGCAAGTTGCAAGTGCAAGGAGTCAAGTGCAATTGACTTGCGAGGAGTTAAAATCTCTTCTTAGGGCGGCGGGGTAGTGCCGACGACACTACACGAAAATCGACCCTCTGCGGGGATCGGCGTGGTCGAGGTGCAAAAATGGTTTTTTGCGATTTCCACCCTCTGCGGGGATCGGCGTGGTCGAGGTGCAAAAACCCATGGTTTTTTGCGATTTCTCTCGCGCGACCCTCTGCGGGGATCGGCGTGGTCGAGGTGCAAAAACGGTTTTTTGCGAGCTGCTCGCGCGACCCTCTGCGGGGATCGGCGTGGTCGAGGTGCAAAAACTCGAGGTTTTTTGCGATGTTTAACCTGCTCGCGCGACCCTCTGCGGGGATCGGCGTGGTCGAGGTGCAAAAACTCGAGGTTTTTTTTCCGACTTTTGTTGTTCGAACTGGTCCTCGGGAGTTGTCTCGTGGTTCGCGCGCCTGCTCCCGGAACCGGCGGGTCGCGGGTTCGATTCCTCCCTGGTCCGCGGGCGGGCGTCGCAAGATGCAACTTGCATTTTAAAGCAACTTGCGCAGAGCAACTTGCGCAGAGCAAGTTGCACAGAGCAACTTGCGCAGACCAACTTGCACCGACCAGTTTGCGCAGAGCGCCTTGCCTAGAGCAACTTGCGCAGAGCAACTTACGCAGAGCAACTTGCACAGAGCAACTTGCACAGAGCAGCTTGCACAGAGCAACTTGCAGGGAGCGCAATTTGCACAGAGCAACTTGCAGGGAGCCACTTGCAGGGACCAACTTGCCGGAGCAACTTGCGCGGAGCAACTTGCGCAGAGCAACTTGCACAGTGCAACTTGCGTAGAGCAACTTGCGCAGACCAACTTGCACCGACCAGTTTGCGCAGAGCACCTTGCCTGGTGCTGTCTCGCGCTTGCTTCACAAATGCTTCGTGTAGGGAAAAAGAACGCATCCCGCAGCGTTGGGCCGACCTCGCTTGCGATGTTCTGCTTTCGGGCCAACCGTGGTCTAGTTTTACCGACGGCCGTTTCGCTACTTGGTTTGAGAGTCCCCTATCGTTTGCCAGCGGTTCAATGCTTTTCCAGGGGTATCGTGTTTTTGAGAGTCATGTTGACGGTACTTCACTTGGAGACCCAGACCCCACGGAGGCTTGGCCCTTTCCGATGAGTGTGCAGCAAAGAGAGGGACCAATCTCCGATTGGTATAAATAAATTGGACCCAGCCCGCTGCACAAATCTAGGGATTCGCCCTTGGAGCGTGCCATATATATTATAAACGAGCGCTAATTGGTAGATTCCACGGTTGGATTCGGCATCAAGCCCTGGGAACAGTTTGGCCCAGAAAAACATCAGACCCACAAAGAAGCTACCGTGGATTGAACAAAGCCGGGTGCTAGATGAGTTTGGGTCCGGACCAAAAAAAAACATCACCACATCCCCGTGTGGCTTCTCTTTGGGCATATCAAACAAGTCTGGCCGTTCATGGCATCCCAGCAACACCCCGATATCTATTCGCAAGGTGTATGAAAATCTGTGGTCGACCTGATACAAACTATGTTGGATACTCCCATGCAACTGGGCCTCAAGTTGGGCTCCCGTCAAAGATGTGTTTGCTTCTTGGCTGGAGGGAAGTGCAAAAGCTTAGTTAAGTAAAACAAATCTGTGAACAAACCACTTGGAAAACAAACCCGTTTTGGAGGCTAGTTCATTAGGGAGACCAACGCATGTTGGAGACAAGCTCATTTTGGAGACAACGCCAGTTTTTATACACAACCGTCTTTGGTACAAACCCATGTTGGAGACAAATCAACTTTGGAGACAAATGTTGGAGACAATTCCATCTTGAAGACTAACCCATGTTGGAGACAAGCCCATTGTGCAAACAAGTAAAACCCATGTCGGAGACAGCTCCATGTTGGAGAAAACTCCATTGTTGATATACACCCATGCTTGGCACAACCCGTTTTGAAGACAAACCACATTTGGAGACACACCCATCTTGGAAAGCAATCCCGTTTTGGAGGCCGATCCATTTGGGAGTTGGAGACAACTCCAATTTTGGAGACCAACCCGGAGACACATCAAACTTGGCAACAAACCCACCTTGGAGGAAGACTTTTTTTTTGGGCAGGCAACTCCATGCAAAAGGACACCATTGTATGTGTTTTTTTCGCTGACTGCGATCTCACCGAGGGATCTATCACCGCGGCGCGCCGAGAGAGGATGGCACCTGCGAGGGGCCAGGTGGAGTCCCCACCACTAAAGCAAGAGAGAGACAGAGATGCCCAGAGGCGGAGGTATTCGTCATACAAAACTGAGGCCTTTCAGAATCACAACATCCCTTTCCGCAAAACAGTGGCTGCGTTCATATAACGACCATTGTCTGCCTTTGATTGTTATCATCCAAATTGGGACCTTGCCATTCTTTTTGGGGTTGAACCCCAGGGCCAACACATTATGTCATTCGATTGCACCCAATCCACAAGAGTAGGTGATTGTTCCGGGATAACAAAAGGATGCCCATGAGCAAAATGTTCGACCCAGAGGGGTTTGGCCAGCTTCGGTCATCATCAAGGGAACAACCCTTTCCAACTACAAGATAATGGGCGGACACCTGCTACAAAGTGGTTGGAATTATTCTGACTCCGGACTAAACCTGCCAGAGTTATATGGGCGGTTTGCACCAAAAGTAAAGGAGCGGTATTTTCTGTCAATGAACCAAAAGTCTGTCAGATAATGCCAAGCGCATTGACTGTGACTCACTGCCTGAGTGGATTGGCCGAACAAAAAACGATTTGCTGCTTGCCGCTAAGATGGTAGTCCCCGAAAGTATAAAACCAAGGAACTCAGGAAGTGAGTGCAGAGATGTGAAGCCAAACATCAGCTCGTCCATCCTCAAAAACAAACACTGCGCATCACGCACTCGAGAAGCTTTTTGGCCTGCCGATTCGTGATCCTCGTAGAAGCAAACCCTCTTGCCACGATGTCTGCAAGACTAAATGCTGACGGAAGGACAATCTGTGTGCCCTGTGCCTCCAATCTATAAGGCGGAAGCCAATAAATAGCGCACTTGATCAGGGCAAAAAAGGCTGCTACCCTCCCAAAAACACACATGCAGCCTGAAACAGGGCCCCTGCAAGATGAAAATGGCCTTCCAAGGGCACTTCGGCTTCCAGATTTGTTTTTGGCAGGGCAACCCAGAGTTCGCCAACTCATCCCCTTAAAATCGACAAGGGATCACAAAAACACATATTTATTTTATTTCTTGGAAGTCCACTTTGCCCTGACCACTGCAAGTCCGGCTGAGCCGACCATCGGATGCCTGCGTTGCATCCGATCGTCTGGCACTCCAGACCGAATTTTGAGCCCTCCTTCCGCCGAAAGTTGAGGGGTGGCAAGACATGCTGGAGTGTTCAAGACCCCTGAGTGGATTGGCCAGAAAACGTCGGAGATGTTATTATTATTATTATTATTAATATTATTATTATTATTGTATTTGTTTAACCATCTAGATTGTCTTCCAAGCAGGTTTTAAAGTCCAGGAACTCCGGAAGTGAGCCGAAAGACTCAGTGCCGGAGGATTGACTGGGGAATCATCGCTTCAGGGGAACATTATTATGGGGTTGATTAATCTGGGGGTCAACATTACTCCCAACATATGTACATTCTGGTAGACTAGGCGAGGTTCCAGGGGGGGGCGGTCATGAAGACTCAGTCAGTTCTAATTTCTTGCAATGTTTGAAGAGGGATCGACCTTTGAGGACCCTCCCAATTCGAGCGAAGGGCGGACTTTAAAAGGGCCCCCCTTTGGGGGGTAGAGGAAACCGCAAAGCATGCCACAGGTACGCCCGCTTCACTCAATCTTCACTCAATGTCAGGAATCTGAACACATGTTCCCAGGATTGGGTCAGAACCCTTTAATTATGAAGGAAACAAACCACAGCTGCCAGTAGTGAAGTGGGCGCACGAATCTCATGCACATAGCGTTGCAGGGCAAACCATGCCAGGCGCTTCCAGAATTCGATGGCCTGTTTGTGATCTGCGAGATGGCGCAAGAAGATTGAAGAGCAAGCTAATAGAAACCCATCACTGTGTTTCCCCTGGTTGAGCGAGGGAATTCCAGCATAGCCAGGAAATTGAAGGAAAACCATGTAAGAGGCTTGAAAGTAGGCGGGTACCTCTGACGGGTACCTGAAAGCTCCCTCGAGGACGGTGGCCAAATAATGTGACGCCAAAGTGGAAATACCCTCATTACAGTGACACCAAGGTGACATCAGCTGATTGGAGGGGCCTAAACATTCCCTGTTCATGGTTGTAAAACAAAAGCTTTGTTTCTGTGATACCCACGTGGAATGCCAACGCGACTTGGGAACGTCGTCAACAGACACAAACAAACAAGCAAGCAAGCAAGCAAGCAAGCAAGCAAGCAAGCAAGCAAGCAAGCAAGCAAGCAAGCAAGCAAGCAAGCAAGCAAGCAAGCAAGCAAGCAAAGCAAGAAGAAAAAAAAACAACCAGCACTCCCCCCGTATTTTGCCCCTGGGCTGGCAAATGGCCCCAAAACGGCCATTGGGAGGTCACTTAACATTGGACTGCCATTGGCCTGGAAGGCGTTGCTTGTTTGGACAGGCCTGGGCCAACCGTCCGCGCACCCCATCCTGGACACACCAACCTGGTGGTGCCCTTTTTGCGATCTGGGTCGCACACAAAACCCCACACCAATTTCGACTGCGCACATCTACTTCCTGAGTTGACATCAGGGCCTTCCGCTGCTTGAACATCCCTATCGTGTCGCATCTCCACATGACCCTACCAGGGAACTCACTAAACCAATGGCCCATTCCACGAGGTGGAATATCACAGGGAGCAAACCCGAAGCTTGCCCGACGGTTTGCCCTAGCATGCGGCTTGCACTTCCAGTTGCAACTGAAAGTGACTTTGCCAGCACCCAGGCCATGAGTCTCTCATTGAATTCATCTGAGCCACAATCAACATAAACCAATTCAGGAACTGACACGCTCAGATGACTGGCAAGAAAAACTGAAAGGTTTTGAGCACCAAAATGATGAAAGACATCTACCCAATAAAAGGGCAACATGTTGACATTTCACGGGCGAGGTTATGAAAGCATCTACCCAAAGTTCAGATACTTTTGCAAGAGCGACCGCTTCTAAGCCTAACTTTCAACTTAAGGTATTGATTCTGGGTCACTTGGGTGTGTCTTGTGAGCTTCCCGCATCATTGGACCCTTCATTGGAGGGCTCTTTTGAGTTTCTTTATTGGAGGGGTTTGGGCTCCTAAAAACGGGTTGCCGGTACAGTTGGGGGTGCCATTTTTTTCTTCAGGGTGCCCTGTTTGGGCTTATTAAAGGGAAACCGGCAACAGACATCCTTTTTAGGATCCCAAACATATGGCGGTGGCTCAAAAAAACGGAATTCCAAAATGGCTTGCCCTGGTAAGTGGAAACATGGACCAAAACCCGCGGTCTGCCCCTTCTGTTTAATTTTTAGGATCCCACAGCCATATTTTGACACGGCACAGGCGAGCCCAAGCCTTGCACGATCCCACCATGGGGGCCCAACACCGTTGTGCTTGGCCACCTAAATTTGGGACTCCCACATACTGATGGATGAAATCCATTTCGCACTTTGCGAAAGCGAAACCATTGGTTGCTGGTTACAGGGAAATCCTTCCAGTGTTTCTTAGGTGCTTCAGACCTTTCGTCCATCAACACTATGTGGTTCTTAAGAGTTGGAACCACCAAAGTGGTTGGACACGAGCTCGAACAGTGATGTCCAACAAAGGGTCCCCTATTGAATCTCACACCTATAGACTCCAAACCGTCCATTCACCAGCCGTACTTTGGTAGCATGACATCTGACGGAACATGCGAAGGAAGTGAATGAAGATCTGTATAACACACATGTTCACGGTATGTTTCAATGTTTTAGTCGGCCCCAAAATACAACGCCATCTTCCCAACCACAAAAGGCCAGTCCAAGAACTTGGTGAGAACACACCATGGGTTTGAGTGTGGCTCATCTGCACATAAACATTTGGATCGCGAGCAGCGCGGCAACTGCTCGAAGCGCGGTGTCAGCAGCGCCGTTCGCGTTCATAGTCTCCATGGGCAAAGTGGTGGAACCTGCTCAGAACTCCTTCCAACTTGACATGGTCCCCGATAACCACGAAGAGGACATTATCCATACCCTTTTGTGTTTGTGTTTGTTGCTAGAATGAACTTATTGCCTATTTGGCCGTGAAGGGTCGACAAAGAAAAAACACGTTTGCTTGATTCCGGTTTGCTAGAACCAAGCAAACGAACAGGAGAAACACAGCTTCGTGACGAATGGCTCATGATTACCTGCTTCATCCAAAGGACATGGCTCGTCCAACCACAAACCTGTTTCGGAGGTTAGCAAACGTTTCATGTTTGACACTTCCCGGCCCCCAACCATCAATATCATAAACCTCATACCCAAACCTCAAACAACTTAAACCTACTAAAGGAGACAACCAGCTACAGCTGGTGAGTGGATAGTAGAAAAACATATACATCTGTGCTAAGTCCCCTTGTGGGTTACTTGAAGACGGTTGCTTGCAGCCAGGGTTAAGTAACCACTTACAGTGGGAGTTCATAATTAATTGAGAGGTCTCTGAATTTACGCTTCCCTCGTGTACTTCAGAGTTGGCCCTGTGTTCAAACCACTCAAAACACGGGATTGCTCAGTTCCCGAGAGTTTGCCACTAACATGTTTTTCCCAAACAAGTGAAAAGTCCAGGAACTCAGGAAGTGAAAAACACTGGATTGTCAGAATCACATGTTTAGCCAATGCTTGGCCCACAACACCCATGCATTCCCATGCGTAGCTCCCCCATCAGAAAGCAACACCCACATGGACCAGCTACCCTAAAGGAGGGTCAACTCAATGTGGGTTGTAGATTGCTCGCATAAGCCAGCCACACATACTTACACCAGTTGCCTAAGTCATGCACTTTCAGCTGCTGGATGAAGATTAGAACTTATTCAAACAGCTCACCCTAGAGCAGCAGAGCCGGCAACTTCCTTAAGCACAGGGTGTCAATCTCCTACTTTCGTGGTTATGCTTTAAATTCAGGGATGGTGTTGAGCATGCTGCAAGTACAGGGTCGGGGTGTAAATTCCTGCAATCCAGGGCTAACTCCTTAAATTGCGGCAGAGGGGGGGTACTTAATCCTTGTCCAGCACTTTTCGAACGGATTTGTGGGTGCACTTAAGCTTGGGTTTCAAGAGAAATGCTCCAAAAGTTCCTTGCAAGGAACATTGCACATGGACGCATACGCGCGTTTGCAAGTTCACGCAACCATGCCAACCCTCCGAACCAACCTCAAATCCAAGGCTTTTCACTGTATTCCTTCGGATACAGGGTGGCTCCCTCGTTCTGGGAAATTGAATCCTCATAGGTTACCCTCGGTCAAACAGGGCTTGCCCGAAATTCCCCAGAAGATGCGTTCCGAGCTTGGCCCATGTTCATGCCTCCCAGTGGGTGAAACCAACGTTGTCCTTCGGTCGTCCTGGGATCCCAAACATTGACTTTGAAACTAACGGCCCCCATATTTGTCACAAACCTTGGCAGCCCTTAATAGGGGATCGCGCAAACGGTGGAATTCCGGTGGTATTGATTTGTTTGTCGTTTTTAAACGGCTGTTTTGGGCTGTTTGCTTCTCCGTAAAACTGCCCGAAATCCAAATTCGTTCCGGCTCTCGGACAAACAACAAACTGACTTACCCAAGCCCTCAAGGTCGCGATTCGACGACTTTGCCCGGAATACGGTGACAATTGCTGGATGCCTACTTTGGTGGTGACTGGGATTCAGTGGGAACATTGCCCAATATCCTTGAACATGGTGTCACTTCAACTGCCCAACTCTGTTTAAACTTTTTGGACCCCTGTTCGGCTTACCCGTGAATTTCTGGGCTTCGACATTTCCAGAACAAAGTCGCAGGGTTGCTCCGAGTTGTTTTCACATTCTGTTGTGCACCGGATTCGCAAATTCCCAAAGAAACCCAGCCAAAACGTCTCTCTCTTGTTGGGTCAATTTCGGCTCCCTCTCACTTCTCTAAGTTTTATTCCCCATTCTCTTCAGCCATCGTTGTCTTTAGAAAACACCCATTTTTGAGGGTGTTGCCCCTTTTTTGAAGCGAAGGTTCCGTGAAGAGAATGGGAAGGGTACGGCTAGAACTTCCTGAGATTAGCCACGAGTCGCCGAACTTCTTCTGTTTGCCACTGAGTGAAAACTGGTTCAAACACAGAAAGGCGACTACAGCAGCCAGGACCTCAGGCAGCGAGTGAAGAACTTGTCTTCCGGTTCCGGTTCTCTTTCAAACGTGGTTCACGCTAAAATACAACGTCACTTTTGGCCCGCAAAATGCAGAGTTCCGGATTTTTGAGGAGAGAAAACTGCCCCGTCCCGTCGCCCATCGCCGCTCGTTGTCTGATTCCAAACTTCGAGCAGCAGGGCGCACCGTTGAGCGACACCATGCCCCAGGTCAGCAGAGAGCCATCCTGCTTCTTGGCGGCGAAGGCGTCGTGGATGGAGTACACCACATCCACCCCTGCGTGCCGCGCAACCCTTGATGCGCTACTGAGCTGCCCAGACTGTTGATTACAAAATCCATTTCGCACCACTTGGAAACCATGGTTGAAACCAGCGGTGGTTGGTATTTACAAGGGAATCATAATTCCAGGGTTTCTTAGGTGGTGCGGGATGGATAATCCTGCTTGCTTTGCAACCCTCCTGCTTGCCATACTCTTGATGCGGTACTGAGTTGACAGGACCCAAACATAAAAGGTTCACCGTTTGGGGCCATGACTGGTCGAAAAGGTCGGCTTTGGGGAACTGAGGGTAGCACACACTCAAAGGCTTTCGTCAGAACAGTGAAGCTCGGGCGGCTCCGAACCTGACCGAGCAATCTGAATGCTTAATGGGAGGTCTGGATACATTCCTTGTTTCTTTTGCGATTTAGTTTCCCTGGTTTTGGCAATCTTGGAAAAACAAAAAACATTTGAAGATGCCCAAGGGTTACTCTCCTACCAGAGTTAGTTCATGAAAAGAGGGTCCCCCTGAAACTAGCGCAGAGAGGGCCCAAAGGCCTAGCCTCCTTGGATGAGCTTCTCACTGATTCCGCCCCTTCTGCCTCTGGGTCCTTCCTTGGGAAATCTTGTTTAGTGTATCTTTTCATATACTGGACGGGTGGATGCGCAAAAGCCACATCCGAAATGTGTGCTCGAGCTTTGGGTTGGTCAAAACTGCCTCCCCTCCCCAACAAAAGCTGATTCTACCCATCCTCTTCACCATTGGACAGAATGTACGAATGGATCCCTGCTACCAACGCTTTACCTTGAATCTGGCTTGGTCATTCCGTTTTGTCCAGAGGTTTCCTTATAATCCATGATAAACATGCCCCATGCCGACAAACATCATGACAATGAGCCTACACGGTGACGTTCTCAGGGTTGGAGCACTGCAGTAAGTTGCTGTTTAGAAAGCACCAGACAAACAGATCGAAACAAAATGGCACAAGCGCAGTTGTGTTGGCTTCCTTTTGGGGGAACGCCAAGCAAATTTGAAGGGAGACAAAATCCTTCACCAGCCGAGACGGATGCAGCCCCCACCTACCAACTGGAGCATTTTGTCCACGATGGTATGTTGCCACGAAGATGGGTGAGCGTTTTTTGAGAGTACCCTTTTCAGGGTGGGTTCAAGGGAAGCCAAAAGAACAAACACACTTCCGTTTTTTTTTGCGGGGGTCCAAATCCCTATTTGACACATACCTCACTTCCGTGGATTGGCCAAACACAGAAATCAACCTTGTTGGTTTTTTGCTGAAATCGTTCAAACTTGGTAGGATACAACCATGGAAAATACGGATTGGTTGCCTGATCTGACCATGTGGTAACCTGCTTACCCGGGTTGCTTTTCCCCCTGAGCCACTTTTTGCAGTTTTATGTTTTTCATGATGAAGCCAGTTTGTTTCAACGATCCCAACAGTGGCAACAAGTTGGAGCTTGTTTGCCCAATCTATGGAACTAAGAACTAAACTAACATGACCCCTCTTGATGTTGACCCCTGATTGCTAAAGCAAATCAGGAGGGTTTGTCTGGACGGAAGGAGTCCCACCAAACAGGGCACCTGGCAAGCACTTGTGGTTTGGAGGTTCCGGGGTGGCTTCCCAATTGACCCCACAAGATCTTTTTAAATGAAACAAAACAGATGTTCAAATGCCCAAACAACCCATTCAAGCCACCTACCAACATATCAATCAACCCCAGCTGATGAATAGGGACGCGTTTTGCTCAGGTGATGCTTCCCCACCAAACCCAGGGACACCCCAGGCACAAACTGCGTTGAGTAATATGGGATCAACTTGACACCAAACGCTACTCAGCTTCCCTCCTCTTGGTGGGTTGGTGGTTCCGGGGTGATTTTCCATTCACCAGCTCCACTCCAAACCACCCATCCCAACCACCTGAGCCACGAAACATACTCCAAGCCAGCAGCCAGGATGGAACCTCATACAGACCTACATACATACGTTACATATTACCCAGATTACATACATGCAGACATACATAAGCAAATCTAAAGAACACTTGCCGGAGAGGAACTGGTGATGCTGAGGATCCAGGAAGCCAAAGCCCAAAAAAAAACAAAAGGGCGCGAAAGCCTCAGATTTCTCCGGTTGAGTTCCGCAGCTTCGGGAGGCTTCGGCTTCCACTCGCCGACGAGACGGCCGGCCTGTGCTGAGCTCTGTGGCCACCTGCGAGGAGTCGCCGCCGGCGGAGGAGGTGCCCCAGGTCACCACGGAGCCGTCCTCCGGGAGGGCCACGAGTCGTTCAACCGGCGGATTAAAAAACCACCGGGGAAACCGGCGGTTGGGGATGATGTCAGTGGGAAAACCACGAGGAAACCGGTGGTTGGGGGATTTGAACGCCTGGCTCTTGTGGGTAGATGGTTGCAATCACTCCATTTCACCTCCAAATCACCGGCTCCAAAGCACCCTTTTCATGGAGGGAAGCTGAAGTTTGTGTGCGTTTGTGTGTTTTTTTCCGCTAACGCAAGCCACATATTTTGGGCTTACCTGAAAACCGGCGGAAAACACGAGGAACCCCGAACAAATCTGGCAAACTCTTGGACAGAACTTGGGGATACACTGGACCGCATGTTCCAAAACATGGGCAACACTTGGACACGATTGTGCAAAAAGAACGTCGGCAAGTATAGGGAAGGAGTTCAGAAGCGCGCCGGAAACAAACCACGCCTTTCAACGGTTTTCCCTGCGGTGTCCAAAAGAAAGTTGAGCCTTGGTCAAGTGGGACGGTACCTGGACGATCAGCTTCCCCTTCAAGATCAGCCCCCTGTGAAGTGCCATGGTGCCATGTCTGGGTCCGGGAGGCTCCCTGAGCTTTTCGGCAGATTCGCTTGGCCAACGCCCGTCCTTCTTCTTGGCCGCAAAGGCACCCCGGGCGGCGAAAATCACCTCCACGCCTCCGCGAGAGGCCGCGAGCCGAGAGCTGATAGCGCGCGAGGAAGTGGCGAGAAGAGGGGGCCACGAAATGGCCATGACGATAGCTTCCTTCACCGATTGAAAAACAGGAAACACAGCATGAAAACCAAAACAATAAAAATAGGTTCGTCGTTGCTTTGTGTTTGTCTTAAAGCAAATGATTTGTTTTTTAGATGTTCGTCGTTGTTTTGTTTGGAAAAACCGTAAATCACATTGTAACATAGGCGCTCGCGTTGAGAAAGCCACCCACTTCCATTCTCCGGACTTTGGAAACGGAACTGAGGTTTAGGAAACTGGGAAGTGATTGGCTGTTGATCGGAAAACCCTTCTGCTGCCCTTTCCATTTTCCATAATGTTGGGACCTGATTAGGAATAGCCTTCAGATGAATGCTGACTTTGCTCCGCCCCCCCCCCCCCCCCGGATCCCCTCACCAGGTCAAGTGTCTATTTCAGACCAGGGCGGGCACGTTTAGTCACGCCTTATGCTTTTTGTTCACCCCCCCCCAACCCCCACAAAACTACAAAAAACCACATTCTAAGGCCAGTGCGAACACCTTTTCCAGTACTACTTTCTTTCAGAGTTCCCCGGATTGCCATGCATAACAAATCTCCAAACATCAGCCAACCAGAAAGAGCATGTCTTTTTGTTGCTAGAGTTGATTTAAAAAACCAAGGCTTGACAGGCTCACAAAGAGGACCCGTCGCCCCTAGCAACCACCCCCCTGCCCTGATTAATCATGGCTCTCTGCAGAACTTCAAGACACAAAACAAAACACTTCCTTTTTGTGCCAAAACAGGGAGAGCACCAGATTACGGCCAAAGGGGACGGAAATACGGGGGAAGGGGTGGTCCGCAGGTACGCTCCAAGAACTTGTTTTCTTTTCCGAACCTTGACAAAATTGGGGCCTTTACTCATCAACAGCAATCATTACTTTTTAGCGAACAGCTGAATCAGAAAACCCTACCATGGCCTTACAGACCTCCTAGTAGCTCCTTGGCTCCCTGTTTAGAAGCAAATTCGGATTCCCCCAGCTCCCTCCTAGAACCAGGTAACCAGCAGAAAACAAAGTCAGTTGACTCCAAAACCGGCCTTTACTCATGAACTGGCAATCATTACTCGGTTGCTTTCGGCTCCCCTGCTAAAAGTTTAACTTTTAGTGGTTTAATGGAAAACCCATGAGTTGGCAAAGAGTTAAAGTCCTAATATCCAAGCAAAATGCACCAAAGATTACTTTTTGTCCAGCTGCTTAGACACATGGCCATGGGCCAAAAGCCCGGTTATCCCCCAGTGAACATCCCAATCTCCACTATAGACTAAAATGGGTGGTGCACCGAAAACCCGCAAATGGGATCCCAAAACGGTTTTGACAACCACAGCCACATCCGCCGCAAACTTCCATTTGCTTAAGACCCCTGGAAAAAATACAAATATGTCCAGTAGTGAAAAAGTCCTGTTTAAACCAACAAGGGGAGAAAAAAACAAAAAATGATAATAACAATTATTATTATGATTATGATTATTATTATAAACACTTCAGCAAATGGAAGCAAAGTGGCCCCGCTGACGACTCCCCAAAAACCGCCGCGCCTGAGGCGAGCTGGTCCTCCACAGCCGAGAGGTCGCCGCCGCGGCTGGGGTCCCCCCAGGCCACGACGGTGCCGTTGGTTTTGAGCGCCGCGAAGGCGTAGCCCGTGGCGAAGATCACTGTCACTCCTGGCGGGGGGTGGGGGGGGATTTTTTTTGGTCGTACCTGGTGCCCGGGGGGAAACAAAAACGAGAAGAGAAGATTCACCACCGGTTTTAAAAGGAAACCGCATGTAAACCACACCTGGGGGGTGCTATTTTAGCACACACCTTTTTGCACTGGAGAGGCAAAACCCTTTCCATGGTCCCAAGACCCTTGGCCAGAAAGGGAGACAGGAAACACGGAAAGCTAAGAGCTGTAATTAGCAGGGCCAAGAAGATCCTATGAAATGCCTCCTGGATAGGCACTATTCCAAGGTCCCTTTACTCTTTTCCGGGCGTTAACCAGCCTGGAGCCCTCATTGTGACACAAATTTGTGTTACGTAAAAATTCGTGGTCGAGCCACGCTTCTCTGCTCGATGCTTCGGAAAGCGCGCGGTCCTTGGAAAAAAACAAAAACTGTGGTTTTGTTGTCCGATCTGTTTGGAGGAAGGCGAGCAATTGCTATGCTTTCCTTTTGCAGATAGTTGCGCTAGTTTTGCGGATGGTTGCTTTCCTTTTGCACTTCGATGTCTGCGCACTCCTTTCAGCAAGCGATCATTTTGGAGGACCAGTCTGTACGTTCACCACATTTTGGCGACGACCCTTGGTTAGTCTGGTCCATATTTAGTAGACCAGTCCCAAAAAACAGGTACCTGGACCCTCAACCTACCCAAACAAAGGGAGATTCACCCATTCTGGCACAAACCTGGGCTTGAGAGGGAGGGAGGTTGAGGTCCTGAGGCCAGCTGCGGCGCCACGGATGCCGGGATCTCACCGCCATAGTGAGGGTCACCCCAAGCCACCACTGAGCCTCGGTGGTGACTTCCTCGACTTCGGCCCCGTCCACTTCCCTCATGGTAGGGTACAACGCCAGCTGGAGACACCCCCCGCTTTTTCTGGAGGACCCATGAAGTCTGGCACTGCCGGGTCGCAAAACAAGTTGCAGGCAAGCCTATGGGTTCCCTTCCCGAGGGGTTTCTTGGTACGACAGCATTTGGGGGGTCGAACCTCTGCCGTTTCAACCACCCAAAAGGGTTGAGGGCACCCCTTCGTTAAGTCAGCTTAAAGCAAACCATAGGATGACACCGCTACGTTTTTAGGGGGTCCCGTTTGGCACATACATACCCATATTCAGCTTGAAATATCCTGGCTTCAAAGAAGCTTCCTTGGGCCCACAAGCGCCAGTTTGTTTGTCTTTTGACGCTGCTCTTGATGGATAGTGTTTTTCTGTTGGATCACGCGAGTTGTTCCTGCCCACCCCCGCCCCCCCCCCCGCCCCCCGCCCCCCCCCACTTGGCCTTTGAAGGGTCGCCGGACTCCCGGTTCCTTCTTGTCTTTATTACTTCACTGCAAAGGTAAGGGGTTGGCATGGGAACAATCCAACCCGTCAAGCGGAGTCAAAATGGCTCTCAATGGGTTTAACATGACTGACGGAACGACTTGCAGCCGTTAATGGGAATCCCCGGATGAAGAACAAAAAACGGTTGACTAGTGGAGTGGTTGTCCCCTTTTAGTGTGCATTCGTCACTTTTGTGGGTCCCCCCCTTCACCCTATTTTTCGGCGGGTTTATTTATGCAGGGTCAACATTAGGGGGAGAAAGCTTGTTTTTGGTTGCCAAAGAAAATTCAATAGGCAAACCATGTGGAGAGATCCCAGAATTCAAAAAAACTCACTGTTGTGTTGCGGAACATCCAACTGACAGGAAAACAATATTGATGCTGGTTGAACATAAAGGAACGCCTGGCGAAAAACAATGAACAACGGGCTGTCACAGTTGCTTTGCTTGTTTTCGTGTTTAATTGCTTGCTTGTTTGCCTGCTTGCTTGCTTGGGTTGGTTGTTTGTTTGCGTTGTGTTTGTGTTTTGCCTAAACGGCAAACATCACAATTCAACAAAACCACACGCAAATAACGCGATGAAAATCTGATGCGGACAACAAACCAAGCAAGCTTCCTTTAAAGCAGGGTCGTGGGACGTGTGTGTCAAGACAGGCATTTGGACCCCGCGAATTGTTTGCCCATTTTGGTATTCCCCTGAAGCAACCTGACTCAAAAAGAAACACTCCCTGAGTGGATTGGCCAAAACAAGTAACCAGACTTCTGTTTGCCACTAAACTTGGCTAACATTGAAAGGGGAGCAACAATTTAAATTTCAGCAGTTAAGTGAGGATTTCAACCACTAAACCACAATGAGCAAAAGTGTAACATGTTTCCCACCAGCAACCATGTAAACAGGTCGTCCCAAAAAGTGTGAAGTCCAAGAGCTCAGGAAGCGAGTCCAAAATACCAACCTTTCCAGGGGTTCCTTCCATTTCCATTCTTTCCAGGGATCCGGATCTTTTCAGGAAACCATCAAAAACCCAGGAAAAACGGAGCCGGTTTTTGAAAAGAACCCCAGGCCGTGGCGCCATCGCTCTTCTTCGCGGCGAAGGCGAAGAGCGTGGAGAAGATCACGTCCACGCCGGAGCCCTAACCCCGAAGCCGCGAGGATCCCATGGGAAAGCCCCCCGTCCAAAGAAAAAACGCTGCATGGCTTTTGGGACCATGGCTGCAAGCAGGCCGAACGTAGACCTGGTCCATACACCAAGAAAACGAAACTATACCACTCTGGAGGTGTGTTTGGGGGTGGAAGGAGGTAGCTGTCTGATTGAAAGGCCAGCGTTTCAGGCAAGTGAACCCAGTTGTCCCCAAAGCACGTAATTGGAGGTTGCCTGCCAGGCGCAACTGGATCCACTGGGAAAGCCAAAGCTTGCAAAATTAAGAAGTATCCAAGGGACATTGACATTTGGCCATGGGTCAAAATCCCGGTCATCCCAATCCCCACTAAAATAGACGAAAATGGGTGGTGCACCGACCCCAAGATGGTACCATAGGTGTTGACCCACGGCCATTTTTATATCCCAGTGGGTCCAAATTTGGTACGGGGAAATGCAGTCTGCTATTCTCTCTTGCCCAAAGGACCCAGAACCAAAAGCATATACAACCTTTTGGGGCCATGTGTAAAAATTGGACCAAGACGGGGACACTAAAGGGATACAACCTTTTGGGGCCATGTCTAAACATGGACCAAGACGGGGACACTAAAGGGATAAAACCTTTTGGGGCCATGTCTAAAAATTGGACCAAGACGGGGACACTAAAGGGATAAAACCTTTTGGGGCCATGTCTAAACATGGACCACGACGGAGACACTAAAGGGATACAACCTTTTGGGGCCATGTTTAAACATGGACCAAGACGGGGACACTAAAGGGATAAAACCTTTTGGGGCCATGTCTAAACATGGACCAAGACGGGGACACTAAAGGGATACAACCTTTTGGGGCCAAGTTTAAAAATTGGACCAAGACGGGGACACTAAAGGGATAAAACCTTTTGGGGCCATGTCTAAACATGGACCAAGACGGGGACACTAAAGGGATAAAACCTTTGGGGCCATGTCTGAAACATGGACCAAGACGGGGACACTAAAGGGATACAACCTTTTGGGGCCATGTCTAAACATGGACCAAGACGGGGACACTAAAGGGATAAAACCTTTTGGGGCCATGTCTAAACATGGACCAAGACGGGGACACTAAAGGGATACAACCTTTTGGGGCCATGTCTAAAAATTGGACCAAGACGGGGACACTAAAGGGATACAACCTTTTGGGGCCATGTCTAAACATGGACCAAGACGGAACACTAAAGGGATACAACCTTTTGGGGCCATGTCTAAACATGGACCAAGACGGGGACACAAAACATGGTCCCCTTCCGGTCGATTCGCTTTTGCTTTCGTGCAAAAGGCGAGCCCAGAAAAAGCTCCGCAGATTTTGCTGTCCAAGCTGCCAGCTGGGAAGATACCGCGCTGGAGTCCCCACCTCGGGTTGATGGCACCAGCGCGCCTAGACTGTTGTACTGTATTCAATGGCCTACTTTGGTACGGATTTCGGCTGTGTTCCAGCATGGTTGTAAAATTAGTTGTAGAACCACGAACCTAAAATGGCCAATGGTCATGCTTATAGTCAGAAAACAAGTTGTAGAACCACCTCAAATTGCCAATAAAATTAGGGGCTTTGCGCTCATGAGCCCCTTTGTAGAAACCTCGAATCCCCCAAAGACCCGCTCGAAATTGACGCGCTAGGCTCCGAAGCAATGCTAAGCAAAGTTCCTACTGTTGGGCTCCAATTATCTCTAGGCCTCTAGGCTCGGAACGTTTTTCCCCCCCCCCCGTAACACCTACCAACCAAAAAGCACGCCTTTCGTGGGTCGAATGTATCTGAAAGGGTGCCAAAAACCCACCTGGCGCACCGCACACCTTTTGTCGGTTGAGTTTACGCCAAACCAAAGTAGCGGCATGATGCCTTGCTTGTTGGACGTGGCGGGAAAATCGTCAACAAGCAGAGGAGCAACATGACACTTGTTTTGCCCTTTGAACTTTAAGTACACCAAACAAAGACACACCTGTCAAGCAAGGGGTAACCTCTCCATTCTGGCGTCATAGTGTTTCCGGCTGCAGATAAATATGTCTTGAGACAGGGGACACCACATGTTTCTTAGTTTCCTTCTCTGTTCCTTCAAAAACCAACCAAAAGGAAACTCCCAACAAAGAAACGACGAGAACAAAACACAACACGCTGGCGGCAAAGCCCCGCATGCATCTGGGCCGCCATAGCTGGGGTCCCCCCAGGTCACCACAGAGCCATCGTTCTTCCGCGCGGCAAAGGCTTGGTCGGTGGAGTACACGCTATCCACTCCTGCGATCTGCTTTGTTTTTCTAGGGCTTGCACTTCCACTCTACCGGATCCATTTTTGTTGTGATCAAGGGGCCCCGCGCCCACTGAAAACCGAAAATGAAACTGGATGGGTACCTACAATACTTGGTGGTGCGCCTACCCTAAATCCGTCCAACCCTGGGGCTTGTAGTTTAGTAGCATCCTCACTAGAAATGATCACAACCAACCACTTAAGGAAACAAACAGATAGGCCAAGACCGGTGAATATGCCTAGCTAGGAGAATAGATGGGGTGATGCCAGTTCCGCAACCGGGCACCTGAAAGGTATCTTGGGGAAAAACAAGAACTGCAGTGTTCCCACGTTCTCCCCAAGTTGGGCTTTTAAGTGGGAATTCGAAAACGGGATGCTTCCGGCTGAAGCTATAGATTGCCATGTTTCACTTGTGGGTAAAGGGAATGACCACCCAACTGAGGAACAATAAGCTGATAGGAATGTAAAAATGACCTTCCTTTTGAGGAACCTGCCCCATGACTGGAAGGTCCTGACCACCCTTTCTATGAACACATGGAAAATAGGTGGGTGAAAGAAGAGGCACGATTGGCAACCATAACCCCAACCATATCAATTCTAAAAAAGTCAAGATACATCCCCTACTTGGCATCATCCTCTTAGATCTTGGCTTACTCATGCTCTACATCCACCCTGTCCTGACTCGAGATCAGCCACAGATGTGCCCGAGGTTCTGCCATAGTCATAGTATCCCCAGGTCACCACGCTCCCATCCGTCTTCTTGGCAGCAAAGGCGTAGTCGTTGGAGTAGATGACCTTGACAAAGGACGGAAAATGAGCTTGAAATCGATACCCGTGTTTGGGTTGATTGTAAGGGAAAAAAACTCCATACTTTTGGGGGGCCTCGACTTGTTGAAGCAAACCCGAATCAATCTAATTAGGTGATTCATCATACGCCAAAGATACCTGTATGTTTGTTGAATATCGAGAGATACACAAAACTGCGCAGAACGCAACATGCGATTCTTTCCTGCGGCCCCGCAACCTCCCAAAAGAAGGATTCAAAGGCCGAGCCAAGGAGTCTTTAGGGATCTGCCGAGCCGAGTCGATGGAAAGCTCGTATGGTGTGCACGGAAAACTGAAGGCCGTGGCTGCGAGTGGGCTCTTAGTGGAGTCAGACGCGAGTTTAAAGCAACAGGTGATTTCAGAAACATAACATAACAGTTGAAACCACACGTGTCGTGTTCAGGACCAGCTGGAATGTCATGGCATAGCTCTGACTCACTTGCCCAGAGGACCCAGAAATAAAAGGTTAACCTTTTGGGGCCATGACTAAACATGGTCCAAAACTGGAAACCAAAAGGTCAAAAGGTGAGCTTTGGGCAACTGAGCTGAATAAGCATTCTTCAGAAAGATTTCGCTTGCTGAGCGGCATCCACTCCTGACGAGAGCTTCGATGACACAGAGCTGGAATCTCCGCCGAAGCCGGGATCGCCCCAAGTGACCTTATCCACAAAGGCCACTTGGGATGTCTCAGAATAGGGTTTTGGACAGCCCAAAAGGGTGGGTTGTGGTTTCCATTTAAACCAAACCCCAAAAAAAAACGTGCGCTAAACATGGATCGGTCCTCCGATCCCATCCCCAGCGCCCGGGTTTGATTTCCGATCGCAAACACGGGCGCCGGGGGAGGGTTGGGCTCTTTTCCTGGGGCTCGACAAAATTGGTCAAGGCAGATTTTTGGGTCATGCCAAAGCACATGGCAAAGAAAGACCGCTATTCTAAGGGCACCCCCCAAAAAAAAATCCGCCCTCTCACTGACGGTCCAGCGGCAACGCTCCCATCCGTCTTCTTTGCGGCAAAGGCCGTTCGCGTGGAGTAGATCACATCTACTCCTGCTGGAAGCTTCTGCCCCATGCGCAAATGCGTGTGTGTGTGTGTGTGTGTGTGTGTGTGTGTGTGTGTGTGTGTGTGTGTGTGTGTGTGTGTGTGTGTGTGTGTGTGTGTGTGTGTGTTCGTTTGTTTCTTTGTTTCTTTGTGTCTTTGGTTTTTTGTTTGCTTGTTTGTTTGCTTCAGGGTACCCTTTTTCACCCTGGTGTAAAGGGATATCAACATGAAACCGTTTTTGGAGACACCGTTTCTTCACACAAACCTACAAGAGTCTAAACGGTTAGACCGGGATGTAGGGTACTAGTCAGCCTGACGACGTCATGATCAAAGCATAATAATTCTGTCACTATTTTGGTATGTGTCAACATAAGGAGACCAACAATGCTAAATTCACAGCTTCTTTGCTGTTGTTTTTCCTTCAAACCAACCCCAAGCGGGGTACCCTCCAGAAGCCCTTGGTGACTGAAACAAGGGATTGGACAAACTTCAAATACGGGGCGGTGTATTTCCGCGGGGAGGTTCCGGGTTTAAGTCTTTTTGGGGGGAATCACAAACTGAAACTTAAAAGGTATGCCCCTCCCTTCAAAGAAACATCCACGTTCAGCGAAAATGACAAAACCGCACTGTTTAAAAGCTCCCACAGGCTCGCCATTGTCATCTCTAAAAATGGGAAACTCACCCCAAAGTCCTGGGGCTAACCCATCTGCAATTCTTACAATATGTCCAAAAGCTGAACTAAGAATTGGATCCCCAAGTAGAGGACCTTTCTCATTCGCTCGTTCCCCGAATCAGTTTATTTCGCGTGATAAAATAGGCAGACCCATTCGGTCGGAGCCGAAGCTCCTGAAGCGAGCTGTGAAGATACGGCGCTGGAATCGCCGCCGTAGTAGGCATCGCCCCAAGTCACCACACTGCCGTCCACCTTCTTAGCAGCCATGGCGGCACGGTTGGAGTAGATGACCTGACGCGCGCATTGCCACCCGAGTCACCTTGGTACTGAAAAGGGTCGATACCCAGAACCATGCAAAAGAACCAGACAGGCGGATATCTGCACCTATTTATGCTTGGGACTGTCCTTTGCTATCCTTCATCTACCCAGCACTTGATTGTGGCTCACTTGGGTTCTTGCTGAAAAGATAATATGTTCAGCCCCCCCCCCCCGGAAGAAAAAAACAAAAAGGCTCCGACTTCTCTTTGGCCATCGACAAAGACAGGTACCCTCAGCAACAGTCAAAACCACCCTGGGTATAGCAGCCATCCCAAGCAAAACGAAGAAGGGTACACTCGGGTACAGGGTGGAGATAGGCAAACGTATAAGTCGTTATTGAAAGGGGACTCACCCAAACTGGGCTGAACTAGTGTCATCCGCTTTCAACTGGGCCCGCCTCCACTCCCGAGGCCAGCTGTGACGCAACAGCACTGGAGGTCCCGCCGTAGAAGGGATGGCCCCAGGTCACCACAGCCCCGCCGGACTTTTTGGCCGCGAAAACGTAGGGGCCCGCATAGATGTCCTCGACCGATACGTGACTTGGCCACCGTGTCAAGAGAGGGTACCTGGACCCTCAAGCTACCCTTCAATCCATCCTGTCATTTGAAGCAATAGCAAATTTCCAGCTACACCGAGCACAATATGCTCAGGATCTGCTTCAGAGTTGGTCTACCCATTCTACTCACAAAAATACAACATAGCTTGGAAGAAGACACCAAATACGGTCAGAAGTTGTGGAAATTTACCCTTTCTGCGACAACACACTGGGTCATTCCCATGACTACTTGGTCACATTGAAGGGGATCTCGTTCGTATCACAGAAACTGGCCCTAGAACCATACTTTCCCAGATGCGTTGCTCCTTTTGCCATCCGACAAGGATGAAACCAAACCCACAGCACGTCTAGAACTTCGCCTCCCTTGAGGATTCGATGTTTATTTTTGTTGTTGAGGGTACCATTGTGGGGCTGGTTTAAGGGGAACCAAAGGGAACATCGCAATTTATGGGGGGCGGGGAGCGCCCCAGTTTAAGACACCCCCGATTCCGCAATTGGCAAGCTGAAAGAGCCATGGCTGCAACCGACATCGGAAACGACCGGTGATTCATGGCGACTCCAAAGATGCAGCCGCAGGCAAGGCAGAGGGTATCCTTGTTGCCGCCTTGTTTCGGGACAAGTTTGGCATACCTATGAATTCCAAGGGAAAATGGATTTGCCACGTCAGAGCTTCGGACTTAAGAAAAAGAAGACAGACAAACAAGGACACAAAGAGTCATGGGGGCTGGGGGGGAGGGAGGACAGGGGGGAGGTAGCCCAAATAAGCCCTAAATTAGGCTTAATAAGGGATTATTTTGGGCTGCCTCCCCCCTCCCTCCCCAGCTCCCATGAAAGAGTGCTGGGCTGAAGACAAACTGGGCTTCAACGTGGCAAGCAGTTCACAGACAAGTCCCAAGTTGCAACCCTGTCCTCGACTCCCGAGGCTAGCCTGAGGCAGATGTGCATGCCCCAAGAATCTTGAGACCTCAAAAACGGGCATGTCTCTTTTTGAGGTCCCCTCACTCCAAGACAACAATGAGCGAGAATGGGGATATTTACCGGGTTTGGTGCCAGTCCATCGTAGCATAATTTGTTTGGCCCCAAGCTTGCGAATCTCAGCCGAAGTTTAAACGAAATCCAAATCCTGAAATATGGTTTCAAGGCTTTGCAGGGAATGTTCAAGTCAAGGTCCTTCACCACATGGGGGGTTGATCAATATTCCTGGTCCCCAAATGACCATGGGTCACTTTTCCCATGTGGGAAATGTCATGTCTTTAGTGGTTTTCCCAAAATTGTCATCCCATGTACCACGCACCTTTTGATCACCATACTCCGACTGTGGCCAAACAAACTCTTCAGGCACAAACAACTGACATGCCTTCTACCCCCTCCATGCTGGCATCATGTAAAAGAAGCGTGGGGCTGGCAGCACACGTTCTTTAAGGATCTAAACAATTAAAACAATCGACCGTATAATAACGATGTTGTGTACTCTTGTTGCCCTGTACCTCGACACATCTCTAACTCTGGGGTATGCCAAACATAACTTGTTCAGATTATGTTTCATTGTAGTCACCCTTGAATCATAAAACATCGGAGACCCACGTCTGTATATATATATATATATATGTATTATTACCTAAACAACACCCCCGCACGCAAACCTCCGGCCTGCAAGCACGCAGCCCTTAACACCCCCCCGCAAGCCCTGGCTATGGGGGGGAGGTGCTATCACATCTGCTGTATTGAGGGCTTATCACGTTCCTATCAAGTATGTACGCTGCTTCGCATTTAGTCACCCTTAAAAGCAGCAATCATATTGGAGGAGACCCCTAAATATGCGTATCTGTATATATATATATATATATATCTAAATAAATGTATAGACACGGGTGTGCTTTAAACGGAAACTCAAGCGACAAACACAATTTTGAGGGTCCCCCTAAAGAACGACACACCCATATATACAAATTGCACAACCCAGCCCACCCCCTCGAGGCTGCTATTTTTCCAGGCGACTGGGCAGATACTGAGCTGGAATCCCCGCCGTAGTCTGAATCCCCCCAGGTAACCACGCTACCGTCACCTTTTCTGGCCGCGAAGGCGTAGTTGTTGAAGTAGATGTTCTCGACTCCTGAGAAGTTTTCGGGGTCTCTCTCAAAATAGGGGAACCCCCAATTGGGCGGTGTCCTTTCTATTTCCTTTTGAATCCAAAAGGGTACCCGCCAAAAAGATACACAGGTACTGCCAGGAATCGTACGGTCGGACACCTGGGGATGTTTTCTGATACATCCCAGCCGGGTATGAGTCCTCAGTGGAGAGACTCTGTTCTGGCTCAAGGGGATGTATTTGTCAGGTATCCCGTCCACGTTGCCCTGGACCCGACCAGAAAGTTTCTTTTAGAGGAGAGGACCCACTACTCATTTCCTGAGTGGATTGGCAAACAACAATAAATGAATTAACCTGTTTATCTACCACTAAAATGGTTCAAACCCAAAAAGTGGCTAAAGTCCATGAACTCAGGAAGTGAGACAAAAGTGCCATACTCCAAAGTAAGTTGCTCTAAACTGCGGTTCACAAAAACACCACCCGCACAACTCATTTTGAGGGGCATCGCATCGGAAACCGTGGCCACTCCGGGTGCGTGACAGCGGGCCGGTGATTGAGGCAAGAGGATGGTACCGAGCAACAGGATGGCTTCCATTTGCTTCTTGGGCCCCCTGGGGAAAAAAATGAGAACATGTCTCCAGTAGTGGAATCGAGTCTCTTTAAACCCCAACGAGGGACAACAAGCGTAATAATATTCATGTCAGCAAGTGGAAGGCATGGGCGGGCCGAAAAGTTGAAAAAAAGCCAACCTTTTAAGCTCCGAGGAAGTTCACTGGCGACGTCGATTGCCCTCAAAGCCACCAAATGGAAGCTCAATTTGACTTGGCCAGGCACCACGGAGATAGAGACCCAAAAGCCACAGGGCTCCCTGGACCATAGATCCAAACACATAAAGATACATTTACGGAGGATTGGCCCGCAACATCTGGTTGCTTGGGGCGAAAGCTTTGAAAAGGAATTCCACTTGCTCAAAGCCTTCTTGCAAAATATTGCCCACTTGTAGCATCTTGCACTTATCAATGGCTGAGCGTGCTCTTTTGGAGTAAGTACGCCTGTCTGGGTGAGTTAAATCTGAGATGGTCCACCGGGCAGGAACCACTACCAGGGAAAATGCAGTACATCCCATTTTCCTTCCGGTGGTTTGGGGGGTAGTGAACCACCTTACTGGGGTCATTATGTTAACTGTTTCTGGGGGTGATTAAAGTCAGAAATTGGGGTTGTTTACCTTTAACCTACAACCTAGATTTTGACTTTGAAGATTGTAAAATGAAGACCCTGTAAAATCACATTGTCCTTCGGGTGGTTTGGGGTTAGTGACCCAGCCTTAGGTCAAACACATTTCACCGAACAAGTCCGCGCGTCGGGTCCACTCCGAATCGCGTGATGCGCGCGGCGCGCGCCTGAGGCGATCTGGGACGCCACCGTCGAGGAATCCCCGCCGTGGTGTTTGGAGCCCCAAGTCACCACGCTCCCGTCGCTCTTCCTGGCGGCGAAGGCGCGCTCGTTGGCATAGATCTCCTCCACCTGTCACAAAAACATGGTCGAAACAAGCGCATCGTTGGGGGAAAAAAGAACCCCCAAAACAAAACAAGGTGCCAAACCCTTCAGGTATAACTTAAATTGGGGGACTGGTTAAAATTCAAATCATGACCCGTTCATGGTTGGCTTCCCGTTGTTGCTATTTGGTACGTTGAAATGTGCATGCGCTTTGGGGAAGGAACCTCAGGTCAGGGGTTCCCCAATTTTCACCCGAGCCCCATTTCATTTGGGATATAGTCAGAATCAGGACGAAATTCAAATTATACAGACTCACTACTTTGGACACTTTCTGAGTCCGTGGTGTTTCAGGGAAATAATCAGTCCATTGGTGGTTCTAGGTGACGCCAAAAGGAAACCTGGCCCTGAAATACTCCAGTCGATGCAGCTACACACATGCTGGGTCTCTGAGGGAATACCATCATGTAGTTCAGTTTGATTTTCGGTGCCACCAGAGAAAAAACGGACATGTCACCTTGCCCCGAGTTGGCTGTATGGATGATATTACTAGTTTGCGGAGTGGACTGGCTGGTGCATGTTGAGGCCAAGCGAGACGGTATCAGGGATGCCTCTCTTGTCCCACTGTTAACATGTCCCAGCAGATTGACATGGAACTTTAAGCAAGGGTCCCCGAAAAGAAGAAACATATAGCTCCGGTCCATGTTAATCTGAAGAGCAAACTTCGGGGGAAACCATCCGTATGTGTCAAAATCGAGCCTTGGACCCCGGGAGAAACAAAGAACATAAAAAACATGTGGTATCCTTTGGCAACCTGAAAAAGGGTACCAACTCTAAAAAGACAAAGCCCCACATCTTTGACCCCCCCGCCTTAATGCCGTTGCACTGTGCATCACCAACACCGCAAGCCAGTGCCACCAGCAATGCGAACCTCCCGAACCTCGCCATGGCAAGCGGCAGCGGAGCCCTAGGCAGCTGAGCCGAACAAATGGGTGCCGTCATACCTTCTGAGAATAAAAGAAGGCCAAAAGGGGCCAAAGCTCATGGGAAGTAGGGTGTATGTTTTGGATTTTTGGGCCCCTGCATGACCCCTCCAATCACTCGAGGCTGCGCCTGGATACCCTGTGCAGGGTTGGCGTAAAGGAACACCTTGGAAAACGGGCCAGGTCTTCAATTGCCGTTACCTCAAATCCAGTTACGCATATCACCAAGGGAAACCATGATTTACTTGCCAAAGAACAACTGGTGGGCGCGGGCCAAAGTACCTACGTTGACCCCTGACCCAAAGGGGGTGCCAGATCTTGCGTCTGATTCGGCAGGATCCGAGGGGAAAGGCGTGACAAAGTGTTCATACCCGTGTCCCTTTTACCCGCAAACCACAAATCGCCAACTCCTCCGCAACCTTGGAACAGGTTCTCAGAGGGAAGGGAGGGCGGGGGAATCTTTGGTCATGCTAATAAGGCTGTGGCCTCAGTTCTGCCTATCTGATTCCTGAAACAAGAAAAAAAGGCTCATGAATTGAATGCAAGTCCTGCAAATGTGCATTTCGATTGGATTTGACCTCAAATTTGACAAACTTCCGATTTGCCAGCGGGCGTTAAGCCGGTTAGGGACAAACCTTCCTCAGTTTTTGAACCCAACGAGAAAGTGATATGTTTGGTTATGGTACATTCTTACTGCCTGAAACATGTTCGTCAATTTGAAAAGAGACCCAATAGTTGATGGAAGAGCAATTGGCACAGAAGCCCTGTAACTACTTTCCTGGTGCACCAATCCATGTGACAAAAAGCGACACGCTGCCACACATCGCTTTTGTCTTCAAAGGCTTCAAAAGCTGCCCCTGCGAATCATTCTGCACCTCGGGTTGGCAATGATTTGCGCCGTCTGTTCCAGACTGGATCCGAGGGTTCCTTGGGATCTTGATCAAACTTGGGGAGGGTATTAATATCAGAATTGCCAATGGATGCCAGAGATCAACCGCACATGTCGTTTTAGTTCTTCAAGGAGGGGTGCCTTGGTTACCTACGAAGGGAAATGGAATCACTGGAAGGTCCAAAAAAGGGGACCCTGCCTTTGCTTTGGATGTGCAGGCTGAGGGTAGTGTTGCAACTTGCGTATTCTCGTCGAAGACAAACACGACTTCATCAATGATTCGTTGACCCCTTGACAAAAGTGAGCATTTAGTAGTGGAATGTGCAAGAAGCACCTCTAAACTCTCGACAATTAAACAGTCTAATCTAAGGGTCCGCCAAGATATGAAACACAACATCTTTACTGCGTGCGACCGGTGGATCAATGGCAGTCCGTGTGTGGGAGCTTTCCCGCTGAGTCTAATGGCTATGTGGTGTCTTCACAGTTCTTTCTCTTGGAGTAGCAGATGAAAGAGACGGGGAGCCATGGATGAGACATGAAAGTGGTTCAATCGCCAATATTCACTAAACTTATCTCAAATCCAAGATGAGGATGAGGAGACTAGCCCCTCCGAATCGTTCGATCCTTAAATTCGTATCATGGATTATGGTTGGGAATGGTAAAAGAGACATAAACTGAAGAAAACGACGAATAATGATGGCTGCAAGCCAAGCTAAGGAAATTCATGACAGCTGCTGGCCTACTATGTCGGCTCGCCACTTTCTCCCTCATTTCTTGCTCATTGTTTGCTCGTGAGTGAGTGTGGGGGGTGACCGAAGGGACGGAGTGAATGTGCTCGGTCACAATCCCTTCTTCCCTCGTCCCACCTCTCCCCACCTGCGATTGGAGGGGAGAGATAGAGTGATGGAACAGTCATGAAAATAGATAGAGAAATAAAGATACATTGGGCCACCGTCTTCACCAGCAAGGTTGCATTGCTTCAAGAACATGCAGCAGCCACAAAACAACCTAGGTGAGGCGCTGTCTTCTCTGCTGCACAAATTATTTAAGTTGGACTCCTCCCTGGATCCTGTTGCCGCTTAGCGATATAACAAGTCGTCCTTGCCAATCATACTTTCTATCCTTTTGTTGCCCATGGATGCTTAATCAATTACGGTTGACTCACCAACCGGTGGATCAAGCATCTGAAGGTAGCCAGACCTAACTATTTAGTGGGTCTGTCCTTCTGACTGCCCTGCCACTTGGCAATGGTTGGGAGAGACAGCGCTCTGGCGGCATTCCCCATGCGCAGCGTCGTCTGCTCAAGAGGAAATCCTGAAAGATAGCCATGACATGTTGGCAAGTTTGGAGGCCCCTGTAAAGAATCAAAGAACACTTTGAAAGGGGCCTGAAAGTTTGGAAAAGAAAGGTTCATCCGGTGCTATGACACTGCAATACTGCACGATCTACAATAAGCAAACTCATTTCCGACCCGCAGGTTAGGGCTTGGGTGTTGGGAGTGTATCAAAAACCGGTATACAAGGACCTGAGTAGGGAACCCGACCATTCGGTTCAAACAGTTTTTTGTTTTCCAAAAGAAGCTACAGGCTGCTTATGCTGGCTTGGGTTGGTTTACTGAAAAGACTCCGATTGGGCACAGAATGGTTGGGCTCGCAACCCGACTGGGACTTTGTTTCGTTGAGCGGAAACGAAGACGCGTAGCGAAAGTTGGCACCAAAAACTAGGCGACCAGCCATTTTATCAGTGCTATGAAACCCGAGGACTCCTGTGAATTGACCACCTACCTGGTGCGAAGCAGAGTTTGTGCATCAGTACCAAGCGAAGATGCCTTCGATGAAGGATCCAACTGAGCCTTGCACAAGTTCTCAGCGGCAGGAGTTGTGCACACGCTCCGTCATCTCGGCGAGGAACTCCTGACGTAACTCTGGAGACAACGGCGCTGAGGGAACACATGGCACATGCCGATGAACAACCAAGAAGGTAGGTTGCGGGGGCTGTACTCTCTCTCTGTCTCTCTTTCTACATATGTATATATTAGTATGCAGGTAATGCTACTATTTGTTAAGGGTATAACTCACTTGCTGAGTGGATGGCCAAAAAAAGTCCAAACTTTTTGTTTACTACTAAAATGGTCTTCCCAAAAAGTTTAAAGTTCATGAACTCAAGATATAGAGGCTCGGTTCTGCATTTACACTGCGAGTACAAAAGTTGTGCCTCTTGGATCCTCTTCGAGAACACAAAGCAATCCCAAACTCAGAACTGCAAGTCAAAGAAACCCTTCTGGATCGAAGCAAATAATCATCCGCAACAAACACCTCCATGTGCCTTAAGTCCCCTGTCCTGGCAAAACAAACACATACATGTATGCTGTATGTAAAGTAGTTAATTGTGAGAAGTTCCCTTTAAAAACCAACAGGATCAGATAACAGAAATGACTATGCAGAATGACATACCATGACATACTTATCAGCCATGATTAATTCCCTAGGAAACTAGACAATAAAAGAACATCATCGAACCATTGGAGCATAGAACTCCACTGGGTCCTGTGGACATCGACCGTCTTTGTACTTTGAGACATGCCCATATGCCCACCAACCATGCTTGAGCCATTCTGAAAGAGTTCCCTACCTCGCCAATTTAACTCACAGAACCACATGGGCCACAGAAACGCCCCCCGATCCCATTTGCCGCTCGCCCCCCTTTTTTTCTCGTTTCGCAACCAGCCTTCTAAAAGGTCAACATGTACGTCCCAACTATTTTTGGCCTAGGGACTCTTCTCTGCAAACCGCCAAAACCCAGTGGAGGGAACTATGGTGTAAACGAACAGAGGTTCTGATGGCGTGAGGTTCGCCCCGTTGCCCTCAACACCTAACCTCCAGGTGGGAACCCACCATGTCCACCAAGAAGGTCCCTTGGAATTGATGCCCATCTGCTGTTCCTTCTTTTTTTCCAGAGCGGTTTTCCGCAAACCGGAAAGGTCTTCCCCTTGATCTACAGTATCCTCCCAGCTAATGCGCCCAGTGCCGGAGGTGTTGATCTCCTCAGACACAGACAGGTCTCCCTGACTTGAGTTCAAGTGCCAGTGCTCAAGCGTTGGTCAAGAGAGCCTTCAAGTGTTCAAATGGCCATGGGCTCCCTGGCTGAGTGGATGGCCCAAAAAAAGTTTAAACTTTATGCGTACCACTAAAATGGTCTTCCCCAAAAGTTTAAAGTTCATGAACTCAGGAAGTCAGTGGGTCAAAACCCCGTACCCCCGGTGAACATCCCAATCTCCCACTCTAAAAAAAGGCCAAAATGGGTGGTGCACCTACCCCAAATGGGATCCCAAAACGGTTTTGACACAAAGCCAAATGGCTGTGGCTCAAAAAACCGGTACCAAAATGGAACCCTGGCAAGTGGAAACATGGACCAAAACCTGCGGTTTGTCCCTCCTCTTTAATTTTGAGCCACACCCAAATGAGAAAAGTATGCAGCCCATCCACTTGGGATGCTTTTCTTCTCAGTTTCCAAGTTTTCGCAACGGGTAACCTTGCGAGACACCCAGATTTCGAGATCCAGGCTGATATCTTTCCTGCAAACATCGCCCAAAAAACATGAATATTCATGAACATTGACAACCACAAGGTTGCACTCCTAAGTCCCTTTTACCCTTTTTTGGGGGAGGGTTGCCCTGCTAAAATAGACTACAGAAAAAAGGGCACCCTTACTTAAACCTCTCTACTGGAGGACCTAGACTCGCTGCTCCCGCTTTGAATGTGACTCGGGTTGCTGACTGCTACTAAAGGGCGTCTGAACCGGGAATTGGACCGCCCTTTTTTTCGTCCTCCAGTAGAGAGGTTAGAATAAGGGTACCCTTTTTTTCTGTAGTCTATTTTAGCAGGGGGACCCTCCCCCAAAAAAGGGTAAAAGGGACTTAGGAGTGCAACCTTTACTCAAATCCAACCCCACAAAATCAGCTGCCCTCTGGTTGGTTTGGAGACGGTGATTTGGAGGTGTTCTGGCTTCACAGGATCCTGGGGTGCAACTCCTCAACCCACCTATTCAAAGCACCAGTTCGGTCCACGACCCATGGGGTCATTACCAAAATAATGGGGTCATGGACCCATTTTTAAAGGGTCATGGAGAGTCTAGGTAAACCTACATCCAACAAACCGAAAGCAGCCCCCTTCACAGCCTCCTTCTCTGCAAAACAACAGGCGTTGCTACGGCGCCGAGCAGCTCGGAAGGTCTCGTCCAAATCGCCCTGTGCCGAGAATGCTGGGTGAATTGCAACCCCGCCGAGTGAAATTAGTAATGTTGACCCCATATTAATCAACCCCTGTGTATTAATCGGGCGGGGTCTTTGGGTTTAGTTGGGATTCTTCACTTTTGGAGGGAAACACCCTACTATTAATAAACAGGAGTTGATGAATATGGGGTCAACAGTACTTGGGTACTCGATTTGCCGACTTAGGTGGCTAGTAAACTGGGTAACCTACTTGCAACCGGCCCAACTCACTCATACGCTACACCCCAGGTCACTATTAACTTGGCCCCGCATCCAAGGAGAGACAGGACACCCTTTCTGGGTTGACGGGGAGCTCGCCAAAACAAGGAACAAGAATTCAGTGAACAAAATCCCCGCTGCAAACGGCCTTGATCAAAAAATAGATGGGGTAACAATCAGTGGTTCCCATCGGGGCTTTGGGAATTCCGGCCACTTAACGCCCTTCATGACTACTTCTTCACTTTTCTCTGGGAGTGACAGCGCCCGATCACTTGGATGTTCAACCTACTTATAGTAAGTATGCTAGGAACATGGTAATAAAGTGGGACAACAGGGCTTGGTTTACATACAACCATGGATGGCTATAAGCTACTTATTCAATAGGTTGTACATCCCAGCACAAAGATGGCCAACTCAACCTCTTTCCAGCCCTGGTTCCCCACCGCCCAACAGATGCAGTCGGACTGTTGTAAAGGCTTTAGGGACCCCAACAATCTTCACATATGCTTCGCAGTTATGCTTATATTTGTATATATATATATATTAATATTTCATATATATATATACAGCTATATGGGGCCAACCGGCGTCCAGACAAGTGCACTCGTGAGCTTTTCCAGGCAACGACACGCACGCTGCTCCGAGTTCAGTTCCTTGGGTTCCAATAACCAAGATGTTCTTGGAGGAGACGTGTCAGGAGCGGCCGTGTGTGTGTTGCAATGCAACCACATTTCACCCTGTTCCAGGTCCGGCCGTAACGCAGGTTTCCCTTGGGCGTGTGACTCAGCTCCTTCCAAAAGAGCATGATCATAGATGGAATGCGCAAGTTCATGTCATGAAGCCTGTCCGCACTTGACCGCATCACATTGTGACTGCGCCATCATGCCAAAAATGTGAGTGTTAATGTTTGTGGACTCCTTTCATTTGAGACATCATCATGTGCAACACGCTAACGTTTACGTTTAAGGCAAATTTATGAAGTGGTCTGATATGCTTTGTCATATGTCGAGATCTTATAAATGTGGTTGGCTGAAAACCTCGTTTCTGCAAGGATCACGAGGCTGTCCTTGTGCTTAGGTGTGAACGGAGCTACCTTGCAGCTAGATCTATCAGGCGCATGGGGGCAAGGAAAACGCCTTCTGGTTCGGAAGCTTGGAGCACTGCAAGGGAATCTCGATGTTAAGTACACATCTGGGAGTTTCTCCAAATAGGTTTCGGACCCCTTTGTAGTCGGCATTCATACAGAAACCGGAAGGAAACCAACCGCGTTCGGGGAATCAAGATCAAACATGTAAAATGTTTGCCAACCACAACCATGTTTGGGTCCCGCCAAAGAGCCACCCATCTCGTTGCCTCCTCGTTCTCCGGGGGTTGGTTGATGGCCTTCAGCAGGTCGAGCAACTGCCATTTGTCGATGCGGCCCTGCGAGCGAATCGTGTGGTTGGTGCTGGCCAGCTTTGCCTGCCAAGCCTAAGGCCCAGTAGATCATTAGTGTTTGCCTTTCCCACGTCACCCCGCAACTGTCAAAAGAACCTCAGTTCCTGACTTTGTGCCTTCTTCAGGGAAATCAAAGTGAAACAAAATTGGTAAATCCGCCGACCCTCTGCCTCCCGTCCCAGCCTCCTGCAGAGGGGACCGGCGTGGGATGCAACTGGAAGTGATTGGAATCCATGGTGGTCCCTGGGGGGACACGCGCGCGCGACCCCATGTCAGCCTTCTGGGTTGGGGCCCGGCTGGGGCCCAGAAGGCTGGCATCCCCGGCATCATCTGGGGTTGGAACCAGCCATATCATAGCACAGGATGCGTTTCTCATACAAAAACATGACATGACATGGTATAACTTCAAAGAGGTGTAGCCGGCCAGAGGCCGCAGGCCCAGAAAATAGCCAAATGACAAGTGACTGTTGAAGCAGCTTCGGTTGCAGCAGAAGCTCAAACAAGCCGTGCGATATCCATGAGACTCAATTATCATAACTAAATGATTCTGCAGCCCCTTGATTGACCAAAGGCAAAGCCACATCCATTTTAGAAGATCACACACAAATGTCTGCAGCATCTCTGAAGGCAACTGCGCACCCCAACATCATACCGTCGGCCTAACAAAAAGCGCTCAACGCGTGCGAGAGTATTTGCTTTGTGTTTGTGTTTGCCGATGGCTGTTTTCCTACTAATGTTAACCCCGGATTAATAAGCCCCTGGTTGATTAATAGGGGTGTCCCCTTTTAGTGGGGATTCCTCACTTTTGGAGGGAACACCCGGGTATATTCATCCTGGGTCAACATTAGGAGTCGCACATCAAGTTGATGATATCCTACTGAAAACATAAACTCTTAGTTGCCCCGCGCCCAACGCGTCACGGACCCTGGCCCCAGATCCCGCCAGAGTCCGAACGCCAAAAAGTGTTAAACGACTGCCACTTATTTTTTAAAGAACATTATGGCAGGAAAAAAGTAACTACCACCTTCTCATGGCCATAAAACGGCAATAATTCATCCTTCCAAAACTGAACAATTGCTTGGAAAGTCCTGCCCCCCCCCCCCCCCAAACTGCCACATCAGCAGGAAATGTTGGTCCTGGCCCTCGACTGTCGAACCTTGCAACTCAACTTCCCTTTGGAGTGTCGAAGCCACTCTAAACTTGGACGCACTGAGCAACGGGCTAACTTCGGGTGGACTCAATGTAGGTTTCCATCTATAGACTGGCAAGGGCTTCTGCTTGTGTTTTGTTCAGCAGAGGCCCCGAACTCGATTTGACGCATACCCGGACCCTCCATTCCTCTCCTCAACGTTGGCCGAGCCTGTTGATGAAACATGTCCATCGCGTGGGATGCCGATTTTCTGAAAATTGGGCGCCTGTTTTTGGCGGGGTGGTTGAAGGTAACCCGAAAGGAAGCACATTCTGGGAAGAAATAAAAGTAACAAAACTATTTTGAGCAACACTCTCTTGGCGGTCGCGGAAGTATGCGATACCATCATCTTCGATCGGTTTCTTTTGCCTGGCCACCTCCCTCCGAACAAAGTGCAGGTCCGAGCCATTTTTAGTTGAAGACAGCGCCCAACATGCAAACTGCAGATGCCATGTTTTGCTGGCTCCTGGACTCTTGTCTCATCTAGTGTCCCCCACCCCCACCCCAAACTAAAAGCAAAACACGCGCCCTCCCACCAACAGTAAGGCACCTGTGTGGGTAGCTAAAGATAATGCCGTGTTCTAATACACTATTGATCTTGGGACCTGAACAAGGGCCTGATCAGGTCCAAACCCTTTCAATGCAGAGCCAAACCCCTCCAATGAAGATTCCAACGATGCTTCGGGTGGCAACACGGAAATCAATCCCACTACCGCCACCATCGACACCCATACCTCCATACCCATTTCCCATCTCCGGGACTCAGCTGTCCAGCGACTGGGGAAAAGACCAAGGCAGCCTTTTGGTGGGAAACTCACCAAATCCAATGAGAAAGGATGCCACTGAACTGAGCGGACTAAACTTATCCAAATCCCGCCTTGTGGGGCATGGCATAGTGGTCCCACAAGGATCTCAGCACCTTCTCCTCGAAAAACTTTGCGCGGGAAGAGGGGGGCTTGACTCGGCTTCCTTCAAATTGGACCTATTTCAACGCACTCAAATGGGGCCTTTGGGCCTTTTTTGCCAAGCTGACACGTGTTCTTTGCTTCCTTGCTCCCATGCTCCCTTCGTATCATCCAAACACCATGGTCAGGGCCTGCCTGTGGTTTCCTGGGCTCACTTCTTCGCAGGATCCGGTGCTGCTGTACAGGCCTCTGCCATGCTCCAGGTAATACATAGGGAATTACTGGTTGTACAGGGACTGATTTGGGGGACAACTAACTTCCGGCCTAGCACAAGAATTATGTTACCACGCGCCCAGCATGATAGCTCAGCCTCAACATGATGCAGCGAGCTTGGATCCACGGCTTGCCCCGTTGGCACAGCGCCTGCTCATACCAGAGTTGGCTAGCCCCATGACTGCTTCGTGTACGAATCCCAAACGGTGTCGTCAATAAATGGCGATAGACCAAGCAAAAACTGGACCGGTACAGGCCAATAAAACCCAAGACGCAACCTTTAGCAAGCGAAGACAGATTGTCTGAACACCAGCTGAACGGATACAACTATACCAAGATCAGTGCTTCTGGTTAATTACCACCATCATGAATCTTCGACAGTTCACAGAAGACCCAACATATATATATATATATATATATATATATCCGGTTCAATTCCATGGAGGGGCAAGTCTGGAAGAGTAAGGTTCCATCGACAAGCGCCCGTCTGACAAATGCCGTATAGGTTCACCTTTGCAGCTTGCAATTGGCCTAGGTTTGATACTTCAAGTGCCCGCAGCATTGAGACGTCATTTCAATGATCCCCACCCCTTAAAACATGGATCGTTCCATATTCCCTTTTCTGGCAAACATTCGGGGACTTTTACCCCCTTAAGACCTTAAGGGAGGGGGCATTGTCAAAGAGTGTTGGTACCCCTCCAGAGAAACTGCCCATCTGGTTCCGAACCGTTGCAAAGGCACCCTGGTTGCCCACTGCAGTCTGGGTGCGTTTGGGGGACCCCCGAAATGGCGCGATGCTCCTTTTGGTATCCCTGAAAACCCACAATACCCTCAAGAACCGCCCACCATTTTTGTTTTTTGGGGGGTCTTTCAAAAACCAAACAACCATCCCCGTGTTGGTTGCCCTTTGGCTAACGAATATAGACATCAAGAGACTCTTTAGCAGCGAATATGTGGAAGCACAGTTTCCCAACTGCGAATGGTAAAACCACAGCCTCTCCTCCTCCTGGGTGGGACCATGGAACTGCCGTTGCCTGCGAACGGCTGGGCTTAAAGACTCGCTTCCTTCTAGAGGTTCATGCCCCATTCTTTTCAACCATCTTTTTTTTTTTGGGAAAAAAAAAAAAAAAAACGCAGTTTCCCCTGGGGTGGGTTCTGGAGGTTTTCTGGAAAGAAGGATCCCTGGAAAGAATGGGGAAGTGTCTGCTAGATTCCTGAGTGCGTTGGCCACAAGAAGGTTGAACCCGCCATATACGACTAACATGGTCTTCCAACAAAGTGTAAAGTCCAGGAACGAGAATACACGCGAGAAACCAGTGCCTCTATTTAATATGTCTGCCTTCCAAACATGGGTGTCTTTCAAATCATACCTGCCTTCTTTGAGTAGTTCAAAGGGGACTTCAAGGGAACCATCCTGTGAAATATTGACGGAAATCGCTGGTTACCTCTAGTGGTGGGGGATCCACTCACTTACACCTGGCCAACCACGAACGCCAGGAGCCAAATTGAACTTGGGCCCTCAGCCCCCCAATCTCCCGGACAACACCCCATGTAACCAGTGGCGGCCCACGCCCAGGGCCACCCAAAAATGGTGATTTTCAGATTTCACAGGTTGCCAACCCTGGAATATTTGACATAGTTTTTGGAAAAAGGCTTTGCGCGTAGCTGCTTTGTGTGGCCACCCCTGGTAAACACTGCGTGGCCAACGATGGCCATCTGAACAACGGTCTACACCTGGCTCCTGGAACGATCACGAGAGCAGCGGCAAACCTTGCTAAACCAGGAAGTAGAACCACCTGCTCCAATGGCCCAAACCAAAATTCATGCGCTGCCCGAGAGCAACGACCTGATCCTTGAAGAGTTGATGTAGCTTAGTGCTTGCTGAGTCCCTTACTCTTTCCTTTTGGTATAAACTCCTCTAGACTTCAAAAGTCTAAACGGATACGGCCACGTGGGTGTGGCTCGAAATCAAACAGGAGGGGGTACACAGGGTTTGGTCCATGTTTCCACATAGCAGGGCTCCATTTTGGTACCGGTTCTTTGAGCCACAGCCATGTCTAGGCGGAATCCTCAAGAATAACAGACGGGCGCGCACAGAAGTGCGCCTGCAGCGCTCCACCATGTGCTCGAAGATCTCCTGATCTCGCCACATGTTTGTTTCTCGGTTTTTACTGCTTGGCCCAAATCTAAGACACACAGAACATGATGTGTTCGGATTCGGTTTTTGTCATTTGCTTAAGCCGCCTGAAACAAGATCTGTCCAGTGATAGATTCCCTCTGAAATCAAAAGGGCAAAACACAATTATTTTCGGCAAATAGAAGAGTTTCATAGTTTGTCTACCCCAAAGCGTAAACTATTTTTGGAGAAGACCACAGAACCCACTGGGAGCCAGGTTTTCCGGAAATGTCCAGCCAACGATCAAAGAAACTCACTCGAGGCCCTGACAGGGGGAAGAGCAAAACCGGACAAAAAAGGACCCCGAGGTCAATCCTTAGAAGACAGAGGATGATTGACAGGGCTTTCAGTTTCTGCCAAACCACTGAAAATCCACAGATTTAGAGCCAGGCTCGGAAAACCAGGAACAGCTAGAATCAGTGTCTCTTGTGTGTTGCTAGTAAAGGTGTGTAAGAATTGAACCCTTACTTGCTGAACCTGGCAGGGAATCGCTTCAGGAGTTTGGGAATGAACCACTTTGGATCAACAACACTTTGGGGATGGTTCAGCTTGGGGTCATTCCAACTTCCCTGAGAGCCAGCAAACGGTTTGCTGCCCTACTCTGCTAATTCCTGCAGGCCACCCATTTCCCTTGTGCAGGATTTCGAATTCGGAAGTGGTTCCTCCCATCAAGCAAATAAGGAGCTTTAATTGCCCACCTTGCGAAAAGGAGCATTTTGCAGGTCAGTGTTCTGCTAGAGGGTTGATAACTAGGGGCACTGGACCAAATAGAAGATTACCCATCCCCGGTGGTCTCCTTTCGGAAAGTTAACGTTTATAGGCTGTTTCCCCAGGTTGGACACTCAATAAATCCCTATACCTAACACTGATACCGGGCAGCCTTTGCCACAATTTCTCTAGCAATGTGTCTGAGGGCCACTCTTGGAAGCGCTCGTGGAAGAAAACGCGCTGGTACACCACGATGAACTCAGGGTAGACCTGAACCCGGGCGTCCTGTTGGCCTCAAAAAGGGGTACCTTAAAACCAACAATCCCATGATCCATGTATTTCTCGGTTTTGCCTTGTGTGACCCAAGGCCAATATCTGTTTTACAACTAAGTTCTTCGAATGTTGGGCGATCCTGATGACCCTATGGACCACCAGATTGGGGCGCCTGCTTAGAGCCTGCTTCAACAGACAGAAGCCACGCTACATTGTGGATGGATAAAATCCGCTCGCACCACGAAACGAAACCTTGGTAGAAACCATCCTTCGTTGGTATTTACAGGAGGATGTTGTCCATCCACAGTATGTGGGAGGCTCAGGCTCTGTCAATGTTCGCGCCTCTAACTCTAGGCGTGGGGGGGGATCGCAAACATGGGCTATCTGGTTGGCAAGATCCAGTTCCGTGTGTTTTGGCTGGTATGATGGTCCAACTTCCTGTGCATGATCCTTTCTCTCCTGTGCATCACAAGATTGGTCAGCATCAACATTGTCCGAAGCTCGCAGTCATACATGCCATCAAGCTGACGATAATGTCTACAAGAACTATACGCGAAGAACACCGGTGTTCTTCCACGGCAACGCACGCAAAGGAGGTCAACTTGACAAGTCAAGTCCACTTCAGACCAAACAATCCTTCCGGATCCCGCTTGGAAGTCGGTCTATTGATCTTAAGCCTTAAGGGACACCTGGACACCTTCCTAGGTGTTCGGTCGCAAAGCGTGTCGGTAGGTGAGATCGCTGAAACAATGGGCCAAACAAAATCGCCAAACATCGACAACATCAGCGTTCCAGATTCTGGTTCGCCAGACTTGCCCCCATGGATGGTCATTTTGCTTCCTGTGTTTGCACCAAAGTCTAATGCAAAACCTGGAATGGCATATGCTTCCGAGGGCCCCGGTCCCTGTACTTTTCTATATTATGTGGCTTGTTCGTGTCTCTTTTTGGAAGTGGTATCCTTATTTGCGAAATACGTTTTAGGAAATGTTGTAGGAAATTCGCCCAAACCATGGTACTTGGCGGATCGTTGGCTGCAGAATGTCCTGGGGCTGGTCTCTTGGATTGTATCACTTTAAAACCGAAGCCCAGCTTGGGGTCCAATCACAAGACCCAGCGGTTTGCCCCGCGCTCGCCATTGCGCAAGCTGCGCCTGGTCGTCATGATACCTCAGCCATCCAAAGTCATGGAATCCCAGGGGGCCACACGCCCCACCCAGGTTTCCTCCAAATAAGGCAAGGAAGAGGGGCGAGCTGGAATTCTATGAAAGGGTTTTAAGAAGAGGAGCCGACCACCCTCTCCTCCCCTACCCGCTGCGGGCATGTGTCAGAAAAGGAGTAGGCGCACGCGGCATGAACATTGCATTCGCTTGCTCCTTTGGATGCCGACTTAAGGAGATCGGGTACCAAACTAAAGTGCTTGCCGCAAAACCCCGCCGCCGGAACCCACTCCGAAGAGCCTAAGGCTTGAGGCTTGCCTAGGTCCTCCAGTACAAGTAGAGAGGTTAGAATAAGGGTGCCCTTTTTTTCTGTAGATGTTAGTAGGGGAACCCTCCCCGAAAAAGTTGGTCAAAGGGCACTACAGGGGACCTAGTTGCGCTAAGCCTTGCACTTCTTTCACTTCCGGGTGAGGGGAACCCAAAGCCGGGGACCGCGCAGCACGAACTCCCGGAAGGTCCCGTGGATCTTCCTGCGGTCCCCCAGCACGCAGTCGTAGGCGGGGTCCTCAACCCCGCGATGCAAGTTGACTCTGGGGCAGCCTTGGCTCCGAATGAAGCCATAAGCGTTTCTGGTGGGTGTTTGGAAATCCAACTTGTAGAAACTCCTGCTGGTCTCCATGAGATTCGCAAAAAAGTTGTTTCGCCCACTTGCGCCATCAGAGTTCGGACCCTCCAAGGCATCTCCCCTGCCCTCTTTCAGGCAACAAAATTAAGCAAATTGGGATCCGGTTTTCTTCTGTTTGGCGGACTTTGAGCGTGCCAGCGCGCGCCGTGTGAAACTCATTGAGGCCTGGGGCGACAGAAAGCACCTGCAAGCAAACCCACAAAACCTTCTGCCCCCCGCCCGCATCCACTGTTGGCGGAAAATTCTCTGGGAGCTATGAAGGTGCAAAAGTGCCCCAAGCTTGTGTGGCCTCGTGTTGCGTGGCGGGTCTCTGCCTTCCATAGGGCCTGTGGCAGCGCAAACCCTACCTTCTGAAGTTGTTGGGCCGCGGTGTCAACTGCCTCTGGCCCATCCCAGGAGTCATGTACATCTCCGTAAGGTCTGAGCAGCTCGATGAATGCGCGCTGAAGGCTTGCGGTGCTGGAAAGGACAGTTGCAGCCCAGAGCACGCCAAACCGCTCCTGCGGTAAAGTCACCAGCGCGAAACCACGTCCCAAGCTGGCGCAACCAGTGCGTGAGCTGGTCTGGATCCCACGACCCAGTCTTTGCTGGTTCAACGCTGACAACAGTTATCACACTACTTAGTCGAATTGGCGGCTTTCGTTCTTCACCCTGCAGCAGGCATGCATGCTGCCTCAAACAATCGTTATCGGCACGCTCCTTGGCGCTAGGTACGCGGGGCTCTGCAAGCTGCACTCCTCTCACACGCTTGTGACCCACCAACCACGATGGCACTGGGGTCTTAGTTAATCGCAATGGGCCGCAAGGCAGCAAGCTGCGCTGCGCTGAGACGGGCTCCGAAAGTGCACAAGCAGGCGTTGAGTGCTCCAGAACTCAACCAAGCAAATGGGGCAGTGCGTGGACTCAGCGTATGAGGCGGCCTCAGAGCGCGCCTTGTGTTGCACAGTGCGGCGCATGCGCAACCTGTGCATATTTGAGAAAGTCCTGCTGCAGTTAGGGCACTTTAAGTCCTGGTGCGCAGTAGGCTGCGCAGCGGCGTGGAAAGTTGCCCCAGCCTCACAAAGCAAACTGCTGATCTGCTTTTGGCACGCAGCGAGGTCAGACCACATGCGTGCTTGGCATATGCTCGTGTATGCGGCCTGTCGAACTGCCCGTCTCCATTTTTTGATTGCAAAGCCAAGGCCCGGTCGGGCTCGAAAGGGTGCGACATGCACGCGAGCCAGTTTCCGGTGTGTGCCCGCATCCAGGAGACGTCGTCCTCAACAAGGTGGAGCCAAGAGTCTGACCTGCTGGCGTATTCGAGGCGAAGCAAGTTCAAAAGGACACGTGGGGCAGTGAGTGCAACATGTAAGAAGTGCAGCAAGCCGCTGCTGTCGGAGCTGCTGGTTACCCCCCGGCACGCCAAGCTCGGCTATGACCTGTTGGGTAGGCACGTCATGCCCGTCCCCTCTGGTGAGTGTGCCGCTTGCTGTACGGCATGTTCGGGTGTAGAAACTGCTCAGGACCCTGACAGCTTTTTGCGACATGCGGCCCCACACGCCACTGCCAAACAAGAGCCTGCTCACAACAACCCCTTGCAGCAAGAAGCGCTTAGTGCCAAGCCCGAGTGCTTGATTGCGAAACGCAACTTTACGCAAAATCTGTAAGGCGTCCGTTGCGCCGGCAACTCTGCGCACGACGTCAAACCACACGTTGAAACAAATTTGAAACACCCATGTGAATCTGCAAAAACTCCTCTTGACGCCTAAATATCATGATGCTGCCGCGTGCACAGCTGCATGCAGTCAGTCCTTGCCCAAGCAAGTCCGCTGGATGTCGTCTGCCGAGGGCTTCTCCTCATCGGAGTAGCGCACCTGTCAACGGCCGGGGCACAGCTCTGCTGAAACACTACCCCTAGGCATAACTGGGGAGGGAAAGAACACAACTGGAATCAAAAGAGCGTACCTCCCTAGCACCCCTCAAGGACTTGTTTTCCCATGTCCGAACCCCAAGTGCTGCTCAAAAATCAGCCGGGGGAGTCATTGCTTCCTTGCAACCCAAGAAGGCGTCGCCTTTTCAAGGCACCGAGAGACCCCCTGGTTCAGCTTCCATCTACATTGTCAAAGGAGTTTGGCCAGAGCGGTCGCCTTTATTTGCGGCCGGGAACGCGCCCGAGTCAGCTTTTGATTCTCGTCTGGCTTCCTTTCCACCCCAAATCACTATTCAAGGGGAAAAACAGAGCATGTCCCGGTTGGTTTCTGGTTCCCTTGTTGGTTCCCCTTGTTTCTGCATGTCCCCTTGTTTCTGGTGTTCAGAAGGGAACCATCCGGAAACCAACCACCGTCCCGACATGTCAATAGGCTCTTGTGGTGCTTCAGCGATGGTACAAACGGCCGGGGCAAATCCCAGGCTGCATGCACGTCTGGGGACGCCGTTTTCTTGAGCCCCCATTCCTTTTTGTTGACCCCCCTTGCATGTCTCTCTTGTCCCTGAAGGGGGTGCGTTGGACACCCGTCTTTGAATACAAAAGTAAAGCTCGAATCGAAATTGTCCGCGCTTCCTGAGTGGTTTGGCCCCAAGTCCAATTGATTTATATATCAAACGCGCCTTCCCAGCCAACCAATACAAAAACAATGGAAACTGTGCGCAGTGAGGAACCAAAACGAAATGAGATAAGTGGGAAAAGAAGGCAACCCTCGAAACCACACCCCACTAAACACAACTGAACAAAACTAAGGCCGGGTGGCCTTAGCAATGGCAAGGTGACTAATTATTGCCAAGGTTGGGCCTTGCCCAGCAGTGCCCGGCAAACGATCATCGCCGAGTTCCGCTGCAGCGGCGGCAGCGGCGCATTGGGCGGCGGCCGCCGCTCCGCGCGCGCCGCGTGGGACTCGGCGCGCTCCCCCTGAGGGAAGAGGAGACGTGCAAGCTGCACTGCTACAAAACCACTGAAATACAAGTCTCATATGTACATGTGTATATATATATATATTAATACAGTAAATATGCATTTGTTCCTTCCTTGTTAGCTGTAGGTATCAATACATACCAGAGATCACTTTTTTCAAACGCTAGGAACATGCTTGGTTGCATACTATACAGGTAGATGGAATAAGCGACCATGGCGTTACGATCTGGGTACCTCTATAGTAGGCAACCGGGGATTCTTGGCGCTAGGGGTTTACATGATTGTTCCCGGTCACTCATTACAATTGTAGCTGGAAGCGTAGGGGGCGACCAAAGCTTCAAACAATAGAATGGGGTTATGGGGTACTATCAAGCCAAGTCAAGTCACTATAGGAGAATAATGGCGATAGTGTTCAGTAGCGGTGTAGCGCCTCATACTAAGTTATGCAATGCTGAACAACGATGAGGGCATTCACATGAAACATGTCTGTTGGTGGTGGTGGTGGTGCTGCCACTGCTGCCACTGCTGTTCTTGTTGTTGCTTTTGGACCTGCGACCGCTGACAAGGTGCAAACGGTCCAAAAGTTCACCGGGTTGATTCCCTGGACTGATCTGGGGCACACAGAAAACACTGTTCCAAGACCCTCAAACTACCCGTAAACATGGTTGGTTGTTTCAATCGTTTTTCAGGGTGGTTGAGGGTCCAGACTTCGGATTTTGCGCCATGTTTCGTCAATCCTTGCACAAACACTACGCAAATAAGTTTGGAGACCCTTTTTGGCATCTGGAAGCCAAGACAACGGTTTTTGTCCGGAGTAGCCTCATCGCAAAATCCAAGAGTTGAAAAGAGGATGGCATTTTTGGAGGCCAGGTACTTACCAACTGAGTCCCCTTTCGATGGTTGGCTTAAAGTTGCAAACCCTAGGATGTGTCGTTTTGTCTGTTTTTTTTGGGGGGAGGGGGGAAGGTCCATATTGTATCAAGAGGGGGGGGGGTTGGGGAGGGGGTCCCTATTTTATCAAGTCCGAAACGGAACTCAGGGAGTGAGACGAGCTAGCCAGCCTTCTCAGGTATGAATGCTCCCACCTCGCCTGCTCCTCCTCGCCTGCTCTGCCAGTGGGGCCCTCTCCATATTCGTCAGACCTGACGAACACCGCGCCATCGCAGGGAAACTTCCACCCCTCCACATCGCACCAGTTGGCAGCTGGTTTATCCCATCGGGCTGCATCCATCCCAAGTGCAGGAATTGGTCCCACCGCCAGCTTTAAACTGCTTTTTGACTTTTTTAAGGAAGGGGGCCATGGTCCGACTAGGCCAAGTTGAGAGCATTTCTCACCTTCTGAGTTGTCCCACTGACCGTGCTGAAGAAACCTAACAAGAAGCTTGAAGTGTGCCAACTCCACAGGTAAGATGTCTGTCATACACAACACAGAAATCTGCAGGAAAATGTTGTCACACTCGAAATCCCCGGGTCATTTGGTCACTTGAAGATAGATTCCCTTGACCACTCACAGAATAAATAGGGCCCTGAGCCCAAGTTTCTCCACAACCCAAGGTCGGCCAAACCTCATGAAACAATGAGTGATTTCCAAAGTAGGGCATCCTCATAATTGGATTCTGAAGAAGGTAGATCTATTTTTCAGGGAAGGTAACATGTTCCAACCCCACCGCCTGCTTGCTTGCCAGAGTCGTCAACTAGACCACATATGCGGTGCTTGTACAAGCACGACGGAAACGAGCCCCGGAGCATCGCAAGCAGGGCGCAAGGAAAACCCCAAGCATGCCGGCTGGCTTGCTTGCAATATTTTGGGAAACAGCCCCTTTCTGGGAAGTTGGGGTACCTGACATTAACGGAAGGCTCGGTGTGTTGTACCTGACCTTGAGAAAGACTCGCTGTGTATGAGTCCGGTACAGCGACATCCTTGAATCCAGGGAAACTACCCCTCCGTAAGAAAAGAAGACAAAAAACGAAACAAAGACAGGCCATCAACGACTTCGCTGTAAGGAACCAAGTATGTTGACGGTTGACTCAACATATTGGCCCAAAATTAGTTGACTAGTAGCAACCCCCTGCTTATTCAGTGTTTCGAAGAAAGCGAGCCAACCACAATGATGCGACTGGTTGACGGCCCTCAAGAATAAGGCGGCAGGGCAATCCGATGTCAACATAAGGGGCGTTGCCCACACCCAAAATCAGCCTTCCCAACCCGCAGCAGGTTTGGCAAGACATGGATTGTGCAGCCCCCCGCAAAAAAAAAAAAAAACATGACAAAGAAACCACAAAGTCGGCAACTCATGCCCGGACCAGTCATCTTGCTCTTACTTGGTGGCTTGGAATTATGGTTTGGCCGGCGATTTGAGAACTACCCACTGGCTAAACAATGAAACAGCACGACCCTCCACTTAGACTCAGAGCAAACCCCCACCCTCCCGTGACGAGGATTCCGATACAGGTTTGCGCGGTATGCTCAAAAGGTAAGGAGGATTCTTGGAGTCCGGTTTGAGGGCAATACCCACATCCAATTTGGAACCAACAGAACTAAACAACTACCTGGACCCTCAAAGTACCGTCAACAAACGGCATTCATCTCATATGTTTTTGTATTGTTGTTGCTTTTTCCCGGAGCGATCAGTCGTCGGCTTTTATGGATGGCTTGAGGGAGGTCCAAAACACACGGCCGAAACATCTCGTCTTTCAAGGCCACGGCTTCGTCGCCTGGCATCCCCGCATCAGGTTCAAACCTTTGATTTGTTTTGCAGTGCATCAGGGTCAAACCAGTCACCACGTCGCTATGCCACAGGATCTGCAACTTAGAACTTTCCATATTCGGAGCATGTCCCAATGGAAAGGGCAAAGGAGCCTGTGTGAGTGTGAGTAAAACTTCCGCAAAGCCTATCACATGCACAGTGCAACCTCCAGCTTCCCTAGCACTGGTCAGGAAGCATCCAGTTTCGAACGCCGTGAAGGGACTTCAAGGAACCTTCCTTGACTCTTGGCTTGGAAATCAACGTTTGCTACGTCCACTTTAAACCTGCCGCCCCAAACAAAGCTTCCGTTTCTTAGCGCCGCCTTGTGATGAAAAAGACAGATTTAATTGGTTTCAGTTTGGTTTCAGTTTGACTTTCCTGTGGAATCTATTCATACCTCCCAAAGCACAGAGGCAAGGCGATTTGCAAACCGGAACTTCACGACCCAACATTACAAGTGATGTTCCAAGAAATCCCTGTGCGTAGCGTGCATGAGGCCTGGGGCGCGTTCGGAAAGCATCCGGTGGCTGGGGCTACGAACGACAACATGGAACTTCAAAAAGGAGTCCACCCAAAGAACACATTCCTGGGGGGACGGTCAAAAAGAATGTAACGCCAGCACTTCCGTGAAGTCACCCGGAGGATCCAAGGCAAGCCACTACGGTAGGTAAGCCTTCGTGGTAAATGACCGTTAAAAGCAAACCCCACAAGGAAAAGACGAGGGCGCTGGAGGTCTTGGAATACAGTTGTTTATGAACCATGCTCAGCAAGGTTTACAACACTTTCTCCAGACCCCTGAAATCTGCCACTCCCACATGCCCCCGCACAATGTCAAGAATTCCCAACCCAAGAACTCCCAACATGAAAGGATGGTTCAAAGTTTTCGGCATGTGGACAACTCAATGGTTGCCAATGGTTTTGTTGTTCTTCGGCTGCATCGGTGAGCTCGTTGTTCCAGCCAACAGACCGGAGGAAGGCAAGAAACACTAGACCATAGACCCCCTTCCGGACAAAATCAACTCCAACATGTGCATATCATCAAAACCTGTGGACCCTGAACCGCTAAGCCAGAACTAAGACAGAAGAAAGACTCAAACCCTAAACCCTTCCAGGGGGAAGCCAACCACACATATCTTCATCTTGATGTTCAAAGGGAACCCCAAAACAAATGGGAAAATCCGGGCACCGTTTTTTTTGTTTGTTTTGTTTTCTGAACCCAGGCTTTCCCTTAAAGGACCACCAAATCAGGGCTTGCTTTGTCTCGGGCTCCTTCCATTTCGAACTTTCCATGCCTATCGAGCCAGCACAGGGCTGTGGGAAATGACCACTGTGATACAACAGAAAGGGCTTCCCAAAGACTAACCCCCCATATAAAGAAAGAGACTCCCAAGAGTAATTATCACAGAAGTGGGGGGGATAAATTTCGAGTGATCAACCACAACCCTGAACCAGCAAGTTGCTTTTCTCGCGCGCTGTCGAAACAAAAAAACAACACATCCGCTGAGTCTGAGGCCCCAGGCATTCTCCGCCAGGTAGATGCCCTTGCCATAGAGGGTCCCCGCATTGGAGCCCGTGAGGTCCAGGCGGAAGTCGTTCTCCGCCTTAGCCGAAATCCGAAAGCTGGGCTCGCCTTAGGGATGGAACACCTGGACCCTTTGAACTCTTGGGAAATCCATCCCTGAGCCCGACCGGGATCTTGGGGATCTTAGTTTTCCTTGGAAAAGTGGGGAGTTCTGAAATGACTTCAATCGAAATAAGGGACCCTCAAGCCACCCTGAAAAATTGGGGGGGGGGGAGGTGATTTCCGCTTTCAGACTTGCAGCAGGTTCGGAACCCAAACAGAAAGGGTCTTTGAGTCACCAAACTGAGACTTGGGCGTGGACTGTTCAGGGGCTTCCCATGACAAAAGCACTTGAGCGCCCAAAACCCGTGGACTTTCGGTTCGAACAAGTTGAAAGGGTCCAAGTACCTTCTGAGGATGTAGTTAAGGATGCAGCATGCTGGTCAATGTACATGCAAGGTACCCAGGGACCCTTAGGGAAGGGGGGACAATTACTCCTTAGCGCAAGGGAAAACTCACCTGAGACCAGAGCTCCGATCCAGGGTTTGAGGGATCTGCATTGGAAGAATGGACGCAAGCAAAAACTCCACCCGAGTCCCCGCGACGGCGAGGGGGGGGGTGAGGGGGCAAACATTCGTTGGATTTCAGGCTGCAGCTCTGCGATGTGGGAAGATGAATACCTCTTGGTTGTGCTGCAAAAGGTAACGTCTAGACAGAAGGATGAGATTGAAATCCCATGATACTTGGAATGAGCTCTTCATCTGAAACAATCTAGGTCTTGATGCCACTTGGGCTTATCAAACTGCCTAGCATGACACGAGCCATCATGGTATGTGTCAAGACTGGGTCCTTCCAAATGGTTGCTTTCGCTCCAGATTTGAGCAGCTCCCTAGGCCCTGGACCCTTAACTGCATACAAGGGGCTTCATCTCATAATTGTGGGGCAATAGCCAATTTGTTATGGGTACTTTGAAGGGTCCAAAAGGTTCAGGTGGCTGTTGACAGACTGCTGTTGTCAAGGGCCAGCTTGGGTTACGTCCGGTTCCCTCCAGGACAGCTAAATCCCAGTCTGCATACATCATGCGGCACACAGTCGGGTGCACTCGTTGAAGATGCCAAGTGGGTGTATGTCAGAATAGAGGTTTGGACCCTCAAGGGTTGTCTTTTTGGTTTTCCTTTAAACCCATGAGAAGGGTACCCCAAAAGAAGACCCACCCAAGTAGATACCAAGCTGGGTGTGTTGCTTGAGTAGTGCAGCTATTTCTGTTCGCTGACTGATCAAACGGCTTAATAGTCGGACTATCAGTGAAACCAAAACAATAAGTTTGAGTGGGCTGTCAAATATCCGGAAGTGCATGTAGGATGCGAGGCTGTCTAAAGGAGTTGGGTCCAGTCGGTCTGTCGAAGCGCAGGCATGGGAGGCCACTCATTCTCTGTGCCGATTCTGTGGACGGGGTCAAAGAAAGCAACAAACACCATCACCGTAGCGCTCATGAGAACAGAGTCTCTTGTGGAAGTTGAGGACCCCCCCCATTCTCAACAGTTCTGCTAACTATTTGTGCAGAATCGAATAGGCTCAAAACCAACCTTGATGAACAGTACTGGACCCCAGAGAAACCCATCCAATGTAGCCTTCGCCAGGTTTCCTTTGAAACACGACAAGCAAATTATATTACACGGAGAAGGAACACACTCATGGAACATACAACCCACAGATTCACATATCGCAAAGCCCTCCTCTCAACATACGAGTACCTTTGGTTTTGCCAAGGCACGATGCCAGCCTCGGACCGGCGAGCGAAACAGGGCAACTGCTCCAAGAATATGATTGGGGCACCTGGACCTCAAACCCTGAAAGAAATGGGTTCTCCCCCCATAGTGTTGAGCAATCACTTATTTGTAAGGGTTTGAGGGTTCAGGTAGAAATCTGGGTCTTGGTAAACCTGGTAGACTGGTGATCCAAGCTACACCTATAGGGGTGCCCGGCCAAGTATGTACCTTTTGTTTTTTCAGGGTGGTTATGTTGGTAGCCTATTATGGAATCACCGGCAATGGGAACACAGAGAAAGCTCATCACATATCCAGCCTTGCGCTTTCATCTCAGACTGCAAATGACTCCCCGAAGTAACATGCCCAAAGAGGGGGGGGTCCTCCAAAACTCCGGGGCTTGCGGTTTCGCATAAATGAGCAGGGGACGAGTCCCTATAACTCGCAAAGCCATGTTTGACGAATCCCTAAGACGGCTCCTTGCAAAGCTCATACCCCCGGCGAGGTCGCAGCAAATTGTGCAGATGTCTCGTGTCTCTAGGCATATTGAGCAATGATTCACCAACTCAACGATGGAAGTCCCAGACTCTGAAAGGCAAGCCATCATTCAGCATCCAAGTGCCGGCAAAATAGAGCGCAGCGCTCATACGCTCCTGGCTCTTGTCATTGAAGAGACAAAAGGGTGTCAAATAAATCTGTGCTTTCCCTGGAGTCGCTTTCCGAGCCTTCTAAAATGGGGTTGCCCGGCGTGACCTCACTTTCTAAGGTCTCATTTTGCCCGGCACAGTGCAAAGATCCAACAGAAGTGATCCTCTTCGCCCAACCTTCTCAATAGAGAAAACCCAAGTTCAAGCAGAAAGTTGTCCCATACGGGAAATTTCCCATTTGAAGAGGTCTCGGTCTGATCTCGTGCCGAGCTGCTGCGCCCTGGAAGTTTGTGCCGTGGAAGAGCCAGCACCTGAAACCAAAGAAAGCAACAGCAGGTCCTTCTGCAAAAGAAAACCACTAGAAGCTTTGTCAAAGCGAAGAACTGGGTGGGACGATTACTTCTAGCTGTTTTGGTTGGTGCCACCAAAGAACATCATGTTGACCGGTGACTCATGACTCTATATCCTTGGAAATCTAGTTGATGAACGAAGAACGAAACGATCAGGCGAGTGGGACCAGAAATAAATTTGTGCCAGGGAGGGATGACGAACAAACCTGAAAAGGGTCAAATCAACAGCAGAAGCACATCTCTGCATGCCCGGTCCGATTGATTGAATTTGAGGAATTCCTCAAAATAGGTCCGGAACTGACACCCCTACAGCGCTTTGGGTGTGGTAAGGGGATACAAAGTCCCGGGACCCAGGGCAAAATATTCCAGTCGAAGCCTCATTGGAACCTTTTGAGGGGTCTGGATCTTCAGGGGAAGGGTTTGGACACATTTTTAAAAAGGCCCTTTTTCAGGGTCCCCAACCTTCTTCGGGTGGGTCGGGTGGGAGTCGGGAGTCCTTTCGGGCCCCAACAGAACTCGTGGCTCGGGTCGGGGAGTCTGGTCGCAAAAGGCGACCCTTGACAGGAGCCTTCCAAACCGGAAGGGCCCAAGGTCGCCACAACCGAGCGTGAGGGTCTGCTTACTAGGTACACCTTAGCCTTTCTGCCCAGATGTCCATGGGAAGAAAACGGCCGAGATGATTTTAAAGGGGGGGAAACCGATCCGGAAAAAGAATCGGAGGGCAAACTCATCCTGAAAGGTTGGAGCTTCGAAGCTCTTCTTAACTGAAAACTGGGGGCAGCCGTATCAAGGGGGAACCCATCTAAGGAATGAACTGCATTGATTGACGTGTGGATGAGGTTTCTTGAGGGCGAGTGAGGTTTCATGGTGGCCTACCCTGTACTGCACACAAGGACTTCGCATAAGAATTGAGTTATGCCCTCCAAGCTGCACGTAGAAAAAAAAACCATTGCCTTAAGCAGAAAGGACCCTCTTTCAATGCAAACTGCATAAGATACCACCCGCAATCCCATGCCGAGGGCGCTCAGCCACTTGCGCGTCCAAGTGCGGCATGTGGCCTCGGCCCGAGCGACTCGTCTTGAAACCGGACCCACATAGACCCAACTGGTTGAATCGCTTCGTTTCAGTGTCCGGGAGTCCGGCATCCCTTAAGCCACTGCAAAAAGGGCAGTCTCAAAGAACCACAGAGCCAGAATTGGAAAGGAAACCAAGGAGCTATGAAGAAGGAGTCAGTAGCAGTACCCTGAAAGCCTTCGAGCAGCTTGCCAGGTCAGTGCAGAGAAGCCTGGTGCAAAGCAGGCGAATCCCATGACCAACCAAAGGCTTATGGCCAAACAAGTAAGAAGCAACGCGGCAAACATCTACCAACTACTTTAACCCGACCAATTATGTGTTGTTTAAACAAAAAAAAACAACAACAAAAAAGAACAACCACTAACCCAACCGCTATAGCTGCTTTGGCAAAGCCGTCGCTCGGATCCCATCGCATCGAAGCAAGTGGCTTCTGCCCATGCGACGCAGGGACTCGCAGAAGGCGTGCCTCGGACGGGCGCGCATCTCAAACTGGGGGGAGGGGGGAGGTGTGTGTGTGTGTGTGTGAGTGTATGTAAATGTGTGAATGTGTGAGTGTGTGAGTGTGTGAGTGTGTGAGTGTGTGAGTGTGTGTGAGTGTGTGTGAGTGTGTGTGAGTGTGTGTGAGTGTGTGTGTGTGTGTGTGTGTGAGTGTGTGTGTGTGTGTGTGTGTGTGTGTGTGTGTGTGTGTGTGTGTGTGTGTGTGTGTGTTGTGTGTGTGTGTGTGTGTGTGGTGTGTGGGTGTGTGGTGTGTTGGTGTTGTGTGGGTGTGTGTGGGTGTGGTGGGTGTGTGGGTGGTGGGTGGGTGGGTGGGTGGGTGGGTGGTGGTGGGTGGGGTGGGTGGGTGGGTGGGTGGGTGGGTGGGGTGGGTGGGTGGTGGGTGGGTGGGTGGGTGGGTGGGTGGGTGGGTGGGTGGGTGGCTGGGTGGGTGGGTGGCTGGCTGGCTGGCTGGCTGGCTGGCTGGCTGGCTGGCTGGGGGTGTGGGTGTGGGTGTGGGTGTGGGTGTGGGTGTGGGTGTGGGTGTGGGTGTGGGTGTGGGTGTGTGGGTGTGGGTGTGGGTGTGGGTGTGGGTGTGGGTGTGGGTGTGGGTGTGGGTGTGGGTGTGGGTGTGGGTGTGGGTGTGGGTGTGGGTGTGGGTGTGGGTGGGTGTGGGTGTGGGTGTGGGTGTGGGTGTGGGTGTGGGTGTGGGTGTGGGTGTGGGTTGTGTGGTGTGTGGGTGTGGGTGTGGGTGTGGGTGTGGGTGTGGGTGTGGGTGTGGGTGTGGGTGTGGGTGTGGGTGTGGGTGTGGGTGTGGGTGTGGGTGTGGGTGTGGGTGGTGTGGGTGTGGGTGTGGGGGTGTGGGTGGGTGTGTGTGTGTGTGTGTGTGTGTGTGTGTGTGTGTGTGTGTGTGTGTGTGTGTGTGTGTGTGTGTGTGTGTGTGTGTGTGTGTGTGTGTGTGTGTGTGTGTGTGTGTGTGTGTGTGTGTGTGTGTGTGTGTGTGTGTGTGTGTGTGTGTGTGTGTGTGTGTGTGTGTGTGTGTGTGTGTGTGTGTGTGTGTGTGTGTGTGTGTGTGTGTGTGTGTGTGTGTGTGTGTGTTGTGTGTGTGTGTGTGTGTGTGTGTGTGTGTGTTGTGTGTGTGTGTGTGTGTGTGTGTGTGTGTGTGTGTGTGTGTGTGTGTGTGTGTGTGTGTGTGTGTGTGTGTGTGTGTGTGTGTGTGTGTGTGTGTGTGTGTGTGTGTGTGTGTGTGAGTGTGTGTGTGTGTGTGTGTGTGTGTGTGTGTGTGTGTGTGTGTGTGTGTGTGTGTGTGTGTGTGTGTGTGTGTGTGAGTGTGTGTGTGTGTGTGTGTGTGTGTGTGTGTGAGTGTGTGTGTGTGTGTGTGTGTGTGTGTGTGTGTGTGTGTGTGTGTGTGTGTGTGTGTGTGTGTGTGTGTGTGTGTGTGTGTGTGTGTGTGTGTGTGTGTGTGTGTGTGTGTGTGTGTGCGCGGGTGTGTGTGTGTGTGTGTGTGTTTTGAAAGCCCATGTTTGGTTGGCATTCAAGAAGCAACCAAAAGGAAATCATTGCTTTAGGAAACCCCTCCGCAACGGCGCGTTCATTTTGGGTTTCGCCAAAGTGGACGAACACCCTTGATTCTGGCGGGCCGATGCCGACCCAAAATCCAGGTTGCGGCCCAACACAGGGACTACTTGGGTTGCACCCACCATGGATAAGCCATGGATAACTAAGCCAAGGATAAGCCAAGGATAAGCCAGGACAAGCCAAGCATAAGCCCTTAAGGCCAAAATGATTCCCCAGGGGAGTTATACAACCCCCCCCCCCCGCCGCCATCGCCGGTTCCAAGAAGAGTCCACGCCCGCAGCTCGCACGTCCGGTGGCCGGTTGCGGGGGTGTGGCGAAGCTCCTGGGGCTCCCGGGGCTCCCGGCGTGGCGGGGCCGCCCGGCACCTGCTGCTCCAGCGGCGGGCAGTTCCACCGCAGCAGCCGCAGCCGCTCCCGGTGCCTAGCCCCCGAGCCCCCGACGAGTCCCCGACGAGTCCCCGACGAGTCCGCGAGGCGCGACGCGCGCGGCGGCCCGTGGACCCGTGGACCCGTGGACCCGTGGACCCGTGGCTTGGGGCCTGAGATCAAAACCAGTCAGAAGCCATGGAGAAGAAACGCGGGGGGGAAGACGAAGAGTACTTTCAACGCAACGTATCTATGGGCAGGAATCGAATTCGAGGAAACATCGGTTCGTTGGGATTCATGTCCACCAACCACTCTTGAGGGCTTTCAATATCAACAATCAAACCATAGGAAGAGCCATTGCTGCCTATTGTCTAGCTACGATTGCAGGTTCCCAAGGCTTGTTTCTGGGACCTTCATTTACTTGGCTCGAAACAGAGTCCCCACACACACACACACACACACACAAAGGCGCATCAGAATTTGTTCTCACCTCACCTCCCCCTATCCCATGTAGGTGGTAGAGATATGATCTGGGCCAATGCGCTTCACAAACCCAGCAGCATCCTGGAATCCCGTGTTGAAATGAAGGCATCCGCTTGACAAGCCCCAGAAAAAAAAGGGAACAAAAATACTAATTATCGAACACGCACTGCACTTACTCCTTCTTCTTCCCCCTCTTTCAGGCAATTTCAAACTCACACCACATCTTTCACATGGATCCCACCCTTCTCTGAAGTTGGCTTGTCCGCGCCACTAAACCGTCTCCGAAATCGGACTGCTGCGCTTCTGGTAGATCTTGCTCAAAAGGCGAAGCAACCAGTCCGTTGGTTCCCCGTTGGGCTCAATCGCGCTAGCGGGGCTGGGAGGCGTCCATGGCCTTGCTAAGCTCCTAGTCCGAGGCTTGTCCTGGGGCCCCCATGAAAGCAGGTTTGCTCGCTGGTGATTTCCACTTGCCAGCGCGCAAGCGGAAAAGTGCGAAACAACGGATATCCAGCGACAAATACAGAACCCTTGAGGTTGCGTATGTGGCAAAGATGCGGTTGCCAGTTGAAACCCCTCAAACAAAGACACATCCACAATGTTGACCCCTGATAGATCAACACCCATCTATGAATCAGGGAGTTTCCCTGCAAGGAAGTTTTTATGGGTGCGTCTTTGTTGGGAGGCCCCCGTTTTTGGTTGGCTTTAAAAGAAACGGAAAGGATGCAAACCTTTCTTGATTTCCCTCATTTTCAACCCACTATGTGCCTTGGATTGTTCCTCCCCCGCTTCGCGCCTGAGGTACTCGCGCCACACCTGGCGGCACGGAGGCGTGGAAAAGTTCGATGCGTAAAAGATATTCGAGCTGATTCCTGGTCCCTTGTGTTCAATCATTATTCGATCCAAAAGAGGTGCATTCCCCCCCTGCTTGTTTCTGGCTTGTCTGGAAAGGACACTCTCTGCCAAGAATGAGAGGATACCCCTTTCAGCGCTTTCTCCAGTTTCCTCATGATTCTCAGTGGGAAAAGGGGAATGACTTTGGTGAGCCATACCCTATGGTTTCCATGGGGATCCGGGTTGATTGAAATCAAATGGGCTTGCGGAGAACAAACTTAAGTTCTGCCTGGATCTTCCAAATCATGTAAATTTAACGCAACATCCGGAGACTACTAGTTTGTTGAGGGTCTCAGCGAAAGAATACGGAGTTTTCTAACACCTGTTTTTGTTGAAGTAAAACTCCTAGAAATTGGCTTGCACACCTGAAACCCCTAGAAATTCGCAATTAGTCAGTCAGCACTTGACGGAAGGAGCCCTCCAATTCAGCAATATTCTGAGTCAGAATGGTTCACATGGATCAAAATCATAATTATGAATGCAGAATTCTAATTATTCAGTATTTGCGCCTTTGGGCGACAAATTGGCAAAACCGGAAAGCACCACACCTAAAACTCAGCGGGAGTTTCCGGAGAGTGCATGTTCAGTAAAAGCAGTGGAATACCCACTCGAGTGCACAGTTGCAGAATTGCTGGGACAGTGTACAAAGTTATACAATTGCGGGACCAAACAACGAAAAAGACAAACAAATACTTGTTGGTTCCAATTCTTCCCCCAAGAACCACTCCTAGTTTTTGACTTTCACCCCTGCCTTTTGCAAGCCACTCCTGCTTTTGGCTTTGATTCATGCATTTGAAACAGCTGAAACTCCTAGTATTCGTCCAATACCCGCGACTCATAATCTGCATCGAAAATCCACGCGCAACCCATAATCTGCAGTCCGCAAGCCACATTAGCTAATCCGTAAACCGCACAGTCCGCAACCCGCTACTCAATGCTGCTTCCATTCAAAGATGGCCTGGGTTTTAATAAACAAAGCACCTTATTCATTTTTAATCGGGGCATTGAATCAAAGATGGCCCCGGGATTAAGCATGAACAAAGCGCATTGTTCATCTCTAACCTGTGGGGAAAAGCGTACAGGGTAAAAAAATCCGTGGTTGAACAGGCGCGCGGGGAGGGTCTCCTGGAAATTGCCCAGAGAACAGAAAAAGAAGAGGAATAACTCGGAGACGCAGGACCCAAGCAGAAGATATTGGAGCTGATTCCTGTTCCCTTGTGTTCAATCATCATTCGACCCAAAAGAGGTGCATTCACCTTATGCTTGTTTCTGGCTTGTCTGGAAAGGACACTCTCTGCCAAGAATGAGAGGATACCCCTTCCAGCCCTTCCTCCTGTGGTTCCTCATGATTCTGTGGTTCCTCATGATTCTGTGGGAAAAGGGGAATGACTTTGGTGAGCCATACCCTATGGTTTCCATGGAGATCCCTTGGTTGATTGAAATAGAATGGGCTCGCGGAGTACAAACATAGTCATGTTTCAGCCCTTCAACACGGGAACAGAAAGGAGGCATGGGATACACTTAGGTACACCGGGATAAGCCGCTCCTTGGTGAACTCATTAAAAGACAAGAAGCAAAGAGAGTGATCCGCAAAAAGTCGATCTCAGGTCGATTCGCCTTGGAACATGTGTTACGAACCGTTGGTAGGAAAACTCGTGCTGGGTCAAAGGGGTGCGAAACCCAGTCAAGCACCCAGATGCTAGCTCTCCCCTCTTCGCTCTCTCAATCTGGCCTGGTCGTTGAGGACACCTTGAAGGCCGCATTGTGTCAGTGAGTTCGGGTGCTCTTTGCGGGAAACCATTGTCCCTGGTTTTTACTAGCACGTCCACTTTGACCAGGATATTTACTTCCAGGTATGTGGTGGTTCCCCTTGCTTGTAGGTCCAATTCTAGTGAGTGACAATCAGTTGGCACACATTTGGAGACTTCGGAAATGGCTTGGCCACAGTTGGGGGGTCCATTCGTCAACTGATTGCTACTCACTATACAGCTGCAGCGTTGTACCTCGAGGTATGTGGTTGGTTTTCCCTGCTTACCTGCTGTTACGGGAACCAGATCCACTAGGCTTCGTCACAAAATGGTTGACATCCAGAGTGAATGGGCCAAACAAGTTTACCACTAAAACAGTCTTCCCGCAAAGTGACCAAAGTCCCGAAACTCAGAGAGTCAGCATGTTCCAAAGTTTGAATTGCTCCAACATTTTCACATCCCTCTGGAATCCCTTTCAAACCAACACAAGAATAGGGTCCCCTCAAAAACAACTTAAAATACATGTGGCGTTTGTTCAACTTCCTGACTCCCTTCTAAAGTTGTGGGTTCCAAGAGCAAGGAAGGATTTCGGGATCCCCACTAAAGGGAACCAGGGATGGTTCACGGGGGGTCATTCCGGCCGTTCCCTACTGAGAACCCGAGAACACCAAGGGTTTTCACACAATGTTGGATCCGGCTGGGGCGGGCGGACATATCTCCTGAGGCAAAGTGGAAACTGAGGCAAAGTGGAAACCGTCATTTTCTAGCAGGTCAAATGGAATCCGTGCTGAAACCAAAGCCTTCAAAGCACTTCCCCCCCAATTGGTTTGCTTTGAAAAAAGCGCCCCAGCGAAGCCAGCCTGTTGCGGAGTTCATGTTTGGAAAGACCAGTGATACGGGGCTGCTTTTAGTAGGCTCTACTCCACACTGCCAAGGGCTGAGATGCGTTCGTCTTTCGCTTGCAACAAAACCCAACGAAGTAGGATCATACCCTGGATGGACAAAGTATTGCACCAGTTTGTAGGTAGCTCGTCCCGTGTTTCATAGGGCTTCATCCATTCCGGCTGGTGCTACGACTTGTTTTTGCGGGGAGGGGGGGGGGAGCCACAACCACGGAGCCGATCAGATCGGATTCGCCGGGGTGCGGTAGACGTGCAGCACCTAGCAAGGCAAAGTCTCAGCTGCTTGTAAACTATTTGTGTGTTTTTGGAAACACGCCCACAGGTTTGTGTCAAATAGGGACTTGGACCCCCAAAAAAAGGTGGGGTTCCACGCGGGTTCCTTCAATCCAACCTGAACAGGGTACCTTCATGTAAAATGTCACAATTAGTTGAAAACGCAAGGTCCTGTACAGGCGCTGTCACCAAAAACAAGCGAGCAATCTGGGCAGCTGGTGGTTGCTGGGTCCTATCTGCTTAGGGCAGCCAGATTGGAGCAAGAAGCTCCCGGACACTCTTACTTGGACTAATCCAGACCATGCTCATCACGGGTGGTCTCCCATGTAAAATCATAAAATACTAATAATCACAATAATAGAACAACAACATGGGGGATTTGGTCGGGCGCCCTGGTCAAGCTCCAGGAAACAAAAACAAAACACCCCCGACCTCGCCTTGAAGCGATCAGCGATGGGTGCTCCTCGCCGGTCCCGAGTGTAAACCTTCCGGAAGGTGCAATCCTCATGCGAGAAAACCGGCCGGGTGCTCAGAAGCGGACCGGGAGGGGGCTAGGGGGGGGCTATGCTCCCTTCATTGCCTTCGGGGCTTTTGCATCTCTTTCCACTTTTGAGGTTCGCAAAAGTGAAAAAGCCTGAAAACAAAGGGTCAAATCAGCCTCTTGCGAAGAGAAATGGTCATTTCAGATCAAATCGCTGTGGAACTTCACCCTACGCCTATGGGTGCTTCCTAGATTTCAGGCCCTTCCCGGGATTCTAGTAGCAACAGAAAACTGTGCATTCTGTTGCGTCAGGACTCCAAAAGCAAAAAACACACGGCAACAAACCTAGACCACTCTTCAGCCGTCATTGGGACTCTTTTGCAGGGGGATCTCAAGGAACGTTTTGAGGATGGATCAATGATCACACAATAGAAAAACCGAGCACATTTGCAACCAGGACCCTAGCACTTGGGCAAATTGCCGAAACAACCCAAGCCAAGAGCCTTCATGAGCTAGCCGGCTGCCGGCTGACCGGTGAAGCATTTATAAGTTGCCAACGCTCACGCTCAGATAGGAGGATCTTGCCAAGCCGAGACGAGGAGCCCCTACTCAAGTCGCCATCAATTTGGCTCTCATTGCAATATTTCAGCAACCTAAATCAAGGGATCATAAGTAAGCGACCTGCGTGTGACTATGGTTTGCCCCAAGCTCACCTGAACACGCACTAGTGCATATGTGTTGGTACCTCAGTCCAATTCCTGAGTGGCTTGGTCCCACAAAGTCCAAACTGTTTGTTTTAATCACAAAGTCTAGTTTTGCCGACGAGCATAACAGGGTGTTTGCATATCAAGCCGGACAACCACACAATTATCCTGCCAGTGTTGGTCTCCTTGTGACGACACAAGCAACAACATAATATGGGTGTAACAAAATGACAGGGGGAATCCTGTGTGCATCATTTCTGTGGGCACCAACCACTCTCCAGGTGAAACCCTGATGGGAAAAAACGACATGAGCACGTGGCATACGATTCGAGCCAGGGGAGCTAATTGCCTAAGCGCCCCGGCGAAGAGCCCTTGCATCTCTTGGATCAGCTCCTGAGCAAATGGAAACAACGCTGGCTGGGCCGGAGCTGGGTGCGTCCACTTGTGTTTTTGCTTTCTAGGTGTGTGTTTTGTTTCAGGGGGGGTTGCCGGAGTGACTTTTTGCTTGCTGTTTCTTCTTTTTGTTGTTGTTTTTTTGGAGGGGGGGCGGGGTGAGAGTGACTTCTTGGTTGCTGTAAAGGCACAACCACAAGGAAGCCCATCGGCTTTCAAGATCACCTGAACCTCACAGCATCCTCTGTTTCATGTATAGTCTACCACCCTAAACAAACAAGTATCTTCCATGTGATTAAGTCCACTGGAAGAAGAAAACCGTAGCGATCAGTTCCCTTTAAAACGGAGAAAAACAAAGCAAACACATTCCTAAGACCATTCCTTTGAGCAAGTGGAAGGTACAGTTGTCAAATCTGGCTCAAAAAAAAAAGCCGCTGTGCGCACCTGGGGCGCTACATGAGATTTGAAAACCGAGATGGGGCCCCGATGGCCCATGGAATACGAGAAGCCCACAAGCCCGACCCTTGAAATGAACTTGAAGGGATTCTGATCCAATTCGGAAGCCTCTCTGTGGGATCTGATGTTGTCTCCGGCATTCCTCTCTTGACTTGCTCAACAAACCCTCATTGTTTGGAAGCTGGATTCGGAATCCCCAAGGCGGCTCAAGGTGAACCTGGGAGTTGGAACCCCTGATGGGCATCCTCTTTCGATCGAAAACCGCAGAATTCGCAAACCAAAGGTTTGCATCAACGAACAAAGAAGAACTAAGGCAGCCCCCATGCCGGTACCAGGCCAAACATGGCCCTGGGACGGTGCTGTTGTAGTCCTAGCGTTGAGCGCCAAAAACGGCCCGCCCTCCTGAGTTCGCCGATGACCAAAACCAGCTGCTGGCCCAAAGGGCGATGCTTTCCATGTAGGTCTTCCTGCTAAGATTGGTGAAAGAAGTCCACCTGGGCCCAAACAAACTACCCCTTACAAACGGGTTATTGCAATTCAAATTTCTGGTTGGTGACGTCCGCCAAACTTCTGGTTGGTGATGTCAAAATCATGTTTGAGGCTTCAGGTTCTAGAGGCAGGCTGCTTGGTTTTTTCCGCTTGGTGGGGAGGGTCCCTTCCTCCCCTCCGCTCGGCCAAACGAGGCGCGGGGCAGCGGTACTTGGCGCAGGTCCCGCTGCTCTGGCGCCCCCCGAAGGCGCCCTCCAGCGCCTTGCCGCGGCAGAAGGCCAGCAAATCCTCGCGGAGTTGAGGGTTAAGCAAGGAAAGCATCCAGAGGTTTTTTTGGTCAGAACGCTTGTGTGGTATCTATGAATATGTATATGTATGTTTGGATATAGTATGCAGGTGATGTGTCCGAACATCTGTACCCATGCTTGCACCTATAAACATACACATTACATATGTACATATATATATATATGTAGACCCATACACAGATTTGTGCATGTTCACATGTGTGTGTATATATATGCATATATATATATGCAGGTGTTATGGTTTTGTGACACTGATTGAAAACTTGCTGTTCTGTACGTGGCCCCTTTAACCGTCACTCTGCCCAAAGGAGCAAATTTGTCATTGGACCAAAACGTGAAACAAGCCCCCTGGGACCGTCCTCCACCTTTTGGACACCTTTCCCACTGAGACCAGGTGCGCGGCCAGGTTCCGTACATCTCCGAAGGGCTCCGTACTCGATTTACGAATGTGTCGAAACAGGAAAACCCAAACACTAGCTTTCTGGACCCAAGCAAACATGAAAAATGGGTTGTTTTCCAAACATATGGGGCGGCGTTCACCATTTGGGGTGATTTCAACCATTTGAAAGGATATGTTTTTGGTTCACGTTTCCTTGTTCCCTTGAAACCAACCTTAAAGCTCCCCTCACAGCCTCAACAACAAGCACCCTGAACCCTCCAAAGTCTTATTATTAAAGGCATTTTGCGGAGTTTGACCTTTGCTGGCCGCAAAAGGCTCAAAGTTGGCGCAAACACCTCAAAGCCGCTAAACACCGGCAAATGCCTGCAAAGAAAAACGCAGGGACTCGCATAACTCAGCAAATCTGTGCTCAGTAAATCAAAACTCCCTAAATCCCTTGAAAGCTTGAATTCCCTGGAATTCTGCAGATTTGGAGGGTCCAGGACACGCACACCCATTTCCTGTTTTCCATCGCTTGAAGCCGTCGACGCTTTCGGCCGAACTTCAGCGCGGTTCGCACTACGCCTCAGGCCTGAAATCGCAGTCCTCAGCGACTCGGCGTGGGGGTCTTGACTCTTGACATGAGCCCCGGATTGAGATTTTGTTCAGCAATCTAGACCCAAAGTCATCCCCACATTCAACAATTTGTAAGAGTATGTTGAGGGTCCTGGTATCCGTTTTCCCTTTAGACCAACCGCACGTGGATTGGGGGATCACCGTCATTCCCTTCAGATTCACTGTCGGAGGTCTTGAGACTCTCACTATCCCTCACTTGGCCCCATATCTGAATAAGAATGTGTTGTCAGATTATGTTTCATAGTTAATCTGCCCGGAAACAATCACCCAATATTTGATGGAGCAATCATCATTGTTTAAGGCTAGTTGAGGGTCACCCTGACATATCCCTTCGCAACCCTTGGTATGGTAGCAACAAGCTTTGCTTTTTTTGCAGCCACTAGAAATGAGTTGACCAAACAAAACACTTGAACGACGAACAGAGAAGGTAACAATAATTCTGCAGGAGACCTCAGAGGATAGCAAGCTATCAGAAATCCAGTTCGACAAACGGCCTTCACAATGAAATGATGACCAACCCTCCCAACGACCCAGAACTTTGAGATTTGGGTATTTCGAGGATACGGAGACTCGTTTTGGGATGGTATTCAAGGGAGTTCGAAGGGACCCACTTTAGGGGGGTCCAAATCCTATTTGAAGAGAAGGGTCGATCTAATGGAGAACCTCCGTCAAACGTGAAAAATCCTTGAGGATCCCAAAACAGGCAGCCCACATCTTTGCTAAACAGAAAACCATACTCTCAATAGATATGTTTCATATGTAGCATTCAAGCCAAGCAGAAGCGGAAGGCTTCATTCATGACTTTAACTTCCCTCACTACCTGGTGACTCAACAATAAAGAAAGAGCTATGCTGAGGTATGCTCCCCAAGTATTGGTAATTACCTCCTGTTCTCCAGCGTTGCCACTGCTTGAGACCTGATCGAGAACAATGAAGTATCGTAGTAGAAAAAACAAACATCATGACCAACAATAGAGGAGGCTACACATGTCCTGCTACACGATAAGAGGAAGCCAAAGTTGATAATACACCTGCCAATTGACACTTGCTGAAACGTTCTAACAGAAACTCACTGTCTGGGTTATTTCTTAATTCAATACAGTGTTCGCGCTTATTATTAATTATCTATTCATCTTGTTAGAAACGGCCAATGGTCACACCATGATTGTCGTTCATGTCAAATAATCTCGGGAAGACACCTGCAACATGTCTTGAAACCAATATTAATAGATGTCCATGCTTGCAAGATGTCTCAAAGCTTGATGATGTCGTTCAACGTTTCATAGAGACATATTCAGGAAAAGTGAAACACACACACACACAAAGTTGAACTTCTGTGAACTGGATGGTTGATTACAGTACATGGTAACATTTTAAAGACTGTGGGTTTTGTGTTCTATCCTTCTAAACATGCTAAACAACTGAATTGTCTGATGTCACAAACATATTGTGTGGTGGTAGTCGGTCCTTGCGATACGATAAGTGAGACGATGGCAGTTTGTGTGTTTGTGAATGCTGAAGGTAGCATCGATTTTGGTTTGTCTGAAATATCTGCAACACATGAACGCTACTAGGAGCATGTCACGTTCCAAGCGTGTCTTGTTAAGGGTGCCCAGTTTGGTTGGTTTTAACGGATTACCAACAGTAACATCGAAGCCATTTTTGGGTCCAAACTGAAACAATATATCCATGCACCACCCAAGAAAGCCTGGAATGATGATTCGCCTGCAAAGGACAGCAAACGTTGTGGTGTCAACCATCGTTTCAAAGACACCCACTTCCATTTGCTTAAGCCCCCTGAAAAGCATACACATTTTCACCAGTGCAATGGATTCCCTTTCAAACCAAACATCTGCAATATGAAAAACAAGTCACACACAATTCCTTCGAGCAACTGGGTTTCCCAGATCCCAGCTCCATGAAAAGCAACGCCAAAAATCGCTTCACGCAGATTCCCCATGGGTTTCCTGCGGCCCTGAGGGGCGCAAGGCGCGCGTCTAGCGCCACTCCGGCAGCACGTGGAGGCACAGCAGGGTGAGGCCCTGCTCCGTCTCCGCGAACTCCGGGGCCATGCGGATCCGGATCCTCGGATCAGCAACGGAATGGGATGGGGGGAGGAGGAAGGAGGGAGGGGGGGAGCTCTGAACCCGAAAGCCTTTTGCTACTGACAAGGGTTAACCTGGGGGGGGGGAGAGGAAGTGGGGAGAGTGGGAGGAAGGAAGGGGGGGAGAGGGGGAGGGTGGGAAGGGGGGGAGCCCTGCAAACCGAAAAGGGTTAGAACGTAGGTTCAACCCACTTGGGGATTGGTTCAACCCACCTAGGATTGGTTCAACCCAGTTGGTGCAAGTTGGTTCAACCCATATTTTATTTTGCAAATGGTGAGTTCTCAACTATTTTGAAAGGCAAGCCGTAATTTTTGGGTGAGTCCTCAGGTATGTTAAAGGGTAGTTTGAGGGTCCAGGGCTACGTCTTGGATGCCACAACTGTCCTTCCATGGCCAGTAGGCAATGGCCAGTAAGGCAATGGTCGGGCTAATACTGTGGATGGACGAAATCCAGAAATCGCACCACCGATCGCAACTTCTGATGACTCCCCTGCAAATGCCAACAATTAATGGTTTCAACCATGGTTTCAACCATGGTTTCAAAGGGGTGCGAAATGGATTTTGCAACCATCCGCAGCATGACCACCAATGTTTACCTAAATTGGATAGAATTCCTCGACCAGAACCTCACTTGAGTAGATTGGCCAAAAGCAAGCACACTTGTTGTTTGCCTCTAAAACGATCCACTCAAGAAAGGGGCATTAATTGTGAATGCCCTGAAATTGACGGGGATGCTTTGATTCGGGGCCCTTTCCTTCCCTGAGACCCAGCAAGCTTCACTCCAAGACAAAAGGCAGCAAAGAGGACCAGCCCCAAAAAGCAGAAAGACATGGGTAGGATCGAGTTCTCCAAAGTCCACTTGGCCTCCCTACAAGGACAACCAGAGAAGCTTCCGTAAGGACAACCAGTCCCTGAAAAATAACAATAAGCCCTGCTATATGGCTATATTATTATTATTCATTAGCCCGACATGGTGGACAGAATTCGGTGGGACTTATTTATGTTCACCAACCACTTTTCGCCATATCCCTCCAATCGAAAGACGGGCAAAAACTAAGAACCTTGGGAGCTCTGCATGTTGTTGTTGCGAACAAATCCATCCAGCGCAGGCTCTTTTTTGCTGCCTAGCCTTTAAATTGTACCTGTCACCACAGGAGCCTCCATTTAACTTGAAACAAAAAGGACAATGGGTTACCTTCTATGTGAACCTTCTCCACTGGGATAGGCAAACGCTTCTTCGATTCCTTTTTGTTCTTTCCACCTCTTGCCAAACCAAACCAGCTGATTCCTCACACCTGGCGGGAAACATGTATATATATATATATATATATGTAGAAAAGCATCAGCTCAAATCGCCAGAAGTAAACCAAAGCATCATTGGACCCTCCAGTATGTTCAAATTCAAAAAGAAGGACTTCCAGTAGCATGTTTCTCAGATTCAACCCACCCAGTGCTTTCATAAAACACTGATAAGGCCTTGTTGCCGTCGTACTTCTGGAAATCACAAGGCATCCACATCTTGGCAACTTCTTGGTGGAAAACATTTGAAAACAATACTCATTTATCTTCCCAAGAGGGTTCCAGGTTGACAAACCTCAAACCAACTAACAAATGTAAAACGGAAAGATGGTTTCAGTTTGGCAAACGTCAAGCCAACTAGAAACAACATCAAATGGGTGGACACGAACACACACACACACACACAACAAGCTCTGAACTTTGCCAACTCAGACAGTTACACTTGTCAAACTCATGGACCCATAAACAAAGGGCCAGCATGAAACCGGAAACGGTCCAAACAAAAAGCAATAACAAGTTACTTACCTCCTTGGTGGCCTTGTTGGTGGTTCTCTTTACATCGGCTCCCCCCCCAAAAAAAAAGCGTAAACAAATGAACATCAAACATACATATACACACACATCAGCACAAGGAATCTCCAGGCAACAGCATGGCCCTCGCAACCCACCTCAGGGCTTTTGAGGAGCCTCGCAGATTGATCCAAGAAGCGACTCGTTCAAGAGGAATTGGTTGGCAAGGAAGAGGCTCTTCAAAGCACTGGCAACCTCAAGTCCGACAAGATTCCACCAGTCTCTCAGGAAAAACATATTCCCCCCTCCACCTTCTTGTAAGCCTTGAGGGCAGCATTTAAGCTCTTTCTTGGCTTCGTGCTCGGGCGTGGCCTCCTCCAAAACGGTAAGGTGTAGCTCAAGCTCTGTTTCCCTGTGAAAGAACCTCCAGGTCGCCTACATTAAACTCACCCCACTAGTGCCACTTGCAAAGGGAAGATCTTGCAACTGCCTGCTCAACG